GGATTATAAGAAATTTGAATTATTCAAAATTAAAAAGATTAAAGGATTCTTGAATTATAAATTAATATTATTAAAGAATATAAATATACATTTAGTGTTTTATATATCCTTATTCGAATTAATACTTTTAGAAATATCTAAAACTTTTGAAATAGAAATCATATTTACAAATCAAAATATCGAATACAAAATAAAGAAGATATTAGATTATAAATATATTAAAAATAAAATCAAATATTTAATAAAATAAGAAAATTACTCCGATTTTGAAAACATATAGAAACTCAAAAAAAAGATTAAATATTTGAAATGGTTTTAGAAATTTCATCAATAGAATCCGGATTTACCCAAAAGAAAAAAGAATTTATCGTTTTTTGTAAAGAAAGATTAAAAAAGCCGAAATCGTTTATAAGATTTTTGTTAGGATTGATAAAATCAATTGGTAATTGACCAAATCGACCAAATTGATTAGAGCTTAATTGATCAAATTGATCAAATTGATCAAATTGATTAAATTGATCAAAAAGGTCAAAAGGAATAATAGATATAAAGGATACAACAATTTCCTATTCCTTTTTTTTTCTTTCTTTTTCTTTTAAAATATCAAATTCATTTATAAAATTCAATTCAATTATAATCATTTTTTGTTTTCGTTTACAAAAAAACTTCTATTGTTTATTAAAACAAAGAATTTACAATATCGTCTCATCTTTCTTTGTATCTATATATTCGATTTAAACATCAATAGCTTCCTAATCAGAAATGAAGAGCATTTTGTTTAATTCATAAATATTATATAATTTATTAAGAATAATATAATAACTATAATAACAATACTTAATATTATAAAGAGAAATATATTCAGTATTAATACTTTCATATCGAATACAAGGAATTATCTTTTTTTCAATCAAATTAATTTCTTGTTCAAAAGCTTTATAATCGATACAAAGTTAAAAACAAACAAATGATATAATAAAGAAGAAATATTCGAGATAAACTATATAAAGAATAATATTTCTTTTCAAACTTTATAAATAATCGAAGATAATGTTTAACCAAAAAAAAGATAATATTACAATTCATAGTTTTCTTTATAATAGTATTATTGATATTAATGATTTATAGATCGATTATAGAAAGAGTATGATTTAATTGTTGCTTTCGAAAATCCTGATTATCTAAATCTAGAACCTTAGGATTCTTAGGATAAATATCCTAGATAACCATAATAAAATAAAATAAATATTCTATCTAATTAATTATAATAGAATTATCATCCTAAAGGATATCATATTCTAAAATTATAATTCCTAAAAGGAAAGCTTCTAGAATAAATGTTTCAGAAAAAGAAAGACTTTGGGATATAAAAGGTCTCAAAATTAATTATATGATATATTAACTCTGTTAACCAATTAACAAAGCTAGTATTACAGGAATATTAGTTATATTAATCAGTTAGCATAACTAATATAAGAAAATGATTAGTATATAATCAGAATAGTTTCATAATTTAGAAACTTTGTATTCAACTTAGTTATCAATTAGTTTATCTACATTCCAATTGATCTAGTAATATATTCACCTTCGAATAGATAACCAGTGATTATTAATCTTAATCTACAACTACCAATCAGACGAAACCTGAGGTAGCCGCTGTCTCTACCAGATCGTTACAGTTGGAAGTTATTATATTATATGTAGTTTAATTGTAACAATACTCAAAGTGTAATGATTTGATCGAGATAACAATTGTTTTAGATTTTTGTATAATTGGTAATTGTAGATTAAGGTTAATAATTATTAATTATCTATTCGAAGATGAATATATTACTAAATCAATTGGAATATAGATAAACTAATTGATAATTAAATTAAGTACGAAACTTTTAAACTATAAAACTATTTTGATTATATATTAATGAATATAAAAAAGCTTTATAGAGCTCTAGAACTTCAAAAAGCTTCTGGAGTTCTAGAAGCTTTCGAAGCTTTTAGGGTTCTTTATTATGTGATTAGGATCAGATTATATATCCGAGCTTGTTAAAGATAGAGAGATCACATGAGACGATTATTATATAAATTTGTATACGAATCGCCTTGCTTTTCGATAAGGCCTAAGTTCATATGGACATGTTGACTGCTGCCCCTCAATATATCCTTATCTTAATCGTAAATCGTGACAGTTAAGGCTATTAATCATTGGTTATTCACTTGAAAATGAATTCGTTATTAGATCAAGTAGAATATAGGTAAACTAATTGATAATTGAGTTGAGCACGAAGCTTCTAAACTATGAAACTACTCTGATTATATACTAATGAATGAAAAGGAACTTTGTAGAGCCCTAAAACTCCAAAAAGCTTCTAAAGCTCTAGAAGCTTTCAAAGCTTCCAGAGCTCCTCATCACGTGATGGAGCCTTCAGGAGTGTAAGTTCTTCGAGGCTTCCGAAAGGGATTAGTATGTAGTCAGGATAGTTTTATAGTTTAGGAGTTTCGTGCTCAACTTAGTTATCAATTAGTTTATTTATATTCTATTTGATCTAGTAACGAATTCACTTTCAAGTGAATAACCAGTGATTAATAGCCTTAATCTACAACTACCAACCATACGAACCTCAGGCAGCCGTTGCCTCGATCAGATCGTTATGTCTGACTTGGAGCTTTTTTTAATTCAACTCAATTTACAATTCAATTGAAATCATTCAACTAAAATCATTCAATTCAAGTTTATTCATTCAATTCAAGTTTATTCATTCAATTCAACTTATTCAACTTATAATAATAATAATAATAATAATAATAATAATAATAATAATAATAATATTTAAAATAATATTTATAATAATAATATTTAATTTTTCAATTATCAAAAACAAGCCGATATTCTGCCTGCACTCTAATATATATATTCGATATTTAAATTTATTATAAACTTTTCAAAACTTAAATTTTTATTAAACTTTCTCGAAAAGCCAGGGGTCCGGGGGGCGCAGGCCCCTGGTATAAGACGTCTAACTTGACGTTGCTGATGTGCTGCGCCCGATATGACTCCTCTTAGCATTTCTGAATCAATATCTCATTATGCCTTGCGCAGAAAACTAACTGCCTGAAGACACCCTTGGCTCGTGGGTTTTGGATGTCTCTATGTTCGCTCGAAAAATAGTTGTGTATGTATATATAGAGCGATGCTTGGCCTTTGCAAAGTTAATACTATTGATATTAATGCCTGGCTCCCAACCAACAAATGTTACCTTACAGATTTTCTTTTGCACTAAAATAGCGATGCTAAGCTAGCATCAGCTAAAAAAAGTTTAGATTGATAGTATAGACATTTCATTTCAATATATCTCATGTAGAATCACAAATGTAGGTCTATTCATCTGTATTTCACTTACAGAAACTTTTGATTTAATGTTAGCCCACAGGATATCTTTATGAAGATACCAGCGCGGGCCATATAAGATAGTTAGACTTTTCTGTAGAAATAAGGCATAATTCCCATTTGTTGCTGACTGCGTTAAGCCCTAGACGAACAACCGGCGATAGTTATATGAAGTGTGGAGGCCGTCTTTTCTTGTCACGGTAATCTAGCTCTGATTGTACTAGTTCTTCTAGTGTATTCCTTCTCAATTTGTGAAGCTTCACACGGTAGTGCTCAATAAAAGTCGAGGAACCTGAGGAGCAAGGAGATAGGCTTGGTTAATTGAAGCCTTGCGGTCACACTAGAGCTAAGACATATACGCGTCTACTTTGGCTGCTTTCTCTTATCCCGGCTAACTCCCATCTTACTCGACACTTTTCCTCCAGCAATAAAGGCTTGTAGTAAAGTTGATTTCTTTGTTTAGAATAAATGTAGAGGATTGAGTAATCCAAGGAGAGAAGTAATTATTGTAATTGGGGGCTATATTACCTTTTCTGACCTTTTCTTTTTAAACATCCTCAAAGCTATAGTTCTATAATTCCTGATTTGTTATAATTAACTACAATACACTAATAACGAAAATTACTTCAAGTTGTTTCCAACCAAATATATTAAATTTAAACCCACCATTTAATTTCATAATATGGTAGTTGAAGATATTTTGAAGATTTGACTAAATCTAGGTGGTAAATTAGATTTTAGATATAACAGTATTAATATAATACTCTCAATTCAACTGAACGTATTCTATCTTTTATCACTCTATTGAATGGAAATCTATTCTTCAGTTCTCTCCAATCTAATTGGAAGCACCAAACACTATCTTCACCATTCCCGGCCCTGATTGTATATCATGCTGTTTACACCTTTGGCCTTGTACCTCTAAATGAACACGACACTCCTGCACTGTTTGCATCATATAGGATAATACTAGAATCAAAGAAGCAGGCTCTTCGCCATTCTCATCCGACCATAAGCTCAGATGCAAAATTGCCTGCGCCTGATCACTTTCAGATTGATTCTACCCGTATTGTAGTCCGACTGGAATCTCACTGTATTTATAATTGCTCGACTTACAGATACCTGCCCTTCCCCCAGCGTTACAGAGCAGACACGTAATCTCTCGATTATGCACTGTACCCCACATGTATGTCGATGAAGCTCCATCAAGGAGCAATGAAATTTTAATGGCACTGAAGCTCACACATTGTCTTGGGTGATTGGTCGTTCGAAGTTCGAAGTTCGAAACTTTTTACTTGAGCAAATTATGTCTTGTATTGAGCGCAGTTCTTACAAGCTCTCTGAAAACTACTCTTAACATTTATTTAAAGAGATTTCCATTTGCTTAAAGACTGCTGCTCTATTTTCGCTCGATACAATGACCAATTATGGTTTGATTATCTCTGGCAAGAGGGTTAACATTTCAGGCCTTCGTTTCGGTCAACAGCATCTCAAAGGATGCCATCGTCAAGGTTCTACACGCCCGCCACTTCGCCTATACTTCCGAAACAGCAGCAAGTTGAATCTCAAGACTATGGTCCAGATTAGTGAACACATAAAAATCTACCACATAGTTTTACCAATATATGCAACTTTAGGCAGATCTCAATTACCACGTTACGACTCTGCTTTGAAGGCGTGCACTGGGAGGCTCCAGTGTCATTGACTCCTCGGTCTTTACAATACCCTCTCAAGCAAGTATCGATGCTTGGACAACTTTGCGCAATCCTGGATGAACTGGTACACACTCGCTCCGTATCTGCGCATATACAGTCCATACTCTCACAAAACCATCCGAAGCTGATGTCATGGAGCTTGATTTCCACAACAAGTTTTCTACTGAGGAAAAAAGCTTCGGCCATATTCAAGTTTAGCTCCTTAGCTATGAGGTTAGTGGAGCAGATTCTTCTTTCCAATACATTTGGAAATAAATTTTTCGAGAAACTCAAATTCGGCTTTAGAAGCAATATCAACAATGGTAACATTATGCATCATACTCTAATCCTGCTGCTATTGCCCCATGACCAAGCAACGTATTATGTTGCTGTGGCATAATATGATTCAAGATCCGGCCAATTTGACGCTTCTGACTGAGGCTGCGGCCACTAAGACCTTGTTTGAAGGGGAATCCCCGAATCTGATCGCAACTGGCGTAGCTTTTATCCATGAAGGAGGAACCAAGATTGCGGAAGCTTCCAAGAAAATTATTCTTGCAGCCGGTACAATATATAGCCCTTTGCTTCTTGAGCTCTGAAGGATCGGATCCCCAAACAGCCTCGAAGTACATGGAATAGCTTCCCGTCTCCAACCCCAATGTGGGAGAGAACTTACAGGATTCTATCATTAGCGCAATTAGTTATGAAATAGCTGATGGAGATAGGGCCATGGATTATTTTGGACGTTGCGGCCGACTGCAAGAAGCTCTGGGTAAAGCCATGACGGCACACATGACAATGCGATTCCGGCCATTCTCTCGGGCTGCTATCACTTTCAATTTTGTCGTCCCTGTCGCCGAAGGCCAAGAGGAAATTAACAACTTGCTAAGCACTTACCGGGCAATTTCTTCCGAATCTGTTTACCACGTATTTGTTCGTTCGAATTCTCTCCCCGAGAATTCAGAACAAGGCAGTGGCATGGTTTTCATGTACGGGGCACCAGCAAATTTTGGAAAGAACTCAGCAAACTTTGCTAAGCGAAAGGAACTTACCTTGGCGAGCTCCCTAAAAACTTTGTCACAAGTAGCTCTGTGCTATAAACCTCCTCAGTAATCGGGAATATCCATACCTTTATAACTTCAACCACCAACACATTACTGGATTTCAAATACTTCGCCTAGCCTATTGATGCCGAAGTCATGGCTCGCCGTCTGTCGCTCCTCGGAAAGTTGATAACCACATCTCCCTCTTCTTCTTTGCTGAAGCCCAATAGGGAGCCGAACAAACTTATACGCGCCGAAAAATCCGAATGAAGTCAAGAAGTATATCCAAATCAAATGGGACTTCCTAAGTGGCATCCGGCCGGAACAAAACTGTCGATGCTATTTAAGGAAAAAGGGGTGTTGTCGTTACTGACTCGAAAGTTTATGGGGTTAAAACTTGCGTGCACGTGTCTAGTATCTTCACAGTTCTGTACTACATATTCTAAGCTGTAGAGCCCAATGTTTTCCACAAAACGGTCCTGAATACATAACGACTTTGTTTTAGGAATTGCCAAGCTAGTGCTAAAGTGAGACTGTATAAATCCTGTATCTCAACGACCCGGAACGTTCTGTGGCTCGAAAACAACATCTTCCAAAATCCATTCTACACGAAGAAAATTCTCATCTTTTTCACTATCTAGATATTAACTATAACCGGTTATATAGTTCATTCTATCGTAGATAAATTCGATCAATAAGCTTGAATAACACCATCTACTTACCATGCATATAAATCATCCAACCCCGAAATTTCCTACAACTACATCTACTCAATCAACCATCATCCCATCAAAAGCAAAACAAACCTCTCAAAAGAAGAAAATCTTTCTAATTCACACAACCAATCCACCAATCCACCAACCCGGAAGTACAAAAACACAAAAGTAACCTATAGCTATCAAAGGTACCAAAATACAAACCTAAAAACCAAAAAACCCTAAAAGTGGATTTCCGGATCCGCCGATCCAAATTCAAAAGATCTAAAATCAAAGATCTAAGGTCTTCAACCTGCAGAAGTGCATTACCCACCAGCGGCCGGATTTATAAGGATATAGAAATCATATTACTCGGGTAAGGGATTTCTATTTTGTTCTACTCCGTATGCCATGTGGCAAAAACATGTTCTCCATAGTATACCCACAAAGAAATGAAAAATAGGGGATTGTAGGGTAAGGTGAGATATTAGTTTTAGTATAGGGATCGGACGATATTTAAGGATTCCACGGAGAGTGTATAGGTGGATATTTCAAGTACTTTATTATATATATTATATTTATTAATTAATATTCCATATTGAATATTTTGAAAAGAGAGAGACAAATATTAGATTTATTTTACATATATATATTTAAAATTAAAAACCAAAAGATTTAAAAGTTTAAAATATAAAAATATAAAAATAATTTATAAATTTATATTATTAAATTGATTAAATATTATATATCATATATATATATACTTCCAAACACACCTATATAAAATAAACCCAGAAACATTAAACCAAGCCCTGAAAACAAGAAGAAAAAGTCAAATACCCCCATTTCCCTCCACAGAATCCAGCGACGAGTCGAGTTTAATCTCGATAAACAACCGTCTCTACCTAATATCACCACATCTACTCCGTACCTAACACCTCACAAATATCAACGTAAAATTCTCATCATATATACTCCTTACAAAGACATCATATACAGGAACCTTACCTTATGCCCACCCATCCACCTACAACCGAATCCTGAATCCGGATGAACCATACACCATACCAAAATCCCAACGGAGTACAGTACGGACTAATACAAAATTTACATTTACATTTATATTTCCAAGTCTAAGCTAACCTAGCCTAGCCTAGCCTATTTATCTATTATTCGAGTTATCCAAGCATCCAAGTAAATAAATAGCATCATGACAAAGCACCACAGCACAGCACAGTAATAAGCAAGCCAAGCATGGCAATTGCAAGCATGACAAGCATCGCACTCTTTTCGCCCCGTTTCCCGTGCCGCTGGGAAATTACTGAGGGTACTTTACCTACTTTACTTACTAAGTTACTGTATGGAGGGAGACGGAGACGGAGTACTATGTACTACGGTATGTATATTGTGTATATGGCGCAAGGATAGGGAGGGAGTTTTTGTGTAGGGATTTAGATTAGTGGGTTGGGTGTGGATTGTTTGGATGGTTTATGGGTGGTTTATTGTGATGAAGAGATTTTTAAATGGGATGGATAGATGGGATGGGGCCGGATGCTTATTACCGGTGTTTGTATATACTCTGTATGCATATGTGGAATGGGGCTTTTAGTTTTTGGGTTTAAAGAGAGATGAGATGGGATGGGATGGGATGAATTGAGGAGGGGTAGAGGGTTGTTATACATACATATATATATACATACATACATACATATATACATGCAAAGGATCTAGGTAAGAATAAAGATCGAATCTTGATGGTAGTTTTTTGCATAGTAAATAACGAAAGGGGAAGGGGAGTTTGAAGTTTGAGAAGAAACTCGAGGTACGGAGTTCGGAGCACAAATGATTGGACGATAGCACCCTACACCTAAACCTAAACCTACCCTACAACTACTCGAGTACACTTAGGTAGGTATGTAGATATGTAGGTACCTTAAAATTGGCCGATAGGTGGATAAGCGCTTAATTCATTCGATTCGATAGTCGGTGGAACACGGTGGAGTTATCTTCATCCCATCCCATCCCATCCATACCAGTACTCCGTAAAGAAATCCCCCCTCCAACCAAAAAAATGCAATGCCTGTCTACTTAGAGATGAAAAGATGAGAAATCACTTACTCACTCAGTCAGACTCACACGTCATGCTGAACCAGAATATATCGGTCTGACAAAATGGAAATATTTTAGCGTTCGGTAGGTCGGTAGGTCATAAAGTTCCTGCGGGTGACGCTTTTTTGGGCAATAAATAAAGGGGGTTTATTGTTTATTGTTCATTGATGCCTTATTTCATGCATGCTTCTGGACTAGATGTAACACTGGTCGCGTGAGGTTGTACACGAGGTTGTGGTGAATTTATGATTGAGATAAGATTTGATAGATAGATAGATAGATAGATAGATAGATAGATACCGAGATAGACAGATTGATTGATAAGGATTTATCTCGCTCGCATTCTTTGACTTGAGTGGTAGTAAATGTACAGAGGAGATGAATTTGTCATCGTAGATTTTGGATGGTGGTGGTGTGATTGGATTAATGAATTCATTATATACCGAAGTTTCCGGAGCTTGCTGTCATTGTACAGTTTCCCACGCGCTGCTAACGATAAGCGTACCAATATCTTGTGTTCCGTACCAAGAAATGTTGTTCTTGTGTCAGTTTCATAACTCCTTGATTGCGCCGGCTGATGAAAAAGGCACTTTTATAAACATCATGATCACGATACCAGCATTGTTGTTGTACTTGTCAAGATGTCTTATCGAATCAAATTATCCTCGGTTCGTGACTGGCGTGATACCTAGACAATGAGGCGTATTGAACGTATTTGAGCGTATTCAGCGTATTGAGCTTTGATATCGATAACGAGCAATTAAAGAATTGTGAAACATGACGATTGTTCATGGGATGATCATCATCATGTAAATCAATGTACGAGCTTTCCATGATGGCTGGGAATTGCTTGGTCTCAGAAATCCCATGGGATTGTGCCTTGACCAAGGCATTTCTTAATCGAAAACACCGGCAACACTGGCGCAGCAGCACAGCATTGAAAATATACTCATTCTGGACGGCTCAATGGATGGGAAATGTTGGAAACACCTTTAAATGCCCATGGAATGCCCCTAATATAAGAAGTTCGCGGTGGCTTAGATCTTGGGTAGGCGAAACCTTGTGGGCGTGGAAGTTTCTTTCGTGAAATAAGGCAAGGGTGATTGTTGGGATGGATTTCATTGTGTTCCATCCGAATTGCTGCATTTGAGAGGTAGAAATCTGGGGATCCTCAATACTCGCATCGTGATTTAGTTTGGATGTCCCTTCGTTGTCATAATTTAAGGGTTCTCTGTCTGCCAAAAGGAGTTGCTTGCGGTGGGTTAGATGCTCCCGTCCAGTCTAATAGGGGCACCATGGCACCAAAACAGAAACCATCGTTTGGACATACGTAGCCTATACGGAGTATATTGATTCCTGAGAAATGCTACACTCTATTATGGATCCTCCTACAATTCTGCGCGTCAGTAAGCTCGATATGATATTTGAATCAATCCTTGATAATGCCGTACTTCCTCCATCCTTCATTATGGTTATTTCCTTTCTTTCGAGGAAGCCTGATGTAAAAGGACTATGAAGTCCAGTACAACCAATAGAACGACGGAGACGGTATATTCGGAAAGTCGGTCTTGGTTACTCAAGGACAAGGGGTTAAATTTTGATGTGCAGAACTTGATGAACAAAACATGGGATTTGTCCAATCATCAACAATATCCCTTCCGATCACACAGCATAAATGTTATGCAGGTAATTATAAATGATGGACGGCTGGGCTGTTGGTGGTGAAACTTCAGCTCTATTATCATCTGAAGCATGGAGACTTTTCAAACAGTGCCGTTATCAGATATGCTATACTGTACGTATCGTATATGAATGGCTATAGGAGAACGGTACAGTAAACCTTACCAAGACTAAAGATAGATTTTACGAACCTCGAATGACCCTGTGCCTGTGTTCCTTCATATATAGTAGAAGTCAGTAAGTAGCCCTTTCCTTGTTCCTTTGTTCAGAGCTTCACGGGTAATCTCGCTGCTCAAGGCTGCCATGGAACTTACGAATGCGACGGCAGGAGATGTAAAATTAGGTGGATTATAAAGTGCTTGAGCCTTGAATGGAGATGCTACGGTATATGCAGGTGATAATTGGTTGCAGTCGGATTCGGATAGCTCGCATAGGTACCTAGTAGGACTGTACAGTAGGTAAAAGTAATTCTCACCTGTTTCTGAGTCTCCATCCATTTGTTGGGGCTGTCTAAGCGCGTACCAAAGGTCAGACTTGTGGCCGTACAAGCTTTCAAGGCTCACTTTGAACAAGGTCTTTTTTCCCTTGACTGCCGTTTTCGTATCTTGTTCCGAATCTGTTGATATTCAATATATTATATATTATATATTATATATTGTATTTTATATCTATATCGATATAGGTAAGCAAATAAGACGTAAACAATGATAATAGATCAAAACAACACACTTTCTAATAGCCTTCTTCTATGATGGGTATGTTTGCCAAGACTCAACTAATAATTCAATATGGATTTTTCAACTTCTTTTTGCCAAGAACCCACCCAGTCTCTCTTTTTTTTTCTTTCTTTTCTCTTAGCTGACATAACCTGGATTGAAATTGAGACCTTCAAAACCTAAACGGGGCGCTGACCCATTCTAAGAAAAAAGGGCCTAGGTGGAAAAAAAAAAGATCTTTCTTAACTTCATTAGTACGGCGCTGTATCTTCCCAGATCCGAATCTTTCGCTGCTTCCATCATATCATATATCCGATTCTTCCCTCGTCAATCAAATCAATCATCTACCTACCTACTTTACCTACCTACCTACCTACAATCCTCTTGCCCTCTTACTCTCTCACCCTCTCATAACTTTTTTTGGTTTTACTAAAATAAAATTCTATGATTCGATAAATCAAAATCACAATAACATCTTCTCTTAGAAAAAAACATTACCGATCATTCATGAGATAATTCATAGATTCCGACAGTTATAAACCAGCATCCTTCCATAAACTCCGCCATCTTCCTTTTTGCGCGTATCCGACAATTCCGTAGAAACGCCTCACCGTGTGAACAAAAAGTCCAACGTTCCAACATCAACATCAGCGTCAACGTCTACCTCAACTTTTATTACACTTTTCAATACCTCCTTCATAGTCGCGATGCCGGAAACAAATTATTATTCTTCGACAACTTCTCCCACGTTTACAAAAGCCAAGATGCCATTCTCATGGCCCTCACTACCAAATCCTATTCCTCGCAGAGTGAGACGGAGACTGAGATCCAAGTTCCGTTCGAATGCATCTCCTGCTTCGTCGATTGCTTCAATTGAGACGTCTTTCAACCCAAAAGATACATTACGAGCTTTAAGGTCACATAGATGGTCGGTTTATGATGGTCAATATTTGATATTGATCATTATTGCAATATTCTCGCTTTCAATCAGTCAGGCTCCTGGGCCTCTCATGAAGACTGGAGCTGCAACTCTTTTGATGCTTGCACTTCTTATGCCAGTTACAAGACAATTCTTCCTACCAGTTCTCCCCATCTTCACCTGGCTGGTCTTCTTCTTCAATGCTCGGTATGTGTTTTCCTCTCTTGTGTTCCGTTGCGATTCTACTTAGGCGCTTTGTTTGTGCTCTCATAAACTCCTCTTTCGACGTCACACACTTTCTAGATCACTTTGTCTCTAACGGATTTCATAGATTTATTCCTGCCGAATATCGACCACATATCTGGGTTAAAGTTCTACCTGCCCTCGAAAACATATTTTACGGAGCAAATATCAGCAACATTCTCTCAGCACACCAATACGTAGTTCTTGATGTCCTCGCATGGTTACCTTACGGTATTTTACACTTTGGAGGTCCCTTTGTCTGGGCTGCCCTGATGTTCCTCTTTGGTCCTCCTGGCACCGTACCAGTTTTTGCACGAACATTCGGCTATCTCAACATTATCGGGGTTGCGATTCAATTAATCTTTCCATGTTCGCCTCCATGGTATGAGAATTTGTATGGTCTTGCGCCTGCAAACTATTCCATGGAAGGATCACCTGCAGGACTTGCACGAATTGATTTGCTATTTGGCTTCGATATGTACACCACAAACTTCACCGCATCACCGCTAGTGTTTGGCGCCTTCCCATCATTGCATTCTGGTAATGCAGTTTTAGAAGCACTTTTCATGAGCCATTGCTTCCCAAAGCTACGACCATTTGTTATTGGATATGCTATGTGGATGTGGTGGGCAACAATGTATCTATCTCACCATTACGCTGTCGATCTCGTCGCTGGTGGTTTCCTTGCTGCCATTGCCTTTTACATCTCCAAGACGAACTTTTTGCCAAGAATTCAGTCAGACAAGATGTTCCGTTGGGACTACGATTATGTTGAGAGAGGCGATGCGCCAGCCGGCATTTATGAATATGGACTTGCAGTACTAGACCAAGATTTCCGTCATGACAGCAGCGATGAATGGACCATGGGATCATCTTCTTCATTCTCTTCTGGATCGAGAAGCCCTACTGACGAGAATGGCTCAGCATGGGAAGGTGATACTTTGGCATCGCAAGCTTCAGATAGTGAGCTCAGTGAGGTCATTGTTAGATGATCTTTTTTACGTCTGCAATAGCACTGCACTCGACAGGAGTAATTTCTTCCAACTTTCAAGTTGGTAGATATTATCATCATGATTTTACGGCATTATCATGTTACGGCGTTAGCATATGAGCGACTTCTACCTTAATTCGACCCCCAATTCCGACTTTACCTGGATTACTGGACGGTTCGAATCTTTGTAAATATACCTCTTTTAACTACATTCGGGACCATTCAATTCGAAGATTTGGATACACGAGTTCCTTACAGTATATACTAATGATAATACTGCCGGAATCGATAAACCATGGCGATCTGCTGCGTCATTTCGACATTGGCAAGCGATTCTTGGCTACCATTTCGATTTCAACTTCACTTCTTCTTGTCCATACTACATGGATACGGGCATTTTTTTTATTTATTCGCCCACTTTGTGTGAATAAAACGTCCAACTATCGCTAGAGTTACCGCCGCTTTTACCTATTCTCTTGGGGATTTTATAGAGAAAAGTTTGTGCTGGGCTCGCTATGTATATTCTCTACTTTTTATGAGAATTCTTTATAAAGTCTCTCGCTGAATATAGATTCTTCGATTATTCTTCTTTATTTTTTGTGGTGATGAGGTGGATGAGGAGGAATTTTAATGTCATGGATGGATGTAATGAGTATAGGAGTCAGTAAATAGATGGGATTCCGGAATGGTATACCAAAACTTGTTTTGGTTCGGGATACAACTGTCACTATAGACTTGACTCGGGTTGAACCGAATTGAATTGGGGATGGGATGGATGAGATGAGATTATCACACACTTTTTGGATTTTTAATGACCTTGGGATGTGATTCACTGAGAGGAAATGGAAAAGATGGAGGGGGGATTGGGTTCTCGTTTCCTTGAAGGGAAGAGAGGATTTGTCGGGTGTGTGTGTAGTTGAAAGTAATGAAATAAAAAGAAGAAGAGAAAGAATAAGAAGAAGACGATGATGATGGATGATACGATAATTGAATGAATTAAATGAAATGAAACGAGCGTACCTCGAGTTGAACAAATTTTTGGAGTTCTTTTAAAATGCTAGTGATATATTATCAGAGTTTTCGCCATCAGTCATTGCACACCTAATCATTTCGTGACAAGCTAATCAGATTTTTTTTTGGTATTCTCTAAATATCAAAAACTGACTCTAAAGTGATCTATGTGACGTACAAGAGCCGTATAAGAGCTGAATAAACAGGGTCAATTATATTCCTTAGAATCTACAACTGAAGAACTATGACTTGTAAGAAGTATCTATGTATATATATATATATATATATATACAAAATACCTATACGGTAACTGTATGGTTATGTACATCCTGTCTTAGGGTGACCATAGCTCACCGATAAGAAAAGGAATCACATAATCGTTCTTATAGTTCGAGATCTGTAACAATCTATATAATATTTCTTAAACGATGAAGTTTTATTAAATTGATTATAACAAAGTTTTGATTTTTTTTGGGAGTTATAATAAATTTGAAATTTAAATTTTTTTAAATAATTTAAAATTAATATATATTAATAATTTTTTAGGATTTAAAAACTCAAAATATTATTAAATAGAATTTATATCTTAAATTAAAAATAAAAATAAATGTTTAATAATATTTAAAAAAACTTTTAGTATTTTGATTGTTTAATAAGACTTTTGTTTATTGAATGATGAAGTTATTTTTTGATATTTTGAAAAATATAAATAAAATTTGATATCTTGATTCAAGATTATTTTTGATTGAGTAGTTATATATATATATATATATATCCTTTTCCTTTTCTTCAATATTACTAATTATTGATTTTCGAAGTCAGTGGTCACTAGTTACTTCAACGATATTCTATTGTTGATTTCTATAAGACTTTGATATATATGAACATATATATCTTGTCCAAATTGTAGGTGGTATGGCTCTCTGCAGATTGGAAGATACAGAATCGTGAACTTGTATTTGGTTCTATAGTAGTTGAACACTCGATACCGACAAGATCAGAGGGCTTGACTTTTGCCCTTTTTTTGTTATGTCTTGAAATTGAAGGTGTTGGTACCACTTACGAATGACTTTTCGCTTTTAAGATTTTTTACATATTGCCTTTGTACTTTCTTTCTCACAAACTGAACGCTTATTCACTAATAGGGATGGAACTGAAGTCCGAAGGTGTCTATTGACAAACATTGTTTGTCTGTAATTCATTGATGTATCATAGTTTCTTCAGATAGCTTAAGTTGAGGTTAGCTTTTGTCCATCAACCTCACCAGCAATCACTTCATGTTTGATGGCTGAGACCCGGGGTAGCATACCTGATGTATTATAACCGCGGATTCCTTCCTATGCATGGAAACATGCAAACTTTCAAAAAGGAAGCACTTCCAAACACTAATGTGCAAGATTTGCTTTGAAGCAATCGATATATAATATATATAAGTCTAGTACACTACTTTCAGATCACTCTTTTACACCAAAAATCATGATTTTCAGTTATTAATAATTTTATAATCAATTATTAGAATTTGATGAAATTTGAATTACAGATTAATTATATAATTAATTATTAATGAATTCTGAAGATTTCAGATTTTTTACAATTTTATTGATTGAGAAATTGAAAGTTAAAATTACGATTTTTGATTTGTATAGAATTTATATTCAAATTTAAAACCTTTGAAAATCGTAAATAACTTTTCAACAAAAATTATTAAAAATAAACTATAAAAAATTTTGAAATCTTCAAATCAAATATTATATAATAGATTTGAATTTTGAATTTTAAATAATACAAAAAAACTTTTATTGATATTTTTAGATTTTACAAAGATTAAAAATTATAATATTTTGATTCTAAGGATTTCTGTAAATTATTTTTTAAAATAAATTAATCTATTCAATTAATTATGATTCGAAGATTTGATAAAATTTTATAATTTATTTTTTATTATTTTTGTTGAAAAGTTATTCAAGATTTTCAAATTTGTATACAAATCTTATATAAATTAAAAATTATAATTTCAACTTTCAATCTCTCAATCAATAAAACTGTAAAAAATTTAAAATTTTCAGAATCAATTAATAATCATATAATAAATCTATAATTAAAATTTCGATTGATTTGATTTATTAATTGTTGAAATATTAATAGGTGAAAATCGTTATTTTTGATGTAAAAGGGTGGTCCGAAAGTAGGGTACTAGACTTATGCCTCTTTATCCCGTGAGCCAATCCGTATTGTACTCGGTAAACTCTTCAAAGATAGCTGAGCATTAAAACGATAACCATGCAATGAAATCTTCAAAAGTCTCCACCACCTTTTCCGCCACTTCTTGACTTCTTTTTATCTCCATGTTGCTTTTTCATTCTCAATCTTGCTAGATTGGCCGATGTTTGTCTACGAGGCATATGTTAGCACATTCCAATGAAGTCAAAAAGGTGGCAACACCTCAAATTCATCCAGTTGCGCCGCTGTTGTAGAGCCTCACATCTAGATGCTAAAGTTCACTTGCCATCACCTGTTCTAGCTCGATGACGGGCTTCAGCCTCCAACTTCCGTTGAATTCGCTTTTTCTCTTCCTTGTCATTCATCACCTTCTGAATGAACTTCCCGATCTCCTTATCACTCATATGGTTGCTTGGAAGAACTTCTTAACCCCTTCTTGGGGCGATCTCACTCTAGAGGGGAAGGAAGAACCTCATAAATGGATTCTGCCTAAAAGTGCACGAAATGAAAGAAATGTATGACTTACAAGTTCTTAACTCTCTGTTGTTGCTCAATGGAAGCTTTCCCCGGAACTGTTGTATTGTATATGCTCTTGATTTCTTCATGTAACCTTCGATGTGTCTCCTCCTGATTATCAGTACGATTACGACTACTATCACACTGAATCTGAATTGCATCAGTGTTTTTTACATAGTGTGTGCCGCGGCGTAATCCTTTTGATATTATCGATGGTAGAATGGCATCGAGGTCCTTCATTGACCAAACTGTATTCGCTTTTGAAGCTGTTCTAGATGTAATCAGTACTTGGGAGCTTTTACATATGGAATCCAAGAACCTCGACGTACTTGTTTGTTTTTTGACCACCAGCACCTCCGGCCGCGGTATAGTGCGTTTTGGCTATCTTTCTGGAAATGGTAGAATCATTGAACTCAGAATACCATTTTCTGGCAATCTCGAAGTCTGCCTCATCTGTAGATTGTACAGAGTAGAATTTGTAACTCTGAAGATCCAAATTTGATAGTAGAGATCGTGCTCGAAAAGGTGATGTATAAAGTGGCTTGGCAACATGAACAGATGATTGCAGCAGCTTACTTGTGAGCTTCAAAAACGCATTTGAGTAGCGCATATTGAAAGTTCTGGAGTGTAACGGATACAGGGCAGCTGGAACCAATATATATATATATATATATTGTCACTTCCACAGCCTCCTCAGCTCTGCAGGACTAAGGTTCAGTGTGTCACCTACCTAGAGGTTCATAAGGAACCGGCAAAGAAACTAAAATCTGCAAGATTAACGAAGTAAGTACGGTGCAAAAGGAAACTTTCCCCTTTCTAGTCTCTGCCCAAATGTTGTGTAAACAAATTACTGTTAGTTGCTTATAATGATATTACATAAGCACAGAGCAAGATTCCTAAAACCGAATATTATCCGAGCTCTAGGTACAGCTAGCGCAAAAATGTCTTTCAAGATTTCTTCGCATAACCAAATTAATCCAATTCTTCTTCTCAAGTCATGAATAAAAGCATCAAAAAGTATTGCGACAACCTCTTGGACTCGACACAACGATACCAAAAAAATTCATCAACTTAATGCCAGTAAATACCAAGCTATCTTCCGCAGCAATAAAACGATACTTTTACTTTACTACTTTGAGATAGATAATAATTCTTTGATCGCAGTTTCCCCCCAGAGTTTCCAATTGAGCAAGCAGACAAATCAATCTTGACTTGATCTGCCAGCTTTTTTTCATTGAAAACTCTTCGCATCGCTTTTGCCTATCAAAGTCTCTACAAACTCTTCTAGTTTCTATATCTGTCACTTGCAATCAGTTTGTATCTCCTAAATTAGGACATTGTCGAAAAATCGAACTCATTCAACCTTAATACTTTCTTGTCCTGTGTGCATTCCACACTCATAACAAAGATATTTATGACTTCGCAACCGCCTGAGTTCCATACCAAAATTCAGTCTCCGCTCTCTCCACTTCCGGTTCACCTCCCTAATCCATCCGATATTTCTGTTCTTCGAAATCAGATTGATCCGACTTTCAACATGACCACGACCCACGAGCCACCCAAGGCTCCCCTGGTGGTTCCCAATATCACCGAGTCCATGATAGTTGACAATATTGAATCCCCGCAATCCGATACTCGATTTTCAGATGCATATGATGAAAAGGATGAGGAGGATGCAACAGTAGCAAAAGCTGAGGAGGAAGATGCAAGCGATGATTATGCCATGACATTTGACTCTGATGGGGAAGAACATTCAGATAGTCACGATATATCACAGGCAGTTGACCAAGAGTTGAGCAATCTTTCTAACGCAGTGCCAACCAGCGAATTGCCTACTTCTCTTTCCAACGATCGATCTGCCACATCTGATTCCCAAAATGGCCCAGAAACCAAACCCGCCCTTATTATCCCTTCTCTTACTGTCCCTTCGATTCCTCAATCTACGGCTGCCCAAAGCTTTGATCATTCTCAAAATCCCATTACCAAAACGGAACCCACAAGTTCTGAGGATTCCAACGGAGAAATAGACATCCAGCAACTTTTGGACAATATTACTGCCAATGCCGAAATAAATGCACAGGCTGCCAGCCCAAATTCTTCCTCTTCTAGCAATGCCCCTCCAAAAGGTAGCTCAAGTCTGCCTACCCATGCAAGCCTTCCCCCTCGTCCACAAATTACACAAATTCCCAAACGTTCCAATTATACCTCTTTCGATGAGCCCCTTAAGTACAATGTTGGAGGTTCAGGTTATTCACACCCATCCAATTCCTATAACCCTTCTGGTGTAACATCATCATTAGTTGCAGTCGGTGCTCCTGGTACCGCTACCGATTCCCGATATGGACTTCCCCCACCCCCTTCTGTTTCTTTCAATCACTCCCCTCAAGATGCGAATAGCCCACAACCCTATTTACAATCCCATCGCATGCCATCCGTTCTATCCTCTGATGGACATGATAATGATGACAGACCATGGGGTCCGATAGTCCAGAAAAAATATGATGAATTCCTTGATAGAGAACGCACATATGTCACTGAAGGGCTTTGGGAACGATTCCCAAAAGGCTCACGATTGTTTATAGGTAAGAGAGTCTTATGTAACAACACTAATCCTCAAATCTAATATTCCTTCAGGTAATCTCCCATCGGAAAAACTCACCAAACGAGATCTTTTCCATGTTTTTCACAAGTATGGTGAACTTGCCCAGATATCAATCAAACAAGCATTTGGCTTCGTTCAGTTCCATGATGCATCAGCTTGTCATAAAGCTCTCGAGATGGAGCAGGGAAAAGAAGTCAGAGGCCGCAAAATGCGTAAGTCTTTCAATATCCCTTCCCGGGCACAGGCTAACTTTTTTCCCGTTCAGATCTCGAAGTCTCCAAGGCACAAAAGAACACACGAAAGGATCACACTAACGGTCAATCCTGGAGAAGATCCCAATCTCCCGAACATACAAGAGGAAACGCATCAGGTCGTAATCGGAATGCCCAATTCGAAACTCGTGGTTCTGGCTACAACCATAATGATCGCCATAGATCACAACAACATGGGAATCAGCGTACACATGATGGATATCGGCCGGGTAGATCGCCATCGCCAGTTCGAGGCTATAGAGGTAGAGATGAATACAGATCTAGCCGTAACAATGACTCGTACGATAGTAGAGATAGACGTCGTTCACGATCTCCATTTTCAGGCGGACAGCGTGGCAGCTATCGAGACCGGAGCCCGAGTCCCAGAAGTCGTGAAGCTAATGAAGATGGTGCACTTCAAATTCCGCGACGTGAACCCCCAATGGTTCCTGATGTTCAAATCATTCTCATGGCGGAGCTAGACCGAGGATTTGTCTCCTGGGTTGAGGGAGAACTCCGTGGACGAGGTGTGAAAACCGAAGTAATGTTCCTCAGCCCTCGACTCCCTCTGCAAGCTGTCGTACGAAGACAGATTCTTGAAGGTGTCATCGCCGTTTCTCAACTTGATATGAGATCTCAAAATGCCAGCAAAATACCCCTTCAAGTATTTGATCGCTCAGGAGGCATAAATGCTGCCGTTCGATTCGACGAATATCAAGACCTGGAACCTAAAATTGCTGCCGAGCTTGTTGTACGTGCGAAAGCCACGGCTCAAGGACCTCAGTACCCACCAAATCCAGCTCCAGTGTACCAAGCACCAACAGCACAACCAAACTCAAGCCTTGCAAATATTATGGGACAGTTGGATAATCCTACTTTGCAGAAATTACTAGGTACATTAAATAATATGCCTCAGCAACAAAATGCACCCGCTGTGGCAGCAAACTCGCCAGTTGACATTGTGAGTTTGTTAGGTGGTCTAGCTCCACCACAGCAACAAGTCTATCAGCAGCCAATCCCACAAGCAGCAGCGGGTCCTTATGGTGGCTATAATAATAACGTTGTATATGGACAACCAGCTGCACAACAAAATGGACAAGATGCACAGCAGGTTCAGGCTATTATGGCTCAATTAGCCAGATATAGACAGTAAATAGTGGATTCATGGTCGGTTTTTTTCTTTATCTGGGAGGCTATCGTTAAATTTGCATACTGGGATGGAGTTTTAATATGTATCAAGCTATGAATTATGTTACGGTCGGTCTTTATTGCATGTGCATCCATTCAAGGGCGTGGTGGCGGGCATTGGCGAGGAGTTATCATGATGTAAGAGTTTGTGCTTATACTACTTGTATGATGTGTGGATGCATGTAATTTCATCCAGGGGAGGTATTGGAGGCAAAAGAGAATAGGGAGAAATCGCTTGTTGCGTAAATTGATTATCTCTGCTCTGCTCCTTATAAATAGTAAATAACAAACGAAGAGATGTTTCTATTTCTATATCTATATCTGTCTATATACTGAGTGAGGTCGTTTATTGAGTGAGAAGAATGATTACTTTTCTCGTATCCTACAATTGTTGCACATGTGGAGATGATTTTGTGAAATGAGGTAAGAAATAGAAGTGAAATGTATCTAAACATGACGTTTGTGTGCTGTTGTACAAGTCGTGGTATTGATCGTTGAGTATTTAGAGCATCTTAGGCATCGAGGGCCAAGCTGCCGGTCTTATAGAATGATTGGTTAGTTGAGCTATTCCATGAGTTTCAAAATTATCTGTAAACTCACCTAGTCAAAAGTAGAGTTTCCACTCCAACCTTTTCCCTCGATCTCAACCAGGCATTCAAGTGCATGCGTAACATATGCACATCCCTTCCCATGACATTAATGCCCCTTTCCACACACGCCATCCTCAGTTCCTCCTCATACATCTGTTTCACGCCTCCCCCATTCTTAATCAACATATCATCCAACTCCAAATATTTGACTCTCCTCGCCACCTTTCTTCTTAAAATCACATTCGGTAGTCCGGGTAATCTCCCTCCTATATAATCCCACATACTACTACTCAAACCCAAACTCCAACTAATATGCAACAATTGCATACGATGGAGATTCTGCACCGAAGTCCCCGCAGCCGGAGTATTTATAGTTAAATTTCTAAAACTAATCGTCCTCCTCTCTTCCATTTTCCTCCTATCCGCATCTATCTGTTTGGGAATCCGACACGTCCACGGCACTACATTACTAATAGCAATAACCACCAACGGGGTAAACTCCCCACAAAGCAGAAACACCAACGCGAAGATAGGAACCCGTTTCACATCATGCCGATTTCGAATCAGCAGCTGAAAATCCGATCGCGAGAGCAATGCGCCTTTTACGGCGGACGAGAGCGAGGATTTGTATTTCTCGTCGATGGTGGTTTGGATGGTTCGTGAGGCGAGGAAATTGTAGTAGATGTTCTTCACGCCTGTTTTGTAGAATTTGGCATACGCTTTCCCGAGTGTGAAGGCGTATTTGAAGAAGAAGGGTTGGTTGGGTGAGCGGATGGGGAGATCGAGAGGTGCGGGGAGGGTGGAGGCAGGTCCGTTGATGGGGTGTGTGGGGTGCGTGGGTGAGGGGTAGGTTGCGCTGGTGTGGGAATTGGATTGCGAACTTGAGAAGCGTTTGGGGGAGGGGTGAAGGAGTGATATTGATAGGTTGTTTGTGGGATGGAACTGCGATTTGAGGGTTGATTGGAGGATGGTTGATGAAGTGCGCATACTGCGCATGGTGGTTGTGTTCATTGCATTGGTGGTTGTGTATATGTATGTATACGTATATGTATATCTTCAATTCGTTCTTTTGAATGTGAAAATAATTGTTGGATATGTGAGACGAACCGATTGATCATTAGTGGAGTGGCATTTTTAATTTTCCGCATCCAAGGATCCATTTTTGCACTGACGTCGTCTAGTTGTGCAGGGGTGATGATTAATTTCATCTGTGCATTGGCGCTAGACTTTATTGGTCTAAAGTATTCCTGTAGTTCTTCGGCGATTGGTTGAATTGTAAATCGAAAGGATTCAGATAGGCACCGGCGGACTATTGGTGAGATGACAGCAACACCATACGTACATAGTACCACGATAATTCCACGATCCATCTGAGCTGAGATGAATATATCAACGCTCATCATCCCGAGCGAAATCTAATACCCTTTCGTTCAAAATATATCTTGTAGACCCAAGTAGAGTCAAACCTCCCTCATCAATAACCATCCTCCAAAATGACCTGGCCCTACCGCATCTACTTCAACCACACCTCATCCGAAAAAGACCAAAGACGTATCCTCCTCGACCGCTATGGACTCTACGCCCAACTTTCCATCCTCATCCCCATCATCCTGTATAATCTCTACCGTTTAGCAATATGGGTATATTCCGAGCGTCAACGATCGAAAGTTGATTATTCGGCTGTTCCCAGTTCTCCTACTTTGAAGAAGAGGAGGAGTTCGAAGAGGGCGACGTGGGGAAGGACGTGTAGAAGCTTGGCTTGGTGGTTAGCAGGGGATGTGAGGAGTGGGTGGGGGAGGGTCATTGGATTGTTGCGGGTTTGTGGGGGCTTGGTTGGCGTTTTTGTGTGTCCATAGGACGGGTGATGGTATGTGGATTTTATGTTTGTGCTATCATGGGATTTTGGTTATGGATATTGAGTAGACTGGTCTGAGTAAAGTTACTGGGTCATCTGTGTTCTAGTGATGGTTCGATTTTCTGGAGAACTTGCAAGGGATGAACTTCAATGCTACAATCCGAGTGGATTTGATACTCAAGCGGGTCACGTTTTCGAATGGGCTCAGCGTATCAAACAAAATGGATGTATTAAAGTCTTTCAGTGTACAATTCTTCCATTAGTTGACTGCTATCTGAGCCATTGAGGTTCCATCCAGGATGTTTTTGCAACTCATCATTAAACACAATAGCTAATGATATATCCAGATTATTTTCACATAACCAAACGATTTGGTATAGTTGCGGCATCACAACTTCCTACTCATTATGCACTGTCCATGAAGTCTTTATATTCACCACTTTCCGTATTATTTGGGTCATCCCATGAGCAGCTCAACACATGGCATCGGATATCCGGTCGAGTCATTTGGACTCTTTTACTTTGCCACGCAAGCTGGTATTTGAATGCATTTATCCAAATTGGAAATTTATCCGAGAAACTTACAACACCTATAATCATCTTCGGGGTAGTTTCATTTCAGCTTATCAACCTCCTCATTATCACAAGTTCAAAGGCTGTTCGTCGCTGGTCTTATCGGGTATTTTTTATCACTCACCTTTTTGTCGCTATCGCCATAATTCCTCTTCTATTCTTCCATGCCGCTCCTATTCGCATCTATATAATCGAAGCAATCGCTCTTTTCCTAATCGACATTGGCATTCGCAAATACACCACTTTTACAGCTTTTGCTACCGTTCGATCAGTGCCAAAAACTTCTCTTCTTGAAATCACTATTCCAGTTACTGTTTCCCAGATCTCTCAATTCCAATATGCGCCGGGTCAACATGTCTATCTATCTATCCCTCCATCATCCGTTCCCACATCTGCCAAATACAATCGTCATCTCCATGAATTTCTCTACAATCCATTTACTATCGCTTCCGTTACAGATACACCGACACCACAGATCACCCTGACTCTGCGCACCCTCAACGGCCCCACAACATCTGCACTCTCCTCCTTATCCCACCTCAGCAAAGCCCGCCCACCACTCAACATCGAAGGACCCTACGGAAGCACCCGTAAATTCCCCAACCTAGCCGAGAAATTCGACAGAATATTACTCGTAGCCGGCGGCGTCGGCGCCACCTTTATCCTCCCCATCTACCGCGCCGCAAAAGAAGCAATGGAAAACGAAGGCCGACCAAATTCCACCGTAAGAATGATCTGGGTCATGCGAGACGCTGCAGAATCCTCATGGGCATTATCCCCCCCAACCAACCCAACCTCCCCCCAAGATACTGACGAAGAACCTAAATTCGAATATTCAAATGATGTGGATATAGAATTATATATTACCTCTCCGCAAACCTCACACTCAATCACTACCTCCACAACTACATCCACCCACGAACCTAATACTATAGAAATGCACACCCTCTCCGACCCCCCATCCTCATCCTCACTCCCCACACCGAAAAAATACTCACGCCCCGATTTACGGGCAATAGTCGACGAGACATTCACACAGGGACTCGAAGAACGAGTCGCGGTCTTGGTTTGTGGACCACCGGGTATGGCGGAGGAGTTGAGATTGTATGTGGGGGATTGGGTAACGAGGGGGAGATATGTGTGGTGGCATGATGAGGGGTTTGGTTGGTAGGTTTTAGATTTAGATGGTAGGTGTAGATGGTAGATTTGGATTTGGGTTGGGTTTTGGATTTGAATGGTGGATGGGAGATCGAAGATAGATAGTCGTTTAGAGGATTGTAATATGTTTAATGCAATGCAATACTATACAATGATATCAAATTAGATTCAGTTGAATAATTAATCAATCATATAACAAACCGAGAATCAACAAATCAGATTACGGTACGTAAGTACCTAGACATCACCAAATACACAAAAAACACGGAAAACTCCTCCGTAATTATGTTAGCATATGCATGCATTATTTGCTTCTTTTTTTTATTTCCTCATCATCTTATTTACATACCAAAAGCATAGAGCTTAATTAATGCTTGATATTCAATTCTGATTCCAGTTATGCATCTATCCATCCATGATAAGCTCTAATAAATCCATCTCCATGTCCCCTTCATTGATTAGCATATCTCATTTCTTAAAAGTAGCACTCCTACCACCCCTCTCCCCCGTCTGCACTCTTCCCATTCCTTTCGCCGCATTCATACTCTTCTGGTACGGATCAAAGGGTTTATCCTTCTTTGCCTTCCCACCCTTTCCACCTGTCTCTACTTTTTGTTTCTTAGAGTTGAGTACCGAGTCCGCTTTACTGTAATCGAAATCTTCTTCCTCTACTTGTTCTTCTGGTTCTTCCTCTGCATCTTTGGCTACCTTTTCAGATTCGATTCTCATCGCTTCTTCTTTTCTCTGCTGTTTTCTCAACTTTTTATCCGCTTTATACGCCGCTCTACGTCCTGCGCTTTCGGCTAAAACTTCGGCTTTGCCTTGTTGTCTTTCTTTTTCCGCGTTTGGGGTGTAGTCGAGGCTTATGTCATATTTGTCGGTGACCTCTTGATCCTCATCCGGGTCAGTAATGGTCTCGCTCTTTCTTTTAGAGCCACGTTTAAGAACGAAAGGTTCGTCTTTTGTTCTGGTAGGGGTCGGTGTTGCGGCTTCGGGTATGGCGAGACGGGATCGATCGGTAAGGGGTGTGGTTGACGAGGCGAAAACTTCTTCTGAGAGCTGGGGTAAGGGGATTGCAAGTCTCATGCTATCTTGATCGGGGGTTGTGGTTGAAGGTTCCCAGATACTGCTTCCAAATGCACCTCCCCAAAAGGAAGATGTCTCGGTTGTGAGTTCGGTTTTGTCTACCGGCGTTACATCAAGTTTAGATGTCTTTTCAGATGTAATTTTTGCTCCGGTGCTAGATCCCGGGTTATTGGCCGTATCTGGTGATCCTCTGATAACATCTATCATCTTTGGACCATCTTTTCCATTTTCCTTTGCCGCCTTAATGATTTCTAGCAGTTCTTGAGTGCGTGATTTTACACTGTATGATATGGGTCGAATGATGCTCAGTAAGGCTATCATGTCCATAGGCATGAACTTGGCTAGGTTAATAACAACAGAATTCGACATGACAAAATTTATGCTGTCATCATCCTTTCTTGCTATCTGATCTCTCCAAGCGTGTACAGCTTTAAAAACAGCGAATTGCTCGCTACTTAAGAGAGCAGGCGTTTTGTAGATTAGTGAAAACCATCCTCCCGGTCCTTTTCCGGATTCTGCATTGTATACCTGTCGCTCATATCGGAGTAACGAAGTCTCTTTGGACTTTTCCAGGACTGTCTCCATTGGATTTGCTTCAGATGTTTCAGTATTAGACGCGTCGATTAACTCATTCCGTAAATTGTCAAAAATGTAAAGAAGGAAATGTGTGTCAGCTCTAGCATAAAAGAACATTTCCTCCGGAAGCGGCCTAAAATGTTAGTGGAAGGAGGTGAAATACATGATATAAAAAATTACCTGATTCGCCAGTCTGCTAACTGGTATTTTTTGTCGGCATCAAAATCAATATACTTCTTCAATAAGAAGGCTAAGCTTCCTCCAGCTAATCCTAACCTTCTACATGCGTAATATGTATCAAACAGCCCAACAACATATAGCCCAAGATCTCGTTGGAGCCATACGATATCCATGTAGGCACCATGGAAAACCTAAGTTCTTAGCAAACATTGAAGAATTCTGAAAAGTACAACATACCTTGATTATACTTGGATCAGCGAAAACTTCATTAAGTATTTGAAGCTGTTGCCTCCATGGCTTGAGGGTATCCACGATCCAATCTTTTTCGCGGGTACTGATTTGCATCAAAGATACGAGACCAACATATGAACGAGTATCATGATGCTCCAAATCGACCGCGATTTCCTTAGCACCTTTAAGCTCCTCTAGCATCTCCAGGACACCCTCGTAGGTATCAACAAATGTCGCAGATGTACTCTCAACCGGTAGATAATCTATTGGTTCTGCCTTCTCAAACATAGCACTTGGATATTGTAATTGTAGAATTTCCGTTTCGTAAGGATGTCTGTACCTAAATTGCTTGTTAGTAAATCGTACAGTGACACCCATTTGTTGAATTAGTTTGTCCCGTTTTACTTTCGAACGACTGGCTCTGGCAGACTTCCTTAATTCTTCTGGCTTCTATCCTTTGCGAGGGGTTCCAAGGGGAGCAACGCGAGGGGAATAAAATTGGAGTAGTCATACTGTTTCTGGCTGTAATCGTTTGTAATCATACCCAGACTATCCTCTAACGGTACCTTCGCATGCGGTTTTATTTTGAGAAGAGGTAGCCATGGTGATGTATCCTCATTGTCAGGTTTCACCTCGAATGCGAGTTGAGGCTTCACCAGGTTTTGGGTACGGAGTGAGTTATCAAGGAATTTTCTCTGGGATTTTGATGTCGCAGAAGGCTGACAGATATCAGCATATGTTTTACTGGCGCATTTGACTCAATCCTCACCTCTTCGACTTGTTTCCTTTTAATAATACCTGTATATTCATCGAGACAAGTGTCGGTCTTTTCGAGTAAGGAATCCACAACATCCACAACACTGCGCCAATTGTTGTCCACATCGTCGGCATCTTCTAAAATTGGTACACGAAGCCCTGAGACGGTACCTGCAGTTTTGAGCAAGTCATTGGCAAGCGCAAGTAAACGCGCATTTTGTTCATCGAGAGCACTTCCCACCTCGGGATTCAGTGATCGATGAAAACCGAGGTCTTCCGTTGATATGTAACCGGCAGTTTTGACGGTTGATACAAGAGCAGCTTGAACTTCATCTTGTAATGATTTAAAGTCCGGTGTGTCTTCTGCCATGATTGACAGGATAATTGTTGTTTGCGGTAGAAAAGAATGTTTGTTCGGAATTCCGATACGATTTGCTCAAAAAATATTCAAACTTCAACTTTATTCATACCCTTGTCAGTATTTGGAACGGTGGAGACTTGACTAGCGTGCTCTTTAACCCTTGTTGCAGCTTTTTGGCTTTTGGGACCTCCGCATTTCATCCATCACTTCCAGCCATAAACTCTTTCACTCGGGAACAGGCTTCACAGATTTCACATGACAAAGAACCGTAGGAGTCGCCTCACCACCAAAAGTCTAAGTGCAAAGTATAAAGTAACATCCAAGTTAACATTCAATTCAACACCCAATACCCAACATCCAACACTGCTCTACATCAATACCTCTTCAAAATGTCGGCTTCACTTGCACCTGAATGTAATGAAGTCAAGGAGTATGTACATGGCTTCTATCTTTGATTCTGTTCTATTATATTCTATTTGTTAGGTTTAGAGATGCTAAACATTTCTTAAAGACGATATGATTCGTGCTTCTTGAAGTGGTACAGCGAAAGTACGTACATTCGGCATTTGAAACACATATATAGACTAAACATCTGTAGAATACCTTCGAGGTAAAGGTACGACAGATGAATGCGAAGCTTTATTCAAAGATTACAGGAAATGCTTAACGGTAAGCTTGGAAAAATCTTTCAGTAGTTCTGAACGATTTCCATTCTAACTGATGTAGGGTGCTTTGAAAGAGCGTGGTATCGATAAAATGCTCGAAGAGGCACGGGAAGATCATAAGGAAAATGATGCTGTAAATTTGAGGCGACCTTGTGAGTTGTCCATGTTCTCTTCAAATATAATAACTAATGGTGAACTAGGATAAAGGATATGCATGATACCATATTGTACAAATACCACTACATACCTATGCATGGGAAAGGAGTCAGGTTGGTCTTGCAGGTTAACGTTCTACTCTTATTGGAAGGGAAGGTTGGAAGTATCTCAAATTGCATGACAATGGAGAGAACGGGAACATTCATATCCATTGGCAAAATATACTAACAACACATCATCAATCAACAATACTTGCCTTTGTACATGGTCTACCAGCCAATATACACATGACTTTGATAGCTACCGATTTTTGAATGGAAGATTTATTTCGGGGAACATTTTTAATGATTCCAGTCCTGGATCTAGTCTCTCCGAGTAAGTCGCTATATCATCATCCCCTTGATCTTAATATTAATTATATCGATGACAAGATCGATGGCCCAAACACCATCATCTTCATCTCAAGCTACACCCTAAACATAGCCATATCCATATACATCTTCTATCAAATCACAAATTTGCCAAGGTCGCCCATCGTTACACATTCATGCTCTCACGTGATCATGCCATTTAGCCTAGAAAGCTTAATCTCTTAAACCCCTGCAAAAGAACAAACTGTTTTCAGCCTTCTCTGTTCATTTCTCCAGATAAGTTTAAGCTCTTGTGTCGGGATTGGTTGATGTAAATGATTAAAGATCCAGAAGATCTAGAAAATTAATCCCGCCCAAATTCTGGACCCCGACTTAAAATAAATATGTGGGAATCTCGAATCTTGTACTTGTGAAAACACCTTTACACATTCTCATATCCATCCATTTCCCCTCCACGTCTACCCTCCTTCCCATCAACCTCTCCACTAAGTAACCTGCAATAAACCCTTCTCGAATTTCGTACAGCACAGTCAAACGGTGATGCGCCAGCAATAGGAAACGATTCATGCACCCCTTCTCTATTCTCACACTTGCGATTTTCGTAGCCGGCTACATCACTGCGAGGTGGGATCTGGTTACTAGACTTTATGAGCTTGCAATATTCGCATGGGATCACGGAGTAGTGGTTAGCTTTGATATTCCGTGTATTTGATTAAATCCATTTTACTAATATTTCTTTGCCCATAGGCACGCACACTAAAAGGATTCGCAATTCTTTCCCTCTTCTTCTTTCTATTCATCATTCCTGTGGAAAGGCTCGCGTCGAGGGAGACGACACTAGTAAATAAGCACGATATCTACAGCGCGAAACTAGCTAATATTCCAATAGCATCCGCGATCCGGCAGCGTCGGCATATCCGCACGAGAACAATTGCGACGAAGGGGTTCATTTTGAAAGAAATACTATAGCACAATTGAGCATTTGTCATGCCCGATCATGATGGTTTGATGAGGATTTTTTGGCCGAGGGATATACCGAGAAGTGATTCACCCGGAGTCATAGTTGGCTGGAGGAACTCTGGCCTTGATATATTTGTGGTTGCGATATTGGAGGATGTTGATGTGAGCAGTAACAAGGCTACGAAACTAGGACCGACTGACATAAATTCAGGCGCGGAATGTAGAAAATGCATTGAAAGTCGGAACCCTATTCCGGAATGCAAGTCATCCTATCGAAAGAATATATGAATTATGCGGGCAATCCTCACTGCAGGTATTGGGCCTGGCAAATTCCCCAAAAGCAGATGTCGATACTCTCCAAATTCGCGCGACTACAGGATCAGCCTACAAATTACCCCAGATTTCTTGTGCCCGTGCATCAACAAATCAAATAGTCGTATTTGATCGACCTCAACCTAATAGGATGCAGTACATTTCTTTAAAGCCAATATCATTAGCATTAGATGACAAGGCTGAAATGGCGTTTCATGCGCCTGGCAGTGTTGATGCTGAGGAAGAAAAAGAAGAATTAAGACAGAGGAAGAGGACCCAAGAACTGGTGGAAAAGTTGAAGTATCATTCTGTGGTTAAACATCCGCCATCGCAGAAAGAACTTGCCTTACCAAGAATAGTCAATCAAATCAATTGTGCTTGGGAGGTCCATCAACTATTACAGAAAAACATCTCGCTTGTTGGAGCTCGGTCAAGGAGAAGTCTGAGCGTATCTGAAAGGGTAGTGGAGTCAGCAACCACAATGCGTGACTTCATTCTTTTGGCAATATGGCAATTGATCACTCTCTACATATATCCCATCCTCAGACGTGGATTTGTCATTGGTCTTATATGCCATAGATTTGCAGCTGAAGCTTTACTGTTGGTTCTAGAATGGAGAGCTAAGCCAGATTATGCAGCTTTGAAAGATATCTCCGCAACTGCACAACAGGTTGAAATTCGCTTACAACAGTTCTGTTACTGGCCCATGCAATATGTTACACTTCGGAGGAGTAAGAGAGATTGGGCCAGTGTAACGACAAGCCACCCGGAGTATATAAGGTTTTACAATAGCCTTTGGCTCGTTGCCAATGATGTAATAATTGGAATTGCATTGGGATCCTATATCATTGATAATTCCGCCTGGGTTGCAGAAACCATCAGTGACATCCTAAGCACTTATTCAATAGCTGCACTACGAAGAACGATAAAATGGTTGATGGACTGGCCGGCTGGATTAAAACTCAACACTGAACTGGCTGCTTTCTTGGGTGATTTGTTCTTATGGGTCATTGATCATTGGTCAAGTATGATTATTCCCTACTCCAATAAGCTATGCATCAATTAACTGTTATAGGCTGTATTGAAACTTTACATCCAGTATTGCCTCATGTTATTTGGGTTGTTGGTTTTTCCAGTTTTGCTGGAGCCAGCATGCCAATCGCCTTGTTTTCCGACCTGCTCACGATCCTAACACTTCACATCTACTCTTTTTATATGGCTTCTGCACGTATATTCAATTGGCAGTATACAATCCTCCTCTCTTTATTCCAACTGTTCCGTGGCAAGAAGCATAATGTTCTTCGAAAACGTATCGATTCTTGCGATTATGATCTCGACCAATTATTACTTGGCACGATTTTATTTACTCTATTGTTCTTCCTCTTACCTACAGTACTTGTCTTCTACTTAGCATTTGCATGTGCACGTATGGCTATTATCTCGTTGAAAGCTGTTTTAGACGCTTTACTTGCATGCTTAAATCATTTTCCACTTTTTGCCTTAATGTTACGGATAAAAGATTCGCAAAGATTACCAGGTTTGTTCTCACCGGAAGACATTGTCGAACTACATTATACTGACATAAAAAGGTGGTATACGATTTGAACTTCGAGATGCTCAACAACTAGCAAGTCAAATACCTAGTACTCCATCTCCTCCACCAACATCTTATATATATCTCAAAGTATGATTCTCCTCACATTCATCTATATTCGCACTCTAACATAAAATTTACAGTCCGTCCCTCTCACTTTCCGCGCCATGTTTCATCAATATTTCCAACTCGGTCATCGTATCCGGAAACACTATGCCTCACCTCGTGTTCTCCTTTGTCTAGCAACTGGTAAATTCGTTCCACCCATTCATCGCAAAAATCTTTATTCTCTTCAATACAGTATGTTGCCAGCGCGTAGAACGGGGATTATGTATATGTGGTATGCGTTAACGGCGAACACGGATGAAGGAAAGGAGAAGGACAAGAGGAGAGGTAGTGCTGGGTGGTTGAATGGTGGGGTTGCTGGTTTGGCTATGGGTAATGGAAATTTGAGGAGGGGAAATGGGTATATGGCTAGAAGGGGTGGGCATTAGGAAGGATGGGGATGGGGATGGGGATAAATGTAAGGATGAGGAATGACGGAAACGAAAGATTATGTTTTGTATATATGATTTGGTTTGATGGATGGATGGACCACACAGGACGAGATGAGATAATTAAATGGTATATGAGGGTTGGGTGGTTGGGGTTGGGTGTGACAGGTTTTGTATGTACTGTATGTAGATACTGATTACTTAATGATAATATTTCAAGAACCAATTTATTTTAATTGCGTCGTTGTGTTTGATATGCGATCACAGAGGGAATGCGTGTAGTGTGTGGTGTGTAAAGTAATTATCATTCCATTTCATTTATCAATGATCAAATCCCGTCGTATCAATCCGTAATGGTACTGGTACTGTCCATCCCCATTTCCTCTCCGCCGAATCCATCACCACCATCATCGTCATAATCATCATCAATAATAATAATATACAAAACCCATCCCCATAGCCCTTCCTCTTTCCACTCCTCTCACTCTCTATCCCCACCATCACATCCAACAATCTCCCCTAAACCCACACCTCACCTCAACCCCATCTCCCATCCTTTTCTCCCCAACCCCTACAACTTCCCCACAACCTCATCTGCCTTCCCCTTCACATTTCCCTTAATCTCTGCAGCTTTTCCCTTAGCCTCTCCCTTCACCTCTGCAGCTTTTCCCTTGAGTTCTCCAGCTTCGCTTTTAACTTCGCTTTTTGCTTCGTTTTTTGTGAGGCCCGCGGCTTGTTTTACTTTTTGGGTTGCGCTTTCTATTTTTAAAAAGGGGGGGTTAGTGAGGGGTTTGTATTTTTTGGTTTGGGGGAAGGATGAGGAATGGGAAGGGGGAGGATGAGGAGGATGGAGATGAAGGGGAAGGAAAAGGGAGAGGAAAGAGGATAACATACGACCAACTTCTATTCCGTCGACGATTTTACTAGCGACTGCTTTGTCGACTTTTTTGACGGTTTCTTTGACGGTTTCTGTGACTGCTTTTTGAGCGGGGGAGGTAGAGGAGATGGGTCTGCAGGTGATGATTTGGGTTTGGAGTCGGGGTTTGGAGGTGATGAGACGTGATTGTCGGAGGAGTGTTCGGGTTATTGGGGACATTTTTGGGGATGGGATGGTTTGTTGATGTGATTTGATGTTGGGTTGTATTTGTTTTTGGGTTGTGTTTAATAGATTGATGAATCGAGTTGATGAATCAATAAATTAATAAGTAGATGGAGTTACGAGTAGTAAGTTAATTGATTGATTGACTATAACTTTCATTTTATAGAAAGAAAAAAAAGAAGTAAAATTAACACCAAGTCCTCACTCCTCAAATAAATACTCCCCTCATCCATTCCTTCCCAGCTCTAAACTCCAAACTCCAAACTCCAAGCTCCAATCCAAGCTTAAGCTTAAGGAAGAAAGAGCATTGTCCTCGTTTCTTGCCTCTGGGTGACGTCATTCTTGGTGCCCGCTAATCTTTAGTTGGTATGTACTTGGTACTTTGATGTTTTTGAGTGGTGTTGGCTGGTGTGGGTTGGTGTTACCCCTCTCTTCTTTGTATGTGCTATTACCTCATTTTTCTTATTTTGGTGCAAGACTAGACTAGAGGACTAGGGAGGTAAGGTTATAAGATCGGAGGAGGCTAAGTGAAGGTTGAATGGGATGAATAGCGCAGAGGAGGTACTAGATAATGTAGAGAAGATAGAGGAATGTTCTTGTTTGAGATGTTATATATTTATATACTATTTATCTATTAGATATAGTTATTCCTAATACCCGTAAACATATATTAATCTATCCCTCCATCCAGCAATTGAACTGATTATTAAATTCCCGATGTGTGATAACGAATCGGTCTTTTATATTCCCCATTAAATCTGATGGCATTTATTAATGAGACATATGACCTCGACTTAAAGGTGATTTTCTTCCGGCAAAGCGGGGAAGCGGGTCGGACCAAGATGAGGGAGGGCTCATTCCGTAAAGGTACGACGGATGATGGAAATTCTTATTCCTAGATGGTGAGTTAAGTTAATGGAGTATAAAATACCTGATTACTCCAGTAGATAGTTACTTGAAACATCAAAGAGTATCTATCTAAAGAGAGCTAAAAAAAAAAACAAACAATTGACTTTCTACTATTATAAGAATTCTATTTTGATATCCTTATTATCTTTTAGAATGCCAAAGTGAGCTCCAAATGTAGCCTATGTATTATCCTAGAATAATAAAGTTTAATTGATTAAAAGTAATAAAAATAATATTTTAAAAGATTTCTTTTTCAAAGAATGATTTTAAAATAAGTTTTAAAATATTTTGACTTTAGAAAATATAATTGAATTCGAAAATAATATATATTATTATATTTTTAATTTCGATTGGAAGAATTCTAATAACTTGATTAAACATTAAGATCTTATCTAGTTAAGCGATGGAGTCTATTTGACATTCTAGGGGATAAGACTTGAGTTAAGAAATAAAGACTAGAAGTCCCTTTTAAATTTTAATATCCTTTTTACACCTATCTAGTAATTCCATTCATTTCTCTATCTAATCAAACTCTGTTCTCTTTTGCTCTACCCACTCAATTTTCCCATCACTCAAAACAAACAATCAATCAATAATATAAATAGAAACACAAACACTCACAATCCAATCCAATCCAATCCAATTCAAATTTTTATCTTTCCCATCATCTCATCTCATCTCATCTATCTCTTCATCCCCCACCACAACCATAACCACAACCAGCACCTCAAAACCCCCCTATCCCATCACCAAAAATAAAAATAAACACCTCCCTCCCAAGCCCCCAAAAGAAAAAAATGAACAGAAGGGGATTCGAACCCCTGCGGGCTAAGCCCATGAGAATACAAGTCAATTTCACATCAACTAAGCTAGAAACAAAGCAAGCTTGAGTCACACGCCATAACCACTCGGCCATCTGTCCTTTTGTGATGAATCGTTTGATGATTCGTTAGTGCAGGGTTGGGTTTTGATTATATATTCTTAGTGTTAATATAGAGTGAAGAAATGGGGAAAATGTGTGGATAGAAATGGATGAGGGTTGTTTGACTGGTTGGGGTTTGTGTGATATCGTAGGAATTGATAATAGATTAAATTACCTAGTACGAAGGACGCCTCGACAATTAATGCGACTATAGGGCCTTATAGGGTAGTAGTACTATAAAAGGCCTGTAATTTTATGCCCGGACCAACGTTTAGCGAACCTATAAGAATTAGTATATAATAAATTTTTTGGATTCTAATCCTAATCGAACAAATCTACAGGGCTAGAATAATTCTTTTAAAGCCTAATTGGCCACTAATTTTCAGGGCTTGATCCAAAAGGTCGAATTACAGTGTATTACAGTGCTAACACCCTGTAAGGCCCTATAGTCGCATAACTTTTCGAGCCGTCCTTCGTACTCGATAACCATTTTATATTCGCTCTGCGGAAATAGTGACAATGGAGATTCAGAAATAACTAGATTAGGTAGGTACCTACTGGTAATTCATTTTGCCAGAAGATAAATAATAAATTTCTAAATATTTGAATTTTTGAATTTTTGTTCTTTGAACGTATAAATCTTGTTCGGTAAATACTAATAACTATAAATAAAATGGAAGACATTCCCAAGTGAACCAGTGATCGATCGACTAGTATAAAAAAACAAAAAAACGATATATACTCCCCCTATTGCTGCTTATATACCAAAAAACGTATATGCATCTCCATATAGAAAACAACACCAAACGCCCAACTATGCCCAATAAACATCCAACCATCTTTCCTTCTCAAAACCCCATTCGCCCTCATCATCTCAACCTATAATCATAAAGCCTACACCACCTAGGACACCAGAAATAATAAGCGCCGTTACGAATCCTGCTCCGGCTCTATCTCCACTAGTAACAGGTGTTTCGACTGTTCCATCACTATTCGTACTAGTTCCACTTCCACCCGCGGCATTTCCTGCACTAGTTCCACCGGTGTCATTGGTGACGAGATTGGGAGCCGTTCCGATGAGCGTTGCTTGGATTACACTGAGTGCGCTCATTTGTTCTCCAACTCCGTACTTTCCATCGTAGGCACTTCCTGCGGTCCAATGCTCTCCACAGGTTCTTCCGTTACTTCCTCCTGAGCATTGTAAGGCTGCACCTTGGGCCGACGCATTGATGTATGTCATGATTGTTGGTTCGGTGAATGGGGCGAGTTTAGTTGTTGCGGTCATCCAACGAGCCATGTAGGCTTTGAAGGATTGTTCATCATTGTCGCAACCGACAGTGGTGGTTTCGCACGCTACTTCAACCATAATATCGTTTTGGAAAAAGACGCTACTAGCGTTTAAGAGACCTTGTGTTCGATTCTGCCAGATTGATGATCCGTTGGTCTATCAGAAATTTGTTAGTAAAGCTTTGTTGCTTATTTGATTGATGATGGAGGAAGAACGGGAAGACGAACGTAATTGTACATCATGGCGGACCCCAAAAGATAAATACCAGCGTTATAAGTCCACTGTATATGATCGATAGAGCTGCAATTATCAGTATCGGATGAACCATCATATACTTCATAGCCGGCACCAATCAATCCAACACTTTGTTCCCAAGTAAAGATCCTTTCAGCCCATTCAGCATATGATGAGTTCCCCGTATATCTTGCCAACCTAGCTCCTAGGTTGAAGAAACAACCATTCGCGATACTGTTCTTGTAATTGTATCCGGAATTAAATGTAAAGATCTGCCATCTCAATCCACCTCCGCAGGTTGAGTCATCCCATCTAGCTGCCATGTCGTTGAAAACTGCTTGCGCCATCGCGATCCAACCAGGAGTTCCATCGTCCGGATTCGTGAAATTGGTCTCCGCTGCTGTCATAGCAGCCATTCCCCAGAATCCCTGATCATCGTTTCCTTCTGTTTTTGTTTGGTTTAAGGGCATGAAATCGTAATCGTCGCCAGCTTGATGTAGGAGTGCTTGTTTTACTTCATCGTTGTAGGTTTCATCTCCCGTATAATACCAATATTCGACCATTATACCAAACATGGCTCCTGCCTCCCACCAATAATAGGGGTCAGGTAGGTTACCTGGGACATCTCCGGTTCTGTTTCCTGTGTAATATTTCATCATGTCGTAGGCGACATCGGATGCGGCAGTTTTGATACTATCTAATGACAATCATGTCATCAGCATATTGCTTATTACTTCAAGCAAGGAATGTTGAGAGAGGCATACCATCAGAGCTCAGATCAAGAGTTATCGCACCAACCAAGCTACTGCATGTCGAACATATAGCGACAGTATATGCCAAGGCTTTTCCTCCACTTACCCTCATCTTGATCCTCTTGTGCTATTCGAACTTGACTATAGATACAGTGTATAGCACTCTTCACTAGTAACAAACCAAGAAGAAAAAGAGATCGATCAACCCAGGATTATTTGCAAAAAGGAAATCGGCCAAACGAGAGTATAGGATAAAGTAGGGCGAATCAGTACAGTTCAAAAAGGAAAGCTCACCCTCTTACCATCAAGTTGAAAAGAAATGAAGACTACTCTTCGAAAAATAGAAGAGAGAGGAGACATGCTTCCCTCACTTACCATCGGCTCCATAACAACAAAACTTTCTCCACTGTTCCGTACCTGACATACGCAGTACGGCCTACGGCAAGTCCTCTTTGCCTTCCTTCCTTTTAATAGACCTTGCACGTCAGCCACATCGCAGGGGATTTCGAAACACTACTCTCAGAACTGTGTAGACCCACCAGCGTTTTCTGGAAAAGAGACAAAAGGGAACACGGGAATAGCTGGACGGAGTAGGGGAAGACGGATTCCTGGTTCATACCAAATGAATAATGGATACGCATTGGCTTACGTGGTGGGTGCGTCATCCTTGTTTGGTTCGCGTTTAATTGATGACCTGGTGGCCCTCATCTCCCAGAGACATTTAAAAGTTTCGTCGACTCTCACCATCGGGAGTCAAAGTATCAACCGTCCAAACGTGCCACCTTTGATCTTGATATAAACTTCTCGAAAAGCCGTATCAAGCGATGATAGAAGCCAAGCACTAGGTGTCTTGGATGGCGATGCTTAGTTGGCGATAAATTCTTGGGACAATCCTTCATCTTTCTCTCAAAGGGCTTGGAAAAAAGCTTGTCTCCACTCAAGTCCCGAAAAGGAGCCATCCGTTGCGGAGATTAGCGGCAGGGATAATCGGGATACGAGAGGTGAGTGGCTGATCATGTGACCATTACAGGAAAGGGGCTCAGCCATTCAAAGCCGGTGATGATTCTTAATAAAAAGAGTTCCCAAGCTCAGACATGTTTTACCCCATGGTACAATAAGTCGGTTGTATCCGTAGGTTATAAGTAGTTGGGGCCGCTGTTTTTGTCATGGACGACAATGGGATTTCTGATAGATCATCTTATCTTCGCCGATCGCCCATGATCCCACAACAACTTGGTCATCATTCCATGAAATCAATCATGTGACTAGCTCTGTCTCCTGGCTGTCAATTCATTTAAGAGCCACAAAACTTCATCGATGATCTTCATTTATTTGGCAGCAATTCTGCAAAAGCGATGATATCGAGAATGGACATGTTTTGAGTGACAAAGATGTAGGAAGATCCGATGCTAATGCCTTGACTGGAAACAAATCAATGGCATACAAGACAGCAGTTGTTTTTATGTAAAGTTGTCAATGGCGCTCTTCCTTTTTCTCGCCTCGCAAGTAAAAAAGAAAGTCACCTGATAAGCACTTTCTTCATTCACAATGTTTAGTTTCTACTTTCCAGTCATTAGGGAAGCTAAGTCTTGCAATGGGCTAATCATCCAAAGCCAAGAAAGAGCACCTTGGTGGTTAATACATCACATTGTAACCCAGTCCACCATTTATGATTCACGATATATTTTGGAAATCACGTTACAACCTTGTTGGCTCAATATTATCAAGGTACTTATATCTTTACAAGGCGAGTAGATTATCTTTACTTCGCATGCTTTTGGATTCTTTTGGATTTATTATCTCTATTATATACTACGTTTCGTCCACTGTTCAACCCTCTCTCTACACCTCAAAACGGAAATCATGAAGATTATCGACCCAACCACCGAGGCAGAGGAGAGACATGCGAAGTACCACCTCAGTAAACCTCTTGAGCGTCACATAGATCTCAAAATAGGAATGATTTCCAAGTGGCCAAATCAAATATTTGCCATTGTACTGAAGAAACATTGCAGTCATAAGGATTATTATGGTATCATTGAGCTTTTGCATGAGTTGGATGAATCTGAACTTAGATCAGTCTTGTGGAGAGGTTTGGCTTGCAGGAACCTCTCAGAGTATCGTGATATACAATATCCACAAATCGAGCGGAAACCCGAAACACAACTTACAACCGGCGATCGAACTTTCCCTTCCTTCAACAGATTACCAACCGAAATTCGATTAGACATATGGGAATACATGTTCGCAGATGACCTTGTCCCGAAAGTTCATCATTTAAACAATACCAACCGCAATACTGGAAAAATCACAGACTCAATCACATCACATCTCCCATTTTCAAACATTGTACAAGTCTGCAAGGAATCTCGAGAATGGTATCTCTCTCGAACACAAAATACTTGGGCATTTGGGACCTACATCAATTCTCGCAGCGATATCATATACCTTACCCAACAAGTTGAAGCATCCAACATCCTTTACGATACTCTTCTATCAAGCCTTCAGATGACAAAAGTCAAAAACTTGGCATTGCGCCGAACATGTCTTACCGATAATCCTCAAAAAACCTTTAATCACGTCGAGGCACACGCATATCTCCGGGAAAAGCTTCCATCCTTGGAAAACATTTACGTCATCATAAATGAGATTCGAGATTCAAATACCGTTGATAGAGACAACGACATCAAGTTTCAGCATCTCTCAGCAAGGCAAAAAAGAAAGTGGGTAGACGTAGGATATGCGAGATCATGGTTGAAATGGTTGAATGGGATAATGATGGATAGGGGCTACAACAGTGTTAATCATCATTTTGTTATGGTTGGTACTAAGTGCACGGATCCACTATCTTCGGAATATGGAGAGATAACTTTTGTGAGAAGGATTCGTGATGGAACTCTCGAACTCTTTTGAATTAATGATAGAGGACATTTGCTACGTGGCTTTTGATTCATAAGTACATCTAGGATGCTTTGGTCGGAGTTATTGCTGGAATCATTGCGAGGGATTGGGATTGGGCTAGGTATATAGATATGAGTTTCATCGTTTGCTCGCTTGCTTACTTAAGGAGCAATATCATGTGTATTGCTGGATATCACGGAGGTGTTGGAAGATTGAATGCAAATTATGGATCTAATAGAGTAGATAGCGGGGAAGGGATTAGAAAGGAAGGGCAGGCATGTTAGCGGAGAAGTGTGCTCACGACTGGTTAGAAATGCTTTCCATCGAAGGATATTATATTTAGACGGGGCGTGGACTACCTGCAAGAGTAGTCTGTCACATTCATAGCCGAATTATAATTTTCGAAAACATTATTCATGCTTTCATAATTTTTACCGTGCAAGACACAGCCGGATTTCTTATGTCATGGCTCCTATCCTCCTTTATATCCATCAATTATTCAACATTTTCTTAACTAATAAATCATACATTCCTATCTATCATCAACTACAAGTCAGATTCCTTCTAAACATCTAAACAAAGTACTAGCTAGGTACTTCTCACACATTTTTTTGCAAAATACTAAAGTTTCAAATACCCCATTATGCTTCTTTCTCATTCAACTCTGCCTGTCTACTACATACATGCATATATTAAAACTTAGTAGCGATAGTGATAGATGAGATGGCATGGGATAGAGTATTCATTATATAAAGAATTCAAAGTGCATGTGGGCAGACTCAGTGATAGATAGATAGATAGATAGATAGATAGATAGATAGCTTGTGCTTTTGTAGATAAATGATGTTGGGATATTGTGTGGAGTGGATTGTAGTGGAGTGTAGTGTATATGGATGAATGGATTTTTAATGAGATGGCGGATTGAAGGACGGGTGGAAGGAAAGAGGGAGAGAGAGAGAGAGAGGGAGAGGGAGAGGGAGAGAGAGGAGAGGAGAGAGGGAGAGGGAGAAAGGGTGGAATGTGGATTTATCACTATGAGAGCAGATTGGAGCACCAGACTGAGAGGCTAGTTTGGAATATGGATTAATGAAGGAAAACTACCTGTGGTAGGTATTGATTGATATGATACGATAAATAAATCTACTATTATGAACAAATATCCCCTATGAGAGCATGAAATCAGTAAATTACTGATTTCATTACCCGTATAGAGCTAAAATAGGGATTTAGAATCTCATTATACAATGACAATTTCTCAATCTATATTAAAAATGATACTATTCTTAATTATTATTAGATTTATTTTTAGATCAATAGCATTCAACTTTTCAACTTTTCAAAACATAAGTGATTCATGATTTTCATCAAATAATAGGTGAATTCTTTCAATTTTATCAAAATGAATAAAGTGAAATGAATATGTTTTGATAAATCAATGATGGGGAAGAGAACGTTGAATCCCCAAAATCGGAAAGTATAGGACCGTAGCTTAGTCATCAAGCCACAGTCCGAAAAATGATGCCTTTACTATTCGATGAATAGTAAATTACTACTTACTATATATTGATTTATCAGTAAACACTACTGATCTGTGATCACTAATTACTGATTTCATGCTTCCATAGGGATCTCATGCAAACCCTACAAAGAATACATATCTACTACCTAGACAATGTGGGGCAAAAAAAAGAAAAGTATGACCCACCATAGAAAAGCGAGTTGTTTTAGAGGGTAAGGGTGTATGTAGATTGAAGAATAGAACTGACAGGGTATTTATACCCGGATCAGCACTAGATCTAAACTAAACTAGCGTACATGTGACCTGATAAAATTACTCTCGTTACAACCATCCTTCCCTCCCGTAGCAAATCCGAATTCGCATCGCGCACAGACATTGTACCTATCAAATCAACGACTTTCATCCTTATATGTGTATTTTCCCTGCCAAGAGCCAAATGAATTTGTAATTGAGGGGAAGTTTAATTTTAAACTTTGCTGGATTTTGGCCTTAGTTTTAGATTTTGGCTTTTTCCGTATCGGCAATTGGGCGGGTCGGGAGTCGGGAGTCGGGGTTGGTGAGTTTGTACACCAAAAAGCCAACCACACCACACACACACAATGTGAGAACAACAACAGAGCAAAACGACCGAAAAAAAAGGTTTATGGTTGAAGTTAACTTCTACTCGCAGAATGCGGCTTCTGTGGATCGAACACAGTGCCTCCAGATTTTATGGGCTGAAGTGGACTTCAGTCTGGCGCTCTCCCAAGTGAGCTAAAGCCGCTTGAGATGTGTGTTTGTTGTTATGCGGTCAGCGCTTATTTGTGGTATTATTTAAAGAGCGCGAGGCTTGTAATGGTGGAACAGATATGGGATTTTACTCCGGTGTATATAATGCAGCATGCATCACCTCCCTAAGTAAGTGTTATATTAGCAATACTACATACTTGCCAGATGTGATAGATAATAGACAAAGCATGATCGATGCCAAGCAATTCGTCACGACTAAGTCACCAAGGAGGCTGCCGTAAGTTGCTGGGGTAGTAGACACAGGGTTGGAATCTTACTGTGTGTACCTGTAACGATCTGGTCGAGGCAGCGGCTGCCTGAGGTTTCGTATGGTTGGTAGTTGTAGGTTAAGGCTAATAATCACTGGTTATTCACTCGAAGGTGAATACATTACTAAATCAATTGGAATATAGGTAAACTAATTGATAACTAAGTTGAGCACGAAGCTCCTAAACTATGAAACTATTCTGACTATATACTAATCTCTTTTGGGAGCCTCGAGGAGCCTACGCTCCTGGAGGCTCCATCACGTGATTCTTATCCTGGTAGGTTGATCCTAGCAATCCTTTCCTACCGTAATCTCTCTAGGGAAATCGTCCTAGGATAAATATCCTAGGATAATCTTCATCCTAGCCTATTCCGTAAAGTTAGGACACTTGTCCTATTACGTTATAGTTGCCTAGAACACTAATTCTAGGATTCTTAGGTTCCTAGGTTCCTAATCGTAGCGATAAGGAACCCCCCTGTAGTCGGCGGTTAAATCACCGACACTTACAATACCACTATAATCTTAGATGTAGGTGATTTGTGACATATATATTCTGATAATAAAAGTATTTGTAATATATTATAAAGTTTTTATATTCTATATAGATCGTTAATAATCTTTTTAAAAAACCTTTTGAAAGAAAAAGTTTTTTGGGGTTTTTAGAAAATATATAAATCTTTAGTTTTTTATATAATTGAAGGATTATGTCACGATTCACGGTTGAGATTATAGTATGTTGAGAGGCAACAGTCAACCTGTCCATATGAGCTTGGACCTCCTTGAAAAGCAAAGCAAATTGTATACAGATTTGTATGGTAATCGCTTCATATGGTCTCCCCACCCTCAGCAAGCTCGGACATATAGTCTGATCCTAATCACGTGATAAGGAGCCCTGGGAGCTTCGAAAGCTCCTTTACATTCATTAGTATATAGTCGGAATAGTTTCATAGTTTAGGAGCTTCGTGCTCAACTTAGTTATCAATTAGTTTACCTACATTCCAATTGATCTAGTAACGTATTCACCTTCGAGTGAATAACCAGTGATTATTAGCCTTAACCTACAACTACCAACCATACGAAACCTCAGGCAGCCGCTGCCTCGACCAGATCGTTGCATCTTATTCTTATTAAAGAAAAGGTTAGTAACTCTCATGTATGTGTAGCAATAGCTTGGTTTCCGGTATCGAGGGCCAGGGATGATTGCAGGCCCACTATTTGGGGAAACGTATATACATGATTGGCGGCCAATGTTCTGGTCCAAAAGCATCATCTTGCATGGTTAGTTAATTAGCGCATCTTTTGTGTACACCGAGAGGATCATTTGAATGTTGGACAAGGGCTTCATCCTCCAGGACGGTATCAACGGCCGCTCCATTTACCTAGCCAGAAAGCATAAGACTAACCACTTTTAATCAGTGTGAGCAGCTACGCCCAGTAAGAATTCCGCGATTGGAAACCGTCTGACGGTTTAGATAGAATGCAGGTATACTTTACTGTACGTGGGCGCGCGTAGACAATGACTTGTCAACTCACAAGGTTAAGGGGGTGCTTGCTGACCTTTGTATACGGACTCTTTTATATGATTTTACTACTAAGGAACTTCACGTTCGGATATGAATAACCTCAAAATAATCAAAATATTATTCTTTTAGGATTCTATCATGTATTCCTAGATCTCTCGATATAATAAATATATATTCTGATTGATTTTCTAATTAATTCTCTGAATGTTCTGAGTGTTCGGAATAAAATGAAAGGCTTTCATACTATTTGTTGAGTTGATCAGGAAGCCAAGAAGAAATAGCAGAGGATTTTTGGAGTTTCGTTGTGCGGACTAGTACCGTATGATCTCTGGAATGAGGACGAGGCAGATGAGATGAGACTGAGCCTCACGAAATAACCTTTGTATTGACAATCATCGAAAACTAAAGAGAATGTGTGCCTGGTCTTTCATTTCTCTTCTGAAATCTCCGAATCGGTAAAAAGACACAAGGACGGTACATCAGGATCATCTATTCCCGAGTGACATTGCTCTATTTATCGAATGGGAAAGTGGCCGGGGAAAATGGATACTTCAAGAGCTTCTTGCTCCACGATCGGTGGAATTCTTTTGCTCAAATGGCAAACTCCTCGGTGACAAGGAATCATTACAACAGCAGCTGCACGAAATCACAGGGATTGAAAAGTCGGCTCTCCGAGACTCATCCTTTGTACTGTTTTATTAAACACTGGGGGTGGGAAAACATCACGGTGGTAGCCCCCCCGGAGGTGGGGCTGTATCGCGCCCTAGCCAGCCAAGCCCCTAGTTTCTTTTTCTCAACATCTCTTCCGCAACGAGGCAACTTATTGATCTCTTTGAAGTGGCGTATGCTATGCTATGGTATTGTATGGTATGTAGTGCATGGGATGACTCCCTGAACTCAAGCAAATTAAAATATCCCGTATGAAAAAAATGCCGTGCGAAAGTTTCGCTCCGAGTTTATTCGGCAAGCATTTCTTTTCAGCTGTTGCACTTACTTGCATGCTTGATTTTTTCTATTAAAACGAAGATGTTTCCCCTCCTCAAATCTGTAGTCTCTCTTCAGTTTGCTTCTTGGCTGGCGCATTACACTTAGCATTTGGCTCCCGATCTTCAATCTTTATTCGAATTATATACCCATACCTACCTTCCATACCTACCTATAGGTCAACCCAGAAGTACTACATCATCAGCCTTTCCACACGGCAGATTCAACATGTCAACTACCAGCAAGGACTCTATCATGGCCCTGCATGGCTCTGTCACTTCCGAGTTAGTTCATACTCTTTTCTGCATTGTCTCTCATTTTGTTATCAACTGCATGAGTCACACACCCAGTGTCAGACTTGAGGCTTTTGCACTGATCATAGATGGCAAGATTCAGAAACCAAGTTCAGACTATGGTCTCCAGCCTCGTACTGTCTGGCCTCATCAACTATGCCAATTTCTCAAAGTGTTGTGGATATCCGTGGATATGCTGTACCTTATCCTCTTTCCAACTTCCCAACTTGTCTCTTCTTTCAGCATGCGTACTTCTTTAGATCATTTCAAGTTCTTCATGAGCCTTTGGTTTTGATTCAACATCTCTCCATCCTTCGCCACATAACTATAGCACCATAACTCATTCACTTCTTCTCAAAAGTTCTTTTTAATACATCATCAGTCTAACTTTATCACTCTGCTCAGTACAAAGAACTCTTCCTCTTCCACTTCACTTGAGTCTTCCTCGATCCATTCCACCACGACCGATAAATCATCTCTCCATGCATATAGCATTCAACAATATATTGCAGACAATGTCCACTATGTCCCATACAAATCTACCGTCAACGCTACACATAACCCTCAGACTCAGGTCGCCACAGCAGCCGAAGCAGGGCATCGAATGAGTATCAAATTGCAAGAGTTTGATAAAAAGTTCCAGGGAGGCAGTGATGGTAGTGAGTAAATCTTGAGAGCAATAGACTCTCAATTTGCATCTCAACCCCGGTTGTCAGGTGATCAGAGTGGTGGGGCTCTTGAGCGCGCCGGCGAGGAGGGACGAAAGGATCGAAGTAGGAGGAGATGGGTATGAGATCTGCTTGGAGTTTCGTTGGTGTTCGAATCATTTATAAAAACCTTACTTTCAAATAATGACAATTTAATTACGGCATGGAATAAATGTCATGTTTACCTCTAATTATACGCATGTATATTCAGCAGTTACTTGCCAGATGAAACATTGTGTTTAGGGTCATTGCACAGCCTAGCCTACTGCGACCAGACTTCAGCGTGAAAACTCGAGGAGAATAGTTTTCGCAATGCAATCAACCTATAACCGCATCCGCGCACACATCGTGTATTAATTAGAAGTGACATATGTGCAACCATGAGAAGGGATAGCTACTAAGCGCCAACTAACCTCGCAGTGTCCCCAATTTGTATGATTTACATAGAGAATTTGCACTATTTTCACTCGAACCGTGCAGAACCCTCAGCTGGATGCAAACTCTTAACTATCACTAGACTGAGGAGCATAGATTTAGGAATCTAATATCATCTCAACGACCTCGATCTTGGTACGCCATGAGTATGTATCATTTTTAAATGTCTTATATTGTTGGTAGGATAGGGAATAACAACAGTACCCAAAACAAGTGAATAATATTGTATATTGTAGTTTATGTTGTTGTTACTACTAGAATAGAAGGTAGAGGTTAGGTACGAATGCGGGTAATATCATATGACCATGTTCCGACATATATACTGGAAAAAAACAGATGCTGTATAGAATCTATGTATAATTGTAATACTTAATTTATCAGTGATTTATCATTGACATGAAATTCAATATCATGTATTTTCATCCCCAAAACGCGAAACATTTTACTATAATTAGGGAAATAGACATTATGTCGTTTAGTACTCCCATCACTGGATGAAAACTTGCACTAGTACTTTTAGAGAAATTTGTCGAATATGCATATGCGGTTAGCGTAGGTGCCCACTCCTAGGTAACATTCAGCGAGTCACCTCCTATATATTTAGCGAGTAGCATTTATCACCAGGTATAATTTTCGCTGTCTGTTGCGACGTAACAGCGCCTTATTTCCCGACTTAGATCTTCTAAATAATTATAAAGCGACTCGTAGAAAGCTGTCAAACTCGCGACATAATAAAGTAATTCACATTTGTCAAATAACGTCCATTTAGGACGGCGAGAGTGGGTCTTTTCAGAACATCTAGTTCCCAACCATTCATATGGACAGTCAACAGTCTTTATGCGAGGATATTAGATAGAGGTTAGGTTGTCGAGAGATGAGTAATAAATACAGCCCGTTGATTGAAATTTTTGCACATTACACGACGTTTATCATACTCTCTCAATCTAAATCGATAAGATGAGCATAGTTCATCGTACGACATTACAATGTACATTTGAATTTCAATTTAACCCTTATCGCATGGTACTGTCCGGAGAACTCGTTGTGCAGGAATGGACTAATACTGTTTCCGTTTATTAGACGCGCGCTTGAGATTCGTCTATGGCAGACTGAGAACTACACGCTCCCATGAACCAGAAAGATCGCTCCATTATTAAATCCCAGAAACAAACATTGAAAAATTTGAGGGCTTAAGTAAAAAAAGGAGGAAATTTCATGATATGAGGGGTTTGAACTAGCACTTGCTCAGTCATCTATAAAGAATACCAGCAATATGGTAGCATTTTCATCATATATGCAAAAGTAGTCGCCAATTAAACATTAGGAACAATTATCCATCATTTATACTTCCCATCATCACGACGCCTAATCTAAACAAACATTATTTCAAATTTTGTAAAAGAAAAATTACACAACGTCGAACTTTACGTGCTAAAACATTGCCCACCATTTGCACTGACAACGCTACCGGTCATCCATGCACTTTCTGAACTACAAACCATAGCAACGATGCTAGCGATTTCCTCAACATATGCCGGGCGACCACCCCATTTCTTGCCCACTGTCTTAACTTCTTCAGTATCCCACTCACGAACACCCGATAATGGAATCAAAGGACTCCACTGTGCTTGCGCTGCAAGCACATCATCGCTACACTGACGGAACATATCAGTGAGCACCGAACCGGGGTTGATAGTGTTGACCGTAGCGTGCTCAGCCAATTCTCTCGACCAGGTCCTTGTCATAGCCTCAAGCGCACCCTTTGTTCCGTTATAAAGCGTCAAATATGGAGTGCCGACCTTCTGTCCAATGCTGGAAACATTCACAATTCTTCCTGATCGATCTGTAGGTAGGTAGGGCTTGCATGCGCTTGTGAGCAAGATGGGTGCTAGTACGTTGGTCTCGTACGACTTGATAAAATCCGCATGTGTAACGCTTTCAAGAGGGCCAATGCCTATCATAATAGCAGCGCAGTTGATTAGAATGTCGATTTGGAGCTTGTTGGTTTTGGTATTCGGAGGCATCTTCGATATACAAGTTTCGATGATGGCGGCACAACCTTCTGGTGTGGAGATATCAGATCGACATGGCACGGCGACTATGCCATGTTTCTTAGTAAGCTCCTCCGCAAGCTCAGCAGCAGCTTTGTCTGATGCTTCGGTTAGATAACTTATTAGGATGTTAGCACCCTTAGATGCAAGATTTCGAGCAATTCCAGCGCCAATGCCTAATAACAAGGTTAGTCAATACGTAAATGCTTTGGCATGGTTATCAATCCTGTAACGTACTTCGTGCTGAACCCGTTACAATTGCAACCTTGCCAGCATGCACTCGATTAGTATCTGCGGATTGACCGTTGGAAGACATTTTGATTATTTGGGAGATCGCTAGAAAGATTCTTAGATGCAGAAGAGTTAATGCAGGTGAAACGTTGGGGATTTTTAAGACAAGCAGTGAGATACAGAGCAAATGAGAGATCTCCTTGGATAAAGAGGGAAGCGTCAACCCCCATGTTTGTATGTCAATGTGTGGAACAACATTGTGAAACATGATAGTGGAGTAAAAAGTTATTGAAAAGACGATCTAATCAATACCAACATACATTAACAGTTTTTGGAAATCATCTCCGGCTCGGAAGAAGGGAGCCGCAAATACTTGTGCAACCGGAAAGTTCAAAATTCCGTAGGCTATATAAATAAGTCGATGTTAAGAAGGGAGAGATATTATGGAAATGACGCAGTTTGACCAATAACATCGATGACTTCTCGGCGTTCAGAGTTCGGCAGTAAGGTTACACTAATTCCAAGTTGGTATGTAGTGTAACTGTTGGTATTACCAACAGTTGTACGAACTACAAAGACTTCTCCACAATAGAGAGTTTTTGGTCTGGGATTTCTCATCTCCTTGTGGGTATTTTGCCATGAACCTAACCCTTCTTGGCATGCTAAGGATCTCGACGATTATTTACCTTTTCCATCTTGCTGTCATTCAAGGATATCATCTGTAATTTAGATTGTTGACAACTTCGGCCCAAGAATCCATAATTTCCACTTTGATCTAGTAGTATGACAGTTCTTGAATCAAAAATATAAAACTCTTTGGGAAGTGAGGCAAAGATCAGAATAATTTTGTCAAAATAATCGTTGGAACCAGGAAGCCCTCTAATGGGGTGGAACGTAGGTAACCGTAACTGTCAGGTAATGAGGTTATTCACATGTAGTTGCACGTCTATCAGGCCACCAAGAGTCTGCGCAAGAAAAGCGAGTTGTTTTAGAGGGTAAGGGTGTAGATTGAAGAATAGAACTGACAGGGTATTTATACCCGGATCAGTATTAGATCTAAACTAAACTAGTGTATATGTGACCTGATAAAATTACTCTCGTTACAGCGCAACCGATCGCCTTAAGTAAAAAGGTTATTGCGGATAGAGATGAGATCGAAGATCTCTATGGTGACGGCTTTACGGAGGCCGTCGCTTAGGATGGCTGGATGCACTTGCCTTGAAGCCACGTGAAAGTAATCCATAATTATGAATCTAAATGTTTATTGGAAAAACAAAAAGTGGAATGCCGGTAAGGACTCCACAAATGACAGAAATGGATAATGTTCGTGCGGGCACAGATTATAAAACACATTCCTATACAGGCTTAGATTTTGCTAGTAGGGCTATACGAACGATCAAAGAGGTATAGATTCTGTGGATCTATACTGGATATAGTATAGTTCCTAAAGTACGTTAAATGCCAGTTGATGGAGTGGAATTCTAAGAAACAACCGCTTCCATTGGTCCGAGTGACAAATCTCTAATGTGGATGCAATTTAGATGAAGTTGGAACTTGAGAGGATTTTCTTGGAAAACCTTAGGCTCTCGATGCACATTTGAAAACTGCATTTGATGCTCTAGCCTTTATAAGATGCGCTAAGCTAATCAAGTTAAATGACTCGTTAATAGCGAGTAGTAGACGGACGTATTGCGAGCTCTGTTTTCAGCCTTCATTTATATACCTGGTATATAACATGAAATTTATTCCCGCAAGTAGGCCTAGCACCGTTTGAGCAAATAAAATCGCCGGATGAAGACAAATAATAAAGCAGTATTTCATGGCTCATACAGGGCTTAAATACCTGGTAACATTGACAAAATACCGGTACCGGTAGTTTGTTCCCATCGTTTCAACAGAATCATACTAACCCAAGGAAGAAATCAGGTGTTTTACGACAACAACAAAATTAGATTGAGCCCCGTTGAACCTCAAGGAGAAGCTCTTTGATAGGGTTTGGAGCTTAATCAAGGCAACCACTTCACTCCACTTCGATCCATTGTGGCCATATGCAGTGGGGCAAAGGGGTAGTGGGGCAGCAAGAAACAATGGAGGGTGGGACTAAGTCCCAATCTTAACCGATTGCTGGAGGAAGAACACTCTCGAATTCCACGAACAGGGTCTTCCCTAACGGAAGCGAGTTTTGGGTCCCCTAAATCGGAATAAACGTGGGAGATCAATGGATCAAAAAGATTCACCCCGGACTCTAAGGAGAAAAAAATTCCCTGGTCCACCCTCTACTTGGGGGTCCCTCTTCAGACTCTGAAGAGATACATTATGTCGTTGTCCACAGATTTAGCGATGCATCTCTTCACGAATAATACGCTGCCTTACAAATAAAGTCCACTAGATGCAAATATGGTTGACGCAGGCGCTACTATCCTACCTCTTGAAGGTTTCCCTCTAACAATATTCGTCGTATCTATCGTCGGTCTTCTCATCTCAACAATCACTATAGCAGTGAGAACCTATGTCAGAATTCAAGAAAATGCATTTGGGTGGGACGATAAGTTGATAGTCCTGGGATTGGTATGACCGTCTCTTCAACCTTTGTGTTACCATTGATATTAACCCTCATAGATGGTTTTCATCGTCGATGTCAGCCTAGCTTGTCATGGCACTCAAGTCGGCCTCGGTTCGCGCAACGGTAGACTGAACGCATACTTCGAGGTACAAGGAACGAAATACCTAATGCTCTGGATGATGCTGTACGTCTTAGGTCTCGCAATCATCAAGAGCTCCATTTGTGTGACCCTTTTGCGTATTGCTAGCTCACAGAAGATGTACCGGTTTTTCGTGTTGGGCTTACTAACTCTCACCATCGCTACCTTCTTGGTGACTATGATTGGGCTCCTACTTCTATGTAGACCTGTGGCTGCAAATTGGGATACATCATTGTTAGCAGATGGAAAAGGGACATGTTCGGGTATGGGCACAATGATTGCATTGAGTTACACCTCCACAGCCTCTACCATTGTGACAGACATGGCTTGTGCCATATTCCCGGGCGTAATGCTATACAGGACGCAAATGCCATTGGGAAGGAAGATATCTGTGGGCTTGCTTCTGTCCTTTGCTTCTGTGTAGGCCCATTTTCCGTCCTTTGCTTCCCTGATGTAGCTAACCAGAGTCTGCACTCAGTGCTTCGATATCCACCATGATCCGTTCACCGTACATCGAACGCTATCGCAATCCAACAGACAACCTGCTCTGTAAGATATTCTGCAGACTTCCTTTTCTGACAACAGTACTTACACCTCTCTAGACTATACTGGATTCATCGTTCTCCTATCCAACATAGAAACCGCCATTGGCTGCGTCGCAAGCTCACTCCCAACAGTGGGCCGCTTCATTATTCGCAACAGAGCTAAGAAAAGTTCCGCTTCGAGATCGCAAGGCGCCAAGGACCTTGTCACATATGGTAGTGCACCCATCAGTGGTCGAAATAATGCCAAGGGTCGTGTGTTCCGCAATCCTACCGACACCGGCACGACATTCACCACAGTCCACGCACATGGTGATGGAGATTGGAGCAGATTGCACGACGCGGATTCCGACCATATCCCGAATCTAGATGCTGAGCACGGAGTTCCCGCTGATGATACTTATCAGGTGGAATTGTCAAAGTCGCCAAAACATACTCAGTCGGAATCGGTCAGGGAGCTAGCTCATGATGGCTCTTCGCATTGAGGGTAAAATTAACCCCTTTTTGTTTTTTCTTTCTGTTTTTTTAACCAATAAATGCGTATATGGTCGTCATTCCGACACAGGGCGTCCAATATTCTGGACTCTCGGGCTAAGTGTGAAGATTTCTGCAGTGTTTGAGCAACTTCAACATGGGAACTTGGTAATCTTTGGTTATAGTTTAATACCCCCTTCTATCATGTTATTTAAGCCAGCGTAGACACAGTGGTACAGTTAGAAAGGCTACATGGAATAGGAGTATTCTAATTATGGAAAGGTTATGATGAGATGACATCATGACTGTATTTTTAGTATCATCTTTATAATTCTTCCAAGAGGATAGGATAAATCTGCCTCTACAATGGTGGACATGATAGCTTTTTCACGGAATTTTCGGGATATTGGAGTTTCATTCTAGATTTGGGATAAAAGGAAAGAAGGATAATTAAGACAGGATTTTACAAACGCTGAATTCAATGTTCTTTATTCATTCAATACTTCATAGAATTGATTCTCCCAAAATATTCAACAACCAAAGCCTCTTGCGCGGCTGAAATCTTAGCTCTTGGATGCGCCGTTTGGGAGTAGGCAAAAAATCCATATCTACCTAGTTAAGATGTGAAGAGACTATCCTATTATAAGACTTTCTTCCAGGCTCTATGAACCAAGGGTAGGGCGTTACAACTTCTCCTTATTCAAGCACTGGCGCGAGAATGTATCAATATAGTCATGGCGACTATCTACCTAGATAATTTACATATATACTAGTATCGTACTTCTTCTCATGATGACAACTTATCCTAGACTCCTAGAGTCTCAATGGTTATTGTTAGCTAGACCTGAAATTAGCGAATAATTTAAAACGAATGTATCCTTGAAGGCTATCTACATCTAAACTATACATAATACCTTTAAGTTTTGCCTAAGAGTATGATCTAACCCTAAATTTTCTACCCTTATCCTCTTGGTCTATTCTATATCCACTCTTCTATTGCCACCTCTCTATGTCTATACCCTCTACTGTAATTATCTACTAATAACTTGGATTACCAAGCCAAATCATCCTCACCTAAATCATAATTTCACTCTGCACTCTATCCTTAACACCAGCAGAAACTCCTCCTTTAGCCCCTAAATCTCTCATAATCCACTCATATGCTGCCCACTGCGCTGCATTCACAATAAAAGCCCTCAAACTACATACTCCCAATCCTCTAAAAAACACACCCATGCCTTCATTGCGATATGCAAGTTTTGCTATTTCTAGCGCCCCCTTTCGCTTTTGTGGAATTCCCAGAAGAAGGGGTGATGTTTCTAAAACTGATGCAGACGGGAGAATTTGCGCTTGAAGTCGTGTCTTCACCACATCGAGAGGAAAAACGCTAGCCCATGTTATAACACCAGCCACACCCCCACAAAGGAGGATTTTGATTGCTTCATCTCGAGAACTTGTGTCATTCTCTAGTCCTTGTGAGGCTAAAGATGGGGAAAGAAAATAAGAAGAATAAAGACGAGAAGACAATTCGTAACTCCAGAAATAAAATCCATATCCTATGCTGTCCCTCAAAGCGGTAACCACACCTCCAAAGTACAAGCCTCTAACTCCGGTCGTAGATAAGATGGAGCGAGCGATGGTTAGGGAAGAGAGGGGGGGACTGGAAAGCTGAGTGCGGCATTTTATTAATTCGGTTGGGGTGGAAATAATGGAGGAACAGAGACCGCCAATCGTGCCGGCTAGAAATGTCGAGGAGAGGGGTACGGACTCTGGGTGGCTGGGAGTGTAGGCAGGGTGGAGGAAAGAGAGGGTACGGTTGTAGGTTACAAAGAGGAGGGCGTTAAGAGCACCGGTTGTGAGGATTGGGGCTGCGGTTCCACGGACAAGTGAGCTAGGGGTGGCAACCGCGGTGGTTGGTGGATTTGAAGTGGTAGGGATTAGGCTTTGGGAGAGACCATTCCCACGTGATGACCTTGAGGCTTGAAGACGAACTTTGAGAAGATCGAGAGGATTGCCGATGATAATACTGATGGCACCACTGATGTAGCCAGCCCAGAAATCGGCGGACATTGTGCGATCTGTATATGATGAGAATGCTCGTAAAATTGTTCTTATCGTGGGATTATGCCTCGGACCAGCGGAATGGTATGCTGGTTGAATTCTGTACGATGGATTTTCGATGGATGTTAGATTAGTTCCCGCCTTGAAACTCCACAGCAGTTCTCTATTGAGCTCTCTGTGATTTTCTCCGCAAATACAGGAAACTAACGTATTGTTTTCCTCCGCTAAGATCCAACTTTATCTATGCAGCAAAGCTAGTTATCATGGCTGGCTACCGATAGAGATGTACCCTTCAACTTTGAAGCAAGGTGTTTGTCCTGGGATGGTCTAAATTGCAAATAATTCAATTTATTTGCCTTGCTCCGCATGTGCTTTGCAAAATCCTTGGAGGTCAAAGAAAATTGTCTGGAAATGTGGGTTGGCGGGGTAGTTTCTTTTAGCGGGATTAGCTCTGCGGAGCGGAACAATAAATTTGCCGAGGATAGATGGATCAAATAGGCCTAATTCCAGGCTTAAGATCTATAGAAAGATTCAAGGGACTGTGCAAAACTTGTCAAAATAATATTTTCGTGAAATAAACCGAGTACCTTAATATCTAGTAGATTGCGAGATATAATTGACGAATGAATCAAGTCTTGAGTGTGAAATAGATACTTCTTACGCGAATTCCTTCAGTCAATTCTAATAATTTAATATTGAACAACTAGACAAAGAGTGTATTGATACACAACAAAATTCAGTAAAAAAATCTGTCATTGCAGCTTCCGAATGAAATTTATCATGAACAGAGAAATTCTAACTTCAATCCCCCACCATTGCGCGGGAAATTCATCCTTCCCTATCTATCGACAGGCGCCACGCTTCTATACCTATAGACACACACTCGTCAAACCTAACTCCAGGCTTTCTCTAGCCAGCCATTTGACGTAATCAAGGTGATAGACCAAAGATGTCCCAGGGGCAAGAAAAACTTTCCGAAACACTGCAGCGGAATCTGGTTTTCTGTGCTCTTCCTATCTAGAACACATAAGAATAAGCAAAAAGACACAATGCTATATAAGAAAGAGTTAAGCTGGAAACCAAGCCAACATTCCAGGTTGTCTCAGAATTCCTTTCGTGCCGACCTGTTCGTGGTTTTCGAACATCTAGACATTCATATGTCAACAAGAGTTAGGGGAACGAAAAATGAGACACTGAAGCGGTAAAAGTGTGTCCTGTTCCATTTCCAGGCGGGAAAATGATACACAAGAACTGCAGTTGAAGTCTTGCCTTTAGGCCTAGCAGGACACTTCTTGTGGCGAAGCACCCTGGATGCTGTAGGCGCAGTTACCAGAATGCCCACAGGCAGAATGCAACATGCATTCAAGAATGGAAATGCAGTGGATGATGGCGTTTGAATTACTGGTATCCATACAACCATCTAATATCGATGGTGCACTTTCATCAATCTTGAGTAGAAGAGTTTCTAACACCAAAACAACTACAGAACCACGATAGAGATAAATTGCTTTCATAGTGATCACAAATACTTTCAAGATTGCAATGCCAAGAACGGAAAATGAAAAGATTTAAAGCTGCGACGGGGGCGACCCATGGATATCTTATTATTATCTTGATTGTGGGACTTGACTAAAAGCAACTTGCAATTAGCAATCCTCTTTAGCCAAGAGAAGCGAGGCGCTTGTGGCTGCTGTAGAAAAAAAGTAATTGCGCCGCTAAGTTGACAAACAAGGTGGAAAATTTTAGGAGTTTGGTGGAGTCTGCACAGAGATTGAGGGGACAATCCTAGGGAAGGAGAGGACCACGCGGATTTATGCATCCATCACGTGTTTTCGCGCATCTAGACGCGCGAATGTTACTCAACTTCCTCTCTCCACGCCACACCACATTAGAAAGATCAACAGTACCAAACGGCGACCAACCATTCGATTGGAACAATAACAACTCGGGTGCTCAAAGGTGCCAAAAGACGAGGGGAAACAGACAAAGCAACGATTAATTAACGGTATAATGATAACGCCACCGAGTGAGAACGAGAGTGTTAACGCGCAAACACACGTACAAACACCAATTCCTCTGGCGGGCAGGAAGAGGGTTGGACTTGCAGGAACGCCTCAATCAACAAATCGACTCAAACAACCTTTTCATATCACACCAGGCGAAGATAAGGAAAATGCTCCTCCCGCGACACAGAGAGGGCGATTATATGGCGGGACCCCTCAATCTGTTGACAAATTAGTTAAACCATTTCGATGTCCTGGTTCAGCAACGATAACTCGAGCCTCCGTGAAACCTGCTAGAAAGCGGCGGAAGGTCGATTATGGAGGTGCAGATGGTGAACAGGAAGATGGAGATAAGCCCTGGACAAATGAGGATCGATTGGCTCTCGCGAATAGAGATGCGAACAAGTTTCCTGTCTTCCAGGTTAAGGATAAGGATACTATATTTAGGAAACGATTTTCGGTGCCATTGATAAATAAAGATGCAGGAGGATATAACCCTAATAGACCGCCACCAACACTTGGACTAAGACAGGGAGCGGTATTTATTGCAAAAGCTTTACATGATCCTAGTGGCGAGTTTGCGATTGTCCTCTACGACCCTACAATTGACGAGAAGCCGAGGAGTATAGAACAGGCCAAAAAGGAGGAAGATGCCAAGAAAGAAACGGAAGAGAAGGATGATGAGCTTGACAAACCTTTACTCAAGCTTGACGCACCATTGGCACATAAAAGTTTGGCGGAAATATTAGGAATAAAAAAGGTTGTTGAGGGCGAACGACCTAAAGTCCCGGTTGTGATTGATCCTCGACTAGCAAAAGTTTTGCGACCTCATCAAATTGAAGGTGTGAAATTTATGTACAGATGCGTTACTGGTATGGTGGACGACAGGGCGAATGGATGTATTATGGCAGATGAGATGGGTTTAGGAAAAACTTTACAGTGCATTACTCTTATGTGGACATTGCTGAAGCAATCTACTGATGCTGGGAAACCTACTATCAACAAAGCTATTATTGCTTGTCCGTCGAGTTTAGTCAAGAATTGGGCAAATGAGTTAGTCAAGTGGTTGGGTCCCGATGCTATTCAACCATTCGCAATTGACGGCAAAGCTTCAAAGGAGGAACTCATTCAGCAATTACGACAGTGGGCTATAGCGAGTGGGAGATCCATTACGAGGCCTGTTATTATTGTTTCTTATGAAACTTTACGACTTTACGTTGATGAGCTCAAGCATACTCAAATTGGACTGATGTTATGTGACGAAGGCCATCGTTTGAAGAATGGAGACAGTCAGACATTTGTAGCATTGAACAGTCTCAACGTTACTAGAAGGGTCATTTTATCAGGAACGCCAATCCAAAATGATTTAACGGAATATTTCTCTCTTGTCAGCTTTGCCAACCCTGGTCTCTTGGGCACTCGAATGGAGTTTCGTAAAAAGTACGAATTGCCGATTCAACGTGGGCGAGATGCGGCTGGTAGCGATAAAGATCGACAAAGGGGAGACGAATGTATCAAAGACCTTCTTAACGTCGTGAATAAATTCATCATTCGCCGAACAAACGATATTCTCTCCAAATATCTACCTATCAAATACGAGCACGTCGTATTCTGCAGTCTCGCACCTTTCCAACTTGATTTATACAATCATTTCATCACCAGTCCAGATATTAAAGCTCTTCTGCGAGGAAAAGGGAGTCAACCCTTGAAAGCTATTGGTATGCTCAAGAAACTTTGCAATCATCCCGATCTTTTAAATCTTTCCGATGACCTTCCGGGTTGCGAAAAATATTGGCCCGAAGACTACGTTCCTAAAGATGGACGTGGCCGCGATCGTGACATCAAACCTTGGTATTCAGGGAAAATGCAAGTCCTGGATCGCATGCTAGCGCGCATTCGTCAAGATACCAATGACAAAATCGTGTTAATTTCCAATTACACACAAACTTTAGACATGTTCGATAAACTATGTCGAAACAGAGGCTATGGATCCTTACGTCTCGACGGCACCATGAACGTAACCAAGCGTCAAAAGCTCGTCGATAAGTTCAACGATCCCGATGGTCAAGAGTTCGTCTTCTTGCTAAGTAGTAAAGCCGGTGGATGCGGTCTCAATCTAATCGGAGCCAATCGTCTCGTCCTCTTCGATCCCGATTGGAACCCTGCTGCTGATCAGCAAGCTCTTGCTCGAGTATGGCGTGATGGGCAAAAGAAAGATTGTTTTGTATACCGGTTTATTGCCACTGGTACCATTGAAGAAAAGATCTTCCAACGTCAATCTCACAAACAATCTCTTTCATCTTGTGTTGTCGATTCTGCGGAAGACGTTGAGAGACATTTTAGTTTGGATTCGCTCAGGGAATTGTTTCAATATAGGAAGGATACGACGAGTGATACTCATGATACTTTTAAATGTAAGAGGTGTAAACCGGATGGAAAACAGTTTTTGAAGGCTCAAGCCATAATGTATGGTGATACGAGTACGTGGAATCATTTTGTCAATGGTGGATTGGGGACGATACAGGATTTGTTATTGAGGCAGGAGTGTGGAGATGAGAATGTTAGTGCGGTTTTTCAATATATTAGTCATTAGAGGAAGCGAAAGTTTGGGAAGAGCGTTGGAAGAAGCTATAACCGTTCGGTTTTTGATGCTTAGAATTGGAGCATTTTTTCGTTTTAATTTTGTTTGGGGATTGAAGGCCGGGAGTTAGGGATTAGGCTTTTTTTGAGAGTCTTTTTTTGAGAGTCTTTTCAAAGCGGGCGTTTTGGTATGATAATGACAGAAGCGATTTTATGATATAGAAAGATGTTGTTTGATTTTCATTTTGATTTTCATTTTGATTGTTCATTCATGTATTGAGGCACATGTATATCCAAATAAAACACGATCTCATTCCCGCTCTGTAGTATCTTTTGTTTCATAATCGTATCCTATCGTCATACCGTAAGCACTACAGTCATTAAATCCATAAGGAGGGGTGATCTTACAAAAGATTCCTAACGTACTATAGGTTGTACGAAACCTTAATTATTAAGATCTATCGTATTTCTCATATCATATATTCAAAAACATCCCGGTATGATAATAAATATGATACTGCATCATAATACATAGACCCCAAATAGGGTATCTTCTACATCTATATATCGGGTGCACTAACACTTATATCTATCCAAAACCTCAATCTTGATCTTAATCTCAATCGATATCCCGATTCTAATGCTTACCCATCTTACCCACCCACCACCGTTCAATCTCTAACCTTCACCTCCAGTAGATACTATTCAGCCATGCCATTCAACCATTTCTTGTGATTAGCTGTATCTCATAACCACCCATCTACCCAACCGCGCCCTCATTCACTCACTTGACCATCCCATCCATGTAAGCCCAGACCCTCACCATCAAAAACACACACATAAATCCACCTCCACAATCAAAACCACAACTACACATCTATATTTCCACCCCTACTATCAAAAAGATACACAGGTACATAGATACTGTACCCTTTCCCCTTTCCCCCTTCTCCATTCCTCCGTTCCTCCGTCCCGTTCTACAAACACAAACACAAAGTCTCACAGATATAAATAAACCTTCCTTTTTATTCCTATCTCATTAATTCATCACTATCTAGGAGGTCCTTAATTCTTAATCATAGGTTATAAAGAACCTATCAAAACTCTGTTAAGAATTTACTTATTAATTTATAAATCTCTTACTTGTAAGATCTTATTTATCAGTAACTCAGTTATTGTATAATATCTACTCTATATTAATCTATCTTATTTCTTTTTAAATTAACAATCTATATTAAAAAAACCCTTTATATAAAAAACCTATTCAAAACTCATCCCCGTACTCAATACCCCCTTTCCCCTTTCCCCTTCCCTCTTTCCTATACCCCTCTCCCAAATCACCAGGAAATAATAATAATCCCCTAACAATATACACTACACCTATTTCTCCCCCTCTCCATCTTCCCTCTCTCCCTTTTCACCCCAAAACACTCCTCTTAAAATCCCAATCCCCAAAATCTCCCTCCCAACACCAAAAACCAAACCACTCATCACATTCATACTACCCTACTCTACCAGAACCCCACAATAACTAAAACCCAAACCCGATCCCGATCCCAATCCCAATCCAACCACTTTCCCATCCCCCACCATCCTACGCTCCCCTCCCCTCCCTGCCCTGCCCTTCCACAACACAACGCCACGCATCCCATCGCATATCCCAAAAATCCCAAAAAGTCCCAAAACAAACCCACAAGCTTTACAAATATACGAGATATACATACATACCTACCACCCAAAATGTATTTCGTTACATATACACTATATGAAGAAATTATAATCCTGTTATAAACCTGAAGTATAAACTATAAACTACAAACCATAGGCTCTAAATTATAAACTGGATATTATGTTGTGCTATGTTGAGTTACATCGTGTAATACAACACGATCGCGTGCGTGCGTTTAGACCTTCGTGATACTTACTTCTTTAATTAGGAGGTATGTATCATGAGCAAGTTTTTTTTTAATAATTTGGCTATTATGGTTGCCGTTGTGTTAGTTACCGAGTAAAGTATGTACAAAGATTGGCGAGTTGTACCAACGATGAGACATCATCGCACTACATGAAACTCATGTATGCACAAGGCTTAAGAAAGCGTCACCATGCATTCAGCCAAAGAAATTACAGTCTCATGAAAAGTCTCTCTGTATTGTCCACATGCTATTGATATCGTATCGAAGCTAGAAGAGGTAACTACAATATACATATATGTGTATTCCTTTCAAACATTAACAATCCAATTGGGAACATGTGAATGGGTATCCATGTGTGATAAGAGATGACATGAGTAAGAATAGAGTGTCCAATGTTGAATTAGACATGACACGAAGAGTAGAATCGAACACTCGCAAAGTTAATGCTGAGTCCTAGTGTCGAGAGTGAACAAACATATACGACCAGCCAGGTATCCATGTATAACGCCGAAAGGTTTATATTGATGGTCGAAATTGAAGATTAAATTTGGTTGCTGAGATGACGGTAGAGAATGTGGAAGGTAGGAAAGAAGTGGGTGATCGCCTGGTCGGTAGTGCTCCATGACGAGGAGGACTCGAGTCCTTTTGGTCATTTAGATAATGATAGGAACGGCAACGCAGCTGTTGGTGAGAATATTGATTCCTCCCTGTGTACCACCACTGTTAGAATCGTCATCGCAATCGGGCTAGCCATGTAAGATAAAGGAACATAAGTTACAGGGAAGACTTACGCTGGTGTCTCCACCGTTACTATTGCAGCAGACTGGTGCCGAGTCGCATTTGCCTCCGACAACACCAAGGATTGGAATTGGGATATCAGCGCCTGTCTTTGTTGTTAGTAGGAAATTTTGATACAGACAAGATAGTAGATAGGTAAAGGTTGAAAGAGTAATGCTAGGACTTACAGTTCAAGCCCAACAAGTTGCCTAGGATTCCATCGCCTCCTGCGGTGGTAGATTGACAACATTGGAGTGTTTGTCCTTGAGCACAAGTTTGGCCCCCACTACGACGGAAGATTGTTGATTCTATGGTAGGAACTGCAACGACCATAGCGGCAGATGAGAGAATAGCGGTAGCGATAGTGAAACGCATTTTGATTGTAAGTAGGATGGTATTGACTGGAGTATTTGAATTAAGAGCAAATGAAATTGTGCTAGAGTGTTGTGTTTGAAGCAAAGTTGTTCAGCGAATGTCAAGCAAATGTGAGTTGATGGGTTGATGGGAAAACGAAAGCAGAGTGGAAAATTGAGACCTTATATACAGGAGTTCCGATCGAGGACGTAACACTTGAAAGTCGAGGCAAGAGCCATCGTCCACATAAAAAACAAGTCTATTGGCTCGCCAAGAGACCGAAATATCGAAAGTAGTAGGTGCAATTTTCTTCAGAGTCTAGAAAACGCCAATTGTCCTTCCTTGTTGCCTGTTATACCGTCCCATCTCGGAATTGCCCATCCTCTATTCACAAGTGAATCATTTAAATGAGGTTGTTTCTCAACAAACGAAGGAGGAACCATCGTGGCGAACGTGTTCATAATGGGTAAGAGAAGGCGTACAAACCCATAACATGGCCAAACCAGGAAAATATGAAGAGGAGGATTATATCAAAGAGCTTTCGTTACGACGATGTACTATGTCGATATTGAGCTTAAGGAAGAGATAATTTTGCCACGTTTTGATATTGCACTTTCTTGGACAGAAAGGTTTTAAACAGGCAAGAACAACAGATCATCGGAGCCGTATAGGTCCCCGGGAGATTAAGTTGAAATTGTACACCCTATAGTAGCTCGGGGCAACACTGCAGGTCAGAATGAAGGAGAAAATAGATAAATTTCCGCGGCTGAAAACATGTAGAGCATGTGATGCACAATTTCCATTATTCTCCGGCAAACTAACCATATCCGACAGATACCAAACATTAAATGCCAAGTTTACCATAGCCAATTGGCAATTGAAAATTTGGCAAGAACTTGTTCTCTTAGGATACCAAAATATTCAAAAGTTATGTGAACCTCGCTTGACTCCTTTCAAATCCCATACGCGTGAAGAATACACAAAAAGCAGTTTGGTTTCGTTATAAGCTTTAGTTAGGATTCCAAACAGTCCACCAGACGCCAATATTGGCGGCTACGACGAGATCTAACATCTTCAAGCCCTCGTCATGAATAATTAATTTTCCCAGTTTTGCTCGTTTGCCTCTATTTCCACCACCGGCTTTCTCCTGTCCAATACTAAGGTCCAACCGATCGTCATTATCGTTCGATATTGTCAGCTCGTCTAAAAAGTTATGTAATCTTTGTGGCAGGGGCGGGGAATCTTCTTCATATGACGAGCTGATCGAGGAAGGTCTTGGTGGTAGCGAGAAAACTTCTTCCCCATTACTTGCATATGGCGTAGTATGAGACGTTTGATGCGGCTGAGTTTCAGATGAACGCTGTGGGTTAGGTTTAGATAGTCTTTTGCGGAAGCTTCCTAGTTTTCGTGTGAGTTTAGACGATCCACTCTTGACCTGAGCTGCAGCCAAGTCCATTTTCTCTCTATCGAATAAATCCGAACTTGGTAAATTGAAGCGAAGTTCGCTCACAGTCACCGAGGTCGACGAGGAAGCGAGAGAATCTGCGGATACTGGGGCTGGTAATCTGTGTCGACAGCGTAAGGACCGGCCCGCGCCACCCGTGGAGAATGTACAAGTACCTTCCCAGGGACTCAGAAATGTGTAACCCTTGGCGCGAGAATGTTCGGTCCCTTCCATGGACCGATTTTCCAGATCAGATTCATGCGGACCTTCCGAGCTACCGCTGTTATTCCTGCTGTGATTTCCAGAAAAATCAGATATCGCCTTTTTATGTTGTCTAAAAGTTTTATTCCATGAACCAGCCCATTCCATCGAGACCTGACGATGAAAACCTGACCCGGGGACTCCTCCTTTTTGCGTTACAGATGTGGGTCCTTCATTTCCTGGAGTTTGAGAACTAGCACCTTGTGCTCCCCGATTCGGAGTTGTACCACCGAGCTTGATATTGGTTGTCGGGTGGGTGTTGTGGCGGAAGTAGTTATATCCTGGCGTTGTGATATGTACAGAAATGTCATAGTAAGGCTTTTTAGTTGCCGTCATCCCCGCCGTCTGAGGATTTGATTTGCCTTCAACTGTGCCGACATTCCATTGACCACCCGAAGTTGGATCCCGCCGAATGATAGTTATCGAAAATGCCTTTGCTATATCATCGATTGGGTTAGGCCTTTCCAACGTCGTATGGCTATTTTGAGGCCGGTATGATGGTCCCAGCTCATTATGATCAGAATTGTCAACTGGAGAAGATTCTGAAGTGAATATTGAATTTTCAGGCGTTACTCTCGGAAGAGGCTTTCTGTTGACGGTGTTGGCACGCCCCATAGAAGAGTGCTGGCCTACGGACCGCCCAGAAATACCTGCTTCTGCTACCATTGGCGTATTTGCTAGGCTATCACGCGGAGTCACGAAGTCATGTTGTCCCAAAGTATCATTCTGTTGAATATCTAGCGCAAGTGCTTGGCGCTTTGAGTTTAATATACTTTGCCTATCAATATCTAAAGACTGAGCTCTAGAGCCAGCGGGTAAGGGTTTCCTGGGTAAAGTCTTTTTAGACAGCGCCCGAGAAGGAATCGACTGCTCTTCGGATAAGAGATGGGCATCTTCGTCCGAGTTTAGATGCAAGTAGTATAAAGAGCTTGCGATATCCTCGGATGTGACATTCTTCAATTGTGGTTTCAAGGTAGTAAGAATGATATCTACCGAAAAGAGTCAGCTATCTTGTTGGGGCCGCCACATTATTCTGAACGCACCATTACTACCAGGTACTCTAGCGACGTAGAGAACCAGATTGGCCCTCTTCTGCTCGGTTGGATTTCGTGGATACTTCGGAGGGCATCCGGCAAGCTGGTTAAGACCAGAAAGTGAGTTTGCTTCAACAAAATCCTGAGTAGACATAATTCCCTGAGAATTTCAAATGGATTACGAAAACAAATCGAGGGAAAAAAGAAACCTCTTCTATTTACACTCGTGCTTCCGTTATTTGTTAATGACACTCAGCCTGGAAGGCAAAGCAACGCGTTTGGTAGGCTCAAGGTATTAAATACTTAACAATAAATAATAAAAATGAGCTTATCTCCAAGTAGCTCAGCCAGCTTTGCAGAAGTTTGTTTTGTCGAAAGATTTTGCCTTGATCTTTTTCGTTTATCTCAAGGTTATGTAGATGTAGGTATGTTGGGCAGCAGAAAATAAAATATATCCCAGATGTATCAGGGGAAGGATGGTGGGTGCATTGATTGGGTATCTGGAACGGGGGTATCATAAGGCGAAAAGAGTGAAGCAGCAGATAGATATGACTGATGAATGGGAAAGAAGCTGCGTGATGATTTGACAAGGTATTCGTAGACACTTATGTTAATTGTAGAGGCGGTATTGATTGCCACGACATCTTAGGTTGTTTGATATTGATCCACATGTTTTCCTGGGCCTCACCCAGATGTATATTATGTCTATAGAAAATGAGACGTTATTAAAGGAGTCTTTGAATGATTTATGATAGGTTTTGTAGTATGTAAAGTAAATCCATGACTGATTCGTATGATGTATGATGTATGATGTGAACTTTTTTGAGTTTTCTCAGCCAAGCAAAATCAATGCATTGATTATTCTGCCCTTGATCAGATCATTTGTTGGCGGGCCACCCCCTTAGGAAATCCCAACCAGGAGATTTCACTTGCACTGCCGCAATTTTAGGTAATTAGGTAATTGGGTAATTAATAAGGTGAGGCTGGGTAAGTGAGGCTGAGAATACGGCTACTCTTTCTCTTCCTCTTTCTCTTTCTCTCTCTTTCTCCCTCTTCGCTTGTCCACTTTCCCCCGCTAAAATAAGTGGGTACTCCCTCACCAACCCACCAAAAAAAGATCCCCCAATTGGTTCCAACTGACCAATCAAAACGTGCAAAAACTTCGCGCACTAAGTAAGGTCTCAAGAAATCGCGAAAATTTAATTTGGCACAGATGATCGGATTTGTACAGAGGGAGAAAAGCTTCACATTTTACCACAAACCTCACCCCTACACACACAATACAGAATAACTTTATGATAGTTGTATTATTTGCATTCAATTCATGATCAGAAGTTATAGTATTGTTTAAAATTCAAGTTTTTATCTTCCTTATATCGCTATTGTAATTTATTAGCCATTGGTGAAAAAAAATATCATGGCAGAGAGTACACTTCAAGTTTGTCTTCCTTTCCCCGCCTCACGCGTTTCATCCATTAATGCCTTTTCTCTTCAGGACCGGCTGCGAGAGCATGCGGAGGCATTTGATGGACTGCTATCCTTGATTCCTGCGAAATATTACTACGGCGAAGACACGAGCGTATGTAAAGAGTTCGGTTTGGATTCCACTGCTAGGGCTACAATGCTGATTACCATTTTCCTTCACAGGATCAATGGAAAAAGAAGAAGCAAACCAAGCAACAAGCCGCTGCGGCAAGGCGCGCAAAGCTTGATCCAGATTCTGCAAAGACGGCAAAGGATGTCATGGATGAACGAGCGAAGAAGAGAAAATTGGAAGAGTCTGAGGATGTTGAGGATGGATCTGAGGTAGAGGGTATCGAAAGAGAATTGCCACAACAAGGATTGAAAAAGGCAGTGGAGAAGCCAGCTAAGAAATTAAAAACTGAAACCGAATCCACAAAACAGATGCCCAAATCTTCGACACCAAAGGACTCAACAGCCAAAAAAGGTTTGACACCTGAAGAAGAAGCAGCAAGATTGGAAAAGAGAAATCAGAAAGAAGAACAGAAAAAGGCAAAGGCAGCTAAGAAGTCAGCCAAACAGAAGGCGAAGAGGGAGGAAGCTGCCAAACAAGTTGTCCAATTACCAACGGAAGATACTTCTGCTAGTGAGTCGACTACAAAGGATAATGTGGCCGAGGAAGCTACCAAGGAAGCTGCCACTAACGAAGTCCCTACCAAAAAGTCAATCGAGCATGAAAGTGCGGAAGATGAAGAACCAGACCATGATGATGAAATTGAACATTTTGAAGCCGAAGGTTTGGAGGAGCCCGAATCTACAGAGTCATCACCACCCTCATCTACTTTCTCAACACCCAACGAAGAGACCACGAGCGGCGGTACATCCATATCCTCCACCATACCTCCTACCGCCCCTCCTAAACACATAGTTCTCCCAGCCGACTCTGAAATTCTCCGTTCTAGATTAGCAGCACGTATCGAAGCTCTACGAGCCGCACGTAAAGCAAGTAACTCTGATGGTACCCCAGTGCGCAACCGTCAAGAACTCATGGAACAACGTCGCAAAAAGGAAGAGCAACGGAAAGCCCACAAGAGAGAACTCCGACTTCAAGCCAAGATTGATGAAGAGGCTCGACGTGAAGCCGCATTGGTATCAGCAAGAAGTAGTCCAGCAGGAAGCTTGCTCAGCCCTCTAATCCGATCACCTGAAAACAATTTTGCTTTTGGCAGAGTCGCATTCGCTGATGGACAAGGTCTCAACGAAGATTTAACTGCACTGAAATCGATACCGAAGAAAAAGGGACCGCAGGATGTTAATAGTGCACTTGCCGCTGCGGCCAAGAAACAATCTCGATTAGAAAGCATGGATGCCGATAAGCGCGCCGACATTGAAGAGAAAGAACGTTGGTTAATTGCGAAAAAGCGCGTGAATGGCGAGAAAGTTCGAGATGATAGTTCATTACTGAAGAAAACTCTCAAAAGAAAAGAAAAGCAAAAGAAGAAGAGTGAGAAGGAATGGACAGAGAGAATAGATGGAGTCAAGAAAGCGGGAGCTATGAAACAGAAGAAGAGAGAGGCGAATCTACAGGCTAGGAGGGATGGAAAGGGAGGAAAGGGAAAGAAGGGCGGAAAAGGTGGAAAACCAGCAGGTGGTGCTAAAAAGAAGAGTAGGCCAGGTTTTGAGGGTAGTTTTGGAGGTGGAGGAAAGAAAAAGTAAAGGGAGGATGCGATGTTGGGAATCAGTTTAGGTGTTAAGGAGTGAGGATGTGAAAATATAATACGAAGACGGTGGTAGGAAATGAGAAATGGAAAGTGATTATGTTTATGAAGTGGTCTCGAAGGAAAAATCATCCAGATCCAGGCAAATGCATGGAAGCAAGATGGGACTGCACAACTAGGCATGTTTATCAGAAAGACAACACTTTTACAATACCACCTACATCTACAATTAGCATTTTGTAGAAATAACCAAGTTGCCTACAGTAAACATATAAATGATATTATATTATTAATTCTATCACCTGTCTTTTCCGCTCCTCCCCGTCCTTTTCCCCGGGCCATTTAATCTAATCTAACCTGATCTAATCTGATTTAATCTGATCTAATAAAAAGAAAGAGTACTTAAATATTAACATAAATATAAATATAAATGAGATTAGACAAAGGTAATACATAATTTTTTTCATTTAATAAATAAAAATCCCTTCCTTGCTGCCGGGGCAATTCATTTATTTTCATTATATTACATCTCTCAATATAGCAGCCGGTTAACCAGTCAACTAGCCAAGGTAGTTTACCTAAATCATTCATTCATGTTTCAAACTTCATATTTCATACTTCATGCATTATTTATTCGAGAATCCCATTAATTAGATCAGGTCATATCAGGTCATATTATCTCGTCTCGTCTCATCTTATCTTTGCTATTTCATTCTTATTTTCATTCTCATTTCCATTTTCTTTCTCATTTCCATTTCTATTTTCATTTTCATTTTCATTTCCATTTCCATTCATACCCATTCATGTGCTTATACTATATCTTCAACTACCTTCTTTCCGTCCCATCATCCTTCCTCCCTTCCTTCCATCTTTCCTTCTTCATATCCTCAACCTCGTAATTTTCTTTCCTGGTACCCAGCCAGGTTAGAACGAAATAGAACAGAATGGAAAAGGAAAAGAAAAGAATTAGAACAGAGTAGATGAGTGAAAACTACTAAATGAATTTTTTCCTTCCTTTCCTACGCTGAACTAAAGTCTAATATCCCCAAACCCCCTACTTTCATATCGCTGTCCTCCTTTCCCTTCCCTTCCCAGGGAATGAAAATGAATGATTTTAACCCCGTAGCATAGCAAAAGGTCTCGCTGTTTTGGTTTGAATATATTTGTTATTTTCCTCCATCATAAAAGTAATCGAGATGCGCCGCTCGCCTGCCGTACTTATGAAATCAAATTGTATGTGTAGAAAGCAATTATAGCAAAGAGTCCAACCGGGTAAAGACACTTAAACATGCCGCCACAACTTCAAGTTGTAGCTCTTTATCCTTTCCATTGTTTACCTCCTATTTGTGTGGTATTAGTACTGGTATATATAATACGGCCGTTGGAGGGGTATTGGTAAAAAGGGAATGATACATACATCAGTAATGACTTGTCCCAAATTCGCACCGATTCCTGCTGAACCTCCCGCTCTCTTTCCAAATGGCCATTGACTATATTCTGCCAATAATTCATCGACTTGAGCGAATGCTCGTTCTCTAGACTCGTGACCCAGCGATGCGAGGGCATTCTCTAATACATTAGCTGCATATGCAGCACATACCATAGCAATTGTTCTGATGTACCTGAATTCGAGGTTTTCGGGGAGAAATTGACTACCAGGGAGGACAACCGTTCGTTGTGTAAGGACGTTTCGGACTCTTCTTCTAATCTCTTCCTTTGCTCCACCGTCTGCTACAGGGTGCGTTGCCATATCGAACAAAAGGAAGTTTTTCTTCTCGGTCCTTAGAATGCCCTTATCGACTAATCCTTTTGCTAATCTCTCTCGAACTTGTTTCAATTGGTATCCGATTTTCATAAGATTCCATGTCTCACCTGGTAAATGATGTCAATGTTGAGACTTTCGTAATGTATGAAATTGCGATTCCTTACCACTCATCAAATCAATCCATGAACTAACACTCATCTTCTCACTTGCTTTCATCATTTTTAGCGCTTCGTCCAACAATACCTCTCCCGTCAAGGTATCATCAATAACCTCAATTACTCTATCCGCTAAGGGAAATCGCCGCCTCGAAGAATCCTTCTGCATGCTCACGCGCCCTCTGAACGCCAGCTCAATGACAATACATCCACGAAGCGCATACGAAATATTATCATTCCAGAACGAGAGATATCCCTACAAAATCGTATTAGTACTGATCGCAGAACCGCAAACTACCACCTGTTCGGATCAAGCCACCTACTTGCTTATCCTTCAATCCTAGCAGCAAAACCTCCTCCATTAGCGTCAATTTAGGTTGTTTGCTCCTCTCAGCACTTTCGCTAATATCTCTCGGATCAAAGGCAATCTTGTGTCCATTCTCGCCGCTTTCATATGATGTTTCGGGACCACTAGTATCGCGTGAATTGCCAGCCTTGGGCGCCGGTGACGCAACACGACTTGATTCTCCATTTTCCGTGTCGCCAGTCCCTCCTCCACCACCTCTTCTGCGAGTGAGTCCTGAAGACATTGGTCGTATCGCAAGAATCGATTATATGTGTAGTATTTGATATAGATGTATGGGTTGTCGTGGGAAGTTAAGCAAAGGGGGATGGAGTTTTGTCCTCTTTGCAGTGGGACAGCGGCGCTACCGCTCACAAAAGCAATTCCGCCAGTAGATTATCTTTCGTTTTGTCGATGAATAAAATGATGCTTGAAGTTCTAGATTCTCGAATTTGTCTCTCCGTATCAATAAGAAAAAAGTGGGCGGGGCAAATGTGGTGGTATTGAAGGTTCGAATTGTTCTGTAGAGCTTTGAGGTGCGTGGATGGACAGGGATAACCCAATGAAACCACGCTAAGATTTTATAGAGAACTTCTTTGAACTGGGGAAGTGGGAAATTTATTACGATGATGTGGGAAGAGAAAGTTCTTAACAAAAAAAAGGATACCGATGATATTTTGAAAAAGATTTCAAAATCAATATATCTTCATGTTCTTAATGTAACGAGGGAAAACAAGAATTTGTTGAGTAAGATGGTCTAAACATTTTTACAGGCGCATAGAATCATATCACTCTTATGAACGCATCGAAAGCTTGTACAAGTTTCCCCTCCCTCCCTTGTATTGCCGCCCGTTCACCACTTATATCTCATTCATGACCCATGAACCCATCATTGTCTTTTTCCCATCTCGACCGTCCCCATATTATACAGTTCCAAAATCTAGTGAGCTATAAAGGCCGTTAGCTATTTTTATCCACCTTAGAACATCCCACCAAAGACTCACCATCTGGTTGGTGGAGGATATATTCAACGGCTTGGTCAACTACGAAATTTGTTAAAATTATTGCTCCATCCAATATTCCCACTGGAAAACATACCACTGAGAATAGCATCGGCATCCTTATCTGGGATCTCAATGCTGAATTCCTGTAACCTCATCAGTCTCCAATTCCTCGTTGTGGGTATCTTGTACAAACCTCCTCAATAGCCATAACAACCTCTACAGTATCTAGGCTATCCAACCCAAGATCATTCGAGAAGTGCGCTGTTGCTGAAAGCTACCAATTGTCAATTATAACGCCCTGGCCTTCTACCCTACCAAATATCATACCTTCGTTGGGTCGGAAACCTGCATATAATGTTAGTACTTTCTCCAGTCTAAGGTTCATCGAGCGCGCTCACCTTGTCGAAGTTGTTTAGTAAAGAAAGAATTCTGCCTTCAACCTCTTTCTTCTCAAGACCGGCGGCTGCGGAGTAGCATCTTGCGGCTTGGAAAGCCGATGGGGCGAATTGAGATTTTGTGATGAGAGAACTTGGGGCGATAGGACGAGCAATTGCTGCAGGTCTGTGGACAGCTTTGCTAGCAGCGCTGCGGGCTGTTCTGAGAAGAGCGGTTCTGAACATCTTGATATGTGGAGAGGATTAAGAGGGACGTCTGTGGATAATGCGGTGGTAGATGTGAATTTGATAATGGAGATGCTTCCCAGAATGTTTGCTTTAGCGTATTTTGACGACACGTGACTGAATATGCGACGACGAGATTTAAGAGAACTATTTACAGTAAACTTGATTAGTAGAAATTCGATTTTGAATGATGTATGGTATTGCAGTTACTAAAACTAGTTTACTTTATATTTTCATAATATAGAAAGGAAGTGGTTGGCGTACAATAGAAGCTTTGTACTTTCGGCCAATCATAGAAAGCCATTTCGAAATCAACTCTTAAAGTTCCGTCAACCTCATATCTACATACAGATCTCCAACAAATCTGCCACGAGCAATCCCTTCACAATGGCAACAACAAAGCCTATAACTATGCTCGTGGTGCGCAGTCGTCCAGCATATACTCTCACAGCTTCAAACATCCGCACATTTACACCCGTCGCATCTAGAGCAACTTTCTCTACTTCTCAATTCCGAAGCGCCACCCCAGCTGGACCTCCCCCGCCTGGCTTCAGACTGCCAAAACCTGTAAGATGGAACGAGAGTAAGGAGAGTACGATGGATAAGGCGGGGAAATACTTTCTCATGTCGGAGATGTTCAGAGGAATGTACGTAGTATTGGAACAATACTTCAGACCTCCGTAAGTGATGCCATTGAATCTCGACGTCTATACTGCAGTGGCTAATAACTTGCAGATACACAATATATTATCCTTTCGAGAAGGTATGCAATTCGTATTATATTAAGGTGGCGACAAATGCTCATAAAGTATAGGGTCCAATCTCGCCACGATTCAGAGGCGAACACGCTCTACGAAGATATCCATCAGGAGAAGAACGATGCATTGCTTGCAAGCTTTGCGAAGCTGTATGTTATTCCATTCTTACAGAAAGTAGCGGATCCTAATATTACTTAGATCTGTCCCGCGCAAGCCATTACCATCGAAGCGGAGGAGCGTGAAGATGGAAGCCGTAGAACAACCCGCTACGATATTGATATGACGAAGTGTATCTACTGTGGTTTCTGCCAGGAAAGTTGTCCAGTTGATGCTATCGTGGAATCACCAAATGCCGAGTACGCCACCGAGACAAGAGAAGAGTTATTATACAATAAGGAGAAGGTATATTTGCACAATAATAGCTTTGGGCCTCTCTGTCACTTACTAACTATTCTACAGTTATTGGCTAATGGAGACAAGTGGGAGCCAGAATTGGCAGCAGCAGCAAGAGCCGATGCACCATATAGATAACCATATTTTTATTTGTTGCGAGGTGGGAAATTTGTAAATATCAGAAGCGGTTCTTCAAAAATGCAAGTAAATGGACACAGAATTCCTATGATTTATGCCATCAGACATCATTTCCTCGGATTCGAATCGAATGATCTACAGAAGAAGTGTAATCATACAAATGTAGGTCAGTAGTGCCTCATCTACTATTACAGAATCTCCAAGTGTAGATAAACCACCATCCATCTTTAATATACACATATCTATTATCTTATCAAATAAAAAGACATAATAGAGCTCATTCCCCTGAAGTGCCTTAGCTCTCTAGCCGAGCAGATTTTAACATAGATTGCCTGGGCATATCATTTTCAATATACCCACGGGCACTCCTATTCCAATATTCATTCTTGAGTTGCACATTCCCTTGAATTGTACACAAACCTACTGTCAAAAGTCCTGAAGGTTTAGATAAAAAAGATAAAAAGATATTCATTTATGACGAAGGGAGTCTGCTTGGATAGGAAGCGATAGCTTAGATGAGATGAGGGTGGTTTGTATATGAGTGGTTTACTTACTCTACCTAGGTACTGACGGTATTTACTATCAAAGGATTTTATGAATGGGTGTTGGATTGTGAGTTGTGGGTTGTGGGATATGGGATGTATGGTAGGATATAAGGGAATGGATGGATTTATGGCTATTTACTAAGCACTAGATATATAGCGCAATGGTTTATGTTTTAAGGGTGCTTTGTCTTCTCGAGTAGAGAGATGTAAATAAAATCTTACGAAGAATGCATTTTTGAGCTAGGTGGGTGAATATGGGGATTTGGGTATAATGAGATCCTTGGAATGGTCATTCATATCTACATATCTGCATTTATATTCATATTGATATTAGCAAGTATGCATGCATGGATAGAGTTATGAGATGGTTCAATTTCTCTCATCATCATATTATCTCAAGCAACAATAATAATGAGAAGCCAGGCACCCTAGCACCAAGACCCCATCCTTCATCCATCCACTCATTCCGCCCACCAATCCACCATCAAACCTAACAATATCCATACATGGAGAAAAAGGGAAAAAAAGGTTAAAAGACCAACGCCAGGCTAACCGAATATTGAAGGAACTCAAGACTTGGAAATTGAGCCCTATCCGACAATTCTTAAACGCAATCTCTATTTTTACTTCTTCTCTTCGAAATAAAACTTGCCCAGACCCGCTTGATCGGGACTACCAAGAGCAGGCCTACTAGCCGCAGATGGACTATCAGCAATTCTCTCCTTTAGAATTCTCTCTGCAGCCTCAGCACCTACTCCCGTGCTCAGTCCTGAACCAGTTGAATTGCGATTTCCAGCTACTCCTACTCCTTGACCTCGTGCTGCCGTATCCACATAGCCACTTGTATTATCATCTGTGATTCCATCCAGCATTCTTGCTTCGCGTTTCTGCTGTTCTGCTGTTGTGGATGTGGATGCGCTGACCGGGGTTCCGGGGTTGCTGCTCTGTACTTCTTTGGCTAGACCGCTTTTTCCTACTGCGATTGGACTCGCGAGGATATTACCTCTGCTGTATGTTGGACCACTGACGGTACTTCCAGCACCCTCGCCAAATCCAACTAAACTTGTATTATCACTCATTCCATCCCCATCTAATTCCTCATCCATAGCCGATGCGGAAAACGTATCCCGATCATCTATTTCTCGATAATTGTTATCCATGCTCAGCTCATCATCATCGGCTTCCGTTTGCCCTTTTGTACTATTCGATGCCCATGTAGTGGTTCTTCCAGTCATAGAACCGGTCGCGGATGCGCTCCCAACGGTAGATATGCGTGTTGTGTAAACTGGATTTCCGGCTTGATCGAAATATCCTGGGATTTGTCCAGCAGCAGGCCCCGGGGCTGGTGTAGTACCACTGGGGTTTTGAGGCGTGGCTGTGGTTACACGTTCGAGACCCGCGAGACGTGAGATTCGATCTGCGCGCTGCGCTTCGAGGGTATTGTTTGAAAGAGTGTGTTGATGATGGGAGCTTGCGGTCGGGTGAGCAGATCCGCGATGACCATCTTTGATAGCAGTGGTGGAGAGAGCGGAGAGGGAGGTCGTAGTTGAGTTTGGGGTTCCCCTGGAGCAGATTACATTAGTATTCTGATAGAGGGATTGTGGGGTGAGTATTTACGGTGCATCAGTTGGAGTATCGATATTTGATGGTGGTTCGGGCATGCCGATCAGTGTAGGAGTAGATGCCATTTTGATATTTGTTTATAATATTTATCAAATTGATGTCGTGTTTAGGTGGAACTAATATATTTGGTTGAATCGGAAGCTCTTTAGTTTGTTTGATTTGTTCAGGTGGGTAGGATTTGTCGAATTTGTCTCCGGGTCTGTAAGGCTGGACTAATGCGCTATTTCTGCCTAGTCTAGTCAACTTACAAGGCACTTAGATTCTGTTGCATAGAAATTTCAAGATAATGAATTCTCTTCTTTTTTTGTATCGAGTAGAGAAGCGACGGTAGGATTCGAGGAGTTAAGTATCAATCGTATTTCTTCCCTATGACAGTCTTCGTTACCAAACAATTCAAGTTCATTATGTATTTCAGAACAAAGAAGGAAAACAGCTACTCGATATAAATGACGCAGTTCCAAGACACTAGAGCTAAAGCTGACAACCCCACATTGAACCTTTCCTATTTTGTTATAGGTGCAAATCAAATTTCCCCTGTCAAACGTCCCTTCTCTTCCAAACACGAGAGATTCACCGCCCTCCACTCTGCACCCTCTCCCGCTCAATCTTCACTCACACCAACATACACATACACAGTTGCAGGGCGAGAGGGGGAGTCAACTCTACCATTACTGGGTTATGATCTGGTTGCAGTTGATACTCTCACGCCCTGCCAAGATTTGTCCGCAACGTTGCGCTTAGGATACAGCGGTCAGCAGCGGTCATTTCCGTTGCATGTAAGATTACCTACTTAGTACCTACTAGAAGAGCGGCCTTCTATCCTTCTATCCTTCTATCCTTCTATAAAAGCTAGTGCAAACGTTATTCTTCTATTCGTACACTGGCAAGAGCCTCTTGTCAAGGGGGCGTACATAGAAATCCCTTAGCTGCCACAAAATCGCCTCGACGCCCTTTTGTGCGCACCACTAGCTAGTTGTAATGAATCACGCAAGTGCGCCCTGGTTTCGGGATTTATCAATTCAAGGGTGGTCATTTCTAAATACTCCTATGTTTTGCATTTGGGGCGACTTGTTAATATTTTGGAGCCTTTCGGGTGATTTGACAATCTATTTGGAGTTTTTCAGAGCAAGTCGTCTTTCAAAGGGTTCAGTATAGTTAAATGTCTATTTTTTTTTAAAAAAGGCCCATCTAGTTTAAGATGATTCAATTGATTCGGAAAATTTGGAAGATTTTACAGTTTTATTTGAGCGGTTTCAAAGTTAGACTTACCTGCCTAGTATTTCATTGACTTGGGTATTTCACTGATGCAAATAACATTTCAATGGAGCTATTCTCCCACTGTGTGTATAGAATTCTGTAATGGCGAAAAACAACGTTCTGTTTCTGATTCTTACCTCTATGCACACTTTGTCAATTTAAATGATTACGAAAGAGCTATCGTTCTTGAACGTTGTGATATAAGACAGCTGATCAGTGTCACTCTGCTTCGAGGTTTCATTCAAGACATGGTCGCATTGATGATAAATTGTCCATTCTAGTTAAGTCATTCTGAAAGTCCTTCTTGTAGCCGTCCTCCAACTCTTATATGCTTATGCGCGGTGTCCATTCAATCCTTAACATTCAGTTGTTGTGTTAAGCTCCCTCCTGACCATAGAATTCTGCATCAAACTGCTGCAATTTGAGGTTCATTCCGTGCGCCGCAGCCGAGGTCCTCTCCAAGTTACCGCCGTCATGGAGAGCCGGCGAGGCGTATGGAACCGGAGAATCATTTTCGGCGAGATAGCGTTCAATGCGATGAGCAGAGAAGCCTTTGGCTTCGGCGGAGGAGGTATTGTATGAAGGATGGTCTGAAGTGTTGTTTGTGCTAGAGGAAGGAAGAAGATGTTAGAGCTGGACACTAAGAAGATACACAAAAGTGGTCGAAGAGGTTAAGGTGAAGCGCAGAGTGTGCGCCAGGGTAAAGTTCAGAGAAAGAGTCGGCCGAATGGTAGAAAAGAAAGAGATACCAAGCAGCGACATTATAACTCGAAGCCTGGTATAGTCGAGTACGCAAAGCAAGAAGAGGAACTGACGACTCACTCGGAAACCACAGAGCCTTGTACGGCAATGTGAGAGCTTTCACTGGTGTCCGACATGATTGCTTTACGCGTTGAAAGTAGTTAGATGTATTGTACGTGATGTGGTAATAATGGGCTGCCGATTGAACTGCAAAAGCGTTTGTTGAAAGATAGTCGTTGAGACATGAGTAAATCTCTTGGGTGTTGGCATCTTTATATATATATTGCACAGTATCCAAAGGCGTTCGATTTTTCTGTATGAGACCTCTCGCATGCCGAAAATGACGGTATTCGTCGACTTGGCTATCAGTCGGATATAGGGGCATTGTAGAGGCTGTGTGGGATTATTAAGATTATTGCCTTGATATAATTGGTAAGCCTGTCTCCATTCCTCCTACACCTCAAGGATACCATACTGCTTATGGCATAAATAAAGCTTAAGGCAAATGAAGCCTTTGGCGGACCATTTGCAAACCACCACATTCGGTGAATTGGGAAAGATCCCAAGTCAATTAGACGGGGTTAGTTCCCATCTATTAATTTAAACGGTATCGTTTCTGACCCCCGACAACATCATCAACTAAACGCATACTCTTGATTTCTGCAAGTTGTTCCTAAGAAAGCTAGAATAAGCTTCGTTTACTTCGTTTGTTACGATTGATTGACTTCCATTATTATTTAAAAGGATAACGTTTTCAGCAGCGTAACATGCGATGGAGAATGCACTTAACTTATTCCGTGACTGGAATCAGCAGCTGTTACACAGTTAGAGTCCACCTCCCGTACTTTTCCGCTTTGTCTATCCATCAGGACTGATGGATCCACTTATTTGGGTGGTACATTGGTACTTGTAGCGGGCGTAACGTAGCCTTCTTACTATAAATTTTATTATGCTGATCTGAATTATATCACATGGGACAATTTAATGAGTGCGCAGACTCGTGTTCGCCCTGTAAGGGAGACCTTATCACAATTACAATGCGAATGATATAATTATTTTATCTCTCTCAAATATCTCAAAGTTGGAGTTTATATTAAAGTGGGTGTTATTTTGATATTTGAATAATCATATTTCAAAGTTTTAGTTGAAATAATTAGAAATGGAATTTCTAATACGTTTTTGAAATCGCTGATTTTTTGTTTTGGTGTCAGGTTAATCATACTATAATTAAGTCGACTAGCTTTGCTTGATTTCCATCCGAAGAGATCGTGGTCGGTACAGTAGCCAGTACAGTCCCATTCATTGATACACCTGCGTAGTTTTCGTACCGCGCACTAATACAATGCTTTTCCGCCAGGCACAGGTGAGTCGCTCGAGGATCTGACCAATATACAAAATCAATTTATCTACGAAGTATACATGAACCATACACGAACTTGGAATAATATCCCATCAGGCAAGTCTAACCCTCGGAAGCAAATTGCATGCGTGTGAGAAATCTAGATCTAGAAAGCTCCGAGAACCGAGAACCAGATAAATTATGCTCACACCATCAATCCTTTTAAAGGCGGTGTGGGCTTCTAGAAAGGTACGAAATATTACCGGGGTTTGGCTGATCTTCATGTATGCTGACTCGTCGGCTGACGCCCAAGGTTTTGAGCCGAATAGCCTGATTGGTGCTTTCGCACCGTCTTAATACAATACTAAAGATTCATGCGGCTCTGCTTTTCAATGCTGTCCTAACTACGAGTAATAAGATTTAATGCCAAGTCGTTTCACGATTAGTATCGTGACCCAAAACTGATGGGGCGAGTGCTTTTACCTCAAATATAAATACAATTATTTTATTCCATTTGGCTCAAGGCTTTGCATTCTTTGCCTCATAACTTTCCTAGGTTTAAGTTTCTGTATGAAAAGCCTGGTACTAATGAGATATTTTCTTTTGAAGGGAGGGAAAAAGAGTTCATTTCCGGTCTTGAACAACACTTCTCGGTTCGCTTGTGACTATGTCAGCCTTAGAACTTCCATCATTAGATGACTATAGAGCATCTAATTTAAAAATTCAAGATGGCTCTATACTCCCCGCCTAATTCGTTTCTGCAGAGGGTTCGAATAGTCTGGGGTAGCAGATTATATGTGAGCTTTCAGTACCTTGACACAATTCACTGTTCTAGGTGAATTAAATATTTCAATGAAATATTTAAAACGTGTGGTAATATTCGAATGTCTCCTATTATTGGACTGCATTCTGGATTATTGGACTATTGTGTGTGCATTAAATTTATCCTCCATCTCCGGCCTTTGGCGAAGAGCGTTGCTCAAGTTACTCATTTCCATATAATGATCTCCGCACTATTCGCAACTCAGTCGCGTGCATTAAATTTCTATGCGACTTCTAGCTTTCGGATTGATTTCCTCGTCTTTGAATGCCATCTGAAGTTGTAAAGGACAAATGACATGAGAGATAATACGCCCGTTGACGCTATTTTTGTTTAGGCGAGCTCCTTTATTAACTACGTCCTATATCTTGTTTCGCATTGCATGCCAAGAGAATACTTTATAGGCTGTCGGGGCTTAAGGAAAAGCCATCCGCCTATTGCCTCAAGAAGTGTCCTGAAAGCCACAGTCCGTCTATGTTCGTCCGGATCCACTCCTAGTGGGTCTAGACCACACAAACGAGGGGGGAACAGCCGTCCCCTGGGGAAGAGTAACTATTGGGACAGGTAGGATCCGGGTAATTGAGCATCAATTTATTGCTGATCATTCTTGCCCTGGCTATTCTTTGCATACACTAGTTAGTTTCGATTTTGTTGAGAATACAGAACTACAAGGTATCCCCATCCACTAAGTCGGTGAGTATAATATAAAACCCTAATCCCTGATAACTTATCGCGTCAGAAGAACTATAGTCCATATATCTCGAACTAACGTCGAACGTGCACATATCATTTTTTTTACCAACCTCAAAAAGATGACTACCTCTACTGCCTGATTGTCGCCCTTTTCGCGGGTGCATTTTCCGATCCCTCCTGTTTCTATCGCATCTTGCCTCATTTTTCAAAAGTTGGCTATCCGAGAATTTACGCACCTATTGCCTCTCTGATTCGGGAACCATTGGAATTGGCTTCAACGTCTATTGCTAACGATTTTTCGGAGGGTCGGAAGAATTTACTGTTCTCACTTACTGAGGAGCAGCATAGAGAACTAGTTGTCCTTACTCATTCCTATAATGAAACTATTGAAGATGCTGCTGTCCGTGGTTTAGGGAAACAGCCCAAAGTTCTCGTAACGAGCATACGCAGGCGAGATCCCTGGGATTGATACATGTAGTTGGAAATATTGTTTTTGAGGGCGAGAATTTGCTTCAAGCTGTCGGGGGTGGGTACATACACTTCCTTTATTAAAACAAGAAACGGGAGCCTAGTCCCACTCAGATACACCGTCGTAGTCATCAATCAATGTCAGCAAACTATCAAATGAAAGTGCAAGTTCCACCTCAGTACATACCATCTGCAGATGTTAACCGGTAAGAAAAGGTCTAAATGTGGTCAAAAATATTGCGGAGGAGCAACAGTTGGAGATCCGCTACTGCGTCCCAACTACCCAAACTATGTGAGGACTAATTATTTTTTTAATTTGCGTTATTCGCGAAACTGAGAATTCTGCTTGGATACTCCTTTCTGCCGTTTGTCCAGTCTCCATGTGTCACCTTCTAGGTCTTCTGCAAATGGTGGTGCGTCGGAGGATTTCTCCTTTAGAGGCTAAGCTGTGATCACCTTAGCAGCCGATTTGCTACGCTGCTTTCCTCTAGAGTGAATAATAGCTCGTGATAAGAGACCACGCGAGAGGTAAATCTATATATTACTCAACCCGAAAACAACTAACCAGTCTAATCCATCGGCTAATATCTCTCAAAGCCCTCAACGCTTCCCATAATTTCCCCACCGACTCTTCAAATCATCATACTCCTCATCTTCCAATCCCAGCTTCCTATTAACCATTCACTCCACCCTCTTAACCAACCTATCCTCCACCGCCTCTGTGCCATCCCAAGCAACTTCACCCATAACCCTGGATCTTTTACACTGAGATACTCTTCGGGACTATCCTCCGCTACCTTATAAAACCTGGTATAAATCACCTTAGTGAACGTTTCGGCTTCGGCTTTTCCCCTTCCATCATCATCTCTCCTTCGTAGAACGTGACGTTTTAGATCACGAGAGACGTGGTTTAAGCGAGCGTAAAGCCAATCATCAGGGCAATCGATGTAAAAACCTTTTGGAAGCCATAGTCGTAGCTAGTTGATGAATGTTACGAAGACGGTGGTTTTACAGTCGTCGGGGTTTTTATGCGCGGGTATTTCTGAGCATTTAGTTTGTTTGGGATGGGGGTTGGTGGACGGACATGTGCAAGTCGTTCATCGTGATCCTTCCTTCCGTCAGTCGATAGAAGTGTTCAATTGGGTGGGTAGCTCATGGATGTGTTTTGACATCTTTCGGAATAATCGTGTAGTGACAGTCTGGTCTGAAAACTATGGAACGTTTAGAAAGGATACATACTCATAAATAGATGTAAATTCGGCGGTCATGCTAACGTAACGGCGCAAAATACAGGTTTATTGCGGAGTATAGGGCTTCTTCACAAGGTGTTCGGCACTTTCCTGAGCCTTTGGTTCCGCAGTAAACATGCTGCAGATTATAATACCTAAGACAAGGCTCGCCAAATTGACTCCGCAAAAAGGCCTGTATACTGCGCTGCACAATTCGTGTTTGCCGAGCACATACGAAGAAATCCCTTCGATATACATCTCGTGATCGGCTAAACTAGCCATGCCTATGCAAAAAGCACCGGGGTAGAAGCCTTTTGATTGTTATTCTGGCATTGATGCCTCTACTATGATGTTACGACGGACATCAGGTCGGACTGATTACCGCGCCATATGACTAATCACATGCTGAAGTTGGTCACCTGATTAAGGAATCCCATCGAGAAGAGTTTTCCCACCTCAATGGGAAATATTCCCATAGCGATGGGACAACAAGAAGCAGTGGAACGTATAGTACGAAGGTCTATATAATGAAGATGGATTTCCTTACTATAAAGCTTCGTACTCAAGATCAATCATTTAGTATAATCTACTATTAGTTACGAATTGCAATCATTATCATCGTTACTGAAGTCCCTGCTTGACGCCTAGTTATAAACCACCTCGAGAGCCTAGAACACTTCCACGTGATCTAGACGGCAACCCTCGTAACATATGATCAACTCTCTACTATGATCAACCCAACACATCGGAAAGGTGAACCCATGGCCAGGCATCTACAATGTCAAACAAGCTGTAAGATATTGTCATACTAACAACCGAACATATGCGGCTAGATCTTGATACTCATCGGAATAAAATTTCAGCATAGACAATAAACTCATTCAACAAAAATGACCTACGGACGGAAAATAAGCAGCCGGCACCACTTAGGGCGGTTTTCGAGCCAATGGACAGTTCAGCAAGCCTGGCTTACCAACAATAGCAGCATGCATTCATTAACCTGCAAAATCAATGATATGATTCGACACATATTTACCCAAGGTCTGGAAATAGAATATTAGATGTTGGTGGTCCGCGGGAGAGCGCTAGGCCACAACCAGAGGATAGATCATTCTTTTCCGGGTAATAATTAGTTACTGGAACAAAAAGCAATCTAAGTTGGTTAACATATTCGCCTTGCCAACACAGCATTTTGCTATCCTCGACTTTCGGGACATGGCTGTCATCTACGAGCAGGGTTGCACCGAATCCACCGAGCTCCCTAGCGCTTGCTCTACTCTTGCTATCTACGAGCAGGGTTGCACCGAATCCACCGAGCTCCCTAGCGCTTGCTCTACTCTTGCTGCCGAGCTCCCTAGCGCTTGCTCTACTCTTGCTGCCGGATTATCTGGACAAATGAAAACTCGTGACACTAAAATTAAAATAAGCTAGTGCACATGTGACTTGATAAAACAGCACCTTCTAATTTTCTAATGCCCCTCAAAACCAACATCTTCCGTCATTCATCATCACAACAATCAAAGCAGACAGCTAGCTTGCTGGATGTAAAGTTACTATAGAGTAGTATAATATAAGATTGTATATCTGATAATGATTTAGAAAGTAATATAATATAATATAAAGAAATCTATGTATCTTATCTATTAAAACAATTAAAGACAATTGTAACATCGACCAATAATACAACCACCCCCTTGAAATCTTTACCCACACGATCGCGGCGAAGGGAAATTGGCGAACCTCCGCAAACCAGAGTATGACAGTTTACAGGGGGCTGCATGATGATCAACGTGGTCTTTTCCAGGGTCTTAATCTAGTTATTCCCATCTTCCTAGTTGGGAAAAGTGGAAGATGCATCCGAGGTACCGTACCATTGATATTATACTTTTTCTAGTTTCCACATGAACGCTGAGTGTAACCGTCTGTTAAATCCATCCCCTGTGCCTTGTCCATCCTGACACCGCACTCTAGACAGGTAGGATAAGTAAACTCATCTAGTAGAAATCATGTTTAAGAACTCCTATATCCTCGAGATTATTTTCTCATTGCAATTTTCCCTACATCTTTTCGGCGTCTTCGTTTTCGATTTTCAAAAGCGTTCCCGAAACTATCACGTGCTTGTCAATTCTCGCAATATCATATATCCGTTTCCATATTACAACCCCGAGCTCGTCCGACCATGGCTGGCCGAGCCTCCTCAGATGACCCTTAGTAAGCAAAATCTTTATTTATTTTCCTCCATTTCTTACAGGTGTTATACGGCTGTGGGAGAACGGACTTTCTTCTCACTTAATCATCCTGTACCCACTTTGCGACTTTTTGATATACTCCTCTTGCTAGTCCACAACATAATGGTCTTCCGCCCTTTTTTTATTTCCACCCTACCCCAATAAGCTTCATGCCCTAAGTGCTTTCATTTTTTCACTCCGACATTTATCTCCCCTTCGCTTGCTGCTATTCGTCTCTTATCTAATTTTGTCAACTTCTCCAACGATTCATTAGTTCTATGAGTCTATTCCTGTCGCTTCGCTTCAACGTGTTCTGACCGTTATCTCTCCTCGTCTAGCACGAACAATACCTCATCCCAGCCCCTTTCGTCCACAAGATCCGCAGAATCCCAAAGAATTACTGCCTTTCGTATCAAAAGTTACCTCGCCGATCCAGAAACTTCTGTTCCATTCGCAACCACGGTCAATACTACCAGATCCGGTGGTCATAAACAGCTCAATAAAGTTGCGGTCGCCGGGTACAGGATGGGTACCTTTCTGAAAGAGTTCGATGAGATTTTTGATGGTGATGCGGCCCAGGATAGTGGCGATAGAAATTATGCTTCCAAGGAGAGAACTACCACTAGCTCTTAAAATTCTTGCCTAGATGGTGTGTTGGTTGAAAGTTTGGATCTTTAAGGGAAGGTACCAGAACTATAAGGCAGGACTTGGATGGAGTAAGGAGATCGCTTGAACTGATGATTTTATGTAAACTTTCTGTTCTTTGACAATTACGGTGTATGGGATTGAGTGGATGGTGGCATGCTCTAGGTGGCGTATGTCAGGAGAAAATAATTTCGTTGACAAACAATTCAAAGCTTCTCCTTTTAATTATCGCTTAACTTTTGTGACATGTCTATTATTGAACCGTTTTCAATTAGTTGTACATCATATAATAGTCATGGAATAAGTGATACTCATAGAACGGTGAGACTAAAAATCGCTATGAGCCAATGTGTTGCTGCAGCCAACATGGTAAATTTTCGCTGCAGCCATGACGCAAAACGAACATCATGTGCAACACAAACCGCATATTGAAATCTCCCGAGGCACTTTGATGGAGATGGAAGAACCCATGGTTCAGTTATGGGTTTGTTGCTTTCAAATTCTCCAAATCCGATCGCTTTGTATTGCTCAGCATATCAAAGGGGTTGGTTAGTGATTCAACTATTTCTTCTACTAAGATGTTATTGATGGGACCCTTCAATTTCATATCGCAAACAATAAAATGTATGACTTTCGCGTTGTTTTCAAAGCCGATCGAAAAACTTTCCAGATTCTGCAGTTCATAAGGATTTGAAAGTAAATAACGATCGGCCACTGAATGCAGAGTCGTTACTGGTCAAAATAAATTACTAGATCTCCAGACAAAGGAAAGCAATCGATCGCGCGCCAGTAGGAGTTAGAGTTGTAGATATCCTAGTTATTTCCTGTTTTAGTGTCCCGGGATTTGTGCATAGTTCTTAACTCTAAATCTGTGAAAATTAGTTTAGTAGATTCTTACTCTTTATTACAAGGTAGTTTAGATAAATTATGTAAAGATTTTGAGTGTGATGTTGTCTTCTTACGAGTAAATCAAAATCGACAAGGGTCACGATTTGAGACCCTGACCCTAGTCATTCGGATTGAAATTGTACTCTACGCACGATTCAGCATTGACCTTATAACTAGGTACTTTTTCTTTTGCTTTTTGAAAGTCGGTAAAGCTATCAGCCGCGGCGACGTGCATGCATGCATACTACAGGGCCTTACAACATATTAGCATTATCATACACTATACTCAACCTATCAAATCGATTTATAAAACTTAATACCGAATTAAGCCTAAAAAAGTTCTCAAGTACCTATAACTTTATTCGAATTAATCTTTCGTAATCACTAGGTAGTCGGTTCAAGTGCAAGATTACAGGCCTCTTGTAGCGCTAAGATGCTGTGAATCCCTGGCGGTTACGCTTGGAATCACGATTTATGTAACACCCAATTGGAGGTGCGGTGGTGGGACACCCTCTTAGGCATTGGAAATTCGTTATAACTGGATGTAAGAAATCGAATGGCTTCATTATTATCAAGTCCATTGTAACGATCTGGTCGAGGCAGCGACTGCCTGAGTTTTCGTATAGTTGGTAGTTGTAGATTAAGGCTATTAATCATTGGTTATCTATTTGAAAGTGAATTCGTTATTAGATCAATTGGAATATAGGTAAACTGATTGATAATTAAGTTGAATACAAAGCTTCTAAACTATGAAATTATTCTGATTATATACTAATGAATAGAAAGGAGCTTTGTGGAGCCCAAGAGCTCCAAAAAGCTTCTGGAGTTTTAGAAGCTTTCCAAACTTTTAAGGCTCTTTATCATATGATTGATCCTGAGGCCTCTCCTTTCTTGGAATACTTATCCCAGGAGTTTTCCTTTAGGAACCACGGTTTTAGGATATGATATCCTCTAGAATGATTGTTCTATTACAGCCAATTAGTTAGGACATTTGTTTTATTCTAATATAGTTTCCTAGGATACTTATCCTAGAAATCCTGGGGTTCTATTCGTAAATGACTAGGCCCCCTGAAAGCAACGGTTAAATCACCCCCCCTGTAGTCGGCAGCTAAATCACCGACACTCATAATACCACTATAATCTTAGATGTAGGTGATTTGCGACAGGTATGTCAGATTTGATGTAACCTTTACATCGGATAGAGATATCTCTGTACGTACAGCAGTCATACGCATATAAGGTACATTTGCAAGGTTTCGTTTTGGGGGCGGCCGGTAAAGCGGAGAAGTTGGTCAGGCTGGTTCCACCAACAACAACGACATTGATGACCAGTGGGCACGGCGGTGTACTAGGTAAAGTGCATATGCAAGTAGTACATATGTAAGTTAAATCTTCCCGGGGGTTTTCAATCAGTTACCGAAAATGATCTGAAGAAGGCTTTGACATTTCCAGATATGTTAAACTAAATTGCAGGTAGATTTTGATTCTCAAGAACTTATATATATGGCTCTCTCTACTTCCTCAATAATATCCATCCTCCATCTCTCATCTCCCCAACTCCACTGTCTACTACAATTTTCGCTTTCAATCTCAAGTCTCTTGAATATATATACTCACCACGCGCAAATTCCCTGTGACAACATCACCATGTCCAGCCAAACTTCCAACATTGCCGTACAAGGCTCCGTCACTTCTGGGTAAGTTTATGCCCTTTCATTTGTCTTCCTGAGCCCTCTTCTCTTCCATATTATTCCTCCCATTCCATTTTTTTCAACCCTCATCCACTGCCCACTTTCAGCTGTGCATACTATCTCTTTTCATTTTGCTTTGTATATGCATTGCTGTCGTACTGCTGCTTCCTTTCCCGCTTCCTTTCCTCTCTTAAAGCCAGATCTTTTCTTATCGGACCATCTATCTTATTTCATTCTCAGTCCCTACATCCATCATCTGACTCTCATCCACACTCACTCGTCTTTTGCGCTCTTCTTCTTCAACGGCCACTCGTACCGGTTTTTTAACCACGCTTCTGCCTATGCCTTCTCTTTATCTATGCGACAACTCATTCTGTCAGACATCAGTCTCGGAACCTTTCATCATTCCTAACACATGTCATCCATTCTTTCTTTCGTAATGATCAATCTTCTCCCTACCTGCACTCATTCGTCAACCAATACATGCTCACATACCCCTTCACACTCAGTCACAACTACACTTCCACTTCCACTCCTCGAACATCCATCATCGAACAATCTCGTCTCTCGGCCAACCGCATCCAAACCTATCTCAATCACCCTCATCACTCTACCACCTATGCATCATCTACCCAAACCCACAATGACCAAGCATCAGTCACCCAACACTATACAACAGCTGCTGCCAAAAGCATCCAGGAGTTCGAGAATGCTTTTAACCCCAAGACTCGTGGTCATTAGCACTCGCCGAATTGTTTTGGATTTGGATTATGCATCATAACATGTACTCAGACCTTCATCAATCATTCACCAAGCCTACAATAATAAAATATCGATCTCCCAACCCTATGCGACCGCTGCTGCCTGCCGAGAACGTCTAGGAGTTCGATGATGCTTTTCATTAGCACTTGCCAAATGGTCTGGGCTTGGGTTTACTCGATTAGGGATATCACATGGGCATTAGGGAGGTGACTTTGATGACTCGCGACAAAGGTGTTCGAGTTTTAGATTTCGGGGTTTATGGGATAGATGAGGAAAGGAAATTTAAATGGATTGGATACAGGAACGGTATATAACGACCGGATAAACTTATGAGCGAAGCGAAGGAGTTGATGTACCTATTGGACGATACCTATGATTATATAATGTTGTAATAAATGGATGACCAGGGTTAAACATCAGATGATAATCCCACCCCTCAAGCGATATTATTGGTACACGTCAGGTTACGTCGCTTAATTCTGCTAGTCCACGACAAAACCCTATTGTGCACAGAACACCAAAACAATGGGCCATTGTGCACAGAACACCAAAACAATGGGCCATTGTGCACAGAACACCAAAACAATGAGCTCGTGGTAGAATAATTTGGTCGCTGACATAATCAGTACCGGGGTAAAAGAATTAGCCCACATATTCCGTACATACATCTGTGAACACATGAACCGAAGATCTGGTTCAGAAAGGAACCAAGAGGTAACACCATCTTGAATTAAAAATCTTCGTTCCTTATAGATATAGTCAAATATAAAAATAAAGCAAAAACCATCCATCAAATTAATCCATCTATTCATCGTTATTCTTCCTCATCACATACCATCCATCCATAATCAAGAATTTCATAAGTCGACCCTAAACCCCTAATCCACCCTAGGAAAGAAAGAAAGAAGGAAAGAAGGTAAAAACTTAAAAATCAAAGATAGAGACCTAGTTCTAAAAAGAAAAAAAAAAAGGGTACGCGTCAGACGGGCAAGCTCTTAGCTAAGCCTTACCCCAAATTAGCTCCTCCACAATCCGCTTCCTTCCGCAACGCACACGCCTCCGATCCACTAAACAACACTAATTCGTTCTAATAAACCAACCAATCGCTTAAGCACCAATCATCTTCAACGTTCCCATCCTAGGCGCTAACTGCGGCACGACCTCTCGAGACGATAGCTTCGATCGAGTAATAACCACATCGTCTACCAATACCATTCCGTCACTTTCTCCTCGACACTCTGTATAAATTTGGACCTTTGCGTCCGTTCTTCCGACGAGATTGTTTCGTGGCTTGTATACTAGGGTGTTTTTCTTCCATTTGCCTTTCTTTAATGGAGTGGGTACCGAACAGTATGTATCCTTGTTTACGCAGATTTGGAGCCAGCAATCGCGGGATTTGGCGGCTTGGCCCCAGGCAGTTAGGGTGAGGGATTTGGTTGTCGGGCAGATGGTGGTGGTTTGTTGGATTAGAGAGAGGAAGTCTTGGGTCATGGTTATTTGGCTGTGGGAGGTTTGTTGTTAGCCTGGGTAATTTTTTTTTTAAAAGAGGTGGAGGTGTGGATTAGAGCCAGGGTGGGAATGAGGGATACTTACAGGTAAGAGTTACCCGTGTGTGCAACAGCTGGATTGTTGATAACGACGTTACTCTTGGCGTTGGCGATACCGTCGCTTCTTGGGGCCCAGGGTGCCAAGGCTCCGGATTCAAAACCTCCGTTTGTGATTGTAGCTGCTGGGCACGTGGATATGGTGCTCGAAGATGAACTTGATGATGTACGGGTGGAGAATGAGGAAGGTGCGGCTGAGGAGGTTGGGAGGATGGAAGAAGCAGCTGAAGATGAGAATGGAGTGCTGCTTGGGAGTTGTGATGTCGTGGATGCGGCTGAAGATGAGATTGGAGGCTGGCTGGTCGTCGAGGCCGATGAACTGATCGATTGAGCAATGCTGGATATAGTACTGGATTCTTGGACTATAGATGAAGAGATGGATGATGATTCAGTGGAGCTCGATGGAAGATTACTGGATTGGCTGCTGGATGGCTCAACACTACTTGAGGTGGATTGAGTGGTCACAGATGAAGCAATCGATGATGGTTCAACTGAACTCGATGGAAGATTGCTGACTTGACTGCTCGATGGCTCAGCACTAACTGAAGTGCGTTGAGAGCTCGAGATAACACTTGATGAAGCTTGTTGAGCAGAAGAGAATGCCGAGCTGGTCGGTGGAACAGAACTTGGGCCTTGGGAGCTACTTGGACCGAAGGTTGATTCAGCTGATGATACAACATTACTGCTAGAAAAGCTGAATGATGATGATACTTCAGTCGAAGTGAAGGCAGAAGAACTCGATGGAATAGCACTAGATGGCACAGTTGTAGGATTGCTACTGCTTATGCTAGATGGCTCGGTTGAAGAAGAGATCGATGAGGTTGGTACCGAGGAGCTGGATGGGATGTTCGAGGAAGTCGCGGCAATTGAGGAAGAAGTAGCAGCTTCACTGGATGAAAGTACAGCACTTGATATGACTGATTCAGTTGAACTTGCCGATGCAGATTGAGGAACAGAAGAAGCAGAAGATGATATAGTACTACCAGGAGATTGAGCTGAAGACGAAGTAGCTGGCGATGAACTGATAGCAGAAGAAGATATGACGCGACGTCGGAGTTGATAAGTGACGATTGACGGGGGACCGGCACGACGTGAGAATCTCCTTGCGGGTGAATTTCCTCCACAAGATTGAGATGGATCATCTGGACATTGGTAGTTACAAATACCATCCGCTTGACCGAGATCATATCCATTGGAACAATAGCAATGGCCTGGCTCGATACCCATGAAGTCGAATGCTTCACCATTGTTGGCGGTGGAACAAAATAATGCACAGCTGGCGGGTGAACCAACTACTGACGGATCGGTGCTGCCACCAATTGGTGTGGGAGGTGGGGTCAATGGGAAACCATTGTAAGTGGAATCTATGTAGCAACCCAATTCCACATATTCACCAACTGAAGTATCGATGATTGGGACTTGTGTTGGTGCAGGGATGGTTGATCCTGTGGTGGTAGCACTTGAGCTTTCTGCAGTGGAACTCGACAAAATAGCACTTGAGCTTATTACAGCAGATGATGAGGCGGCAATAGAGGATACAGCAGAAGTAGAAGTTGGACCGAAAGAACTTAGCGAACCGCTGGGCGCAGGTGTGGATTCGGAGCTTAAAGCAGAAGATGTGACGGGAATGGAACTCAAAGTTACTGTTGATTGTGAACCAGATTCAGTAGATGATATACTTTCTGGGGCTGAGGATGACGATACTGGAATCGTGGAACTGATGGCGATATAACTTGAGCTTGATGGAAGACCACTTTCGGAGCTTGAAGCCAATGTCGAAGATGCGAATGAAGATTCAGAGGCAGAGACAATTGAGCTACCGGAGGCGGTTGCTGATGCTGATGCCGATGCCGATGATGATCCGGAGGTAATAGAGCTAGCGAAACTTGATGATGGCTCAGAAACGATCGAGGATGACACCGATGGGATCAAAGAACTTAGAACAACAGAACTCGAAGCTGCAGAGGAAAAGCTCGAAGCACTTGTTTCAACAGCAAAGCTTGATGAAAGCACGGCTGAGCTTGAAATTACTGGCTCAGAAGAGAAGCTGCTACTAGTGACAGGTATTGAAGTCGATGATGGCTCAGAAACGACCGAGGATGATACTGTAGGGATCAAAGAGCTTAGAATAACCGAACTCGAAGCTCCAGAGGAAAAGCTCGAAGCACTCGTCTCAACAGCAGAACTTGATGAAAGGAAGGCCGAGCTTGAAACTACTGGCTCGGAAGAGAAGCTGCTACTAGTGGCGGGTATAGAAGTCGATGCCTCAGAAACAGTCGACGACGGTACTGATGGGATCAAAGAGGAGGTTGAAAGAACAGAACTGACAGCTCCAGAGGAAAAGCTCAAGACGCTCGTTTCAATAGCAGAGCTTGATGAAACAATGGTCGAGCTTGAAATTACTGGCTCCGAAGAGAAACTGCTAGTTGCGGCTGGAATTGACGTCGAAATTCCGAAATCTGAGCTGAAAACCGATGTGAAAACCGCCGATGAGAGACTTTCCGTACTGCTGACTTCAGAAACTGAGCTAGGGGCTGCGGATACCAACGTAGAAAGTGAGGCACTGCTTCCTGAGAAGGAAGATATCTCAGATGCAACTGAACTTCCAGCAGAAGAAATTGCGGATTGACTACTGGAAATTGTAGGTACGCTACTGCTGAGAGGGACTGAATCCGTTGGTACTGCCGATGATGAGGAGACCAAATAACCGGAAGAAGTAGCTACGCTTGAGAAACTGGATTGCTCGGAAAAGGTAGTAAAGGCTGATGTCGATGTTCCCACAGCCGCCGAGGAGGATGCTGGAGCTGTGGACTGAACGTTACTGCTGGTTTCAACAGTTTCCGATGATAAAGTACTACTGACCGAAATATATACTGAAGACACTTGCGATTCCGAAATGCTGAAAGTTGAAAGTACCGATGATGGGAGTACCAATGATGAGAACACCGATGATGGAATTGCCGACGAGGAGAGTACCGATGATGACAACACCGAGCTCGAAATAGTTGGAAGCACACTGGCTTGAGATGAGACAGAACCAATGGATGAGGGAAAGCTTCCAGAACTGATCGCAGTCGAAGTTGATGCTGGCAATCCGCTACTCGAAAGTGATACTGGAATACTGCTACTCACAGTCGGAATCGAAGTCGATTGACTGGAGAAAATTGGCTCGGTACTGGTTATCGATTCAGATCCCAAACTAGATGTAGCAAAAGCCGAAGATGTTGCGATACTAGAAGGTGGCACCGTTGGACAATAACTTGGAACGACAGTGACGGTGACTGTCACCGGAAGTGGACAGTTTTCTTGACGGGGTACAAGATCCCGATGTTGAGGATGACGACCTTCTAATTTGATGCTTGCACTTGCAACACCAAAGGTGGCGGCCAAGAATAAAGAATCTCTTAACGAACGTGGTGCCATGATTGCTTTGAGCAAAACGAGTGATGCTTAAAGATTGGCGTGGTCGCAGCTCCAGAAAGATGGAGGACTTAAATGTAAAAAGAAGGACAATTTATGATGAGAATGAAGGAGAGGTAAGAAATGGATTAAGGTAGGGAATATTGAAATACTAAATACCTGGACGTCTAGGCAAATACTTGAAGCCACCAAGGGGTAAGAAAAAATTCTTATGTCTCTCGACAAGATAGCACGGCATAAAAGTTGATTCAGGCCAGCTTGGAGAATATGGCTGAAAACTATCAACCATAATTATGGAAAGAGATCGCGCATGTACAAATTGTGATTCGAATATAGAGGGAAAAGAGATACATCGAATTGAATGTAGGAGTTTATAGTGAGACATACAGCAGTAGTCTATAGATAGGTCTCAAAGGTTGATAAATCCGGGTAGAAGATTTCTTTTTTTGCATCACGCCACCAATAAAATAATACTTGGAAAATCTTAATAATGTAAGGGCAGGAAGATGAAATTTCCTGCTACCAAGACGGCTTTCAGCCTATAGTTGCTATGAGATGGGATCTGTTTTTCCAAGAGTCTGGATTGCGATCCGATTATTGAACGTTGAATTTGTTTTGAGCATTGCGGAACATGGAGCATTGAAAGCATCTTAAACATTGAAATTGCATCGAGCACTGGGAATCATTTGGGGTGTGTAATTTGTCTGAAGATAATGGCTTCTTCAAAACAATTGAAGTATTTTCAAAGCTTGAAAGTTGAAGGTATCTAAACTGCAGTCAGGCAGGATCTTTCCTCGAGAGTATCGGCATAATGGCATGACTTCAGAATCCAAACTCGCCAAAGACCGACAGACTGAGCAGGAGTCCAATGTAATAATGAAAATTCTGATGCAATTCTGAAGGGGCGTACATGTTCCCAACAACATATGCGGGCGCATTGGAGGATGGAAGATTGATAAAATGGAGGACGACATGGAATAATCAGGCTTCAATCGAGACCGAGACTATCAAACATGTAATTTTTGTATGGTGATGATTTTTGAAAGAATACAATTTAAAAATGTATCGACACAGCTTTGAATGAATTTCATCTACTTGATGTTTATACCTAAGCTTCAATGATTGATGTGTTTGGATCGATCTTACTCTTAATACAATAAATGCAGCTGATGATGATTACGAGTTATTATCTGACCAATAGACCTGACCAATGATCTGATCTCGTGACTTGGTGTTTCGGGAATAAACTTGGCAGTCACGAACGCGAACTCTTTTTGAAACTTCTTTTTCGCGAATTGAATAAAATATTATGGGATGATTTCTTTTTGTTGTTGTTATTCTTCTTTTTCTTTTTCTTTTTCTTTTTCTTTTTCTTCTTCTGCTGCTTCTTCTATTTCTATCTATATGGGATGATAAGAAAAGAGGAAAAGATAGACACATCCAACACGTTGGTCTTTTTTATCTCGCATCCAGCTATTTGCTAGGTATGTACTGCATATTCCTTCCTTTCTATTCCTCATCCAACCCAATAGTAGAAAATAACTTAAACAACTGCGAATCTTCTTTTCTCTACCTTTTCCTCACTTTTCCATCCGAAATCTTATTTCTTGTACAAATAATTTCCTTCGTCGTCGACTTTGTTCTATGAAAATACTATTGCAGACGCGCCCAAAAATAAATCCATCATATTTCGCTCCTGATCTTTCGACCTGTCAAATTAAGTGGAAATTAAGAAAAGTGCTGCATTCGCCACGATGATTGATCAATCAGATACCGGAAAGTCCTTGGATGTCAAGCTACGTATAGCACAGAGAAAAGCTGAAAAAGTCAAAGAATTGCGAGCCAAGGCATTGGAAGAAGCTAAAGTACTAAATGAGTTGAAGTTAATGCAAGATGCCAATGGGTTCACTTCTATCTCGTCAGCTATGGTACCGCTTCCTCGGGACGAGATGCGCATCATATCTGAGGAAGAAAAGGATGATCATGTTGCAATAAAAAATGCAAAGGCAAAAACCAACCTTGATTCAGATAATGAAACAGCCTTGACCAATACAGATTCTACTCTTCCGCCTCAAAAGCCAACCATCGAGTTCGATAATCAAAATCGTACTTCATCCAATCCGAAGCTTCTGAAAAGAGAGTCTCTCCCAGTCACAAAGTCATCGATTATACTCATCTCAATTGATCCTGACAAGCGACGATTCTTTCAACCCTTGGCAGATGCTATCACATCGTCCAGTGCTGATCAACTTGGCAAAATATTGTTGCGTTTATGTGTCAAGTATCCAGATGCTAGAGCTGTGGTCGAATCTTTTCTTGCAGATACTAGTGATGAAGATATCATCAACAATCCGACTGTCACACCTCAATTAATCCGCAAGAATTCAAACCCCAAAGTCCACCAAGCCCCACAAAGCTTACCCCTCATCAAAAAAGTCACAAAGGATTTGTTACCGCCAGCTTCAAAACAGAAGGTAACATTGGAAGAGGAACCAAGACCACCTACCATTCTGAAGTCTGCCAAAAAAGACCCGCCATTACCACCAAGCCGATTCCATGTTACGAAGTCTGCTAGAAAGGATTCAGAACAATCACAACAACAACAACCAAAACACATCTCTGCTCAGACTACGGTGGCCAGCGTAAAGCGCAAACGGGAAGAGTCTATTGATACTTCAATTGTCACTCAGTCACTGAAGAAATCAAAACCTTCTGCAAGTGACAATTCAAAAGATAAACAGATACAGTCATTACCAGAAAAGAAGTTTGTCATTCCTAAATGGTCAAAGATAGATCCTTCCTCAAAGTGGCATGAATATACACCTCCAACACCCAAGATGTCGTCAAAACCTCCGAGTACACTCGAAGGTACGAAAATCAAGAGCACATTTGAAAGTTCGAAACCCAAGGCAATAAACCCTTTGCTATCACTGTTTGATTCCGACGATTCCGAAGGAGAATCATCCTCAGGTAAATACCCTTGCACAGTTAATTCTTGTCGGAAAGTTTTTGCTGCGTCACGTAATTTGGATCGACATATGAAAGCTGTACATGAATAAGAAGGGAAACCATTCGGATGTTCTCTTTGCACCTGGCAGTTTGCTCGCCGAGATTATGTTCACAGACATCTCGAATCTTCTCACACTTCGGCCGGATTGAAATGCAATGCTTGTGGATTTACGTATCGAGACGCAGATACTTTGAATGCATATATGAGATCGAAACATGGTGTAAGGCTTATTGAGGAAAAGAGCAAGGAATTGTCAACGCCGCCAAATACTATTAAGAAGAAAGTCAGTTTTCAGGATGAGTCGAGGAAGCCTTGAATTACCTGAGTTGTCGACATGCCACGGACATCACTTGACTCAACCTCCAAAGAAGACTTTCCCCCTGGTTGCATCGGACTCGAACATTTGTGAGTGACAGGGAGCATTTGGTCTGAAAGACAACTACACACTATAATAGCATCCAAAGTACACCAGTGTTCATCGACTAAAGAGCAATATATATCCGTCACGATTTCTGTAAGATTACCCGAAAACTCTTTTCCTCAAGTACATGCTCGTGTAATTGAACAAAACTTACTAATGTAATTGAAAAGCAGAAGCGCAATTTTCCGTTGTCAAAGTAGTGTCCCGAATTCATCGCACACAGCTGAAACGATACTTTCGGCAATAGTTTCTTCTACATATTACCTCGAAATTTATATCTTTCCTTTTCAGATAATCAACTGCAATTACATACGACGCGTCGGATTGCTGATATTGGTTAAGAAGTACGATAAGTGCTTTGATAAATAGCGATGGAGGATTTACTTGAATCTGAAATGTATTCGATGTTGTAGCTAGCTGCGCTTGAGGTATAGCTGTTGTGTTGTTTGTTGCATTGTATTGCATTGCATTGCATAGTAATTGCTGTGAGGAGATTAGCTAATAGAAAAGGAATTAAAAACTACTGATGGAAGATTATAATTCTGAGAATCTTTTGCGTGCTGTGATTTATTTGTCTCACTGCTGTGAATGATATTTTTTAAGATATTTTTGATTTGATGAGGCTGGGATGAATAAATAAATAAATAAATAAATAAATTATTAAACCTTTTATAGAGGATTTAAATCAAAAATAATTTAATATTCATTTTGTTTAGATTTAAATTTAAATACTAACTATAAACATTTTAAACTTTTATAATATAATTAAATCTAATATTCTACTTTCAGACCATCTTTGAATTCGGATCACTTTTTATATTAAAAATCATGATTTTCAATTATTAATAACTTTGTTTTTACTGGCTGTGTTATCTATAATAGCAATCAGGTTGTAATAAACATCAAAAAAATAAATCGTTATTTGAAAGAGGTAGAATGGTGCATACATATATTTTTGCTACTTCGAATTCTCTAAAATCATATCCTTGATTTTTGCAATCGCGAGATGATCCCCAACCATAGTATCCATATATTCAGCTTCTACCCAGCCTTCTGTACGACCTCCATCAAAATCTAACACTATCAGATTATCATTTTGATCGATAAGGATATTATCGGGCTTTGCATCCCCCCAGACGATGCCTTCTTGATGAATTTCGTCCGCAGTTTTTTGAAGTTGCAAGATCCACTTATGTTTCAAGGATGCTGATGGCAACTTTTTCATCGCATCTGGTAATGTTCCCCCTTTGATGAAGTGTGTAAGAAAACCGAGTATAGGACCATCAGAAGTATCTTGGACAACAGCATAGAGTTGTGGTATTCGATTGTCCTTCCCCAAAACTGTATTCTTTAGCCTGAATAGAATTCCGATCTCCCTTTCCAAGCTTTCTCTATCCAAAGCTTCTTTAAAATAGTATTCCCCCGAATTTTCCACGTGAACTTTCGATAGTCCATCAGCCAATGCGAAATCCATCCAAGAGGATTTGGTATAATAATGATTTGGGATGAAGCGATTCGTTTTATATCAGGATAGAAGGTATTGGGGGGGAATGAGATTCTTGGTGTGAATTGAGCTTCTATTCCGGTATCAAAAGTCATTAACTCTATTACTGGCTTTCCATTGACATCAGCTAATCTGTGAAGACGGAACTTCGCTGCAGGCCAGAAATATTCTTGTAAGCTCCAAGGCTTGAAAATTGTTGGAGCCGGCGCCAATGCTGGAAAAGCGGAATACATGGTTCGGCCATCCAATCGTAGAGGGCCTCTATATCATTGTCGACATTTTCGACAATTTGTTCGAATTCTTGGGCTGACGAGCCTTGTAGATCTCTCAACTTTGCTGTGATATAAAAACGTCTGCCATTACACATAATGCACATAGATATGTTTTTATTGACAACAAGGAAACTCGAAACCGGATATCGAATATCGTTTGATTCCTGGTGCCTATCCTCCGATTCTAATACTGAAGACATCATACAGGGATAATAGAACTATGATTTCCAATCCGTCAATTGTTCAGTTAGGATTATAAGATATATAGTTACATTTCTTTAACGGGTGAGGGGCTGAAGTAGGATGGTTTCTTTACTTTCTTCCGTTATGGCTCCAATCTTTTAATCGTGGTGTTGTTTGTTTGCTTGTTGGTTGACGTCTGAGTTGGAATTGTAGTAGATAGAAATAATGATATTGGATCTGATCACGAGTAGTAAACTATTACAGTTAGTGCATATTCTAGCCGAGGTATGGCGGATTTCAATGCACCAAGCTCTCAAAATTCTATTCATCGCAAGAAAATTGAAGTGATATAAGAGATGAATATATTCAAATATGATAACTTCTTAACTAGACGTCATATACTAAAACAAACATTATAGATATAAAAGTGAAAGTAGCACCAAGGAAATCAATGATGAGTACCGCAACCCACCCCCACCCCCACTCCACCTCAACCCCAAAAGTCTAGAAACTACTAGCCTTCACAAAGTTATTCTCAAAATTAGCATTCTTGAAAGGAACATTCGCCTTTCCAAAATCCGTATTCTCAAGCGCACTTTGCGCAGCTGCTGGAAGAGATTCCCACGCAACCATAGGTTGTCGTCCACCCTTAGTACTGGTAAGACCACAGGAGTGATCGAGGGGCCAAATGCCTTCATATTTAATGAGGGGCGCTGTGCCAGAGAGTGTATATTGGTTTCTGGTACAATCCCAGCCTCCGTGTGCGGATGGACAGACGGCGACGATGTTGCTGGCGGCTGTGGAGGTGGAGCTGCTGAGCCAGAGGATTACTCCTTCCCAGTCGTGGCGGTGGCCGATGCCTGTTGAGGGCTCGTCTTTGGGCATATACCTGCTTGGGGTTAGCTTGGAGGTCTTATGATGCTTTCAGGATGGGCTTACCAGGAATACATTAGACCGTAGTATGAACCGTTTTGAGCGCCTCGAACATATACTTGTCCGGTACTGCTACTGCAACCACCGTTGCTACTGCCGGTTGGTTTTAAACCAGCACTGAGAGATGTTAGAAACTCAATTATCGTTTCAAAGAGGTTAAGAGATTTCATACTTTGTGTTTCCCTTGGCATCAACGGCGGGGAATGGTACGCATCCATTTACGACATCGAGATATGGTTTGTAGGCTTCATAGAGTGTGCCTACGGCACCACTAGGAACAGTTTCAGGAAATCCCACAACGGTATCGGAATCGATTTCGGCTCGTGATTCAAGTTCTGATGGGGTGGGAATGGCAATGGCGGTAGTTGCCAAGAGGGAGAGGGAAAGGAGAGATCTGGCAAAGGCGACCATGATGAAGAATATTGCAAGGATTCTTGGTTTCTGAGAGAAGAGGAGAAGGATTGATGAGAGTACAGATTGGTTTGAGCAAGAAGGGACATGAAGCTCTTTATAACTGCATATTTAAGCTTTCATTTTATATCCCCTGGAATGAATTGAGTTTTTGTTAGGGACATTTTAAAATTAAAGATCCATCCTCCTCCGGCTGTTCAACCTTCATGATTATGACGATCACCTACTGGATATATCCCCAATCGGCAAAAGTGTTCTGGGCACGTTGCATTTGGATGTCAAAGATGGGCATTATCACCTCGTACATATTCCACCCATACCACCTACCAGATTCTCCCAAGAAAATACGGGGCCGACGAAAGCGTGCTACCATCTTCAGGTGCTGGAAGTACCGGACAGATGTTATACCGTGTCTGCAGACAAAATGGACAGCAGATAAGAAGCGGGGCTCGGAGAAGCTTGTATTAAATAGGTAAGAAGAGCGATGGTGGTACATCGGCGTTGGAGTTGATCACCACCGTTTGACCGGATCAGAACACGTTCCCGGAATCCTAAAGAGTGGGGTATGGGGTTTTCGTGCGTAAAAAGCTTATGTTTTTATTCAACCAGTTGATGGCTTGGTTCTTCCCACGGTGTTACCCGTAGATAGTAGGTAGTACTAGTAACGCTGTACCTACAGATGTGCAGATGAGGGGTGTTACCCCTTACAGTAGGTCACTTTTTCAATATTATGCGGTCACTGACTAGAAAGTATAAAAGTTCCAAACGCTAGGAAAGTCATTGTTCTTATTGGTTCCACTGACCCATTTTCAAGCCTCCCTTCCCTTCTTAACTATCACCGATCTAACGGTTGGGGTTTAGGAAATACTTTTTGACCGCACCAATAGATGACCAGATGATCGTAATCATTCCCTCCCGAGACTCAACCGTGTAGGCGTACGAGGACGACAAGCGGTATACCGGCTAAGTTTGGGTGATACAAAGAAGCGATTTGGTGATCATGAATGATGTTAATAAGGTAGGGATTAATATTAGATAGGAATATTGTGTGGATGATCAAATGTGTAGGTTCGTTCGGGTTGGCAGAAAGCTTGTAGGTCTAGAGTCTTTATGCACGGACTTGCAATATTTAAGCTTTGATCGGGTGGCTTGATAATATAGGTAGGGTTATCAAGACTCTTGGGTATTATGTTATATATATATGGATTATGGTTAAATGTTGTGAACTATGGAGTATATTGAGACATTTATTGAACTTTATTATATAACCTTATATATATATATATTTGCACAATAAACTCCGATTGAACGGATTAGGTAAGATCTTACCTTCCAACGTTGGACATTCTGTGTAGACTTATTCGAGATAGCATTCTTAGATTGATATCTCTACCTGATATAACTTACCTCACTCTATTGGAATTCATCACAACTCCAACCTCCATGAAGGATCCCACCACAAACTCACCGTCATTTTTACCTCCATACGCCACAAAGGTTTTACCATACATTATAGCGGTTAGCTGATTTGCATCATCGCATGATGTGGATATGACCCGACCTCCAACTTTAACACTGCATTCTTTGATGAAATCATACGGCTGTGAATGATTAGAGTTTATAACAAATTGCTTCTTGGGACTCTAGGCTTAAGATTGTGGATAACGGCTGTGGATAAGGTTGTGGGCTGGGGACTGCGGGAAAGTTGTGGATCGTGGATATACTCCATAGCGGTGATGAAATGGGATGGGTAACAGAGAAATCTATATTCTTTCTAGAAGGAGGAGAAGTGGGACTTGAGTGGTGGTAAGTATCTCTTTGTTTGGTACTTGTGTAGATTAGTAATCTATGAGGTAAAAAAGCGGTTTCAATTACACTAAATTTATATAACACATATTGAAAGTGGGCACAAATATTTCAACTCTAATAAACTTTTTTCTTTATACAGAAGATCTGCATCAACCAAGTCTGATGGATTTGTGAACTTCATAATCAAAGGAATGGATAGTTCTATGTTGAGACAAATGGAGCTCAATAGAGTATTTTGCTGGTGTAGATTCCCTCCAAGAAAGATATATTTCCACTTCTTAAAAATCTCCTCTTCAATCTCTTCTTTCTTTTTTCTTCTTTCACTCCTAGTGATCGAAATAATGTATTTCATTTTCGTTTGAGATACAGGCGCGGAAAAACACTATTGGAAAAAGAGGAACAATTATTTTTGATATAATAAATAAGTACACTAGATTTAACTTTGTATAAAATAATTTTTCAATTAATTTCATTTTTAGTTCTTCTTTTCATCATCTTTCCTTCTTTTGTTTTTGATATTCATGTTCAGCTACATCTACCTCTCCACTCCTAACCTATACCTATGAACATTCCAACTACTCCTCCGACACTTGAACCAGATATTAACACAAACTTCTCCTCTCCTACAAGGTCGGAGAGAAGGGAAGGGGAATGTATAATAATCGTACAATACCACAAACAGCTCATGTCTGAATACAATATAACATCTCAATCAGCCCAGTAATAAGTCATTCTTTACAACCAGTATCACCAAACCCATTTATTCCTCTTACAAATTAAATCAAACATTCCATTAATCCTAGACCTATCCATCGAAACTTTATAACCCTAAGCTCTATACTATATCAATACGAGCTTTAGGTTTCCCCTAATAAAGCTTCAATTCACTTCCTTACATTCTCCTGTCTAGCCAGAGGAAAGTTGGGAGACTTCAAATTTCACCGGGGTTTGTTTTCATATAGTTCACTCATATTTTGATCCGAGTTGTTGCTGTATCCCGTTGAATCTCTTCCATATCTGCGATGTTGGTACGGCAGATTTTGAATGTATCTATGTTTCTATTCTAAAAAGTCAATGTAGCTTCGGCATTGGAGAATGTGATGGAGTAAAGTGGAGGAATATTTATGAGAAGTTCCTGAATTTTATCCGCTCAGGATGAGAGGGTATGTGACTTGCACTTATTACAGCTCCTCTGCTCTTACCTATGTACCTATGCACCTGTCTCATACCATGTACCAGTCTCATCAGGCACTTCTGGTCCCCATCACTCTCAAGGTATCCATATTTCTATTCATCCAGGCTAGATTGTATCCCGTAAGTAAATAATGAGAAGTTATTTCAAACATTTCAAATCTCTACTCCACAACTAATCTGCTATCCCTTCCCTGATATTTTCCCACCGATATTCTAATCATCTTTCTTGTATTTTCATTTACTTATATTTACTCCCCTTCCAATCTTCTCCTCCTCACCATCCTCACCATCCTCACCATCCTCCTCCTCCTCACCATCCCCACCATCATCATTCCATTCTCCATCCTCTATTCCATTCATCTTCATCTTCTCCATTCATCCATCTTCCAACCTTTTGATCTTTCCATCTGATACCATCCATCCTTCTTCATCCATCATCTCTTCATTTTCAATTCCCTTCCATTCCTCTCCATTCTCCAATCCCACCACCTAAAATGCCGTTCCATTCCACCTTCCAACACCATCCAAACCATGATTTCCATTCCACGGCCCCTTTAATTCCTCCTCCCCTTCCTCCCACTCCGCCCACCTTATATCAAACCATATCCATCTCACCCCACCCATCTATCAATATATAAACCCTTAAATCCCACATAAACGCTTCCTACCTATCCATCCATAATTCTCCTTCTACCATTTCCTTCTCATTCTTCATCAATTCATTACCTCATTCTTCATCCCATTCTCCACTTTATCCCCAGTACTTTAATTATTAGCCCCACTCCATATCATACCGCTAAGGTTATCATACCATACTATATCACTCCACACTATATTATTCCATCCCTATTCTTCTTGTTAGACCCTGACGATCCCTATTCCCAAATCTCCATCAACTCTACATCACACCATACCAGAAAAAGACCTAGATCGAATGTCAATTGTCGGTATACCCACCCGCACCCTTAATTACAAATCCGTCACATACTACCCTCACCTCTCTATTCTTCTCTTACCTCTATATTACCACTCCCCAACTCCCACACATCCATAAAATTCTAGCCACCCCATCCCCTCATCCTCATCCTTACCCTTACCCTTATCCCAAAACCCACAACATTAACCTCCCCACCCATTCTATTTTTTCCATTCTCCCCATTCCTACCTCCTACTCAATCACTCCCTTCTTTTCCATCCATAAACCTATCATTCAAAACCCTTCCTACAGTCTATGCCAACTCCTATCAACTATCCTCAAAATTCACAGTCAAAATAAACAAATTACTACTTTTATAATTACAAAAATTAATAGTTTAAAATAAATGTAATCAATTGAAAATTTATATGTAAATTTATTTTATATTAAAGATTTTATATTAAAGATTTTATATACTATATTGTTATTGAATAAAAATAATAATATTTTAATTGTTTATATAATATAAAAATCTTTTTAAAAGTTTTGATTTTCATTTATTTTATTAATAAATATCAATAAAAATTTTTTTTTTAAATTGATTTGATTTTCAATTTAGATTCTATAATAAAATTTATTTTTATATTTACCCTGTCTTACAATTTTCAATCTTTAACCCCGGATTTAGTCACCTACCTAATTATCACTTAACCAATACAATGCAATCCCCCATTTGATCTTCTGATCGTTTTTGGGGCTACAAAACATCAAATACCTATCACTTGCCCTACTCTCCCACCGCTTTTATCTTCTTACCCTCCTATTCCTTCTCTTTATCCCAACATCCCGATCTTTCCTTCCAACCCCTATTCATTAAGCTTTATTCCCTTCCCATCATCACCATCAATCCCAACCCCATCCTCAACTCCACCTTCAAACCCCAATAATCTACATTCTTCGACCACTCACACCTTAACCTCAACCAAAATAAAATATATATAAATTAAACATCCATCCATCTCCTTTTCTCCGACCCACCCACCTACCCACCTTTCTCCTCCTCATTCCCATCCCCTCAATCCGCAAAACTTATACCATACTCATTCACCCACTCACCCATCTATAAACATCCACAACCCCCACACCCCATAATCCACCCCTAGCAAACAAAAAACCTCATCATCAATATCAATAACCACATTCAATAACCACATTCAATAATCACATACACTATTACCCCCCACCCATATAAGAATACTCACTAATACTGTATAAAAAAAGCACACACACATACACACACACACATACACACACACACACACACACACACACATAATACTTCCACCCATTCATTCCCTAATAACAACATTCCGATAAACTTCCTTCCTACTATATACGAGTAGCTAATGGCTAATGGATGATCAAAATCATCTTTCAATTCCCATATTTCCATATCCCTTTAGCCTCATATCCCATATCCCATATCCGAGCAAATATAGCTACTAGCTTTTTATATACATATGTTATATGCAAGCATACAACCCTACTATTTCGCCACAAGAAAAAGATTCATCCCACCGCTCATATCACAAGTAAGTAGGTATATCGCGATTGCAAACTCCAAGATAAACTGCTGGATCCGCTCCACTTAACAATCCGAAAAAATCACATCCTACATCAATCATATCATCCTTCAACCAAGTAAACCCTTCTCCACCCCTCCATTCTGCATTCTCCCACCTCCACCTCCCCTCTCCTCACCTCCATCCTCCTCAAAAACATACCTCTCACATCTCTGAGTAACCCTCCCACACCACGGATCTACCCACTTCGTCCACGCATTAGCCAAGACATATAAAATGACAAACCAAATAAACAACATCGAATACCATCTCCATCTACCACACATATGCAATACACCTTTTACCATTTCACCCTTCTCATTAATCGAATCTTCAGGCATTGATACACCATATAGCATCCATATTAATAATGTTCTCAAAAGAGTTCCATGAATAAGATAGACTGCGAAACTATTTTTTCCGAACCAGAGGAGATAGCGATTTGAGAGGAAATCTTTACATAGCGGGGAGAAATGGATACCGAGGGCGATTAAATCGAGTCCGATACCAGAGTAATAACGTGGGATATCCGGGTCGTTGGGGAAAATCCAGAGTGAGAGGTTATGGAGGGATTGGGACCAGGGTTGAAGTTCGGGTTTACCCTCTGGATAAGAGGCGAATATTAAGCCTAGGAGCATGAGTGCCGGGGCTAAATAATAACGTGGCCATGTGACTGTTGTGAGCCATTGGGTATGTGGTGGATGTTGAGAGAGGTCAGAGAGAAAAGTTCCGAAGAAGAATTGCATTCCGAATGCAGCTGAAGGATGAATTGGGTTAGTGTTTGGGTAATTGCATGATAAAAGCCATGACTTATGAAGTAGGCCAGGAATAACCACCAAAATAAAGACAAAACTCACAATCATTCGCAACATAAAAATAAACAAACAACGCCATACTAGACATCATCCTGTACCTCGGTTTCATCCCACCAGTCCCCAACATAAAAACATAAACCAACATGGCACCCTTCAGCAACGGTAATAAAGTCCATTGATTCCCATCATAAATATTCCACCCCCTCGTCCAAGTCGTAATTAAATGATACAACAAACTCTTAACCGCATCGCCAAAATAGGGCGTAATATCCGGAGACGTCGCTTCAATCCACCAACTATCCGATCTTTTCGCAATTTTATAAATCCCAAATTGACACAAAAACCAAATGATAGTGGTAGCAATAGTAGTTGGTAAAACCAGCCGAGGAACACGACGAAACGCAGAGCGAGAAATAGTACTGAAACAAGCCGGCTGATTCCCAGCTCGACATTGTCGAATAGGTTTAAGAGCGCATACGTATCCCGTTACGAGGGAGAAAATAGTAACTCCAATACGTCCCTGGACGAGAACTCGAAGGATGGGAAGTTGAAAAAATCGAGGTCGAAGTCCCTCGCCGGAGCTGGGGAGGAAAAGGTCGCTATCGAAGGCTCGGGCGATATGAGTGGAGACTACTAATAGTGATGCGATTCCTCGAAGACCCTGAATATTGTTATTAGTTTTTTGATCATGAATTGGTAAGAAAGTTAATTAATGGAATACGGAGTAGATAATAAGGTTGACGAAGAGAAAGAACATACATCGACCCATTTAACGTTTTCATGTTTAACAGTCATGATGGTGATGATTGTAAAGATTGAAAGAAACTTTCTAAACACTCGAGCTCCTCCTTCAAAAACCGGATATGCATTCCAATTTATGAATTTGGATTTTCGATCAGATGCTCCGCATATAACGAAAGAAAGAAGAACTAAATAAAATGAAACTCGCAAAGAAGTCAAAAGTTCATGTGATGTGGATACTCTTTCCTCTTCTATCTTTTCCTACTTTTCCTGTCCCAACAATTTATGGCAAAAGAGGCAGGTAACGTAACCTTACTTCTGCCAAGCGCAGAGAAATATATATTTGGAAGAGGGGATCTCTATGCCGTCGATAGATTTGGTAGATTACCTAGGTATTAAAAGATGCAAGAATGCAAGAATGTAAGAATGTAAGAATCAAATTGAATTGAATTAAATTATCAGATAAAGTTCTGGTAAGCAGGTATCGAATGTGAAAAGGTGGAAAGAGATAAAGTAAATGCGGATCTGTACTTTCATATATAGGTACAGTATGAGTATGGTATGTACTTGAATTAATTGAATTAATTGACGGGTTAAATACAAATAGCATAAGACTTACAGAGTAATACCTATTAAATATCATTCGGATACAAGCATAACCTTAGAGGTAACTTGCAGGAGTGATAGTACAGCACGGTTGATTGGTCGCCAATCATAGCGAAGCCTGATCTAATTCTTGGGCGGTATATCTAGTATTATCATTGGAAGATAATGGAAGGTTAATCGAAATACAATCGAAAACTAAATGGACATATAGCTTCTTTAGTCAAAGTACATTGTTGAGAGGATGAAAAGCACATGGGGATATACAAGAAATAGCTGCACAAAAGATCCCGATATCCGACTTGGGATTGCCAAACCATGCATGATTCGTAGATGCATGATCTTGGGAGTATACAAATTGTTGGTTTCTATACAAGTGCAATTCCTTGATTTCTTGGTATTTTTGAGTTTTCTTTGGTCCCTTATTTCGGTGCTTCACAGATACAAGTACCGGTACTACTCTAATTAGGTGTGTTTTGACTGACGATCTGAAATAAAGGTTGTCTAAGTACAAAGTAAAAGATACCAAGCTCCCCCATATCAAACGTGATTAGATTACATGTGTCTACCCATTCTTGTATAGGAAGTAGCATAACGGATATTCCCACTGTTATCGCGGGGTGGTTTCCATTTGTGGGTATTCATTTACAGAGTGTGCGATAGTGGAAGTGGGTAATGGAGTTGGGGTTTCTAGGCTTAAAGGTTTGAAAGCTTCATGTCTGATAGTAAGTAGATACCTAGGTAAGTCTTACCTAGATACCCATTACTCTATTTCACGATCACTGTCACTCTCTTATAACTAGATATCGACCAGATCCTTTCATCCCACACTCAATTAAATCCCAGACCTTAAACCCCAAGTTTCAGAACCCCAATCTGATACAAAACTCAAAATAAAAAAAAGAACTAAAAACTCACACGTACGGTACTAGATACCTAACTAGATACGCACTAACGAAGAGAACCCGTTTACTCGCCCGCCAAGAACCCGCATCGTCTACGCAATACATTTTACCCCTGAACTACATATGTACACCAAATAACCTCGTCGCAAAACCTTGGCCAACCAAATCCCAAACCACCAATCAATCCATCATGCGTGCATGCATGCATGCATGATCAAATCGTACAGTAAAGTAAAGTAAAGTATATCCAATCCCGCCCGAACTTTAACGCCCATTTTTTATCCTCCACATAAGCCATTGCTTCTATTCATGATTCTCGAATCCGAGTTTTTCTCTGTATAAATAGATCTTGTCTTTCTGCAGCTACTCAACCGCATTTTCCGCCTCGATAACATAACTACTTAGTTTCCTAACAAGTCACCAAAAGAATATTCCATACCTACTTAGGTACCTAGGTACTTAGATAGAATAAATTTCTCAACCATGGTCTCCATTTTGGGTGCTGAAAAGGACGCGTAATCCGGGGCTACGTACCTACATGACAGTGGTATCAACCGACTGTACGATAGGCGGATAAAAGGTTGCATCCGTCCGTTTAGAATCCTAGATTACTTGTACTCTGTACAACAGCACGGAGTATTATTGTATGATTGTACTCTCTAGATCTGTCATTTTTTTGCGCGAAGTGATTGATGTTACTGGATCCGGGATCTTGGGTCTGAGGGTTGATGGTTGGTGGTTGAAAGGGCTGTGCGATATGATTTTGGTGGGTTGAGGGGTCAGCTGTCAGAGTCTTATCACGTTATTTTGGTATGTGTCGAATATATGACTGGACTCGGTCTATAAAAAAGAAGTCCGTTCATTTTGGTTTTTCTTTTCAATATCGAAGAACGTATACGTAGCGTGGATTTTCAGATGGTCCTGTTCGCTTTAGATGGATGGAAAAGATGTTGATCTTGTTATATATATTCGCATTCAGCATCAAAAGAAAGATGAAGGAAATGTTGATTTGGTATTTGTGACGCACAAGAGCCGTATAAGAGCTGAATAAACAGGGTCAATTATGTTCCTTAGAATCTACAACTAAAGAACTATAGCTCGTAAAGAATATCCATATATATATACAAAATACCTATACAGTAGTTACATGGTTGTATATATTCGATCTTAAAATCATCATATTCCTATACTAAAATAAATAAATCGGATCCCAGGTGTTCAGGCTATCAATTCACCGATAGATAAAGGAATCATATAATCGTTTTTATAATTCTAGATCTGTAATAGTATTGAGTTCTTTCTTTTAATATTGTGAGAAAGTTGGAATTATAAATCAAATACATAAAGATTTTTGATCAATCAATCATACAATCTCTTATAGTTAGATATAAAAAGAGAGCTTTTGCTTCTTCTTTCTACAATAATCAATCTTTTATATATATATATTTGAATCTATATAGTATCAATTTCAAAATCATTATGACTTTTGTTTTCTTTATAAATGATATATTATAATGTGATCTAATTCAGCTTTCTCTTTTAATTCCCTCCTCACAATGTGCTATCGGGACACACGTATCTCGACCTACCACTTTTACAATATCTTAAAGAAATGTATTAAATCCAAAAAAAAATGAAATCATTAAATATATAAATTTCTTCTTCTTTTTGCTTTCTTTCAATAGATATATATAATAAGTCTGGTCTTAATATATATTATCTTTATTATAAATTCTATTAAAAAATATCAAAACTCTCAAAATAGATTTCTATTTATAATCTTCTTGAAAGTAGATATTTTCGCTTCTCTTCAGCGCTCTTGGGATGTGAATTTGGGAGGCATGCGCTGACGACCGCTAGAATATACAATTCTATCTGTTTAAATATACTCTGTGATTTATATATATTTATTGAAGTTTATATTATTTACATATATATTCAAGGCTTTCACAATAGGATTATAATTTATCTAGATAGCTGTGATGGAAAATTTGTTATACGATAAAGTTAATGTACTTACTTTATAACGAGGTTTAAAAGATTCATGACTTCTTCAACGTCTTTTATATCTTCTGCTCCCCAATAATCCCATACTGATCAGCGCTTACCTTTCAATGATCCCCATCTATCATTCATTCGTATTACCTCGTGTTAGAAAGAAACATCCTCATAATCCCCTCACAAAAATATATTACAATCAAGAAATTACAACAAAAAACCCCTGTCCCTATCACACACAGGATACCTCGAGCTCATCAATACAAAATCTTAAACAAACTAAGAACGTAAACTCCCCAAGAAACATTCTTCTCCTCCCCCCATCTCTCCAGATCAGAAAGGAAAGAATAAATAATCCTTCTACTATCACCATCTACTCCCGAGCTCATTTCTAGAAACCCTACATACAAATATTTCCAAGTAATTAAACTAAATAAGCTTCGCTTAATTACCCCCTTCTTCTAATTATATCTTTATTGCTATCCTGAAATTCCTGATCTGGAGGTTTCGCTTCAGTCTTTGCATCTTTGTATTAGCATCCGTTAACTAGCTGACTGGGAAATTTATTATATTCTCTGTCGTCTTCAAACAATTTGTAGTAGAGTGGTAATATGCATTATGCGGCATGCTCCTCTGTTTCTACACGCGGATTTTCGGTGTTTGTATATCTATCCGTGTTTGTGATTTCTTTCGTGTGGTGTGTATATTACTGTGAGTTTTCAGTCAGTCGTAGAACCTAAGCTTACATCATTCTCCTTATTTGTTTTCCGTCAAATCTCAGATCTCGAGTCTCGAGTCTTACTCTCTGCAGTGTTTTATGTAGAGTATAGTTATGATATCTATCGTCCTGGCATCCTACTGCAGAGTATCAGCTCTACCTCCAAAATGTCCACTGTCTTCCCGTCATCCATCCTGATCCTCATCCCCGCTATCACCAGACGTTCTCGAGTTTTCGTATTTGTATTACAATTAGCAGGTATATATGGCATCATTATACATCTTGGGATGGATCTGAGCGGAGTGATTAACGATCGTGGCTCCTGAGTAGATTTCCCCTTCATAGACCTCACATAATAAAATATAGCTAATGACGTCACATCCTCGCTTCTTATAATGGATTCTAGCTTCGTATCTATGGTTCTCTGTTCCCCTAGTGTTGAAGTTTCATTATTAGACCATGTCACAAGATATGGTAATTGTACACATGATAAATCGAAAATTCAAATGTACGCCAAATATAGGACCAAATCCGAAATGATAGCGTATTTAAAGCAGCATAGTTCAAATAATCATCTTGTAGTATATATGATAGGTGGTTCTGTAATTTTCAAACTTAGTAGTTCGTCCCACGAGCTATCTGATGCAAATCACAATTCTCGCTCGCAACGTCCGGTATTGAGTTACTTGTCCACTGCGGGTTGATTTTTTTTAGAGACCTCACGAACCTCGAGTAAAGGGATAAGTTACCTTGTTTTGCTAGCTCTGGTGATTATTTATATATATGGTAGATGTACATACATATGTATAGTATGAAATAAAGTAAGCCCAGTCGAATAAACAGTGATATTGTCAAAGTCTTCTAACTTATTGTAGAGTGCTTTATCCCACATCCATCTTGAGATCCTGGGAATACGGCTGCTATGCCCACTTATATTCCAGTTTGAATTCCGAGCCCCAGTTTGCTTATATCTCTTCTGAAACTTTTATGCCACTTTCCCTTCCTTGACATAGTATACTGTATCTCTGCTATAGTTAGTAATCAATAATTATCTTGAATCTGTATAAACACCCAGAGAGCTTTCTTCCTGATAAGAACTCTTGTTCTTCACTTCAAAGATTCAAAATCCTGTGATATAAGGGCGAAACAAAACGTCAAGAATTGATATTCATCTCTGATATATAGCAAAACAAGTCAGAATGCCCCCAAGTAGCAAACCATACAGAACTCTAAAGCCTTCCACATCAAGTCAATCATCCAAGATAAGCCTTTCATGATATTTATTGTACTGTGTTTACTATTCCTCACTACCCATCTTATATCTCTTTCATTCCCATAATAAATTCCATGAACTTCCGAATCATATCAACATCATAATCTCGCAATTCCATAATTTCATTCATCTCATCAATTTTTAGATTCATCAATCCCTTCAATCTCCGAGCCTTACCGAAAGTTATCAATCTAATATCTCCCGTTCTTGTTTCATCTCTCTTTGAGCTAACCGAGGTAGTCCCTCTATCCTTCATAGAAAGTTCCTGAACCGTTTCAAAGGACTGGAATTGAGAATATCATCTTATGTCTTGTACAATAATGAAGTAAGTGGCTTTTTATTCAATTTCAATTATTCTTATTCAATTTCGGTGACTTATTCACTGAAAGGAATTCCCTGATATATGCAAGAATATATAATAGGTTAGGCCGAGCTTTGTTTTTATCTTTGATCAGCCCGGATAGTGAATGATTAAATGATTATTAAATGAAGCTTTTCGATATAAGTTGAAAATTTTGAATTAAAGAGATTAAAAATAATAAAAATTTAAATTTTGAATATTTTATTATTGATGAGTAATTTTTAAATAAAGAAAAAAGCTTTGATTTAAAAATTAAATTTTTTTATTAAATTTTATTAAAAAGATTAAAATAATTTTAAATAATTTTAATTTTCTTTTAGAAATTTAAAGTTTGAAATTTAATATTTTATTGAAGTCATTTGAAAAATTAAAATAATTTATAATCTTCTAAATAAAATTTTATTATAATATAAAATAAATAAATAAATTAAATTTTTTTAATAAAATAAATATAATAAAAAAGTTTTAAATCTTTGAATATCTATAATAATTTTAATATATTTTTTTAAAATTAATAAAATTAATTTTTATTTATATTTATCAAATAGATATATATTATTTATTAAAAGTTAATTGATGTTATAATATATATAATAGAGTCAGTTAAAGATGTACTCAAGCTTTTCCAGAGATCTCCAATTCATTTGGAGGAGTATTTGCGCTCTATTATAAATCATCCAGTAAAGCGAAGATGCATTCACGCTTCATTCCAGCCGATTGAGTGACTAACACGTACATAAGAGTGTTTTCATAGTCTATTTCATCATATTAACGGACCGGCAAGGTTCTGTCTTGTCAAATATAAACAGTATCCTTTGTCACCTGGTGATTTTGAGGGGCAATTGAGTTATTATTATAGATTTAAAGGCTTATTACAGCTTTACAACATGAATATGAGAAACCTAGGTGGATATTGGCGCAAATACTAGGCTCGAAAAGGTACTATCTCATACTAGCTTTGTTATAGGTTATTGAGTGACTTAGACGGGTATTTGAGCTTCTCTTGACCGCAGCCATTAACCTAAATGGCGGGAAAGATTCCGTGGGAAAGAGAGGAGTAGGTGAACACGTAGAGATGATGGCATCTCTTTGATATCGAACGTTGAATGGTTATTTTCCGCATCTCAAAGTATATTCGAAATGGGTTATTGGTCACTTAGAGAAATAAAAGCCATACCACGGGTCATATGAGTTATTTAAAAGCGTATCCCCTCTTCTGTTGACATTTGTCAGCATTAAAGGAGCTTTTCCTGAGTAATATTCTAATGGGATAAAAGTATTAGATAGAATTAACAAAGAGGATGATAGATTCTAGGTGGTGAATGATTGCATTGGTCATTTAGTAGTCAATTTAAGGTTTATTCCATATCATTGAATGGCTGTAAGGGGCTTAGGCTTGTCATAATAGGCCATTTAAATAGTATGGAGGTGTTTCAGAGCGGAAATTGGCCTTAGTAATTGAATTTGGCGGTATAGATGACGCTACTGTATGAAATTTAAGCCGTACTATTAATTATTTACTATTATTTACTAGTTTATGGGCGTATCAGCACTTTTTGTTGATCCCAATCATTGAATTCAGCAGCAGGAAAGGTTCCGTAATGTAAACTCGAGGCGTAGTTGTGGTTTTAGCTTGCCGTGATTGCAAATTGAGAGATTACTTAAACCGCTGCTTTGCTCTGTAAACATCTTCCTTCTTCCTTTCTACATCCTATTCCTCTTTTCTAGTTTGAGTCCTCCTTCAAAGCAAATCACTCGGACATAATACTCAGATAGACTATTTCCTTGTCTTAAACAAGAGTTGCGCTTTTCTTCAAAGCTTCCCTTTCGATTAAATTCTCCTCGGTACCCCTCTCGTTCTTTTTACGTCATCCTTGATATCAATTAAGACGTCTAATGCACTAGATCTACCTCAAACTTTCTACAGTTAGTACCTATCACCTAGATCCAAACACACTCCTTGATTACCTACTAACGATATACTATCTAGGCCTTGGCTTTCACATCTAATACTATTCTACCTAACTTGAAGACACTCTTAACACCCTCTCACCGACTTAATAATGGATCCATATCAAAATCAAGGCTGGACTGGTAGTGCTTGGAATCCGGCTCAGCATGGCTATCGTCAGCAAAATGACAATTGGCCACAGCAGCCTCAACCACCTCTACAACCTCAACTTCCTCCTTCTCCTCAATACATCATACAGCCTGCTCCTCAAATATTCTGCTGCGAGAACTGCCAGAGAGTTGCTCCTTCTACTCCTGTCAACATTCATGCATATACTACTCGGTTGGCGTTTTTCGTCAATCATATTCTGCATCCAACTGTCGCTACTTATGCTCAGGTTCCCAACCGTGGTTTGCATCCGGATTTCTTTGATATGGCGCCAGTTTCTAGAGTTGTCCCTGCTACTGGAGGACACGGTCAGAGTGATAATAATCAAGGACAGCAGCATGGTGGACAACAGGGAAACCAATATGGATTCCAACTGCAAGCTCCTTCCAGACCAGCAGCTAACGCGATCACTCATTACACTGCTGCTAATGGGGCTTATAATAATAATCATCAACTTGAACTCAGCCAGCAAGGAGGCCATCAAAGCAGTGGTGTTTATGCTCAGAACAATACTCAGCTTCAGCTCGCTCACAATAACCGCACTCCTAATAATCAACCTTCTCAAGCTGTCATGGGTCCCATCATGTTTGCTGGCTCTTCCTACAGCATTGCCCCATCTATTCCAATTCCTCTCCCTCGTTTTATTAGGCCTAATTTCCAACTCAATGTCAAGTTTCGCCTTGAACGATTTCGTTTAGATCCACCTGCACCACATATCCAGTATGGAAATCCTCATGCTCATGGATTTAGTCCCTATCAACTTGCCTCTCCTTTCAATACCCTTTACCAAAACGGCAACACTAACGTCAATTCGTCCACCAAGACTACTCGCGCCAGAGAAAATATGGAGCTTATCTGGTTCTACTGGCCGATTCAACTCGAGATTCCTCTCTGGGCTAGGGGACAGAATACACAGACTTCTGCGCCAGAAATTGTTGCACAGCTTGTTAAAGATGGTATGCAGATAATCAATGGAGAAAGGTGGGGATTTATTCAAGATGCAGAAGAACGTGAAGGATTGTGGCATAAGCGTCGCTCTTATAAGGTACTTGAGTGTCCTATTCATGGAATGCTCTGGAAGGTTACAGTATTTGTACGTCGTGGCTATTAGAGGTTCTAAAAGGTATTTGGCTGCTTTTTTGCGCTGGATCTTGATTTCTCAGGCTGTGAGGTCTAGAAAGTCTATCCAGAGTTTTCTTTCTGTCATTATGGAAAGGAAGCTTTGAAGCTTCTTCATGGATCAATTTCACTGGTGTTTCGGATCTTTGGCTGTATTTTACGACGTTATACATACCTTTCTTCTAATATAATTCAGGGATGTTACACTAGTCTGACTCTACTCTATTATTTTATTTAATTTGTAGTGTCAATGTCATTTATCTGTTTGAAAACCTACATTTGACTTTATCACCCGGTTTTTGCTCTGGATCATTAACTTTTGGCTTTAAATCTATGGTAATATTTGCTGGATACGAGATGTTTAGAATTAGTTCAGCTAATTTGAGTTTTTTTCAGCTTTCTACTACACATATATTCTACTTCATCGATATAATTCTTCATTCATTACCTCCTTCCTAAAACATCGCCAAATCTTGCATCTATTCTGTCTTATCCCCGTCATACAATGAAGATGCTTCCTCCACCAAACCTAGGTCATCGTAGTACATTGATCAATATTCTTCATGGAAGAAAGATAATTCAACAGTGCATAGTCTACTATCTTGATTTTTCGGCTGGCGATCTTCATGTCATTCGATGCTATGCATACGCTATGCACCGAGATCCAAACTCTTAATTTTAGAACTGTTCTTCAATGCTATTTGGTGTTTTTATCTTCCATCAATTACTATTATGACCTTTATAGTTGATAATCTGTGTTTTATCATTGAAAGGCGAGACAATGATGCATCACCACGCGGATTACCTTGGGCCGGACTTAATTGATGTAACTTTCACAGCCATGTTTTAAGAGAACGCCTTCATTATCCCTGGCTGGATATTGTATATTAATCTTATTGTGGATAAACATTATTTATAATATATTTTTCCTTTTCTAAAGTATACTCATGATATTCATATTGTATTAACTCAAAATATATTAACTTCTTTTATAATTAATAATAATATATTATAATTAGATACTTATTATATCTTGAGGTTTTATATATTTTAAATCTTATTAATATTAAATAAAACTTTATTTATTGTTATTATTTTTTTATTTATTGATATAAGGTTTTTTTTAAATTTATATATATAAATTTTATACCAGGGGCCTGCGTCCCCCGGACCCCTGGCTTTTTAAGAAGGTCTAATAAAAATTTAAGTTTTAAAAAATTTATTAAAAATTTAATTATTAAATATATATTAAAGTACAAATAGAATTTCAATTTGTTTTTGATAATTGAAAATAAATTTTTTTTATTTAAAAATAATAACAATAATCTTATTATTATTTATTATTATTATTTAATTATCGATTTATTGATATTATAATCTTATTATATATAAGGTCTACTCGATGTAGATCGTAAAAAATGAAATTTGTTTAAGATTGTGATATGATTGGTCGAAAAGTGAGTCGCGATCCTGACAATCTGATTGGTTTAAAATACCCTAGTAAATAAATCTAATAAAAAGCTTGATATAAGCAAGCCTTACAATTTCAAATAAATCTAATTTAAAACTTTTTTCAATTCAACTTAATTGAAATCATTTAACTTATTTAATTTATTTTATTCAATTCAAAATAATAATAATTATTATTATTATTTTTGAATAAAAAAATTTAATTTTTAATTATCAAAAACAAGCTGATATTTTATCTACACTTTAATATATATTCAATATTTAAATTTATTATAAACTTTTTAAAACTTAAATTTTCATTAGACTTTCTTAAAAAGTCAGGGGTCCGGGGTGTCACGATTTACGATTAAGATAAGGATATGTTGAGGGGCAGCAGTCAACGTGTCCATATGAGCTTAGGCCTTATCGAAAAGCAAGGCGATTCGTATACAAATTTGTATGGTAATCGCCTCATGTGGTCTCCCCACCTTTAGCAAGCTCGGATATATAGTCTGATCCTAATCACGTGATAAAGAGCCTCGGGAGCTTCGAAAGCTCCTAGAGCTCCAGGAGCTTTTTGGAGTTTTAGAGCTTTACAAAGCTTCTTTACATTCATTAGTATATAGTCAGAATAGTTTTATAGTTTAAGAGCTTCGTATTCAACTTAGTTATCAATTAGTTTACCTACATTCCAATTGATCTAGTAACGTATTCATCTTCGAGTGGATAACCAGTGATTATTAGCCTTAACCTACAACTACCAACCATACGAAACCTGAGGCAGCCGCTGCCTCGACCAGATCGTTACACGGGGGGTGCAGGCCTTTAGTATTATTAATTATTATTATTATTATTATTATTATTATTATTATTATTATTCATTATTGTTATTATTATTATTATTATTATTATTATTATTATTATTATTTATTATTATTCATTATTATTATTATTTATTATTATTATTATTATTATTTTGAATTAAATAAATAAAATTAAATTGAATAAATAAAGTTGAGTGATTTCAATTAAGTTGAATTGAGAAAAGTTCTAAGTCAGATTTGTTTAAGATTATAAAGTTTATATTAAGCTTTTTGTTAGATTATTTACCGGGGTATTTTAGACCAATAAGATTGTCAGGATCGCGACTCATTTCTCGACCAATCATATCGCAACCTTAAACGAACCTCATTTTCCATCACTCACTGGGTAAATGTCACGATTCATAGTTTAGATTATAATAGTATTATTGATGTCGGTGATTTATATGCTGATTATAAAAGGGGTGTGATTTAATCGTTGCTTTCAGGAGGTCTAATCATCTATGAATAGAACCCCAGGATTCCTAGGATAAGTATTCTAGACAATTATATTAGAATAGAATAAGTATTTTAGTTAATTGATTGTAATAGAACAATCATTTTAGAAGATATTATATTCTAGGATTATAATTCTTAAAGGAAAGCTCCTAGGACAAATGTTCCAGGAAAAGAGAGACCTCAGAATTAATCATATAATAAAAAGCCTTAGGAGTTTGAAAAGCTTTTAAAACTTCAAGAGCTTTTTGAAATTCTTGAATTTCATAAAGCTCTTTTTTATTCATTAATATATAATCAGAATAGTTTTATTATTTAAAAGCTTTATATTCAACTTAATTATCAATTAGTTTATCTACATTCCAATTGATCTAATAACGAATTCACTTTCAAATGAATAACCAATGATCAATAGCCTTAACCTACAACTACCAATCATATGAAACCTCAGGCAGCCGCTGCCTCGACCAGATCGTTACAGTAAACCTCGCGTACAGCAAGGTTATAGAGTCGGCAAGCCGACAATAATCTTTATTAAAAATGTTATATTTATAGATTTATTTGTACACACACTTTTAAAAATATTATACGACTGTAAATGTATTCATTCATCATTCATCTCTTATCTATAGTATAGTACTATGTATCAATCGCTATAGTCCTCTGACGACTATATCTCTTATCCGCACGCACCCATCCACTACTAAGGCATTCATCATACATTGCAAACTTTAACATCAACGCTTGCATAACTTATGACTCAACGCCTGCCATGTCAATCCATCCATTCATCCATCCACAAGTCCGCATCCTTGGACTTAACCCACTTTCAACATGATATATGAATTGATATGAAAAGTTTTCCAAAGAATCATTGTCTGTTTCCCAATTCTCTACATCATCACTTCCTCCACATCCACCACCTCCCACCAAAAATCTATTCCCTGTCAAGCGCATCCAACTCCGCTTGAACGGCCCCTTTGGTCGCGATCTTCTTAACCTGTGTATCCTCCAACTTCTCTCCTCCAGCTCTCCTCATCTCCAAATCCTCAATCGCTCTGATCTTCTTCTGTAATCCTCTCTTCTTCTTAGCTGATGGGCTACCATCACCACCTGGGCTGGTAACTGACAATTCTGGAGTTGAGAACTGTTGAGTTGGAGTGATTGGTTTTTGGTTCGAATTGATTGAGAGATTCTTCATTCCACCTGCACCGGTAGAAGTACCTCCAGCTCCATTAAGAGATACACCTCCATTTTGACGCTGATTTTGATGAGTGTGAGGGTGTTGATGAAGGTTGTGAGGGCCACCATTACCATGAGTTCGGAATTGGGATGGAGAGCGTATATTGTTGCTACTCTTTGAGCGACTACGTTGACGATCTCTTCGGTCCGGGCTACGATCACCACCTGGACCTCTTGGTGCATCTGGGGTTCCGGCACCAAGACCACCTGCTTTAGCTTCGGCATCCTTTGCTTTCTTTGCTTCGCGCTTCTTTTTGTTCTTGAGTGCGGCCTTGGAAAGGTTTTCGTCTTCAACGGCACCTGGAGCGGCTGGTGCGGCTCCTGGGACAGAGTTCTCGGATAGATCAGCACCCGGGACTTGTCTACGAGATCGACCAAATCCATTGGTGTTGACCATTGATGTACCATTGCTAACAAAATGGGCAGAACCACCTTCATCTTCACGCTTGAAATGAGACGGTGTAGCTTGACCACGTGCTCCGGGAGGACGATAAGCTCCTGCTGGCTTGGATGGGGTCTTGACTGTACCCAGGTAAGCGACAGCCGATGGGTGTGGTTGAGGCACTGGATTCAAGAAATCTCCGGCCGGGAAACTTTCGGCGCTTTGTGGTCTCCATGTAACGTGGTATAATTCGACCATATCCTCGTTGTACATAATCCCACCTGAAACGTGCCATAATCGAACACCATTATCAACTCGCAATCTAGGGCTGGTTGTAGCTGTCAAGATATACTTGCTATCAGGACTCCACTCGCAAACACTAGGATTTCCACCTTCAATAGTACAAATCTTTTTGTAATCCTTTTCGAGATCGTAGATATCCATTTGACCAGCTAAGTTTCCGAAACCGGCAACCAAAACAAATCGACCAGTAGGAGAGAACAAAATCGTGTTTCTGGGACCAAGTTGGAATGTATGAGTTGCAACAGCTCTCTGGTTAAAGATAGTTGTCTTTGCTGGCATATATCCATAAATGACACCAAATTCTTTCGAGTTTGGTGACCAAGAAACATCATGAATCGGCCCCTCCTTATCAAGAGTAATTCTAGAATCAAATCCACCATTTGCGCTCAGCACATATAATGTAGTCTCTCCATAATAACTCTTGTTTGACTTATCAACATCTGTCTGGGCGAGAACAATCAAGGTTGTACCCAATTGATTCCATTTCAATTGAACTTTGTCGCCCTTGAAAAATGTCTTTTGTGATACCGGGGCGTCGAATTGTGGAACGTTGAAAACTTTGACGGCAGATGGTTGACCCTGAAATTAATTCATTAGCTAAATTCTCAATTCCGAGTTGAATATTACATACCTTGCGCTCTGGAATGAAAACTGCTACAGAATAGTTGTTGCCTGGAGAAATAGCAAAATCCGCAACACCCTCCACACGAAGCTTATTCCAAACTGTACGCAAATCGCCGCTCTCGTAGAATTGGACCTCGTTCGTAACATTTCGGGCGCAATATTTCTCGTCGAAAGTGTACTGAAGGTTCCAACCAGTTTGCGACTTTTGCACAAATCTCCCAACAACCTCCTTCTCAGCTCCCTCCGCAACATCCTCCACCGTACGCCAAATCTTCAAATTCTTGACCGCATCACCATTCTCATCCTTCGAAGGTCTCTCCCAAGTGATGATGTATGTTCCACGAGGAGAGAACCCCAATTCGTAGACGTTTGGTGTGGGAAGGCTAGTGATGATGTGGCCGGCGAACGCATCAACGACGGACACCCCGTCATTGGAAGCCCAAGCAAAGTACCGACCGCATGGCGAGTAGGTACAGCAGCGAGAGTTACCTTCGGGTTTCTGGAAACCAGGCAAAGGTTGATAGACGGGCGCGGCATCCAAAATGCCAATCCCCTTCAGTGTTCTGTATGCAAACTGTGTCGGAATTGCCATGGCTAATGAAAGTCACAGTAAAATTCTTTTTCGGTAACAGAATGGTTGTAAATTGTAAAGTCTTCTTTGTCGTGCGGAATGCCTTGAGGGATTGGATTCGAGTTTGCCTTGAATGTCGAGACTAAATCCTTTTGATGGGAAATTGTCTTGATGAAGATGGATCGAATGGGTTCTTCGAAAATCTCGAGAATGATGCTGTTCGTTGTGCGTGGGGCGGTGACTGTGCGAGAAATTTGTGGAGAAAAAGGAACAAGGCTGCTCTCTGTTGGGTTATTGAGCTAAATCCTATATCGATCGAATGTTCAATAACGAAAACAAATGCTTCGTGTTTGATTCTCCGCCTTTTTCAAAGTGAAGTGATCCCTTTCGATAAAATCGACCGTACGAAGAAGAAGAAGATATTTGAATTGAGTGTAGAATTAATTGTCTTGACACTGATGAAGGATTTTCGGGAGAGTACCGTTGAAATTGAGCGTGTGTAGAGGGAAAAGAGGGAAGGGAAGGGAAGGGAAGGGAAGGGGAGAGAGAAAAAAAGTGGAAGATGTTTTGTGTTCTTTGTTGTAAGAGTTTGTCGCTTGCGCTAGTGAGGCTAGAGGCAGGGGGCTTGAGGTTTGTATGTGTTGAGTCCGTACCGTACACGAATAGTAAAATATTAGCCGTACTAGATATATAATATCAACAGTCAGTAGTTGAGATAAAGTTTTCATATGCGGGCAGGGCTATATATACGCGTCTAGTAGATGATAATACCGCCGTTTTCCATTCAAATAATTATTCTTTGCTCGTTGTCCATCACAAACCCCTTCATTTGATTCACATTTAGCTATACAATCAAAATCATGAAATTGTCAAATCTAAACATTCATATCTTATTCACATTGCCAACAACAATTCTTCTTTTCCTTTCTAAGACTTACCATTTAGCCTTCGTAACTCCTAGACTAGTGTATAGTGTAGTGTTACCGAAGCTTAGCGCTCGTGATAGTCTGGGAGGGGTATCATAAGGCTGATCTCATGTACCTTTTGTACCTATCTAATCGACAGATGGACGTCTATTTCGTGAACTAGACGGATCCAAAATGGTACTTTCAGATATACATCACAAAATTAATACAAATATCCATATACCATGGAGATAATCAAGCTCTTCACATTTTGAGGTAACCTTTCAGGGGCAAGCATCATATCTAATCATACGTGTCCAAACATTATTCTATAACTTTTCTATTGTTGGGTATTATCCACACTCTATTCATGCATGCCCATTCCATAGCCGTAACCTCATCCCAATAAATATTTTCATGATATCATCCAAGCCCTTTCTATTATTATGCCTTTTCTTTTGTCCCAGTCGTAATGTCATTACCCTTTTCCATGTCCCTATCACTAATGATCACCGCCCCTCCATTAGCTGATTCCAACCCCGCTTTCTTTTCCTCTCTTCTCTTTGCCTTAGCAGCTCTCTTATCAATTTTCTCTTGTTCTTCCCTCATTTGCTTAATCAATGGACTCTTTGCACGAATCTTCGATCCCCATTTATAAAAAATAAAAGGAATGGGGATTAGGAAGACTTGTACTAATCCCAGTAAAGTTCCAGCCCATTGTGGTTTCAGCGTGCCGTACATGGCTGGTCCTGCCAATGGTAATGTTCCTCCGACGATTGATCTGATCACACTATTTCCTGCTAGTGCCGAAGCCGCATATATACCATATGAACCAGCGAGATAATTCGTACCGTAGATAAAAACCAAGGTATTTCCAGCTCCGAAAGGAATTCCAGCAAGGATTGGCCAGATCCAATGGATTGTGATAGGAACACAAGTCCAGCTAAACCAAAGTTGTCCAATAGGACACATAACGGCCGCTATGCAAACAATGCTGACCGAAGCTTCTGGGGGAACTTTGCCAGTTGCGGGATCCTTCTTATGTGAATTGATCATTTTGCGAATAAGTGGTTCAGAAAGAATTCCAAGCATGTTTCCCAATCCGATTCCTAGGAAAGCGAGCCCTGTCTGCCCTAAACTCCATCCACGCATGTCCGTGTAAATTATTGGATATGCAACGAAACACAGGTAAAGAATACCATAAATGATCTAAATATAGTTGTTAGTTCCAATTGTTCCTGTGATATGAGATCTTGGCGGCGCCATTCTTGTACATTGTAGTACTATTTTTGACAACTTCAAGTAACAGAGAAACTTACCGCTATGTACGTATTCCAGAACCAAAGGATTGGTTCCGTAAAGCTGAGTATGAATGGCCGAGAAAGGCTGATCTTCAAGATTTCGTAAACTGAAACCAAAGGTTAGCCACTTTCAATAGATAAATATTAACATCTACTCACAGCTCTTCTTTTGATCGTATCGGCACCAATATCGATCATCGCCTGTCTCTTTGCGCATTTTTGCTGCCTTCTTAATCAAGATTGCTGGTGCGTAGGTTTCTTTGACGAATCCACAAGCTACCAAAGCGCACCCAGCAAGTATCATCACAATCCAATTTGTCCATCGCCATCCTAAGTATTCGGCGGCGAAACCACCAACAAGGGGCCCCGTTACTGGACCATTCATTGGTCCGATACTCCAGAAACTGAAGGCCAATGCGCGGTAATCATCAGTTGTGATATCCGCAACTGTCCCAGGAGAGTTTGCTATCATGGCAGCACCTGCAAGGGCACTGTATCCATATTAGCACCAAGCATAAACAGTAATAAATCTTTTCTTACCCAACAAACCTTACGCCCAAGACCTCTCCTAACGAAGTGGACAAAGCACAAGGTATAACCATCAATGCAAAGAAAGCCAAAGACCCAATATAAACTGGCCTCCTGCCCCAAATCTCACTCATTGGTGCAAGAACCAAACTTCCAGCAGCCAGTCCAAGTAAGAATGTTGTGACACCCAATGTGGCGATTGGCTCACTCGTGATGGAAAATTCTTTCATCATTCCCGGCATACTTGAAGTGTATGATGAACTGTATAAAACCGTCGCCCACGTGGCGAAACTCACAGCAAATATTGTATAAGCACGATACCATAGCGGCCAACTCCTTGGATCATCAGGATCGTTCTCTTCAAAATCAACCTCGAATGATGGCTCCCGTGAACGAGTAGTCGCGTATGATGTACCCGTATTTGTATAAGTGAGTTGGGCATGTGCAAGTTGTTCCGCAGGTGTCTCGAGATTTGGAGTGAGTGCCTGTTCAAGGGGAGCTAGCGGGTCACTATTGATCGAGTCGGAGGATAATGATGTGATGGAAGGTGCATGCGAGAGAGGAGGATGGTAGTTTTCATGATCTGATAATGAAGATGCCAGAGTTGAAGAAGCAGGATTGGAGAAATTGAAGTCGCGGATTTCATCCTTCTCGAGGCCCGTATTGTTCACCATGATGTGATAAGGTTCCAAAGACGAATGAGCACAACTTTCTCACTTGTGCCTGTCACCTAATGAACTCAGAAGAAGGTGATCAATGCGGCTTGGTATTTCTTTGGACGGGCTCGATTTATGAAAAGATATTAAATTAACGATAGTAAATGAAAACATTTAAAGCCACAAAGCACTTTTCCTTCCGAGAGTCTCATTTATGAAGGAGACAGATTGAATATGAATATGTTTAAGAGATTGTGGTCATGGAGTATCTTTAAAGGTCCAGATGACAAACTCGCAATCATGGAATCTACCCTGGTTCTAGGCCGAGGATGTATCGCGGCCATTAATTCCGCACCCAAAATATCTATACCAGGCCATTTTTTCAAAATGATATGCATCTGGTACGAGGGTACCCAGTAGTGAGTGAAAACTGGAGGCTAACTTGCTAAGTTATGATATGGCGAGACTTTCCAAAAGTATTTTTTTTTATCTCGTTCCACTTTTGATACGAACTTTGTGAGCATCAAGATTTTTACGTGAACTACACTTATTAGTAGTTCAAGTTCTCCACTAAGAGAAGCATTATTAGCTATATAAACCACAAAAGTAATGGATCATATCATTGAACATCTTTCCAATGTTCTGGGAAAGGAATTGAGGAATCTAATGCAGTTTGATATGGGTAATGGATAATGGGATAATGGATGAATGGTAGGATGGGCGTTATCCAGAAGTTCTGTTTGGTGCGGGTCATTGCAGAAGACAGAAGACGGTGTGGGATGCTATTAATATATGGCATATGGAAGTGGGAGGGGAAGGATCAGCCAACCAGCCAACCAACCAACCAACCAGTGAATAAGCTTTGTGCCGATATCCGCTTCAGCCGTTAAATTTCGAATTTGACAACGTCCGCCCCTTGCAGGATCTTGTCAATGATAAGGGATTTGAGCCCATTTTACTGCAGGAGAGTTTTCGCGGTATGACTCAATCTGTTCAAGCCAAGATGATATTTACGATCCTATCAAAGCTTCATCTAAAAGTATAAAATTTAGACCCGGGGAACAAGCTGAGTGCGGAACAGAGGACGGCATCAATGTAAAAGCTTGAGATGATTGTGAATCAACGCCTCATGATTTTCCACCGCTTGAAGATAAGATCCATACAGTATATAAATATCCATATGTGTTGAAATCTTTCATTCCGCACACCTGTTATAGCAACAAGATTAATAAGCTGAAGGGGAAAAACGATACCAATGTAAGAATTCCATATGGTTAGAATGTCTGTCTCCCTCTTCATAAGTTCAGACTCATTGTAGACAACATGCGTAAAATAAATCTTATGTGTATGATTTTCAAAGCTTCACACCGAAGACGATGATATTGCTAAGCCAGGAATTGCTACCTGAAAACGCCATCTAGAAGTACCAAAGTTCCAAAGTTTCAACGGATTTGGGATGGGATGCGGAAAAAGAAATACTCCCCAGTAAGTTACTAGAGTAGCTACTTGAGTACCTTCATCGAATTGTTGGTAAATTGATTGCGTAATAACGTTTTGTTTGCCTGAGAACTGGTCGGATTAACTTCGGTTCATATCGCGAGCGTAAATCTATCACGTGCCGTTGAGCTTGACGCGACTTCACTCCCAAGCGCAATTTGTCGCGATCGAAGTAGCAAAGCAACTAAAACTTCAAAAAGTCTCAACAAAAGCTTCCACTCCTCGTCGCCGGGCTATACGATTCATAACGGGCCATTTATAGTGACGAATCCATCATTCTGATCTTGTCAATATAATCTTTCTCTGAACCATGGCCGCTGGCTTTTCCAATCCTAGAGTTTCAAAGAATCCGCAAAATACACAACTGAGGTAGCTTCAAATTATCCTTCGAGGAAATAATTTCTCTAACATTCTTAGTTACGAATTGCCACATCGCATTCATACTACCAAAGTGTGCCCCTTACCCTCTCCCAATGGATCTACGATTATCTTACAAGGCAATGAAAATGGTGTGAAAATTATATGGAGAGGTGGCAGACCTTTCAAATTGCCGCAGGAAATAACTCCAAAGGCTGCACAAACAAACGGGTCAAGTAAAGCTGTCATATCACTTGACTCGGATGAGGATGAACCCTCTAAAACACCTTTCGAGGATAAACCCGAGTTCGAAGATGAAGAACAGGAGATTGACCCAAGAAGGCCATACCCAAGCGTTTTGCAGACACTAGATTTACAATTTGGTACCGATGTTCTTCATATCAGCGTTTTACCGAACTCGGTACTAAAAGCAAGTGGGGCACCCTGGCGTGGAATCGATCCATTGAAACAAAAAATTGTTTTCGCCGCAACCTGCGGTGATAATACTATTCGACTGATCACACTACCACTTACGCCGCCATCTCCTCTAACTAAGGACCGTGATGAATTTCGACTTACTCCTGCGATAGCAAACATCGGAAATGGAAAATGGGGAGAGACTATGATTATTTTGACTGGCCACCAAAAAACTTGTGACGGTGTATCTATGACCATTGATTTTGAGGGAAAGCAATCTTCAACGAAAGACGAATCAAATACTGGACCAGAAACACAAATCATTGTTGCTTCACATTCAAAAGAAATTACTGGATTATTACAGCTATGGCGCATACCACTGCCGATACCATCTTCATCAACTATGATATTACCATTCCAATCCATATATATGCCATCTCCGGCCGTCAGCATTTCTTTCAACCCATCATTCTCAGAACATCATTCGAGTCATTTACTTGTCGCCGATAATCTAGGCACTTGTCGAATCTATAACTATAAGCTTCTAGTGAACCCATCGGAAGATCCCGAGAGTGCGATTTCTGAGCAAGGATCTTGGCTGATATCTTTATATCCTGGATTTAAAAGTATTAAACCTGATTCACAAGCACCTCAAAAGAACACGTATTCTGGATTCGGTCGAAAGTTAGTCGTAGATGCAAAATGGATATACGGTGGTAAGGCAATTATAGCACTGTTGAATGATGGAGAATGGGGCGTGTGGGACATATATGGAGTAGGACCAGGCGCGAAAAGAGGTGTCCTTGGTCAGCAATCCATAAAAGGAGGTTCACGAACAGACTTCAACCTTACTGGTTATGTTGAAGGTGCTACAAAATCTAGCTCAAAAACCTCAGGTCCTCCACAAATTGCCCAATCAAAATTCGCTCCCATGACTCCTGGGACCCGTAAGACGACGGATCTATTCAGCAATAAAGTTCAATCCTCTGGTCCAATTCGTGGAAGTATATCAGTACTCGATGTCCCGTCGACATCTACTCATTTAGCATTCGAAGAGTCCGTTCTTTTCTGGCTTGGTGAATCATACACCCTCATCCCATCTCTTTCGAAATACTGGTCTGCCAATCCCCGCAGGGGTCAATCTTCAACAAACATTTTCAACACATCTCCTGGCTCTCGGCCCATCAAGTTAGAACATGTAGACCTATTAGGTGAACGTTGCACTGGTATCGAACAAGCTCCTAAATCCTCAATTTCATCGCAATCTAGGACTGAGATATCAAGCGATATTTTCATAATGGGTGAACACAGATTTACCATTTTCATTGGCGGAAAATCTGTAAGGCCAAAACCAAACCAGAATGCATATGCATTACAATTGGTACGAAACGGAGAGGATGAAGATGAAGATATAGCGAACGATAGAATGATAGGTGTGGGTAGCGGCGAATTAGATGTAAATGATATTGATAGGGCCTTAGCGAGGATGGAAAATAATGAAAGGCCTGGTGGAAGATTGTTATTTGGTGGCAAAGGAAAATGGTAGTATATGAATGGCAGAGGATGAGAGAAGATAGGAAAGGAGATCATGAGAAAGATAGATACCCCGTGATGTTTAATTGGGAATATAGTTGTATTCCCTGCTTTTTCCCTTTTCCCTTTTCGATTTGTTCTTTTCTTTCATTTTCCCTCCTCACTTTTCTGCTCAAACCCAAGTGACGAATAGAATATTACGCATCGTGACTACATACACCATCTCCACCAACCTCTTAATCACACCTCCCCAACCCCGCTCTCCGCAAGGCAAGGTGGAGTACAAGGCGAGACTATTCCTTGAAACTCTGTAATCCATGCGGTACATCAAACCAAAACCTCAAAATCATAAGTCTCTTTCTTTTTCTATGACCATGGATGAATACCCATTGCTCATAGGGAGTAAAGAGAGCAGCGATATACTGGTACCTACTTTCTTTCGAGAATGTGTGGAGGTGTATGTTGTAGGGTGAGTTCTTCTACTCCTGCGCGTCTCGGTCGTTTGTTGCGATGGCGATGCTGACGCCGGTGTGGCGTGTGGGTGATATGGGACTTGTACATTTTGGGGAGGGGAGGCTTGGATGGTTGTGGGGGTGAGGGCTTGGGATTGGGGTCGGAGAAAGGAAGCAAGGGGGAGGGGATGTATGAAGGATGAGAAGATTGAGGATGCGGTGGGATAGGGTAGGATGAGATGAGGTGAGGATATACAATGAAGAGATGTGATTGATGGATGAAGGGATATTAGCACTCGAGGGTAGAAGAGATATAAATGATGAAAAAGGAAAAGGAGGGTTATCTTATTACTTTTTCAATAATCACACTCGGTCAGTAATATGTAGGTTGATGTCATTGAATTTTTTTAAAAAAATTCTAGCTTTTGTAATTAAATGATATCTTCTAGTATTGTGGGTGTAAGTGTGAGTGTGAGTGCGATTAATTTATATCAATAATTGATTATAATTATACCATTTAACTAACTCATACCTTGATAATAATTAGTAATCTTATCTAGTATATACACTAACTATATGACACTTTATTAAAGCTTAATCAGGAAAAGAGGGTAAACTGTGATTTTGTAAACTTATCTAGTTGTTTTAATTTGTAAGATAAGATACTAGGTGTTAGATACTAGAAAGTTATGTTTTGGTTTTTTGATGAATGAACGGAGGAGTGAGAGAGGGAGTGGAAGGAAGGGAGAAAATGAAAGAGGGAATGGAAGAGGAGAGGGGGATTGTTCATGTGTATATATATACAAATATTAGACCTTATGTTATGATAGCAGCTTTTGGGGTATATAAGGGAAAGATAAAAAGGTAAATGGGTAAAAGAACAAACAGTGGAGATTGAAATCTTATGATAATCATTCATCGGTTGGTTGTAAGTACTATTTTAATAGAAGAGTAATTATGATTTATCCATGTTTCACCTTGTGCTTCTGCTCCTATGAGATTCTCATTCGTTGGTATTTTTGATTTTGATTGTTTGTCCTCTATTTGTATTGGCTTGTATATGTTGGGCTGGATATGATATATATGATTTTTGAGGAAGAGAAAATGAAAGGGAAAAGAGGGAAGGGGGAGGGTATGAGAAGCCGCACATGCAAAATCTCTTATAGATATGTGATTTTACCCCATTATGTTTATTTTAATGTAATCTTAGCATTGCAAAAATAACTATATGAGATCTTACATTCGAATTTTCAATACTCACCATATATAATATATATCTTCTTTTCCCCAGTTACATACAACTCACCCCTCCTAATTTCCTCTCTCAACTAACACTAAACTCTACTCCGCATAGACACCGCAGATTCACACTTAAACCACACAACATTCCAAAATTTAGCATCACCTCACTTGCAAGTCATGACTGGCTCACTGTATAATGAGTGGCATCGTACTCACAGGTGCAATTAACACGTCGTCAGGAAGTTGCATACATCCCTGGTTTGAAATCCGTAGAGAAGATGAAGAAGCTGCCTTTGTGGATAGGTGATGAGACGGGAAACGGGAGATGAGAATGAAGAGAATAGAGAAGAAGCAGGGAAGGAGAGATAGGGATGGAGATGGAATGTGGGAGAGTGTATGAGACGAACGGGAGAAAATGAGGTGCGAGAGAGAGAGCTAGAGGGGGGTCAGCGGGCGGCGAAGAGTGAAGTTGCAAAGGAAAACATGTCCATTAATCCCGATCTATAGTCGAACTCGATACTGGAGTCTTTTTTAACTTGGTCTCCCACTCAGCACTGGATGGTACCCCTATTCCACAGGAATAGATCGTGATGAATAGTTAGTTCTTCAACAATAACTACCGTTGAATGTTAATATGGTTTTGCAGTCATAGTAGACAGTGGCTGCTGCTCTGTTGACCGGGACTTTGATGGTTCCCGAGGACGAGGTGAGATGAATGATGATGGACAGGTTGCCGAGGACTTTAGGAGCTGAGGAAAGCGATGGAGAGATATTGGAGAAAGGAGGATAGATAGATATAGATGGAATAAATGCGCCAACTGTTAAGCGGAGGCGACACTTCCTTCTATGGAATTATGACGTCGTTGTAGATAGAAATGTTCATGCGGTTGCGCTACCTATCGATACATTTGTCAGATTTCTGAATGGCATCGTGTGAAGAAAGGCGTCGGAGGAGGAAGCCAGAGGTACAGACTTGGTGAGGACATTGATTAACCGACTATTTAAATCAAACCCATCACTTTTAGTATAATACATACTTATACTATCAACAGCCCATCAACAATTCATCACTCAAAATTTATAGATAACTCCCTCCCAGCTCAATGTAAATACGATATTATATTAATATGATGTACTTCACAGTGTCCTTCCGGCTTTTAAACATCACCTTATTGCGAAGCGGTAGTAACTAATACTATAAAAAACCAGTTTATAAATCACCAGTCTTCAACTCATTGAGTGCAGTGGCTGGTTATCTCAACATCTTGTCCACATTATTGTGATTAGACAATAGTTTCCGCTCGCGTAGTCAATGAATGGGCCAGTACCACTAGATTACCGATGGAATGCCAGCAGAAAATGCAAGTGAATGAGAAACGAGAATTCAGGACAAGAATAATCAATGAAACCTTTTATGAACAGTAAAGGAGAACACATTCGCGTTTATAGCAAAAGCTTTACATGAAAAGAAGAGAGTATCACACCACTATACATAAATGACCACTCTACCTTGAACCTTTCGCATCCGAAATAAACAAAACAGAACCCAAATATATTATACTCACCAGAGGTAGCTTGTAAGTCTCACCAAATCATACATTGAACCACGTACACCGTACACCATACACAAGCTCTCAATCCCAATAATCTCCTCCCATTTGTGCGCTTACACTCCAGACTTGCCATCACAAATTTGGAAATAATCACACTAACTACCTACACTATACAATATATAATATTAGCCTTAGTCTCACATAAAGTGAACATTAAAGGCTAACTCACTCAGGGCCGGCCCTTCACGTTAGTACGGAGTAAGGTGATCTTTACTCTGTACAAACTCAACATCAGATGAATGAACGAACGATATATAGTTAGTGCGAGAGTCCGAGCGTATTAGACTTGTAGTCAATATACTGTTAACCTTACCGACATCACTTATACTTCCTCGGGAGTCAGGACAGCATGCAGGACGGTAAACACGCAATTGATTTATATGTACTGAGTATCGCATAATCTAATCGCATTTCCATTTGCGTTCAATTGTTTCCGCTCTTTTTAAGCTTCGGTTCTAGATCTCTTTTCTTCGAGGTCCCTGAAAGTTAAAACTTAAAATGGTAAGTCTTAGAATTTTTATATTTAGTTTTGCTTTCGGGGAAATATGGACCAAGTGCCTAGTAAGTACCCTTAGATTAATAAACAGTCAGATGTTATCTACTCTGGGTACGTGCTGTATATAACCGACAAAGTCTCCTTTTCCCCGACTGCTAATTCCGTAATACTCCGTACATCTCAAATAGTAGGTAAACACAATTCCCTGTATCAATACCCACGAAGCCAGAAAATCATTTCCTTCACAGAGGAGAATACCCTCCAAAAAGAAAGGTCACAAGCTAGTACCACTGGTGTGCCACTGGTGTACCTAATCTAGGTATCTATCATCAAACCATATCCGGACAAATGGTTTTCTCCATGCAGCGGAAATTGCACGGTCCTGATGTTTTGTGGGGTACATAAGCTAATCTAACCCAAGTAGACTAGACTAGTAGGTAGGTTAAGCTCTCCCCAGGATTTTAGTTTCGTGTACGGGTACTTGGTCGGCATTTATTATTACAGGCCAATTGGGGATTCCGTGCTCGCTACGGAGTACAGAACCATGGCGGAGGATTCTTCCCCAGCCCCGCTTTGTGAAACTGTGAGTGGACGCCGGGACCGGTTTGTAGATGGATGTAAAGAACGAATGAATGAATGAATGAATAAATCCACCAATCATTTTGGGATGAGCTATGGGATGAACTTTACTGTTAGTACCTATGTCCTGGTTAATTGGGTATACGTGCTAATTATGTCTATCTAGCTACATATCCACGCAGTAATACGCAGTAGATATGAATAGACACCGGATAAAGAAGACCACCAAGAAGTCTAGAAACGGCAAATTCAAGCAAAGTCAGGTAGGTTATCTGCAAGGAATATAGCAGGTCTTACATCGTGAATAGACCCAGCTGCCGAGATAATGTTTATTCCCCCTCTAGAAAAATCATCTACTAGGTAAGAAAAGCCCCTTCGATACATTTAAAGTAATTGGTGCGCTTTTCGGACAAAGGACTCCTTTTGGCCAGGGCTTGCAAATAAAGTTTCAAAACAGGAGAGTGCCGGGAAATGTTAGATAAGAGTGCGAGTTGGATTTTTTGGGTGAATATGCATACATACATACATATGCATACCATTGGATCCACCAGTTCCAAGGTGGGATGCTCTGCACCTTGGAATGTTCGGTGGGGTTTGGAATATAGAGTTGCTGTACTTGGCGATGGTTGTAAGTTAGGGACGTTTTGCTTTTGCTGCAGAACTTAATGCGGGATTATTTTAGCGGTAGTTCCGGTACTGTAATATGTGAGGGAAGCAACTAGGAACGCCGTGCCTGCTTATTTGTTCCATGTTAAGGTTAAGAACACGGAGATAGAGCTCACTCTAGTAATCCTTTAGAAATCTAGAACGAGTCACAGGGAGATTACCTCATGGGAACACGCAGCATATAAGCTCCAGAAATCCCATCACACAAAGCACTTCATCTCATCTTCATCCCATCACAATGTTTTCCCGTCTCCTCATCGCGTTTCTAGGGCTCCTAAGCCTTGTCTCGGCACATGCTAATCCAGGCGCCTGTTCTGGTAACTGTAATGCACATGATCCTGCCTTGATCCAACGTTCAAGTGATGGCACATGGTTTAAATTTAATACCGGGAATGGTATTGGGATTTGGAAAGCTACTGCTCTAGCTGGTCCATGGACGTATGTTGGTGATGCTTTGACTAAAGGGAGTAGCATTAATTTGTCTGGGAATACCGATCTCTGGGTTTGTTACCTTTTTTTCTTCCATTCCTCGAGTCTATTATTCTCGATTTGTTGATCGGGAACTCTAGAGAAAAAATGTAAAGCATTATGCTGATGATAACTAGGCACCAGATGTTCATCTCGTAGGATCAACCTACTATATGTACTATGCGGTTTCTACCTTCGGTACACAAAAGTCATCAATTGGAGTTGCAACCTCCGCCACCATGGAAGTAGGTTCATGGACTGATCATGGTGCCACTGGTGTTGCATCAACAACCGGCAGCGCATACAATTCCATTGATCCCAATCTCATCAAGGTCGACAGCGCCTATTAGTTCGTCTCTCCAGCCATCCTCCCCTTCCCTCCCTCCAACCCTTCCACATAAAAACCCATCAAAACTAACCCTCCCCCTCCCTCTCACAGCCTAAACTTCGGCTCCTTCTGGTCCGACATCTACCAAGTAGGCATGGCATCGACACCCACCAAAGCCGGCGGCTCCGCCTCCCACCAAATAGCTTACAACTCTAGCGGCACCCATTCTCTCGAAGGTTCCTACATGTTCTACTATTCAGGCTACTATTATCTCCTCATCTCCTCCGGAATCTGCTGTAATTACGACAAAACGAAACCAGCACAAGGCGCCGAATACAAGATTATTATGGGTAGGAGTAAGAGCGCGACGGGAAGCTTTGTCGATAAGAATGGCAAGGCTTTGACAGCGGGTGGGGGAACGACTTTATTGGCTAGTCATGGAAATGTTTATGGACCTGGTGGACAGTGAGTATTTTCTTCTTTTCTTTTCTTTTTTGGGGGTTAGGGACGCGAAGGGCGGGATTTTCTATGCGCCAGACTTGTCTCATTCAATGGACGTACATAAATACTAACCTTCGCAATAGGGGCGTCTATCTCTCATCCTCAGGACCACTTCTCTACTACCATTACGCAAACCCCACCATTGGTCTTGGAGATGGAAATTATCAGTTCGGATATAACTATCTTACATTCAGCAACGGATGGCCTGTTGTCTAAGCTTTTCTCATACCTCTTTCTTCCTCTGGTTTCTCTTTCATTTCATAAAATAAGGAACTCATATCACCAAAATGAAAAATAGGCACATTACCCATACCATTGCCAAAAACTTTGTACATACTTCCCATCTTCTGCAGATATTTTCTTTTGTATATATCATGTCTTAGGAAAAGACACTTCACGCACTTCACTGTATATATTTCCTTTTTCACAAGTATATATCTCAAAACATTTATGATCATTTGATAACAAACTTCTCCGATTCAAATTCAATTCACACAAAATGATGCCCGTGTTTAATTTTCCCATCCTTTACCATTTAGACCTCTGCAAAACCCTTGCGTGATATCAGACGCTGAAATCATGCCTTCCTATTAATACCATTACAATTTGTAGGTACGTGGAGAACTAACTACACGCATATACTACCTAGGTATGGATATGGTGTAAAGGATGATATTATATGGATATGAATATAAATACAAAACACATATACATTAAATAACGAAAAGAAAAACTAACACCATCACTAAGAAAATAAAATTATTTCAGTCCACCGAGTACTCAATTATGAACCACCAACTGTGGGAAGTATTTTCCCAGGGAGCCATTTATATTATGAGATGGTTATCAAAGCTATTGAATGAATGGAAAGGACACTTGTCTTTCTCACACCGAGGAAGGGAGAATCTGGATTTATATTCAAGAAGTAGATTTTAAAGAGGTCCCCCAGCTAGGAATGACGAGGGAATAGTCTCAACTCGGGCATTTCTTGGGAAGGATAAGAATAAGGATAAACACTCGATTTCATCTCGAGGTAAAGAACATATCGATCGGAGTATTGTGTTATGCGGTTGTATTCACATGAAGTATATGTTTCTTTCCGGGTAATCTACTTAGTGACCAAAACGCCTAAATATGCAACGAGCTCGGAGCTCACGTCTTATCATGCCCTGGATGCTTCCTCTTACCACTCCATCTCATTCTCACTCCGTGTCCCCTCATCACCTATTCTTAATCCGCTTAAGGAGTATCGGAAAGTGACCCTCGTGATCAAATCTCAGCTTATAAAATCCAATGAATCCCTCATCTTCCCTTGAAAACAGGCTTCCTCTTCTCCCTAAAAGCAACCAATGCCTCATCCCTATCTTCAGTACCTACCACTCTTCCATACATGTCATTTTCTACATCCTCCCTCGCCCACCCCACAGCTCTCAAAGCACTCCTCGTGGCCACTGGACCTCCCTCACAAATAGTCCCTGCAAGAAGAACTGCCTCCTTCAAAACCGCCTCTTTAGCCCTCTTCATCAAATCTCCTTTTTCCTTCCCCCCGACCCCACTTTCCCCCTCATTTTCCTTAACCTCAACCAATCTATCCGCAATCCCTAGGAAATAAGCTTCTGGACCACTAACTCTCCTCCCTGTCAATATTAAATCTCGCGCTCGGCCAATTCCTATTAAAGCGGGTAGTCTATATGTACCGCCTGCACCAGGTATTATACCAAGACGAGTTTCAGGTAATCCTACTACGGCTGTTGAGGCAAGGACCCGCATATGTGTACACAGAGCTAATTCTAGACCACCGCCGAGAGCAATTGAGGAAATGGCGGAGATAGTTGGAATTGGGAGGGTGGAAAGTTTGGTGAATGTCGAGCGAAGATTATGGAGGAATGTTTGAGTCCTGTTTTAGCTTCATTAGCTCTCTCTTCACCCCTGCACTGTATCTGCACCACCCGTTGGATATACAAAGGAACCTACATCTCAGGTGTAAAAGTAGCCCTCTCCTTCAAATCTGCCCCCGCACAGAATACCCCATCAACCTCACTGGTAATAATCAAAGCCCTAGTCGGCCCATCCTCCCCTTGCGGTCTAACCTTTCGAATCTCATTTCCATCCGCATCATATTCTGCCGCAATATCATCTACATGAGCGCGTAATTCCTGTAGTAATTGTATACTAATAGCATTACGAGCTTCGGGGCGACAAAGCGATAGAACGCGGATAGTACCGTTGGAATGCGGGGTTGGGATTTGGAAAGAGGATATGAATTGCGGACGACCTGATGTAGCGGTGGAGTAAAGACGAGGAGTGAAAAGTTTAGGAAGGGTAGATTTGAGTGGGAGACGAAGTAATGGTCGCATTTTGAAGGCTGGTGAGTTGGAATTGAGTGGAGGATTGGTGTGATGAAGGACGGGAAGCTTTGTATATTGCGGGTATTGACGGATACTAGCGGACGGGTATTTTTAAGGCTAGTTGAAGCTTATTGCACAGGGATAAATACACCAGAAATTAACGATGTCATCACTATCGCATCGCTAATCAAACTGTCTGGAACTTCAAGATTACTAATCTTCAGCCTCAACCAGAATCTGACTGTATCCAAAACAAAGATACCTACATAGGTATCAACAGAAGACCTCATATTCAAGACCTTCAATTCCATCATCTTTTCCTCAACTTAACAATCTCCTATTTTCATTCAAAGATCCAAAAATGTCCAACCCAAACCCCTCAAATGGCACAACAGTTGCCTCCCTCCCACCCGAAGCCATAGCTTTCGCAACCAGAATGTACGACGCAGCTCGAAATGGGGATATTGAGATTTTCGAACAAGCTTTACCTGCAGGACTCCCAGCTAATATGACAAATGAGAAGGGCGATAGTCTCGTATGTTATTTGTTCTTATTTTTCTCTAAATCCTGCGGAAATTTTTAATTTTGCTATGGCAATGTTCACCGGGAGATTCTTACCCTCATCACGTGTTACTCCTCCTTTTCTCTATGGATGCTATCTTGATTTTATGCACAATTTCTAATATGATAGAACAGATAATGCTCGCTGCTTATCACGGCCACGCACCGCTCGTCCGACTTCTTCTTCAACATGGTGCGGATCCTAATTCATTGAATGATCGAGGACAATCTCCTCTAGCAGGTGCTGTATTCAAAGGAGAGACTGAAGTTGTCGAGGTACGTAGATCTCTTTACTTCTCACTTTCTCATCTTCCTCGACGAGACTTATCTCTAAATTCTAATCATCAACAGGCATTACTCGAAGGCAACGCAGATCCAGATCATGGTTCTCCAAGCGCAAAGAGAGCAATAGAGTTATTCAAGCAAGAAGATAAATGGGCTCAAAAGTTCGCGGATGCGCCAGGGAAGGGAAAAGCTGTTTGAATGGATGGGGTTTGAGAATGGTGTTTAGGTTGAGATGGAAACAAGCCTGTGATTTATTTTGGGCTTCCTTGGGATATTTTGTATAATTTTGAGATGTGATGATGACTTTCATTTCACAGTTTAATCACTACTTTGAAGAAAATTGTGATTCGGTTCTTTCTCCCAGAAACAGAACTCATTCTATAAATGATCTGAAGAAAACTTGGCCTTTAAAGCGACAACATCTTGCACATAATAACACCCTCTCAACACCATACCTATCCTTCGTTCCCTCCTCCCTTCCCCTCCACTCCTCATTCCCATCCTTCTTCCCCAAACCCCTCCCTACTCTTCCCCAATTCCGCCCATCCCTACCCCCACCCCTAAACCCTCGGCACAACCCCCAAACCCCACCCCTCCTCCGGCAACCCCGTACTACACTGCCCCCAGACCACCACACTCTCCGGACTAACCACCACGGGACCAAGCTCATCCCTCGTCCGCGTAAAACTTCCTTTCTCCCCCGTTATCGCACAAAACCCCTTTCCTTCCGCTACTAAATGGGAGATCTTGAGTGGATTGTCGATTACGTAGGGGTTTCCGTCTATGGGGAAGGTTTGTTGGACTAAGAGACGGGAAGGGGATGGTTAGTGGTTGGGTTTGGGTGGAGAGGGGGATTTGGTGTGGTGAGAGGAGGGAGAGGAAAGAGGAAGGATGAAGGGTGAATGGGAGTTGAAGTTGTGAGATGAAGGGAAGAAGAGATGTAAACAAAATCATGATAAATGGTATATACAAGACTTACAAAAATCACCACCCCTCGCATAAAAAGTAATAACAACATCCCCAGCAGATGGATAATCATTCCTCGCAATATGAGAAATAGTACTATTACTATTAAGCTTAACACCACCACCTCCCTGTCGAGAGTTCAAACTACCATCCTGTTCCGGTGTGAAGTCCTCGATTGGTGCTGAGAAAACAAACGAAGCTAGTAATGCTAAGAAAGTAAACAGAGTAATATTGCTCATAATTAAGAGCTGATGTGAAAGATATGTATAAATCTGTGAAGAGGAAATGAATTGAGATACTTGGGAAAATTTATGTAAAGAATTTGAGAATTTGAGAATTTGATAAATTGATAAATTTAAATATCCCCTCACTATAGGCAGCACATCTTATATACATATATATACATATACCATATCCCCTAAACCGCAATCCACAATCCACCATGTCCACTCCCCAAATATCACATCCCATTCAATAAAAAAAAATTCTGCATAAAAATCGATAGGTCGCCCACCTATGGTCACCGCTAGGCCTTGTTCCAAAAGTAGAATATTGAAATGTGAAATGAAAAAATGTGATGTAAGTGGCGAAGAAGCCCTTTTTTAGGCCTAATGGGTGTCTTGTTTAAGATCGATTAGAATTTTCGCTGCTGTTGGAACTTGGGTCTAGCAAGCGGTTGGACACCACTCAGGTGAAATGAAGTATCTCTATATCCACGCTAATTTGGTTCGGTTTTTTAGGAAGTTCATAGCAGCGACAGTCAAGTCTAAACCTACTAGTATGAACAAAAATATTTCTCATTATAAAAGATTTCTAAAACCACAACATGGTATTTGTATGCCCCAAATCTATGGAATGACACCAGCGATGCCGCCAAACTTTTGACTTTCATTTTCAGAACCATGTAAGTCAGTCCCACATCCATCATAACACATAACTTCGTTCATTCCATCCTACCAACAGATAATTTCTACCCCATCTCATCAACCCATACTCTCGCTCTTAATCTCTGCACCACTTCTTTTCTAATCCACCTCATTTCTCTTCCCTCATCCATTGCCTTATCAGCCCAGTCAAACAACAACCTTAATCCTAATAATCTATCCTTATTCCCACTATCCAGCGTCGCATGTTCTAGAACCAACCTGGAATCGACTGATGTTTGTTCCATGCCTGCATGAATGTCCCTTGGCCCACCATGATCGGGCGGTAGTACCAATGCTCTTTCCGCTTTAGTGAGAGTTGAGAAAGCAGGGAGGTCAAACAGCCATTGAAGAGCTTGATTGGCCGTCTGGTCGGCTTCGTCTAAAGCTTGAAGAGTTGCTTTGAATGCATTGGTGCTTGCATCGTGGGCTGGGCGTTTACGAACGTATAATGTTTGTGTTGATTTGAATGCTTCAACGTGTGCTTTATTGCTCTCCAAATCTAGAACAACATTCCAGAATTCAGGGCTGCACGTTCGAACTGTTTTAATTTGATTAATTTCGGGAATAAGACAAGGTGTATGACGTTCTTCCTCCTCTCCATTACGAAGTGTAATTTGAAGAGGTATTGGAACAGGTTGATCGGTATCAATATCTCTTGTAATGAGACATCTAGGTTCCGCTGCTAAAACCCAAAAGTGACGGAAGGCTTGTAAGTGAGACTTATTATCTTGAACAGTAGATGGAAATATCGGATAGAATGCCACAAGCAGTGCAGCAATTGCTTTATCTGAAGTTCCGAATGTGAATGTTCCGCCACCCAAGAATAAAGCTCCAATGGCTAAATGAGCGGCGAGATGACTACCATAAGGTGTCTCACTATCATCACGACCATGCATTGAACGAAGTCTACGAAACAAGGGAATGTCTCCTGTGCCCGCCATGACAGTAGCTGCGCCAAGTGCCAGTAAATCTTGGCAATTCCGAACAGTGTTCCTTGTCAACTTTTTATCAAAAGAGTCTGCTTCAATTTGACAAATTCGTCTGAATTCATCTAAATAATGCAGGAGTATGTCTCTGGCGGTCAGATTTGCGGAACCGGCGAATCTCAAAGCAATACTGAAACAGAGCCCAGTTAGTATATCGTAAAAGGGAAGATCTGCAGATGTTAAAGCTTTGATCTGTTGTAACGAACTTCGACTCTTATAGGGAGCAGGTAGACTCTTCTTAATCCATTTATGTGAAGGCTCTATCTTACTCCACATGATCAAGTGCCGAGCAAGCGTTCGAAGTAGAAAAGCATCCGGTCGAACGTAATCAAATTGAAGAACGGAATCTGGCACATCTACCTTGCGTGCCAAGACCTGATTCTCCGATTTCATATATATGAGAGCAACGGAAATGATTGCTGCAGCAGTGGATTTGTCCAAGATGTGGACAAGGTCAACTTTCTTACTCCCTGCAGCCAACGCGATCAGTCTCTCTGTGAGCCGCATATCATGAAGACCTTTCAGGTCAGAGCCCTTCCCGAGATTAATAAATCCGAGGGCAAAGCCTGCTGCTAGGCGGTAGCCTTCATTCCTAAGAGGCTCTTCATCGACTTCTTGGTCAATATGCTCCATTTCAGATACCATAATCTCACTCATTCGACGATGTTGAGTGTTACAATATAACAAACCAATACCCATAATACCAGTGGTTTGTGTAAGTGGAGAAAGGTTCAACTCAGCTGCTCCAGACGGGAGCATTCGCGTTACATGGACTGATAATAGTCGAGTGATTAATGAGTCCATTGTTCCTATATAAGATGCAGCCAATCCTAGAAGTAATCCAATTGAAGTCATTGTATGCTTCGGGGTCAAGTATCTGAATGCGACCCATTTCGCTACGGACTTAAGATGGCCATTGAGACCAAGGGCGAGTAAGAAACCGGCATGACGATTACTCAAATCCTGTTGTGGTTTGTTGTAAAGAATCCATGATGTATCAATTCCCTTTGCATCTCGAGAAATGCTGAGACCAGCAGACACACCTGCGTGGAAGAACGCCCAACACACCTTTTCCTCGGTGAATGCATTCTTGTCTACACCGATAGTATTGTTATTCGGCTTCATGACGCAGCTTAAATTGAACCCTCCAATAGCAAATCTTTGGGTAAGGAGAGGAATACGGGCACTATAATATAATAGTCCTTTACCAGAAGGAATGGCCAAAGTGCGATAAGCTAGCATTTGAGCATGCTCCTTTTGAGCTTCTAACAATTCTGATTCCGTCCAATCGGATGCCGATTTGACACGGGCAATTGTAGATCTGAAAGTATTCAGGATGTTGGATGCTTCATTAAATCTTCTGTCGTCCTTAAATATTGCTCGTGTAATAGCTTGACGGTCTACTTCAGCGGAGCCATCAAAAGCTCCAGTAGCCTCAATCTCTGTCGTAGATGCGCAGATAGCATGAACGTCTAGATTTGATTCATGTGATGGTGGCTGTACATGTTAGCTTTTGTGAATATGAAAAGATCTTGTACTCACTAATAAGGATGGCTGGAAATTCCGAGATGAGCGGCCAGACATGAGCAGCATGCTGACATCCTCACGGCCCACCAGTGCAAGTAGCTCCCTATTCCACGTTGTTGGTGGTTCTCTTTGACATTCAACGATTGCTTCTTGAAGCGGGGCAAGTATAGCCTCTGGCAAAGTCTCAAGGAAGAGGTTGTCTACGCCGGCGGCAGATAGAGCTTCCACAACCTGTACAGAAGACCAGCCATCTTGCATGCACGAAAAGAATTGGGCAAGTTGTAGAGTTCTTGGTGTTGAGCTACGCCATCGCTCAAAGTCTCGGATACCCCTGGTAGGAATGGCTGATCTGATCGTTACCAGATCTTGAAGTGTTAGAAATGGCATCAACCTTCGGGCTAGTAAACAACTTTGAATCCATGTGTAAATCGATGGACATTCGAAAGGTTCAGGAATGCGAGAGGCGAGAACAAAGTCTACGAAGCTGCTAAGCGACTTTTCATTTAGACAAGGGAATTGAAGGACTTACCAGTATCGTAAACTGCATCAACCAATGAAGCTTCCTCTGTTTCATAAAATTCTATCCAGCTGTCCCACTTAAGCCATCGGAAGATTTGAGCTAGGATTGGAGTCAAATCAGGCACACCAGTACTAAGCGATTCGGCTGTCATTGTGTTAAGTTTCCTTTCCTCGCGCAATAAATGTAAGGCCGCAAGAATGTCAATTAAAGCAGCTTGGCGAATCTCGAGAGACTTATTGGTTGCTGACGGCAGATACCCTGTGACAGCCTCCTGGCCCAATTTTGAATAGAAAAACGTTCGTGCAAGATTCGCATGCCTTTTTATAAACGTTTCTTTATCATTGCTTTTTGACCAAAAACTCTCCGTCGCAGAAGAAAAGGGACCAGAATCTTCTTGTTCGTTGACTAGCCATTTCCACGCGCTATTGTTAAGCCAAGGTGGTATAGGATTTCCATATGGAGCTAAATGACTTAGCATGGTCTCATAGCAGGCTACGTCTACTTGTCTGCCACTACTAGACCTTAAAAATGCTGTGCGTGGTTTCCTTGTAGCATGAGCTTTCTTTTGAGTTTGTTTGCCAGTAGCAAAACTGAAGACCATTGAAAATAGGACAATAAGTAGAGATGTCCACTCCGCATCTGGAGTATCAATAGATTCGAGTTGAAGCCATCTCATAGAATTCCACCATGCAACAAGCATCCCTTCGCCTCCACTTGCGCCCGGTAAAACCTTTGTACATACTTCAAGAATTTTAGCCACATAAGGACTGCGAGGCTGCATGACAATTTGCAATTGATGCATTTTACCTTCATCATCGACCAAGTCAACAAGCCCACGAGGCTGTGGATTACGCAGACCTTTCAGAGCACGAGGTCCTTGATTTAGTACTCTCTTGAAACTCCCCTCCCTCTTCTTACCAGGATCTTGGTTGTGGCTCAAGTTCCGAATGTTATGTATGGCAAAACTTGCAGGCAGAGTTACCTTCATCAGAATGCTCCACGGAGCTTGTAAGCTCAACTCTCCAAAGCCATCGTCTGTTTCAGTCAAAACTAAAATACGAGATATATCGCCGTCGTCGAACTTGCAAGCATCAATCACACCGGGCGCCCTCATCACTTCTTTCAAGTTGACCAAGGTTATTTCCTTCTCTGAATTTGGAGACACCTCATTGTTGTTGAAAGGGGCGTTTCTATGTACCTTACTGTCGAGAGTCATTACAAGAAGCTTTTTCTCATCGGAATCTAAAATGCATATGACTATCGAGTTGCCTTGCAGATCATCTGCCGCCGATGATGGTGCAGGTAGTATAAAGATTTTACACTGGCTCTTTGCCGGAATATGTTGGCTTGAATACCTAACATTACTATGCTCGGCGGAGACACTACAAACTTTGGCAAGAATAATTTCCTGCCTAAGAGCGTCAAATTCTTCGTCATCAAGACCCATATCATTGAAGCCACCAAAATCACCTCCGGCGCGAAGTTGATCCAGAAGTTCATCAACTGGTGCTTCAAGGTGGCTATTAATGCTATGATTTAGCTGACTGGCCTGAGAGAAAGTCTGTCCATTCAATCCAATGCTCGTTCGGGTATGCTGGCTTCCTAAGGAGTCGCGAACTCGACCTGTGTTGTGCTGATGACCAGTTGCTAGTTCAGAAAAAGCATTTCGTTCGTGTGAAGCGGATAAATCTGCTCTTGCTAGCATTGAGCTCACACGTCGAGAACTTCTTCTAGGAATAATACCACTTTCGTAGTCTGGATCAAGTGTAGATACAAAATCAATTTTCTTATCTTTTTTCATATCCTCTGACCATGCAGGCTTCTTGAAACCAGAAGCAGCTCCACCAAAACTTTCCCGGAACGTCTGCTGACTATTTCCCACGGGCGTCGTGGCACCTGTTCCACTCGGCATGAACGAGCTTCGCCGACGCGACGCTGCACCACTTGGAACCCGAGATTTCCCGTTCGATATTGTGTCATGCCCGACATAAGCTAACCTCCACACTGTGTACATGCTAGTTTCTCGGTTCAAGGTGATGGCTAATACAAGAGGATTTTCTGAGTCCTTGGCAGAGAATTCGTTCGGTCGGGATACATGAAGAATCTCCTCCGAAGGGTCCAACGTTGATATCTTTCCGGAGCTTCTTCGTTTTCCTCGTCCGTCAGATAAGCCTGGCTGAGCCACCACTAAACCCATCTCTGATAATGGATCTGACAAGGAAAATAATCGCGGCCAGTTCGCATCACTTTGAGCAGGGGGTTCCCACAAATCCTTCAAGGTAGAAACTTGACTTGGCATCTGCATAGGAGCACCGAGATCCGCGGTAGAAAAGGTTGACTGAATTGAGCTTGCCGCAGACCAAAGTTGAGGCTGGGATGAGACAAATGAGTTGGGTGGTACCCGTGGAAACTTGATAGAGGCTGCAACATTAATTTCCGCGCGTAGTTTTCGTTGTATAATGAGGCCAATAGGTGCTGCGGTGGCAGACTCGACCTCGAACGGCAAATGTATGACATGGCTGGTTCCAGAGAGAAAGTAAACATGCGCCTGTGTCTTTAAAAACACCACAATTGCCTTTTCTTTGATATTCGAGCCCGTGTGTTGCTTCTTCGGTGCTCCATTCTTGGATGGTAATGGGCCAACACTTGGAAACGAGGTCAATAATGCCTGTGTAATTGGTTCTTTTTCAAGGTCAAAATTGTAGCTTTTTCGAAAAACCCCTCCTCGCGACCATATTACACATCTTGGCGTGACTAGCAATTCATCGTCGACTTCTGAGCCTGTATCGCCATCGCAAACATTGTACCAATTGTATGAACTACTTGCAGCATCCGCGATCAAGTAGCCTTCTTTAATAGCATACTGAAGCCCTGTAGGTTGATGTAGACCTAAAGAATTGACCGAGGCCATATTTTAGAAAGCTTGTACAATATCATGAACGCACAGATTCTGCCATTGGTTTCTCAAGTTCATCGGCGCACTGTACCTTCTTAGATTTTCATATTTGCATCTCCTTCATCTTCTGAAATGCTTTATGCTTTCTAGAGAAACGCGACGAGGAAGGCACGAGGCTGGTATAAATTTATGTGACGCACGGACCACAAGGCTACTGCACCATGTATGCACCTATGTATACCCCATGCTCTCCCCGCCATTTCGAAAAAGAATAATTAATTCAAAAAAACATTCTTCATTTTCAACATGAGTGCTCAGCCCCTATTTTTGCTGTAAGCACCCACCTGCCTACCCCTCAGTCTCACAACTCTGAGTTTGAAGGCCCACCTGCGTCCCAGTTGATTGGGCTGTACCTCGGAGTACAGAGTATGTGGCTGGCTATCTCGGGTATCAGCTGTCTTCGGCTATATCGGATGTCTGAGATTTACCTAGAGAAATTGGCTCAGATGATGTGTATTCGTTACATTACCTAGAAAGCATGCTATGGGTCCTTGTTTCGGGCATTGGTGGGAGAGGCCTCGGAATTGATTGCATCTGAAGGGCATGCTCACTAGATGTAGATGCATCCGTACTAGTGTACTGTCTCATCCTTAAAGATTGCCCTACACTTCAGATGGTTGTGATAACGGGAAAAGATTGTTTCTATTTTCATTCATCAAACGAACTGTACTTTGGCATTGCCCTTTCAGTGGCAAAATTATCGCGAGTTTGGAAGATTGGATGTTATGAGGTCTAATTTTAGATGCAGACAATCAGAAATTTCAGTCTGGGGCCAAGTATTAGTGGAGTTCCCAAGTATCTTATCAGGCGCAAGTGGCCCATTTTCATTCGGCGTGAAAACCGAGTCCTCCCAGCTCGTTTCTCACCAGTGCGGCGGTGCACTTCAGCTTCAGCATGGAAACACAAGCACAGTATTTTTACGATAAGCGCTTCCAATGGCTCCGTGATCAGGATCATTCGTTACTTAGCTTGCAAGTCAATTCTATAGTGTTAAATATACTTTCGCGCTTCTTCGCTACTAGGGACACTCAGCAGATTATCAAAAATGGAGGATGTAGTTCATTTGAGCGCCCGCAGTTAGGGTATAACATGGCAGGTACGGCTCTAGTTGGGATATAAAATAGTTTCCCTCGTACGTTAATGATAAATAAAACTCTCCATACCAGCAACATGAACCTCCCACCGCGTTTTTGATCTGTTGCGCTATGTACAATGGGCTTTCCTACTCGTGATTTGGAAATAAAGCCAACACCGAGAGTTCAGTAGCGCGTTTTAAAAAGGCTTTCGCCACTTTAACTCACCCCTTCATTGCTCGCTTACTGCATTTCGAAAGATTTATTGCACATCTGCCACTGTGTTCCTGAAGCCTTGTATAACTTTTGGTTACCAATGTTGGCGTTGCTTATTTCATACACTGTCACCATATGTAAATGGCTTCTCACAATTTTAACATGAGATTTCTAAGCACAAGTCAAAGTTAAGATTCGACAAAATGTGCCTCATGTACTCGCCGCCATCTGAACATCAGAATCAGTGCACCATAAATAGCCTGCGACAATTTCTTTTTCACATTCTGAAGTGATCAGACCACAATAACGTAACAGTCACCTAAGGACCACGTCTTTATTCCCAAGAAAATATGAGGAAATTTTTTAAATTGAAAATCCGACCCAGAAAATCTAGAGAACTTGCAAAAAATACGTGATGCTCTTTAACGAAAAGAGGAAAACAAACACCCGTTTTTCTATATTTGTTACTTATGTAATAACTACAAGTTATTGTGAGAAAAGACCATCAGAATTGAAAATAAAATGAAAAGCCAAAGAGTTCAAAGAACCTCCCCCGCCAAACAAGTACGCTCGTGTAGGTTTGAGATTAGACACCAGAATCAGTCTTGAAATATGGTGCCTGGGATGGATACCACGCATTCCATTTATTGCAGGTATTGGTCAAGGCTGGCGAGATGGGGTTTACAGCATTGATTTGGTTTTGAGATTCGAGGAATTGAACAGCAAGACCTTCGCTTACGTGCCATGCCTAGTTCGTATGTTAGGATGGTTTGCAAAAGATTTATGGATAGGGAAAGATTGGGGAAGACTTACAATATGACAATGCATCAACCAAGCGCCAGGGTTATCAGTTTGGAATGCTAGAACAAGCCACCCTCCAGCGGGCAGCATGGCAACATCTCTTCTGGTTGGGTTGTCGTAATCAAGCTTTGGTCCATCGACTGAGTTGTTGTAAGTTCCAACTCCCGTGCCGAGAATATAGAAATCATGACCGTGTAAATGCATTGGATGAGGAACGTTAATGGAAACTGGTTGTCCGGCAACTGATCCGGGTACTTCTTGAATAATCCAATAATACCATTGATTAGCATTGTTCAAAGAAATGAGATTCTCGGAAGCAGGCCAGGAGTTGTTGCCATCGAGGACATATTGGAGAATGGGTTTCTTCCAGTCGACATTAAGTGCTGTGAGGTTAATACCCCATGTGACGATTGGTCCGCTGGTGGTAACGCCAATGTCTATGGCCACGTTGAGTGTGTCGATATTACCACTCAGGGGTCCGCTAGGCACAAAACTATCCCAGAAAGGAATGATTCCTGTTTCGTCGGTACATCTCTGAGTATAGGGTGTGGCGGTTGATGATGGAGTGGTGCTTGCAGCTCCTGAATAAGTGAAAATGCTCTTGATGTTTCCATTGTTATTGTTTATTCCGCAACCATTTTGAACTTCAGCTCGGAACCAATAGCTTCCAACTGTCTGGTTGGCATGGAATACAACATCGTATCTTTGACCAATTCCGATGAAGATCCAGTTCGTGGTGTATGGTTCAATTGGAACGAAATCGGATGTAATTACGGTGAATGCATGATTGTCCAATGATACCATGAAATGATTGTCGACTGAAGTATTGATGAGACGGAGACGGTATTTTTTACCTGAAGTGATCGTGTTTGTGGTATACTTTCCACCAGTTTGACCGGCAGGTGCCACCATACTACCATTGATAAGTCCATTGTCCCCTGGTGGTGGTCCAGCTTGTGAATGCGCTACTCTTTCGCCGAGTGCAAAGACCGGTGTATAATACCAATCTTGGATCATGTACGCTCCAAGGTCAACATCATAGTTAACAGGAGCCGGTCCATTAATCACAATAGGACCGATCAACCCATCGCCATATTGAGAAGAGAAATGACTGTGATACCAGCTCGTGCCGAACTGGGTTGCTTGGAAGGTGTATGTCTTGGTGTCGCCGGGAGCGAGAGGACATTCGGTGATTCCTGGTACACCATCTTCGGTGCATGTGTGGTATTGACGAATACCGTGCCAGTGGATACCAGTACCATTGTCCGGCATAGAATTTTTCAAGGTAACTTGGATCATATCACCCCACTAAAAGTATGTCAGAAAATCGTACACATTACGGGAGAAATCGCGAGAGCCTTACATCAGCATATAGGGTTGGTCCAGGGAAATGGCCATTGATCAAGATGCAGTTTTGACGGGTGATTCCATCTGGAGCGCAAGTCGAATTGGTCACTTCCCAATTATATTTCCGGGTAACCCCAGTATTAGGATTCTTGGTGTCAAAATCTGTTGCAATACTGAAACCATTTCCCCAACAAGCTCTAGTGAAGGGTGAGTTTGTACAAGCAGGATCGGCAACCAAACTAGAGAGAGCAGAGGAGGAACTTGAGCTTAGGGTCGCCGTGGAACCGACAGAGGCGGAGGACCCCGAGGTAGTCGTTGAAGCCTTGGAAGATGACGAGCCGACCGATGATGAATTTGAAGTTGACGATCTTGTGGATGACGCCTTTGAAGATGTGCTTGCCTTGCTGGTGGCAGAAGTTGTTTGGCGTTTTACCAGACCGTCACGTGCATTTATTGGTGCTGGGAGGATCGCTGCAGTAGCAACGGAAGACAAGAGTAGAATATTCAAGAACTTCATCTTGAGCAAGTTAGAGAAAGAAACCTGATACAATTGATCTGAAGAGAGTAATATCTAGCGCAGTCAAGTGAGACTTAATGTATTTATCTTGCCAGATTGCCACCCGGATATTTGTCACCGGTGTTCGGTGACTCTTCTAGATTTCCATGTTGATGCACACGAGATCATGATGCCGCCCCTCACGCGAGGTGAGGCTCGACTGACAAGCAGGTGGAGCAGCCATCACAATGCAACCTTACCGCGCTATCGGACGGCTCTGTAAATCAGAAACTTCGTGGCTTACATGCATCTCAGAATAGGATATCCAATGACCAACAATATTATAATTTGAGCTGAAAACAGTCCAAGTCCCGTTGTTTGATTTATTGACTAATATCAAGGTTCCTGCGCCGGGATCGCTTGAACACTTTACATGATGCCAATTTTCAGAAACCAAAGTGATAAGACTTATGCATGCTTTGTGATATTGCTAGTTGGATCAGGCACGGCAGCATGGTACATATGCTGTCAGCCCTCGGACAAAACTGTGGTTGCTTTGGTGGCACGCCAAGATTCACCCCTCGTCCACATCTGAGATTCTTCGGGAAAAGTTGTTAACAATAGCAACAGTTACATCTCACACAATTATTGGCATGCGTATGCTTTAAGGTCCCGAAGATACCGTGCATGAAGATTCCCAATATAATGAATGATCTTGTGCTGAAACTATGTTTTCAATATGCGAGGCTGAGATGTTCAGGTGAGATCCTTCTTCGTGGAATAGATGAATGGCTCGCTTGGCTTTGGCCATGGTGGTCTTTGGCAGCCGACGAGGTTTCTCCTGTTGTATAACTCAAGATCAAATGTTTGTACTCGTAGAATGGTCTTGCAAGTAGGAATGTCGTGGGTATTTTTGCTTACTCAGACCTGCAGCAAGCCCTGTAAATCATTGAATAATTGGTACAGTTCACGGGTCTTTTAACGTAGATTTAGCCTGTGGGTACCCGTATCTTGGCTAAAAATTATACCTAAAGGGTCCATCAATCACAATCCTTCAACGCCAAATGACAATTAACTCCATAATCCGGATCTAGCCGGGGAGAAATATCACGAAATCCAAAATCACCGAAAAAGTGTCAGAACAATCCCATTTGGTGACAATAGTACAATCAATAACACTATCCTCTATAATCTGTAGCCTACCTTTGTCTCAGAATTAGTGAACCATGGCAGCGGCTCGTCTATATATTGGCTTGAGTCTTTAGCCTTTTAATGCACGTGTCTACCATGCATCAGAGCTCTGCTTCGAACCTTGAATATTTCTCATTCCCATTATGTTTGTTGAGCCACAAGCCGCGATGTTCTAGAAGAAACTGAATCTGAGGCTCAGAATTGGAGGAAATATGTTTATCGGCGGCTCGTACTTCAGCGCCGATAAGGCTATTTGAAGTTCCCAAGCAATGCTCGGTTGCGGCAGGGATATGTCGGAGTCCAGAGTGCTATTTCGGATTTTTAGACGTGAAGAAGTCATAGATACATGGTTTACCTACCCCAGCATCCAATACCGAGAACACAGCAGCTGCAAAGATGATCATTGTGGCTTTTCTTTTGCATCAAGAACGGAGATACGTAACTGGCAATCTCACATAACTGTACAGTAGCCTTGAAGTATCGGGCGAGTCACTCTCAGCGCATACATCATCCTTCGTATTGATCCTTCCTTTTGTTACGATCCAAAAGTCTCTCCACATTTATCACTCCACCCTTTACGTCTCACAAGGAGAATTCGTGAATCTAAGCCAATGAGGATTCTTTTCAGGAAAGGATGGCTCGGTTTGTTATGCCGCATATGAGGCTTGTTTCTTGGCATCTAGTGTAACTAAGAAGCTGGAAAACATTCCGTTTTTACTGCTAAGTCACGACTTTTGTTATGCTGTCAGATGAAATCACTCAATATTCTGGATGGCGTTGGGCACTCTTGTGAGAATTGCGCGTGTCTACGCTTCTACCCGTGTAGCTGCGGTATCTTTCTTTTTTTGGACAGGCTCGGCGACATCAGCGGGATAGCTCATACTCACCTTATCCAGCTCGCACTAAGAACCCCAGATGTCAAAGTCCCTATATTGACCTCACAGAACCCAATCGTAGCTCAACTTCATCAGTTTCATCATTCACCATCATTTTTGTTTTCATCATGTTGTCTCCAATTGTTCATCTCTCTTATACATTCGTTTTATTGGCTTATGTCTTTTCCTACGTCAAAGCAGACTGTTCATCATACGGCATTGATTTTCAGAATGGAGCTAGTTATTTCATCAATAGCGGAGATTCTTCCAACTTCACCTCCGTCACGCAGTTTACGGGATGTACCGGCACAGCCGATGTAATTCTTGTTGCCCCTGATGAGGATTCCTGGTTGTGTAGCGATATAAACACCCAGCCTGACAATACCAATATGCTTTCAACATGGTAGGTATCTTTCGGCAAATCTTCGATATACACAACCTTACTAAGTTTTGTCAGTCCTCTTTTGAAAAGCGAGATGTATAGTGGAAGTTGGACTATCGTCATCTTGGGTAATAATGGAAATTCATCATCTTTCGCTGCCCAAAGAACATTCGAACTTGTAGTTGGACCTCAAGCTACAGTCACATATATCCCAACTGGTAGGTGAATCCAGGCGTTTGCGTACCAAGTCTTCACATTTTGACATTTCTTAGTAAATATCACGAGTGTGGTAACACCATCAACAACTTTACCCACGACCATTACTGAAGTCGACTCAACCACAATTCCTGCTGTTACAATTACCGAACCATCAGCCACCGCCAAAAACACAGTGACAATTACACCTAAACGAGTCACAACGACCAAGATCACCACCTCCACGAGGACTTTGACTTCTAGAAAATACACCTTCCCTATCGTTACCATCACCAAGACAGCATCCTGCAAAGTTCCCATCAAGCCAACTGCAAGAGATCCATTCGCAAATCAACATTTCCTTGCTCTTGCTAAAAGTATCAAATCCAATTTGGCCTATAGACGTACTGCTGGACCAGCACCAATACCCGCTGCCATCACCCCAGCTCTAAGAGCCAATTTCAACAACCGAGACGTTCCAGTTGACGTTGCTAATGTTCTTGGACGTCGTGCTGTTGGTCGCCTCCTCGAGAAGAAGCTCAAGAAACGTGCTCCAGATCAGCCGACTTTGACAATCATTGATACAAACACAGCTGATTGGCAGACTTCCACTATTACCACTACTACTGCTACCACAACTTTCTATAGCACAGGTAAGATATATCCTCACAATTTGTCTAGTATATGTGACACTTACTAACGAATTTCACCTATTAGCCACTACAACTACATCTACCACTATGTAAGAAAAATCCCCTCATGAAAATATCTAAATCTGACAAAGCTATAGTACCCCAGCACCAGTTACAGTCCGTAGCGGAGTAACTACGGAAACTATAACAGCACCAACACCTACAAAAACAAAGATCATCCCGACTTTCACGGTCACAGTGGTCACATCGACAATTACTTACAAGTATGCGTACGTTTCATTGCGTGAACTCTAATACTTGGGAACAATCTCATTTTAGAAACAATTCCGCTAACAAATCCTTCAATCTAGTGTCACGATTACAAAGACTGCAACACCTTCTTCAGTAATCGCATCCTGTACCTCGAAGGGTGGTGTGGTCATTTGATTTCCTGCATGATATTGATGCGTTTTTCTTTCGAGCATCATCTATCAGATTTTCCTACTTTTTTCCTACTCTATTCTCATTTTCCGCATCTGAAATTACAGAGTTTCGAGTTGATTTGACAAGCACACATCGCTATCGATAGAGGTATATTTGGGTCATTATACTAGTAGGGCTGGGCGGTTCGTCATTTTGCTTTTACTTTTTCTCTCGGAGTTACTATACATCATCCATGGAATTGAATCATCGAATGTTAAAGAATTCCCTCGTGTTCACCGTTCGCAAAGTAGTATTCGGGTAAATCTTCTCGTATATGTAATCTTATATTTGTATCTCGCATATGTTATGCAAAGCATTTACCTGCAGACCATACCGGACTCCCGAGGGAAAAGTATCCGCTGGTATTGCATGCAACCCTATGACCTCACTGTATTTCTATTCTGTAAGTAGCAGCTTCATTACCGGCATAGATCAAGAATTATAGAAGCGAATGCATGTGTTATTTCTCACAGAATTTGATCTATTGGTTCCCAGAAATTGCTAAACTCTGGGAATAGAATATAAGTCTACAAGTAAACACCAATCGCATCACATATAAATTTCCCTGCAAAAATAGCTCGATCGCATCGCGACGCCACGAAGCTTAACCATAGATATGCTTGAACATTCCATACAGAATATGCACCTAGAATATGCACGTAGAACATTCAACCAGCAACGCTATTCTACATCTTCCACTACGGAATAAACCCTACTTTCCCCACCGAGATCCGAATCTTCCCATACATCCAACCTAGCATCTCACTTGGAAAATGGAAATATTGCTCAAAAGCCGAGACTACCATAGGTTGGTTAACCATGCTCGGGTACCAGTAAATAATCTTACCGGACACAACCCGACGAAAACTTCAAGTCATCTGCTAAGGCTATCGCATATCAAATTTCCAATATCAAGCACTGCCGAGACGCGAGAACCGAAATTCATCAGCCTTAAGCCAATAAAACCACACCTCCGAAATAGAAAATCTGGAGCTGAAGCTGGTCTGGCTGCTACATACGAACTAATATCCCTTTTTTCCTTCCGATCGATCGATCGTGCAGAATTCGAATGCAAGCCTCATATCCAAGCCTTTGGTTCTAGCTTGGCGCTTCTACTTCTGCTTCTGCACTCTTTCTATTATCCCGCTGTGGCTTTTGCTTTCGAGGTTTCGCTACTTTTAGGTCACTTGTCTGCCGACCGGGATACATGATTATTTCTGTGTATCCGAGTGAAAAGATTCATGATTAAGCTAATTATGTCACTCATACAGGTATGTATGTATGTAGGTATGTACCGTTCTTACCTTTCCATCTGGCTTCACTATACAAATAATCCAATAAGAATACTAAACTACTAAGAAAACCAGAACTCAACAATCAACATCCACTAATAATAATCATCACACAATATACACACATACACCCTTCGAATTCATCTAACCCCTTTTTCTCTTTCTCTCAGAAAAGAAAAACACCCACAAAACCACAAGAAACCCAAAAATGCAACCACAAAAACTTACTCGGAGCTCTTTGTCCGAACACCAAGTCGTAAATAGAACATACTGTCTACATACAAAACCTTACAACACAATACAGTACATTACAGTACAATACAATGTAATCGTGACTTACATCCAAAACCCAAAGCTGACATCGCCAACCCAAGTCCAAGCCGCAACACCTGGTGACGTTTCATTTTGACTCAGATATAAACATGCATCCCAGACAGACATTACCCAGCTCTTCAAAACCAGAAATACACCAACTCAGAAACCCCCGCTATTTATACCAAAGAAACCTAAATAGAACAGAGCTAAGCTAAGCTGCTGAAGTCGAAATCCCGCGTCTGGGACTTCGAATTCGTGAAGCTTATAACTACCTACTCGAGTAACGTAGTAACCTTTGTAAATTCTCTTGGCCATGGTTGAACAGGGCTCGCGTGCAACCAAAAAAAAAGATTTCCAGAAACGACGAAAAAGAAACACGAGAAAATCGATACATACCTGGTAAACACATTGAATTGGACTGGGGAAATCCGGTTCCTACTTGCTCTTTATACTCGTATTGTAAGATTATATATATATACATACATATATTTGTTATATTGATCTCACGTCGTCTGTCTCACCCCAGAAATATCGGTATCGGTATGTTTGGAATGCTTGTTTTCCGTTGCTGATGCTGTCTGGATGTGTTATGTTATGCTGACCTTGAGGTGGTATGTGTAACCTGCTTCACGGAATCTAGGTATTTAGACTTATCACCGAATGCTTACCTACCTAGCTAAGGTTATTTCCATTTCCGTAAATGTACCTAGTAAGATTATATTGCAAGTCCCTTCAATATACCTATCTACCTACCTACCTCTTATATATATCTGCACAGCCCTATACATACATATATACATAAAACACAATCTTACAGAAAAGAAAAGAAAGAACAGAACACGAAGTGAGGGAAATAATCAAATAATCAAATAAGTTAATCGCGCAAATGTCAGATCCAGAGGTACTGGATGGATGCATTGTTGTATCGTTGCATAGGTAGGTAGGGGTAATTAGGTATCTATATCTGAATCTGATGTAATGTAAAATTACATCACATTACATTGCAGATTGTACTATCTTAAGACTTAATCTTATATTACTAATTATAATCGCGATTGTTATTGTGACTATTAAATATATATATTTTCGACATGAGCAAAATCAATAATCAATATACCAAATATCTAGTACCTAAGATATCAGTATTAACATCAACTCAAAGCGCAGACAGATGTATGTTTCCTCGTAAGATAACCTAACAATGCACATCGGACCCAGAAATGCTCTGTGAGTCGATAAGCTACTAGCTATTTGACTCTGGAGAGAGGTCCGAGGAGTGATGTACGATTACCACGCTCGCCACTAGTCGTATGTACATACGTATGTATGTATGTATGTATGTATGTATGTAAAGAGAAATAATAGAATTAATTAACTAATGAGAAATCTCCTATTTTGGACATTTTGCTTATGATATGATATGATATGCATCCGCGTTGGGAATTCAACAGTTTCTTGTATTACACGCGCTTGTATGTATGTACGTAGGTATGTAAGTAAGTTTGAATAGTGAGCTCTTCAACGCACATTACACATCGTAAAATTCATGACGACACAACATATATATCACTCATGCAGGGTCGCAATGCAACGAAAGCCCAGCTCGGGTTCAATTGAAAATCGATAGATTTATGTAACGCTAATGCATGTATCTGCTTACAAGTTACAAGCCTCCCAAGGCATATCTAAAAACAGCACACCGTTTATCCAATTTAGATGCACTTACACTTCCAAGTCCATTCACGTTGAACACTGCAACATTATTGTCACCTGCATCGGCATTAATTTTACTCCAGCCCGGACCGATTTGAGGATTTTTTGCGAAATCAGCCCATGATTTTTGCATCAAGGCACTTAAGCTTATTTCCGCACCAGTGGAGTTTGCTGGTAAATTACCGAAAACGAAGGGGATTTCCGAGGAGTGGTAGGCGCCAAGACCGGGGAGTGGTTGAGTGTTGGCGAAGGTTGCATTGTAGTAGTAGCGGTAGGTAGGGTAGCCAGCGGCGGAACTTGAATTGGCGACGATGCCGCCAGGCTATTACATGTGGGTCAGTTATGGATGTTTTGCAGAGAAAAGATCCCGAAAGTGCACTAGGTGAGGAAAACAGGAAACTTACGCATTGAAATATCATGTCGGTGTAAATTTTTGCCACAACATCAGCAGGTGTATTCAATCCATCGTCACCAACAGGATATGCCGCAAGAACTTCAGCTTGAAGGGTTTCGTTGCCTGGGAATAGCGTTTGCAAAAATGCTGTGATGTTATTTTGTCCATATACGAAAGCGGTGCCATCTTGAGCATTGGAGCCGATAAGTACCGGCACATTAGCAATTTGATGGTTCGCTCTCCTGAGTTGTGGGTTTGAAACGCGAGTTAAGTTATCCACAACTGGTTGGAACGATAATACTGCATGCTCAATGTACGATTTTATAGCAAGGGCATCTACAGCACGTAGGCAAGCAAGTGCGCTACTGGTGTTGGAGCAACCGAGACCAGATGCGAGGGCATTCCAGGATTGAGGACCAGACACGGTGCCAAGTCCTGGTCTAGCCGTAAGGGTTCGAATGCTGTCTTGTCCAGATTGCATAATTGCTGCTCGGAACGGTGGAAAGTTGGGATAACTGGTGACAAGAGCGTCTACAGATAGTGCGCCCGCAGATTGCCCGAATATGGTTACCTTAAGAGGATCACCACCAAATGCAAGAATATTGGTTTTGATCCAAGCTAGTGCTAGTCTTTGATCTAGAAGACCTAGATTTTGATCTGTGTTCGGTAATTCGGGGGAGTTTGGAAAACCAAAAACTGAGCTTTGTCAGACGTTGGATTGTAGACCAAAAATTATGAGGATATAATTACCATTAGTTCGGTAATTAAAATTCACAACAACCACGTTCTGCTTTCCAGCTAGACTGCTACCATCATAGTATATAGACGATGATGAGCCAAATTGCAAAGCACCACCGTAGATCCAAACCATCACGGGTAGTAGTGATGCAGGAGTCGTTCCAGATGGAGCATATACATTGAGATATAAGCAATCTTCACTTTCCGATGCAGGAGGTGGATTGTTAAAGAGCGCCATGGTGAAAGTGCGAGTAGCATCCGGATCTACGGAAAGTCAGTCAAAATTCCGGGCACAAAGAGATCGGTGTATCATACAGTTGAACTGCTGGGTACATGATGCCCTAAGCTGCGTTGCATTATATGGGTTGCTTGTGAACAATCCTGCTGTGATCGGTGGACTGAAACGCTGAGGTGGTCTAGCAAAAGGTATGCCGAGAAATTTAGACACAGGCAAAGCAACTCCTGGAACAGAAATGGAGGTGCCACTGACAGCGCCTTGGGAAACAATGGCAATGGGATTGAGAGCCGCAACGGAGCAGATTAGGCTCAATAAGAGGCTAATGGGAACCATCGTGATCTGTCGCCTAGTTTCTTCTGTCAAAACACCGGCGAAGAAAGTCGTTCAGGATGGAGTTTTTGACAATTCCATAATCCTGAAATTGGAAATGGCACATTTATACTCTTTCACGACATCGACAGTGGCGACAACGGCACATTAGCAGCATTCGTTTCCGTCGACCTAGCATTAGCGTTATTTACAATTCTTGTAAGCTTCTCGGGACATTTTCCGAATCCAAACTATGGGGTAACTAAACGTTGAGAATTCGCCAATCAGGATGGCTCAATCTAGTTACATGCCTGAGGTGTTCTTCTGTGGCGAAATCGACTTTAAATGAGATCAAGGCACGGCAATAGTGTGGGAACGGGCCGACAAGACATCGCAGCAAAAGTCTATCGTGGTCTCCCAAATCACTGAAGAGCGCAGGATTAGATTTATTGAAGGTATTAACGAATGGGCAAAGGGATGCGAGGAAGAGACGAACCTTTTTGTTTCTGCGCTGGTCAGACGGGCCGTGCTTCTTCAGACAAGGATCCAGTACGTGGTTCTCGAGGTTGGTGATGTGTTCTCAGGCGGGTCATGGGCACGCGGGAAGTAACGTTGTAACCTGGATGACTAAGTTCATGGCAACGATGAAATCTTTAGCAGATAAATGTTTCGCAGCAATATCCTCTTAGAGATAAGTCTCCGTCCGGGGTAGGGTACCCAATATGAATTGGGCAGGAATTGCTTCAAAAAGCTTGAATTGGGTGTCTAGCGCCCGCTTTGTTAAGAGAGAGGATTCTGACCGAGAAATTAGTAAGAATGTCTCATTTACATGTAGGCTGGGCCTAAAAACCATCAAGCTCCGAATGCATAGCTTCCTAGCATGGCATAAATTTTCCACGGATCCTTCTCACTTCTTTCCTCGAGGATTTGGGCAACGACTTCAGCATTTCGGATACCAAAATGGCTGCCGATGTACCGCAACTTTTCAATAGCCCATTTCCATAGTCTAGGATCCGAGCCTCTGACAGATCCAGCGACGTATAGAGGAAATATAAGTGTATAGCAAGCCAACTTATGTGAAGATGTATGCGACGTGCAAGAATCCTGCGATGGGACAACTGGTTCTAGTAACTCTATTTGCCCGATGGATTTTACCGCACCCATACAGTCGACATACTGTGGAACAGAAGCAAAAATGTTTGATGCAATCTCATTTCCCTTGAGAACAAGCTCGAGGCGCTCCATCTCAGCGCTGGAGTTGCGAGTAAGGAAATTAATCACTAGAATATGGGCTATTCTCACAACATTCCATGTATGAGTTGAATACCTATCAGGGTATGCATAGTACATATTGCCATACACCATCCTCGATGGCTGACTCTCAAAGCTTTGTTTTATAGTCGCGTCGCGTTCAGAGAACGTTATAAGTATACGATCCAGTTCTCTTGCTTCTCGAAGAGAACTTTTTCTAGCACCTTTTTCTACTCGAAAATCGCTCTGCAAAGTAACATATCGTGCCATGATGTCGGATAAATGCCATTTAGGGTCTTTCGTAACCTCGTCGGAGAAATTCGCCTCCAAATATTCTCGGAGGCTAAAAAAGCTACTAGGAAGAGCCACTCCCGCTGCGAGTGAGCTGATGAGCAGATTTACGTTTAATCGCGTGAAAGCACGCATTAGAGCCCTAGATGTCATAGTACGATGTTCACAACTTTCGGCTATAGCAAGAGCTCCACGTAAATGGCTAGTCCATGCTTTATCTGAAAGATTTTGGCTTGTCGAGAGCTTTTCGAACAAATCTAGAAGTAGTGACGAGAAGAGTGTTGTCATCTTTTGGGAAGTTTCTTTCGACTCCAGCACTTTACTCATCAGTCCAAGAGCTGCAGTATATCGTTCCAAAGCAATCAAACGCGCTTTTTCGGAACCCAGCTGATGTGAAAGATATGCTAAACTGGCGGCATCAATTGTCAACTGTAGATGCACTGGTGCTCTGATCGACTGATGGTATGGTTGAAGAAAATCCCAAGCTCCTAAACCATTGATTTGACCGGCAATAATGTAATGATCGAAGAATAATTTCCTGGCCTGAACATCGAGTGCTATTGGAAGATAACGCGGTTCATCGACAGCCCTTACTATCACCAGTAGCGGCTGTCGTCCATTTCCTGATTCATTAGCGGTCTTGCGCATGGCGATGGCTTTTCGATGTAAATTATTGGTTTCATCTTTGAAACGGAGTTGTTCAGTGTTCCTATATCCAGTACAGATAACACCAGCTCTGGTGCATGAAGCACAAGTCACAGGTGCAAGATCACACTACAATATTTGTTATTCTTGGAGTACAACAAAAAGGGGTGGCTGATACTACCTTGAGCCTCCGGAATCTGCATCTTTCACAAGCCTTCGATAGCTTTCCACGAAAGGACATGATGATAAATCAGTACCAATTTTAAGAGAACAGGGTAGTCCTATCAATTTAAGCGGGCAAGGAGGTCAGTCACTTGGTAGAAGTTGAGCTAAATGGTTCTCTGCAGTGTGTGCGTGTACAAAGAAGAATGGATGTGAGTTCGGTGCTCTTTCAGTCGGTAGTCGTATGATGTAGGAGTGGGAGTTAGAAAGAAGAGGATTAATAAGTCGGTCCAGGTGGATCAAACAGGATCAAACAGCCGATTGGTTTTGAGTCGGTGAAAGGAAATGTTCTAGAAAATTGAATGAAGTATTTGTAATGCATTTAGATGTTGATACAACATTGATGATTGTAAGACTTGCATCAAAATCGGTACAAGGGACAATTTGTTTTCCGGGATCAGTGATCGGTCGTTTGAGAGAGCCGACTATTAGTCAGACGCCAATACTCTTTGCTGCAGAAAATTATGAGGCATTGACGCTAGAGAAAACCTTCTTGAACCTTTTACTTCTTCTGGTACGTGCATCGACTTCTGAGGACGAGTAATATTATGAGAAATCTTAGTCACTTACCCACTTATAATCAAACGCCTTTCCTCTTCTGGGATACATTTCGACGTTAGAGTCCCGACCAATAGAATCACCAGAAATGTAACCTGTAAACACATCCTCACTCTATCGTCTTCAAAGACGGATTATGGGCATCGACTTATTTCCATTAAATCCAAGAGAAATGCGTTGGAGATATCCAATGTTTCTTCTATCTGAAGTCCGACCCATGGTAATCGGACAATAATATGGCCATTAAGTCCTTCAAAGTCCTTCATCATGATTGATATAAAGGTAGCCAAAGACCTCACTTCATCACAACATCTCAACAACACTTAACAAACACATCATTAACATTCTATCAAAACACTTTCACACTTCTTTCCAATCCATCAAAATGTCATTCCCATACAAACACGTCCTTCTGGTCGGAGCCACCTCCGGAATCGGTCTTGCATTGGCCGAACGTCTCGTCAAAGAGTGCAAAGTCACCGTCGTTGGTCGTCGCAGGGAGCTTCTTGACGATTTTGTAGCCAAGCATGGCAGCAACGCCCAAGCGGCCACTTTCGATCTCTCTGATCTTGAGAAAGCTCCTCAATTCGCTGCTGATGTCATGAAGGCCAATCCTGACATCGATTGCGTCTTCCTCAATGCAGGGTTCCAACAATACGAGGATTGGACCAAGCCTGAAGCTGTTGATATCCCAGGATTTAGATCGACAATAGATATTAATTTCATCAGTTTTGTGATATTAACTAAGGAATTCCTTCCATATCTTTCGGCGAAAAAGGAGAAGACGAGTATCATATAGTTTGTCACCCCGTCCTAAATCCTATTGTTTCATTGAATATCGCTAAAGAGTCCTCAGCACAACCTCCAACCTCGCAATTGTCCCCGCCGTGATGATGTCCTCTTACTCTGCTTCCAAAGCAGCTCTCAACGCATTCATCCTCTGCTTGCGAGACGACCTTAGCAATTCTTCTGTCAATATTGTCGAGTTGCTGCCTCCTCTTGTTCAAAGTAAGTTTTCTCTCCCGTCTCCATTTCTCCATCATTCATCTCCCATCTCCCACATCTCACCTAATTCATCCTCCGCCCCTCCACCCTTCCTCCGTCTTCCAATTCTCCTCTCCAATTCTCCCCTCCAGAACTAACCCTCGCCCAGCCCCAATCCACAGCCTCTCGGGCCCCGACGGTAAACAATTGGGCATGCCCCTCGACGAGTTCACAGAGAAAGCATACGCCGGTCTATGCAGCAGCGAAGACAGCGTATATATCGGAGATGATCACCTTGGTGAACCTATCTTGAACGTTATGACTCAGAGACGGGCAGTCTTTGAAGGGATGGCGACAGTCGTTAAGTCGTTGCGTTAGGTCGTTAGTTTAAGTATCTTGAAATGAGAAGTTTAGGGTTGCAGGGGGAATTGACTTGGGTGGTGTAGAAGGGGAAGCATTAGGTGATTGGTGATTGATGCATAGTTAGCGGGTTTAGTTTTAAGTGCTAGAATTCGATTTTATGGTACAAGTTTATTTTCACTGCATGGGATCGGTGATCGTTAACAAATATTTTTTGCGCATTGATGAATAAGTGAGATGAAGCATGCGATAAGGTTAAAAAAAAGTCTTCGATTATGTGATATGTTCCACACCATTACGCAGTTTTGATATTCCGAACTCAGCTGAGCTCATCTCAGATTTTCATTTCGGAATCCGGAACATAGGTTATATAATCGGTAAACACGAAACGCTATGCAATTCAGCAAATCGATCCATATTCCACAAAGTCCCTACCAGCACCCAAAAATAAACCAAAGCTCCAACCCTAGTTCCAGCCCTAGCCCCATCCCAAAACTCGAACCAACCAAGCAACCAATCCTACAGTCCCCCCAAGACCTCCTCCATAACCGCCCCCAACATCCTCAACCCATAAGCTTTCGCCACACCCCCACCCCTCAACCTTCTTCCTCACCACCGCGCGATCCACACTCTCCCCCACTCCCCCACACCCACACCCCTGCCTCAAATCATTAACCTTAAGGCCTGCACACCTCTTACACTTTAAATCCTGACCGACCCACTCGGCCAGGACGGCCATAACCTCCGCAATAATCCTCTCCTCTATACCCAAATGATCAAACTCGAGATGACAAAACGCACATTTCCAACTCCAGCTTCCCTCAGCATTCGGAAGTAAATCCTCGTCGCGACAGAAATCCATATCGCGCGACGTGGTACAGGAGTCGCAGACGACGGTGAAGAGTTTAGCCGAGATGGAAGGATTTTGAAATTTGGCATCGTGGGAAAATTCGCGGATTTCAAACATTTCGAGGAGTTCTTTGCGGAGGAGACGCGCTTCTAGTGTGATGTTTTTGTCGAGGGATAGTACTTGCATGAGACTTTTTACGAGTTCTAGGGCTGGGTTTGTGGGTTTGAGGTGCGAACCCGGGAGGATGGGGAATTTGTAATCTTCGGCGAGTTCGGGATGGAGCATTTCGTCTTTTTGTCTGCGGATTATACCGGCGATTTGTTTCTTCAGGGGCTTTTCGAAGCTTTTCCCAAGGATGATCTTATCTTCCTTGTCGTCGCCTAGATTTCGGACTGGAAGTTGGGTGGCTCGAGGTGTAGAATCGATGCCGAGATGAGGTTTCTTCAGGCCGTGCATTATATCGATAAATTCTAGAACCCAGTCGTTGAATATTTGTTGTAATTTCTCAGGGAGGAAATTACTCAGTTGCCAATGCATGATGTTATCCAGCTTTTGATTTTCAGCTTCAACGACTTCCGAGCAACCTTTGCCACCATAATTGAATTCGTCGTACCAGACTAGATAATCCCAATACTCCTTGATTTCAAGGTCAAGAAAATGGAATAGTGGCTTTGCTTTGATCGACTTGAGGATATATTGACTATACGCATATGCGTTCCCGACTTCGGCTTTTGTTGTTTGCAATAGCAGTCGATTTGAATTGGCGAAAACGACGTGAGATCCGACACGTCTGAAATCGGTCATGAGCTGCTGGAATGCTTTTCGAGACATCATCTGGACATAGTAATGTAATGACCGGTCATATAGGAATGAGTCAGGATTTTCAACCCAGCGTACAAGATGCTGGACCATGATATCCGCCATGCTACTACCTTTGCAGGCTTCAGTCCACCAAGCTTTGACCATTTCTCGAAGGACTGTAACACCGGCGGTAGCAAAGGCATTCTCAGCATAGAGAACATTAGTACCATCACTGGGTGCATCATCAGACGGTGCAGCAGGATTGAAAGATATCGAGTCGCTACCCTCGAGCTCATTGATCAAAGAGGAAGTCAGGATAGTATTGATAGCCAAGTTTCTGACATCAAGCTCAATACAAACAGAAGGGTAAGTACCAGGGTTATTAACAGATGGCATTTGCACCGTATCAAGACCACCGAGCACATCATCGAGTTCATAGCCAGCATGATCTGGCTTGGGACCAGCAGACCACCACAAAACAACATTATTCTTTTGCAATCTTCTGGCATAGGCTACATCGATCAAAAATCGAGGATCATCTCTTTCAAGATTACAAAGTGGTACATCCCCATATCTCGCGAGCTCAGTTAAATGAACAACCCATTCCCCGAGACTCAAGTAGTGGTTCACCAAACGCTTTGCAATGACAGATTGCCAGTTGAGAGGAGGAAGCTTGCTATCCTGGATATCGGACTTCAGCGGAAGTATCGGCAAATCTCCAAGAATGGGTACATCGTGTACAAGTAATCTTCTTTGCGGAGATTGTACGACAAGCATGAGCGGCTTTATTTCATCGTTCTTCATTTTCTTTACCATGTCACCGACCTCGAGTAATGCTTTCCTCCTTGTTGTGACCTGACTGATTTTAAACTGGATCTTTTCTTGATAATCAAAACAATTTTGCCACACTCCTCCATTAGCATCCTGATGACGTTTGGCGATGCAGTCCGCGTAGGTCTTCGCAATGTTGGGCAAATCCTGCTCAGCAACCTTAGTCTTCTGAAGGATGACAACATGTGCCTGCTCCTTCGAAGTCGAGAAAAGTGCAAAGATCTGTCTATCTCCAGCAATAACATGGTAGAGGTAGAGATATGCCATTGGTGAATGTGAGAGATATGGATTCCTTGGCGAAGCGCGACGAAGTCCAGATAGATCGAAACCTTGCTCAAGACCTTTTCCGAGAACTCCAGGCTGAGTCTCATCAAAGGTACACAGACTACCCAGTTGGAGTACGGCACGGATATTGAGTGGAACTTGCTTTTCATAAACACCCTCCACACTCGGGTGATTGAAAAGTAAAGATATCTTCTGTGCTTCGTTGACATAGACATCTTCAGACATTGTGAGTTTGAACAAATGAACCGATGGATGTCCGTTCGGCAGTGTATGGCTAACTTTCTCAGCTTCACAACCATCAATCTCGATATCTGGCAATTCCCTGCCTTTCAAATTTAGGAAGACTGTTCTCGGAACTTTAACTTTCAATGTGTGTACTTTCCAGTCAATAAGAACGAACGCAAGAACAACACCTGGACTTTCAGTCCCCCTCAATTGTAAGACTTGCCACGTGCTCTTGAACAACTGTTCAGCTTGATTCTGGAAAGTCGTCGCAATATTGCTTTGGGCACCACGGTTTTCACCAAATAGATGTCGACGACGTATTCTCGCCTGTTTCTGAATCTTCCATTTCTGTTTTTGATACTCTAAGAATCCTTCATAATCTTCGCTCGGTGACGGCATTTTTTCAGGAAGCGCGGCAAATGGATTTATGGATACTGCTACCGCAGGTTCAGCAGATTTTCTCTTCATGGGCTTCTGCGACGCTGCATTGAGCTGTGAACCTAGCGTCTTCGGCTTCAGAAGTTGTGTGCCAAAATCCTCCATATCGGCCATTCTTGGGTCCTGCAAGTTTGATATGTCCTCAAGAGGTGTCTTGGCGAACATATCAGTCATTTTCTTTTGCTTCATCTTATCATCCTTGATCCGAATTCTTCTTTGTAGCCAATCTGGATGTGCTACTCTCGGCACCGGATTTGAACATTTCTGAAGAGCCGCAGGAATGGTAATTAGCTTCTGGATGACAGAGCCAAGACGTTCAGAATAATAATCCCAATCCAAAAGAGCTCTTGGATCCATATCTGTCGGATCCTCCTTCAACCATTTGCGCAAAAAGTGTCGCTTCACCGATATATCCGATGAGAAGATAGCAACCGGCACAGCTCGTTCTGTGACGGGTGCATGTCTTGGCTTGGCGCAAATAATATACTTGCAATTCAAACCTTTATCTTTCACCATTTGTTCTCCCAAGAACTCGGCCAAACGCTTTGCAGTAGTAATGGAAGTTGACTTTTGTGAGCCATATTCCTCTAAACTCTTTGACATACTTCTGTTTTCACAAATGAGATCGATAAGCTCCGCATCGGCGAGAGTTTTCCCTTTAGAGTCGAGAACATCAAGCCATTGATTCGCAACTTTTGCAACTGCTTGATAGGTCTCTTCAAGGGTTGTGCCCTCCAAGAAGAATTTGAAGATTTGCTGTTGAAAAATCTTGATGAGTTTCAACTCTCCTCTTCGCTTCACCTCGAATCCCTTCAATTCCGCTAAACTACCGTCGTCGTTGAACACAGCATAACGTTTCTTCAAATTCTTGTCTTCTTCCTTGGAAGTAGGCAAAATCATAGCACGATAAGGACCGTCGACTTCGAAGAAAATGGAATTATCGCTATGCGTTTCGTACTTGAAGGTTTTCGGATCAGTAAGGGTTTGGTATTGATGATTCGTGAATTTGTCGTGAACAAGATGATTCAACATGACGCAAGGGTACGAGATGGCGAGTTTCTTGCCGTTCTTCATCTTGAAGGCATAATTTTCAGGAAATGTGGCCGGAAGCATACACCAAATACCATCTGTGTCCAGTTCTAGAGGACGTCCAATTCGTTCAACTAGCTGTCGAGCCATTTGAATAATGTGAGCTCCAGTCAAACACGTGACACCAGCCATCTCCATAGAGTACCATCGAGAACCTTTTCTCATCACATAACCGTAAAAGGAGTTCAGAATGACCTTGTGAGCCAATTGTAGGGAGTCGAACAATACAATCATTTTCTTCGCATCTTCGACCTCAGCTGCCGGGGCACCCGCTGATTTGAGAGCATCAGTCTTGCCTTTCCAGACTTTCTGTTTACCCTTGTAATCATATCGACGATCTCTGAAGTCCTTCACAGTATCGATATAAAAGGGATTTTCTCGTTGACAAATAATTGCTTCTCTTTCAATCGTGGTCTGGTCGTGAATCTTGTGATAGATCTTCTGACTGTACGTTTGCAAGCGCTTCCGAATCAGCCCAGCTTGCTCTTCATATGAAAGATCCTGAAAAGTTCTGCTTGGTTGGTTAGGATATTTTCCTGGAAATCGTTCATTCTCAAGCGAATGCCTGATCATAAGATACTCGTCCCTCTTCGCTGGAAGATATTCGCCTCTCCATGCCCAAGGCATTCTTCGATCGCATGTTTTACCAGGTCGATTGAAATCGCATGCCGCGCAATCTGATTCTTGAATCATAGAATCCGGCTGCAGTCGATTTGTCGTCATAATGTTCGGATACATGGAAGCGACATCCAAATGATAAATCAGGGGTTTCTCGCTTCGATTTGCGGTTTTCTTAAGACTATTTAGACGTTCTGTGATTTGTTGTTTAACTTCCTCGTAATTGTCGATATCATCCAGCGATTTCTTCTCTTCTACCGTGATACTGAATTTTAGTGCAGCATCCAAGTCCTCAAGAAGTTCATCGATAGCGGTTGTATCAACCGCAAAATTAACAGGTATGTCAGCCCTAAAGACACCGGCCTCAATACTCTCGACATGTCCACCGACATAGGTTTCTGACTCTAGTAAATGACCTTCCCAAAATGATTCTTTCGGTGACACATGCTTATTAGGCAGAACGATTTCTTTTTGGTAAGCCTGTACCATGAGTAACATCTCACAAAGGGTTCCTGTCCCTTTTCGCAAAACTGCATCTGGTCCTAGAGGAATAATAGTACATAAAGAGAAAATGAACGGATGTACGTATTTCATGTACAAATAGTATGTTGCTACAGCATCGGAGACGGAATATTCTGCGAGCGTCTGAGGTTTCTCGCTGGCATATCTCAACATCAATTCCGGATCAATTTCATCGGGATCGTAACCGAGCTTTGCTGTTGTTACAGCTTTCAGACCTCGACTTCCTTGAGGCAGATAACTATCACGGTTGACCCAATGGAAACAATCCATGTGAGCACTATAGTCACATATGTACTGATCCTCGCTTTGACTCCTGCGCCATCCAATCTCCCGGTACATATCAATACCATTAACACTTGCTCGCGCATCCACAAAGGGCCAATCGAAGAAATCTCCGTTATATGTAGCTATTACTGTAGGTCGTGCCTCCTTAATATGGAGGAAGAAACGTTCGATAACAGCCTTCTCGTCGGGTTCATTAAAAATCATAAAAGGTCCATCGTATTCAGGTTTTGGTGTATATTCGAAATCCTCGATGTCTTCAGAAACGATCTCTCGGTTCGTGATCAAAAACCCTTGCCCATCTATCATGTACGATATCATCATAATCTGATCGATTGTTGCATCTGGAAATTTTAAAGGAAGTTTCGTCGTTTCAATATCGTATGCCATAACTACTGGATCGGCTCTTGCTAAACGGTCTTCGAGACATTTTAATTTCGTCGTGCCGTGTTTTGCCTCCACCGAATACCATTTTCCCGTTCTTATATCTGCATTATGTCAGTTTGACTGCTAATGAGCTGCATACCCTTCATTACCTTGATCTATCATTACCCGTACATGGTACGGTACATCCCATTCCCTAATATCTACAATAAAGTCACTACCCTCCGCAACAGAAACATTAAGTCGTTTATCATCATCTCGTGAGTCGTCAAAAAGGTCGAATCCAGCATTTGCACTAGTTCTAGGTTAGTCTCCTCCCTAAAATCTTTCAATGTCTTCAAAACCTACCTGGCAACTTCCGCATAAGTATCCATCGCATTCATATTCTTTTTATTCTTCTCCGCCACCGGCATAATATCCTTCCTAGCTGCCAGCAGATCCGACACATTCCTAAACCTGCACTCAAAGAAAGTCCGCCTGTAACCCAGTAGATGATTTGGCATTGACAAATCCTCTTTTTCCACTCTTTTTATACTCTTCACAACTCCACCACCCGGAGCCCTTTTCAGCCATTCTTCAGCCTCTGGCTCATATCCTCTCTTGACCGCGACCAGAAAATAAGGTTCATATTCGACTGTCGCTTTGAAAGTTCCTCCATCATCCTCAATAAAGTAGCAATCGACTCCAGCTCGACCTTCCAAATGCTTCTCGTCCTCAACTGTTGTAGCCTTTATATTAACCAACCATCCAATCTTCTTCTTGCCAGATTCATGCCGCGGAAACCCCATGGCTTCATCTACTGAATGGCCCAGTTTAACAGCTTCTAACTTTTCCTCCAAAGATGTGCCTTCATTTCTGCCGGATGACCTTTCGAAGGTTTTCGCTTTCCGAGGTCCATGATATGCTTGCTTTCCTCCACGGCGAAAGCCATACTGTGGTTTTCGTGGTGGCATTATTGTGAGTGTATATGAAATGCCACAATGGCGGGGAGAAAGGGTGAAGTTGTTTACTTCTAAAGAAGAAAATCGACAAATCTAGTAAAAGAACTGTTCACAATTAAGGAAAGTCTTTAGTTTATTCGAACTTCATTGAAAAATAGAGGTTAATTGGCATGGGTGGTATGAAATTGAGGTGTTGAATATATTTTGGCGGCAGTGCATAAATTGGGGAACGCGTCGGGTCGCGAAAAATATAAGATCTTACATAGCGCGTTAGGGTCGTGTAAAGTTCAATTCAGCCTTATGCATAGTGTCTTTTAGAACAATTTTTGATATATATATGATTTTGAAAGTTTAATGCGTGAATTTGGATACTAATAAATAAATTCAAATAGTTATAATAACTTTATAAAAATAATAAATCGATTATTTATCAATTAAATAATTTATATTAATACTCAAATAAAAATTTGAAATCTTATTATATAATAATAATTTCTTACAAATATTAATATTTTCAATTATCATTAAATTTACTTTTTGAATTGAAATATTAAAAATATATTCAACTTTTTGATTTAATTTTTTATTTTTTAATCTTTCAAAAATTCAAAATTTTATTTTATAATATAAATAAATTATAATTTTAAAAATAAATTTATTATTATTAAAGAATCAAATTATTAATCAAATATTAATAAATAATTAAACTTTTTAATTAAATATTAAGAAGTAATTAATTTACTCTTTTATAAAAAAAAATCTAAAACAATTCTTAAAACATATATGATTTTTAAGATTTAAATCATATATTTATATAATCTACCTGGGTACAAATCACATGAATTTAAAATAAAACCTACGTCATATTCCCTATCACCTATCCCCGATAAAACCTCGCAGCACTACGGTACCCCACAACTCCCCCCCTCGACGATATCAACCCACCAACCAAGCACCCCTCACCCACCCACCAGCACAGGAAACACAAACGCAACAGCCCCCAAAAATGACACAAGAACCACGCAACAACAAACCCGTCCCTCAAGAACCTTCACCAAACGCAACCTCCCCCCCCAAAACCTACGAAGTATTCCACACGCCACCCGAAAACGCAAATGCGTTAGCAGAGGGCTCGGGACAGAATACAGCGGGTACGCATAAGCATAAGGGAACACCGAGTCTAGGAGCTGCGATCAAGACACTGCGATGGCAGGATTTTGCTCAGGTTCATATGTATCCGTGTGCGCGGGAGAGCTTTCTTACGGGAATTGGGGGTGGTTTTGCGATGGGTGGGATTAGGGCTATTTTTGGAGGTATGTTGTATTGTTGCGATTGGGTTGGGTGTTGAGTTAGGAGAGTTAGATACTGATGTCTTATTAAAGCGCCGATACCTAAAGCTGCGAATTGGGCGGTGGGGACTTTTGTGTTCTCTGCTTTTGGAGCGTATGAATTTTGTTTTTACAGAAGACGGCTGGAACGGGCACATATGAAACGTGCTGTAGAGATCATTGATAGGAAGAAAGTTGAAAAGGAGGCACAAGCAGAAGAGAGGAGGAAAGAAAGGCGGAGGCTGAAGGAAGAAGCAGATAAAAAGGCTGAAGAAGCAGCCAAGAAATCAAATTGGAAGTTTTGGTAAATGTAGTAAAATTCTCGAACAATGTATTAGCAGCTCCATACTGCGCTATAATGAGCAATGGGTCCGCTTCCATATTTCATACTTGTAGTTTAGCTCCCTGTCCTTTGCGAGTTATCCCTAACGCCAATAATATTCCCCAATCCGTGCCCCTGAAATCATTCCGATAAACCAAATATTGTAACCATAATTCCCATATAACCCCAGAAGAAAATCCAACATCATATCCTTAAGATGTTGAAATGATAGTTTGGGTATCAGACTCCAGGAACCTTACTCTTCTAGCAACATTTTCAGCCTCCTCTCTGGCAGCAGCTTCCGTTCCCCTTCTTCTCTCGCTCCTTCGAGCTCTAGCCTCCCTTGCTTCCCGACTCCTGTAACCTGCCATTTGCTGCTTTCTTCTTTCTGCTCTTGCATAAGCAATGGCAGGTGTCGGTCGAAAGCCGATTCCATTAATTCCCTCTCCATCATCATCTGGATCATCTGGTTTGTGCCCAGTAATCTCATCATCATGCCATGTCAATGATGCTCGGTCCGGATCCAAAACTTCCCTTGTTTCTCCCATGGCATCATCAGGTCTAGATAATGGCGGTGTACCCATCCTCTTCTTGCGAGACTTAGAATCAGCCAGTCGATTAATTGATGGATACGGCCTTGCCAAATCATCCCTCCCTTCTCTGCCATTTAATCCAGCTCGGAATATTACAGGATCAAGCTCATTATATAACCTAACATTATTGCCCATCTCTCGAATAATTGGATCGACTTTTCTTTCATCTCCAATTGCAGGTCTAAAGATTTTTGTTTGCGGTGTCTCGGGAATTTCCATTATTGTGTTTCCAGTCATGTCCACATCTTTGCTCGCAAACATCTTGACCCTTTTGCGCGCAACAGATTCGGCATTTGTTGTTTCTTGTGCCTTCTTTTTTAGATCCAGTTTCTTTATATCAGTAGGTCCATCGAGGGCAAGTCCCTGAAAATGGTATGCGACCTTTGTGCGTGGACTGCCTTGGCCAGCCTCATCGGGAGTTATTGTAGGAAAATTCATTGAGGTCTCCAGACGCACAGGTGAGGAATCCGGAGGGGTTGGAGCCTGGAGATTATTTCGTTTTCGTTTTGGAGAATCCATGAAAGATGGTATCATGATTGCATTATGTGTGTTTATTGTATATTAAGTTCTCGAAGCTAGAAGCAATGGTGCGTTTTGTTGTTGAGGACAGTTGACAAGTTGGTGTAGTGACGATTGTTATAAAGGAAGTGAAGGAAGTGAAGGAAGTGTGTCCGGTCGTAGGATGAATGAACGCTGTGTCACCATTGGTGCGGGGTTCAGCCACAGCACTACAAGCGCTAATATATTACTAGGTTCTGACAATATAATCCCTGTGGCCCAACGTTGGCCATTCCATTCTGTTTGCAATGTTCCAATTGCACTGCACATACAAACGTAAACATGATTATTCTCTGGATCATATCCTATATTTCACCAAATGGATGAATTAAAATACACTCATTATTATACAGTGCTTCTAATCTGGTTTCCAGAATCCTCTCTGCCTCGTCTTTTCGGTCCAGATCAAAAGTCCCCTTATATCTTCTCTACCTGCCCATTCTCCTACCTTACATCACAGCTTAGGGAGGTTTTTGCTGCAATGCTCCAAACGTCAACATCACCACAATCATCACCATGTTTGCTTTTCATTATCGCAACTTGTGTTCCCTTTCGTCTCATCAATTTCTCCACAGTTCTCTTTCTGAAGTTGTGTGATTGGCCCGTTTTCTCACTTCTCCCCTCTGCGAGTGATGCTCAAAACCGTTGTGATTATTAGCGCTACGACGGTGGTGAAGTAGCGGTCGATTAGAACTGTCGGATGGGGCCGAGGCTGTGTAGTTTGCCGCCTAGAGAGGATGATGAGCGAGGTCTCTGCTCTGGAATGTTGCTTTCACACTTGCACTTGCTATAGGCATCTTGAAGTCTGTTCTAACGTACTCAGGATGCATTGCGTATATTGGGTAATTTAAACCTCCTTAATTATGATCCGCGCTGTTGTTGCCATGCTTCTACACTAGGTGGTGGAGTTTTGGGAGAATTAGTGAGAGCTTTTATAGACTAGAAATTTGGATTGTGATGACAGGCCAAATTAGTTTTTGCCCAGAGGCAAGATTAACACTCAGCAGTAGTAGATTCCCCGAGGTCATTGCCGACTCACTGTCTGAAGGAGGATATATTCTTCGTTATTTTTAGTGCGTTTACTTCGGATCTTCCTACTAAATAATCCTCTAAACTATTCTCCACACACCCACAGAACTGCTTAATATGGAATTAAACCTCCTAGATCCATGGATGAAAAGCCGCCAGCATGGCCATAACTTTTGTCTCGGCGCCCGCGTTTTAATTAGAAAGGGGGTGAGCCCAAACAAAGATAGCGCCTACTTAGTACAAGAACTGACTTGCCTCTCAACTTCGACTCGTGGCTGTACAACTGCACAATGATTAGAATACGACAGCCAACACGAGCCGTCAGATTATTCATATAGCAGTGGAACTGCTGGTTTGAGTAAGTCAATAGACACAGTTGGTATACCTGGCCTAGTATCGGGTGCCTTTTAAAATTACCAGCCCTCGGCATCGTAAGTCTTGCGGGCGTTTCGTCACGGTTAATAGTTGGTAACCTATGTTGGTATGCTGACGCACGATGTTAAACAGTCTCAATCGTTATATTTAGAGGATGCAAGGACCATCATCTGGGGCTGGGGAGATGTTGGTAACCCTTTATTTGAACAACACTGCCCCCGGCCGTCCTCGATAAATCACGACTCCGAGGGACAATTGGACTAGGAAAATAGTCCGGAGACTGGTTGGGGGCACGCAGGAATTTCAGGTTGCTTCGAGCGCTTCAATATTCAACGGTGCGCAAGTTCCATCTGTCTTAATTTACTTTGATCACCGGTCCATTTCCAAATCTGATCTTGCACAATCTAATTAAGCATGGGTGCGAAAATTGATTTTTGACTTGCAGCGAGTTATTGGTATTTAGAGTTTCAGTAGCGTCCGAAATCCTTGAATGATTGATACCTCCTAGCCAACCGCAATAACTCCATATCAAACTCTCTACAGACCTTTCATACGAGAGTAAGATAAAGTTGAGCATCGTTATTGAAAATTTCACAGTATAGCCCATGGACTGCTATTCCTTCGCCCGTGAGCAGCTTTTTCTAGTTTGTTTTCTCAGAAAGTAGTTTAATTGAATTATTTTGTAGTAGTCCACGGATGTCATTTACTTCAACTTCAGTGTCCAAATTCACGTGTACGATGTAAAGACTCATGGAAGTTGAATCTCATCTGAAGAGGTAGAAAACGTATCTCCAACAGTATAAAATCATTGTTTTCGATCTGTTTAGTAGGTGGTATTGCAATCAAGTCCGCAGCTCTACCACAATACCTAGGTCAGACTATCTCAGCTACCTAGGTAATGTGAATACTCTCAGATCCTTATTCAGACAATTATCAAATCGGTACATAAAATTTGGTCATTTTAATGATCAGCATCATAGTTACTGTCATCTGTTCACTAATCTTCCATTATTGTCAACTTGCCATACCAATATATTACAACATAGGACGAGATCAACGGAAGAAACTAAAACACTTTTTTGATAGCATCATGGATTCCGTCATTAAAAGAGCAGTAGAAAGTTCCACAACAGAGCAAAAACCTGTAAGACATCTTACTGATGAAACATTCATCATTGAGTTTCGTTCATGTTCGGGAGCAGGGTTGTTTAAATAAATAGGTATTTATAATTCTTTTCGGTGGATGACCCCGCTTTCATGGGCTGGAGACTTTTTTTTTTCAAATATTCAATATTGTAAGTTAGCTCTTGGAGTTTTCGGTCGAATGATTCGATATATGATTCACCATTTCTTTGTGCAATTTTTTGGAGGAATGAGTGAACGACGAATTTTTCAAGCGAGAAGTTATTCCATTTCCCCTTTACCCCGCATTCCGTACCTGTGTCAATTCTTTCTTGGATGAGAGCTCCAGAAAAAAATTGAAGAAATCTTGACTTCATGTCATGTGGATGCTGGCAGGAGTCACAGTAGTACATTGGTGAATTGACCAAGTTTCTGAGTATGAAGAGCCATATAATTAAGTATATGTATGGATCATCGGTGCTTTTCCATCCAGATTATCCAAGTCTCCGCCACCTAGTATTTATTGTTACTTGTTTAGTATATTATATTCGTTACCATCAATCAAAGTGTATGGACGCTATCACCTTCAAAAATTCAATAAAGCACCGTAAATAATAGATGCTTTGTTAAACATATCGACGGTATGTTGATCAATATACAACCTTGTCACCCTGTTCGATTTGGAAAGACTACATGGTATCCATACACATACTGCTGCCACAGCAATCTCTATTCAACATTTTTCTTAAAGTTCCAAAACTTGGGACTCAATGTATCTATTTATAATGAATATTCTATCACGAGCAGAAAGAACCCCTGCACGAGGACTATAGAGATGATTAATCCAGTGAATGTATTTATGACCTTTAATCACATGTCTTATCCCCATTGATTCTCAGAATAGTTTTAGATAAGCGAAAAAAATATCTTAAGATCTATGAATTCCTAAAACAAGTAGGATTATCATGCATTCGAGCAGAGACACGGTTGGGAGAGAGCCATACCGAGGAAGTTGTCTGTATTGGATATCTTAACCGGTACCCTGTATTCTGTCCACAAGATCCGTTGGCTCTTCTTCGCTTGTTTGGCTTCAGGGGGTTGATGTCGGGATTTGAATTTATTAGTGAGAGGTTTTTAGGATAGCAATAAACCTTTTCAAAAACAGAAAATAAATATTTATCGATCATTGTCATTTTACAATGCGATGGAAGCTATTTTCACTGTCACTTTTAACTATCGATTTATTATTGTCTTCAATACAATAATACTCCCTCTTAAATTTATAGCCGATAATATCTTCCTAGGGTTTGAAAGCATGATCTTTTTGTGCGGGGATTAAAGAAATGAAGTTTGATTTTCCACCTGAGATGCTTCATCCGATGGAATGCTATGTTAAGGAGTGCTATAGGGCTGGAAGTTTTCATTTATAGGTATGTTTTCAGGTGGGAGTGGTGAAGCTTTTGGTTGGGGATAGTGAATATCTCTCTTAGTGAAGTGGATGTTGGCTGGATTTTTGGACATTCACTCTTGTAATATTACAAAGATTCTGGTAAAGTGGTTCGTTTGGGAAGGCGATGTTCTAAGCATCCTAAGTCCCGTCGTGTTAGCTTCTGACGAGTATTAAAGGCTTCAAGCTACCATCATTAATTCATCAAACCCGAATTCTTTTTCCTTCAAAATTTTAGGATGCGTTTTTACTGGAGTTCTAATTTGTGAGACATAGAGATATGAATGGTAATCTTTGCATCTTTGGGGTACGAGACAGCCAACTTGGAGTCTAGATGTTAGAGAATATGGTGCTATAAGCTTTTGGTAGCGATCTTACATCCTAATATATTACTATCATCTGTACTTTCATTGCCATTTTTGACAATCTCTAACAATCAAATTGGGCGATGCACGATTCTATGAAACATTTTTAGGTTAGAAAGACGACTCTAAAACCAGTCTATAAGCCTTTAACACTGTAAATTTGAGTGAAGTGACTTCTGGCACAAGCATATCCGGTGGAGTCATGGTCCCGCAAGCTCGTATTTAGCTGCTTGGAGGAATAAATATAGTAACTTGTGTATATTACCACTAGTTCGTACGTGCCGATTGTCCGCTCAGATAAGCTAAGCATTTCATGATTGAGGATAATATTTGAGCTTTAGACCGCGGTTACTTTCCAACTCTAATTTTCCTATATTTAATAGTCACAATAATTGGCGAGCCCTAACTAAAACACGAGGAATCTCAAAACCGGCCGAGTCATACTAAAGTGACCAATAGGATTGTGATCGCAAGAGATGATTTCGGTAGATATGCAACAAATGAGGATTGAAGAGCTGGTTTTGGAGCTATCCAATTAACCACATGGAGTTCTAACTAGTTTAGCTATTATAATCCGCTAGATGCATGTGGATGAATACCATTTCTATTTAGCTTCCGTTGACAACAACGGATTGTTGTTCCTAACAAGATAGTGTATAGAATTCTTTCGCGCTCGGAATCTTATTGGATATGCTGAAATCATGACGTCAATTTTGAGATTGACCAGATATGCAACAAACTCCAGATGAAGCTTTAGATTTAGGGCTATTCACTCAACCACGTAGAAACCTAACTAATTTAGTCTTTCATAGTCCGATACGCTAGACTTGTGCACATACTATCATCGTATCAACCTCCATCATTGATACACAATAGCTTACAAGAAAATGGTCCGGAGAATCACTTTGCGCTCGTAACTCTATTGGTTATAATCGAATATGATGTCAATTTTGAGATTGAGTACATATGCAACATAACTATTAGTTTTCATCTAGTACGAGAGAAGAATCGCAGCCCTAGTCAGGCGTTAGTGATAGTATACTCCCATCGAACTATTTTCCACTTTGAGAAAATCTACCAATCTCAATCGTCCTTGCACATTGCTCAGTGCGTCTGTTCATAGGAAGATTATTCGACTGATATTTGTGCATACAAAAAATTTCAAGAAATTATATTTATAAATAAAAAGGTTATCAATAGATTAAAATAGTAATTTGTGATATGAAAGATAGTCCAAAAGAGATATGGTCCAAAGGAGGGGTGGTCCAAAACAGGGGTGGTCCAAAAGAGGGGTACTAGACTTAGCTCTTCTATATATATGTACATGTCTAGAACATCAGCCATATTCGTTATACAATTAACGAAATGCGCTGGAATGTATGTGGTGAGAGTCATGAAGCTAATTATTGGAAGTTTTAAGTCTTTTTTTTGGGCTAGTAATCTTAGCGGATATTAGATTTCACTGTTTTCTGATCTCATATTCTACCTAGAAATAAATGACAGTAAAATCGAACATTGACGACATAAATGTCACATCGTCTCAATTTCGGAGACGGAAGCCCAATTCATCTAAATCTCTTTAACCCATCATGGTTTCAATTGCCAATGATGTCGAATAGGTTTTAAGCATCTTGTGCTATCCAGTCTTTTTGCGTTGTGAATAAGTCGCAAGCTAGTTGTTCCGGACAAAGAGTACGGAAAAAAGTCCGTTAAATAGATACCAAATTGAGGCTTGACTTCGAGCCATGGTGGAGTTGACTACATTTGAGATAGTATCCAGTAAATGGTGGGGCCATTGAGGGATTATAGCTAGTGAGAAGAAGTTGTGTGGAATCACTATCATGAGATTCAGAAACGATTATTCACTAGCCAGTAAATATATTTAAAGAAGCAAATCCTTCAATAAAAGCTCTTTCCATGGCTATATAAATAAGGCTCTCACAGCTTCTAACTCTTTGAATGCTACAAAACGCTGGACTCGGGAAGGTTTTCACGGCTTGGATGTTCCAGAGTTATCGCTGCAGCTAAAGATATGCATCTATTTTGCAAGCTTGATTAATGCAGTTATGAACACTTGAACGAGAAATCTTTTCCAGAGCTCGACCCTAAAGTTGAATATCTAGAAATTTGTTGTTACTGCTTTTGTTCTTCTGATTATTGCCGAGTATCAGCTCCTCATATCTCATCTCTTTTTTGGATTGAAATAACAGATATGTAGTTTACAATAATATAATCCCATCAAAGAATACCATATCACTGACATTGAGAGTTAGATTTTACTCTTATATTGTATGAGCTATACAGGAAAACGGGTAAGGAGTTTACAGTGAATCACAGCCTACTCTCGTCTCTCACCCACTATCTACCTCTACCCACTATGTTCTTCTAGACTCTCGTCCCATACCTACTTTAAGGCTCATAAACCAGACAGCCAAATTGGGAAAGTTGATGAAAGCAATACCATAAGATCTAAACACAAGAGTTCTATATTTCGTAAAGTTCTAGAAAAAAGCAAGAAATTAACTGCGAATACCCACTCAACGTACCATTGTTCCAACTACGTATAAACAGAGCGACGCACAGCCGTAACCACGAATTATCAATCCGCAGAAGTAGAGGATAATGATTGAGATGGAATGAAGTATCTACCTCACTGGAGGTCCCTGATTTGAATTCTGCGAGAGTGCTATTTTCATCCAAGTATCATATATGTACAATTGAATAATGTACATACTATTTACCCATTTGTTCATTTTTTATCTATATAATCATACACATTTATCTACTTGAATCACCTCTTTTCTTAGCCGCTGCTTTTTCAGCAGCTTCTCTTGCTTTACTTTCTTCAGTTACAGGTTCACCAAGACCTGGTGGTGGTAACCAAGTAATTGTGCCGTCTTTTGCAGCTCGTAGACGTTTTCTTTGACCTTCTTCTCCCGCACGACCTAATACTCCGGCTATGAGCTGAATGCATCTCAGACTTTAAATTTGTTAGCTTATTCTTTCAAGTGAAATACAAGGAAAATAACTAACCTGTCATCATTGGCCGGTATAGGATATGTAACCCAAGTAGGATCCGCATCTGTATCAATAACCCCAATCGTTGGAATATTATGCAGTCCACACTCATGCAACAAAATATAATTCTCCAACGGATTCAAACAAACCACCAAATCCGGTTTCAACGCCTTCCACTTCATAACTCTGTCCTCAAACCCGGCTACAACTTCATCATTGGCATCTATAGCCTTAATAGCACACTTGGCGAGAATTTGATCACCATTAGTAATACTACCCGCAACCCAACGATTGAAAAGATGACAACCCTTTGCGAGTGAAGCAGCTTTCACCACTGCGGAATCTTGACCAGCACGAGTACCGACAAAGAGAATGAGACCACCATGATAAGCCACACCTTCTACAACCTTCGCACAACGACGTAAATGAGCAGCTGTTTCCTCCAAACTAATTATATGTATGCCCTGTCTAATACCATAAATATATCTCTGATTCGCCGGATTCCAAAGTTGAGTCGCATGGCCCAAATGACTCTGACTAGCCATCAAAAGCTCCAGCGTGATATCTTTCGGTGCTGGTGGATTGACAATAAGTTGATGGGGTTCATAATGTTGTGGTACGACGGAACCTAATTTCACAGTTCTTTTCTGGACATGGTTGAACCTTTGGAAATCTTCTGCGACGCTGGGGACATTGGGATTATGTGGTTTCTTTTTCTGTGGAGGGGAAAAGTTGCGGGTGAGGTGAAGGGAATTGAGTGTGCTTTCCAGGGAATTAGTTTGTTTATTGTGGTTGTCTATTGAGGCTTCGAGGGTCGAGGTCTCTGTTGAGAGGGTGCGGATTTGGGAGAGGCGGAGGGGTGCAGCAAGTGCTTTTCGGCCTATTTTGAATTTTAGTCAATGACCAGGAGAGACATTGGAAAGATTAGCTTACCATGCCGTATCGCGATATTTCTTAGTATCATTTTGGGGACGTTTATAGCTATTTTGATGTTATCGAGACTTTTCTGAGATCTCGGACATCGATATCGCGCTAGTGGGGAAGACACGCTAATCCTGTTTGGGAACATCGTCATTTCAGTTTTGGCTACAATCCTGAGTAAAATCCGGGAATTTGTTTGATGATGATTTTAGGATTATTAGGTGTTAAAAGCTCACATTCAACATCTCTATTCAATTGTTTTCAAAAAGGGGTATAGACTTGAATTCGCGTAAAACTATCAAATGGTTATCAAAAGGGCATCATAATGCTTGTACGACTCCTTCTAGAGATGGAGATCTAACAGACAATTGAAGTCTTAACAATATGAAGGCAAGCTCTAGAACATTATATTAACGGCTCGTAATTCGAGTCAATGTAAAAACTCCGACAATAACAACTGCAAGAGTTACAATCGCTCCAGGTAATAAGAGCTCATTTGGCACCCCTGGAATAACCTCTGGAGCTGGTTGTGGAGCTGCTGCCTTTCGTGATTTCGATTTGACTCGAGGTTCATCATCACTCTCTTCCTCATCATCGGCAACCACACGACGTCTTCGGATAGTAGCTGATCCTGGTGGAGTAGTTACTTGGATGGCAGGTGGCTGAGGTTCCAAGGTTGCAGCCATCGGTGGCTTCTCGGGATCATGAACGAACAAGTCGACTTTATCCCGGTGACTATTTCTGGCGATAACAATTGCTTCCAGAAGATCTTCGTCGGTTGTGATTGATATAGAATCACCCTCGTCGTCAAGATAACTAAGAGCGAATCCGGACGAGTCAAGTTTACCATCCTCTACTGTTGCTACACCTCCGACAGCATCAATTTCAGCTCCCAATTTATTTGCAACAGCGGAAATGAGTTCAGCTAGGCCATGACTGGCTGTAACTTGAACTCTATGCACACGGCCGCTTGGAGCCTTGAATTTGAATGCAAATGGAACATCCTCGGGGGGAATATCATTATGACGACTCAATTGCGAGCGTGGAGAATCTAGACCAACGTGAGAAGCGGAATCATTAGGCGCAACACTGGCATCAACTTGACGTTCATGGCCCCGTGACATATCTGGGGACATTAAAGATCGGCCACCGGTTGTGTGATGATGACTTCCCTCGCCAGACACCATTGATTCAGTTTCATGCTCAAGAGACATCCAAAACTTATTCCATGCTGGCCCGCTATCACTTTCACCTGTCTGCATGGTGTTGATTTGCTCCAAGGTGGCATATGTAAGTTTGAGAACATCAACCATTCCAACGATTTCGCCTTGATCGTTCATGACTGGCAAATTCAAGTAGTGACCATCTGGTTAAGTAAGCCAAAGAACATCACAAAATAATAGGAATCTTACCATGCATCTTTCTCAACGCTGCTTGAATACTCATATCCATAGGAGCAAAATCCGGGTGGGGGGTCATGACACGTACAACAGAGCAGTTGGAGGGGTCCAATCCTGGTGCGATAACACGTAAAACAACATCTTTACTTGTAAAAATACCAGTAATTGATCCTCCATCTTGAACAAGAACAGCCGTGGTGTGATTTTCTTTCATCAAAGCAGCGGCCTCCTTAACGGATGTTCGTACAGTGACGGTTGTAGGTGGAATTCCAGTAAGGACGGATTCCAAAGTAGGTCCGGACATCTTTGATCGGAGCGCCTCCACATATTGAATAATTTGTTGCGGTTGACTGGACCCCAATTCCGATTGAACACCTTCTAAAGCATCGTAAAGTTTTCTCGAAGAACTATAAGCCCGCTCCAACTTTTCCATAGCATCATAAAAGCACTTTGTGATATCAAGGATACCCGAAATATCTTGGTTCTCGTCCATGACTGGTAAATGACGGAATCCCTTTCTAACCATCAAGTCCAGGGCATCGGTAGCGCTTGTATCGGTTCTGGCGCAGAGCGGGTTCTTGGTCATAATCTCAGCTATTGTGATATTGGCGGCCTTGATTCCTGCTCCAACGACTCGGAAAGCCAAATCTTTGGCAGTGAAAATGCCTGCAATGCGGTCGTCATCGTCGGTAACTAGGACACAATCTTCTCTCTTTGCTGCCATCAACTGTGCAGCCTCTGCCACAGTGGTATTGGGTTTTATCTGGAGTGCTTGACTTGGTCGAAGGGCGAGAACCGTTCCTGGCGGGGCTTTTCTTGTCTGTCGAGCACGACCTGTCGTCTTACTCTTCTTACTGAGATCAGTCTCGATCTTCCGCCGGATGGCCTGTGGAACTGTTAACCTCGTCTTGCTTTTCTGACGTCTAATTTGCGGCATGGTGGGATACTTTGCACCAGAACCACCGGATTTTTTTTTATTTCAACGGGGTTCCAGAATGCGGCAAGGGGAAGCAGATAAAATGAAAATAAGAAGATATATAACATACCTCATCCCTCTTGGATTGTTTTGCTCTGCTTGCACTCATACTGGATCCACCAACTTCACTTTGTGTAGTTGAAGTCGTTGCATGCGTCGCATGAGAATCTTGTGCGGGTCGAGGGATATTCGACGCAGGACTATTGCTAAAGACAGGCAGTTGACCACGGGCTTGACCGCTGCGACTTGGTGTCCCACGCATTGTTCCCGTAGTGGATGCCATGATTAATTATGCGCTCACAACTTTATGAACAGGGTACGGAGTATGGATGATGTTATTGGGTCGTTAGGAAACTCAATCGTGCATCTATAAAATAACAATTTGAGAAATCAATTCATGCGAACGTAACGTTGGAATTGTCAGATTGGAAGATTTGAAGAAGGTTCAGATGAACTATGTATGAATGAACTCAATTCCATGAACTTGTTTCTGGTTGTCTCCTTTTCGCCCTTTGGTACATTGGATGGAGAATAATAGTAGTATGGCAAAAGAAATTAGGAACGGTGGTTGTTGATAGGGAAACACCGACATTCAGGCCAAATTTTGGCAAAACGATTTCACCCCGGGAGATTGAATTGAGTACGATATTTCTTTAGGTCTCCAGGAAAGGACATATCAAATAGATTTAATCCTCGTGATTGGCTAAAAATGAATATTTCCCTTTGAGACAAGATCCAAATCAGACTCAAAATAATTTCACCACGAAAATCATCGATACAGCGTGAAATATACGTCCATTCATTGGTTGTAAATAGGAAAGAGTTGTGCAGGGTGTGCAAGTTGTGCATGAGTACAAGAGAGCAGAAATCGGTATAGAACAGAGCATAAATCAAATACACAATCGAGCATAAAATAATGTTTGATCGTATTTATCCCTACCAAGTTCCAACCTGGGTACCTGCCTATTCCTATTCCTGCCTAGCCAGGCAAGAAGTCATCAAATTGATACTAGAACTTACCCGTGTATTGACTAACCCATAGGACATTTAAATTAATGATTGGACATCCTCGAAGAAGTTCCTCCGTACCTAGGCAATCTAAGCAATGAATTGGGTTAACTGGTTACTCGGATCTATTGGTTTATCCGATTCTTTGTTTACGTGGATCATGTGAATGTCACTTTCCGTATCTTTGATTGGATGATCTGGTCAATCCGTTGCTATCCCAACAGAGACTTGTTGATTTTGGCGCCTGAGATAACATCAGTTTCGGCAGAGGACGCGCTGAAGCATCTAAACCTTCAATTCTTCACTTCCATCCCCTCTTTATCATACCTACCTACATACAAATAAATATCTATCTCTCCACACATCTCCACTAAACCAAATCCGAAGTCCAAAAAACCCTCATTCTTCCAATAAGACGAAATACTTTTAACAAACTATCAGCCCAAATAAAAAAACACTCCCTCCACCGGTGAAGACGTTCATTAGAAGTATTAGCTTTTCCTTCGTTTGACTCCAACAGGGCTGAGGGAAGCCCTCCATCATTAAAAAGGACTCAAAAAAAGAGTCAATTACTACTGCTGAGCAGTCCAAGATAAAAAAAAAAGTTTGCCCGGCCTAACGGCTTGCGCTGCGTGAGGTATGTATGCATATGGATATCTAGACCGCTCTATCTTCATATATCCATCATCGCGCTAATTAATGCATTACATAGTCTCGGAACATATAGGTTTGCTTAATTGCAATACTTTCAATCGACGACATTTCCGAACTCTTCTAGCATTCATAATGCTGTCTAATCCATCCAACAACCTTCAAAATCGACATCGGCAACACAGACGACAAAATTCGACCCCGACCGCGTTCGATGCAGTGAAGGCAAATAACCTGCCACCGGTCCAAAGGCATGCCCACAGACGTGGGATGAGCCTGGATACGCGACCACGACCAATTCAACAGCAGGCACAAGCGGTAAGTAATACTAACGTAGGATATCAGACGACACCACAGCATATTTTGCGAGAGACGCAGCAGCAGAGACTGGTTCGCCCGGGCCAGCAGCCATTTTCAATTTACGACAATGACGAGAATCAATTTGTTTCACCACTCGTCACCCCACACAGACAATCGTTTGATGCCGGATGCTCGAACCCATATGAGGTACAACAACAACAACATCAACACTCATATTCATATTCCGGTCCCATGAACCCGATAATACCAGTCGACCCGAACTTCAACGGGGGCAATGACTTTGACTTTTTCGCTACAAACACAGCAATGACACCGACATTCATGGAATTCTTTAACGAATCCGAGATACACAGTGTCAATTCACAGCCAAGTTCTGCAAATCACAGCAGAAGATCATCGAGGAGGATTAGTGGTGCAATCTTAGATAGGGTTGCTCAATTCGAGAATCTAGCTTTGAAATCGCCGCAAAGGCCTCTTACACCTCCAAATGCAAACTCTACCAGTAAGTCGTCGTTCTAATCTAACAGACATGTTCTGATCGCTCTAGATTACTTTCCTCCCGCTCCTTTGGATAGCCCATTCAACCGGACAATCAAGCAGGAGCACATCCCACAAAGATTTCGTGATGACTATGATACATCTATGGAGGAGACGATTAAGCCTAAAAGTAATCAGAGAGCTAAGAATGTTTTCGACGACATGAGACGAGAAGCTGAGATGAAAGCCGTATCCACCCCACCAGGATCTGGACCCGTACCCACTGCCAGCACATATGACTCCGCACCAATGCCAACATCGAATTTCATGAACATGTCAACTATTAACCTCGATTTTATGAAAAATGATCCACAATTTCAAACGGCCCAATACTCACCGACTTCTTCAAATGTTTCACAAGATCTATCATATCCCTCATCTCCAGAACAATCTCGGAGGAATGTCTTTACAGATCCTTTTACCAACAGACCAATCTTAGAAGCACCAGACGTATCGCCTTACCCCATGTCCAATTACTCTCACGGTCTTCCAGCTTCAGAGCCAGCTTGTAGTTCTCCGGCTCAATCTTACCGACGATCCGAGTCAGTATCGAGTATCAACCTCGAAGAGTCAATTACGGATACCGGAATCACGATTGATGATATTGCTACCTACATCCAAGCACCCGAACCTGGTGATACAAAATGGCTTTGCCTGTATCCAGAATGTGGTAAGCGATTCGGTCGCAAGGAGAACATCAAGTCACATGTCCAGACCCATCTTGGCGACAGGCAGTTTCAATGCCCACATTGCCACAAATGCTTCGTGCGACAGCATGACCTCAAACGACATGCAAAAATCCACAGTGGTGTAAAGCCTTATCCATGTCAATGTGGAAACAGTTTTGCCAGACACGATGCTTTGACTCGTCACAGACAGCGAGGTATGTGCATTGGTGCTTTTGAAGGCGTGGTCAAGAAGACAGTCAAAAGAGGTAGACCAAGGAAGAATCGACCCGACGATGAAGAACGACTCGGTAAAGCATCTCGAACTCGAAGCAAGAACAAGATGAGCCCATCAGAAACATCATCGGAATACTCGGAAAGTGCATGCGCTCAGTCACCTCGCAGTGATCTGGATGTCCTTGACGATAAACCCTTTGGAGATTATGGCTATTCTCAAAGCTCTTTGGCCACACATGACAGCTATGAACTCTCTAGGGAAAGGTCCTCATCAGTTGCGGCATCAATATCCTCAATCTCTTCAATGACATCAATTGCAGAATGCGTAGAGCCAAACGCGATACAAACAAGACATGCAGCATCAGCATTCCGCAGTCGTCCCAACCTCTCTGAGCATCTTCCGTCAAATCCTGGATCACCCACCAAATCTGCGCAGAGCAACTACTCCCCGCCAGGTTTGTGCCCATCGTCTTCTTCACCCACAGCGAGCGCCAATTACTATGATCTAGACGCTGTCTCAAACAGTGGTGAACTTAGTAATCTACCAAACATCACTGAGCAAGATGATATGTTTTTGGAGGCATTTGCTGCCACAGCTAGCACTGGTATTACACAACTCGAACGTGATCCTGATCTTTTGATAGGGAAATTCGACAGCATGTTCAGCGTCGCAGCTGATAATTCTACAATGTTCAGAAATGAAGAGGATGTATTCTTTGGCAGTCCAGGAGAGTGATATTTCGGATACTTCTACCCACTCGTTTGGATTAAAAACTGTACATTATAAGGATGCGTGGACTTCTGGGATCGGATAAAAACGGATGGTGTTGAATAGGTACAGGATTGAGGATATTTTCTGGGTTGGGTTACGGATTATTCATCTATCCATTTTTTAGGCGTTGTTCATATGTAATTTTTGATTTATTGTTTTATTTAGTTATGAGAATGAGAATGAGAATGAGGGAGGGGATGGGAATGAGGTGACGAGATGATGATGAGGTTTGGGTGGAAGGGAGGCATATGAAAGTGTTCAGTAATAATATCAATTTCAAGGAGAACGTTTATTATCATCTATTTCGTCAAGAAACTAGTATCTTATCATCTGAACATTGTAATTGGTCCATATTTCAGTTCCACATCCAGTACAAATGAATAGCAAAAAGTGAATAAATGACTTGTTATTCTTTCATGTGTTCAATCCAATATCTTCAAGTTAATCCTGGAGTACCTATGCAACAGTAGAGGCAAGTTTCCAATTAACAGTGTGGTGTAAAATAGGTATTTTGAATTTGAATGGAGAGGTGGATTTGATAGAAGATGATGAGGGTATTCATTTCCATGAGGCAAATAGGATATAGGTGTAAGATTTCCTTTGAGATTGAGAAATGTAAGATTACGAGTTTAGGGTAGTGATGGATTTGAAGAGGAAGGGGGGGAGTGGGTGTGAGGGGTTCGAAGACTGGAGATGGAGATGGAGATTGAGATTGTTAAGATGCTTTTTTGTTTGGATTGGGAGGGTGATGGTTTTTATGGTGGGGAGCTAAGGTCAGTCAGTATATTTATTGTTGAGAATTTGTATTCGGGATTATTTGGGATTGCGTTTTTGAATTTATTCTTGTTTTTGATTGGATTTGGAGAAGAGAAGGGAAGAGGTAGGTTAGTTTGGATTGGATTGGATTGGATTGAATATTATAAATGAAGCTCGGGGATATTGGGTATATATTCATGTGTATGTATGCATGTGTATGTATGTATTAAATATTTGGTGATATTTGTTAAATATGATTTAGGCGAGATGCGGTGCTGCGGAGGAGGTGTGGGTTAGCGAAGTGGGAAGGAATAGATTAAGAGAAGAGGGAGGAGGGATGAAGAGTGGACTGAGCGAGGGAATAAGGGGAGAGAGAGAGGAGAGATGTAGACGTGTAGCTGCATGGTAAATGCTCTAGGTAGTATTTATTGGGGAAGTTATCGAGTATTAAGCTATGGTGAAGATTTATATTTTTTTTACGAGGAAGAAGGTGGGGAAGAAGGAGAGAATGGGATTTGCACGTGAGGGATTGGTGGGTAGAGATGTGGTTGGAGTGAAGACTGTATGGATTATGGTCTGCGGCTATGTATAGGAAGTATGGTTGTTGTTTATGTCAGATTATTAGTTTATAGAGTGATAATGACGACGACAGGCGCGGGAAGAGAGATGATGCTCAGCCAAATCTTGTGAGGTCAAGTAAGATGGGTAGTTTCATACCTATTTACGAAAGAAATTCGAAGCTAAGAAGCTCAGTGATTATCACTGGAAAGTTCAACATTCTAGTGATTTGTGGCGGATGAAATACTTCACTTTGACGTGGAGTGTGAGTGACGGATATTGAGGACGGGACTCTCGACTCTCGAGCTATTTTTAAAATTGGGTTGTCTGATTTTGTTTTTAGGGGCTGGAGACGATGATTCTTTATCTTATTGAAGTTTTACTTAAAATGACGGTAACTTGATGTCACTAATGGCCTAGTATGGCTGGTCATGGCGGGTGAGTCTCATATTGTTAGTTTGGCGTAAGTAGAAGAAGAGTTCTTCTCTATTCCTTCCTTCCCTTTCCTCGGAACATTTTCTCTCCTTATTTTTCTTAGACCACCTGCACTTTCTAACTCTCATAATTCTGGAATCACGAAGAAATATCGTGATCGTGGTTTGAAATTCGGGGGGCTCATTCTTTGTTCAGTGGTTTGAATGTTGCCGGTGTCTCACGATGTTCTAGGAATGTCTCGTTACTTCAAGCCATCCACAGCGATATATGTTTCGTAATGGTCAATCTTGGAGCAAAATATAAACAACTTATACTTCAAATAAATTCTATAAGTCTTGGATCATGGAACTGGTATCCATACTTCTGGAAACAAGACTTTGGAATTGCAAATACTTAAAAAATAGGAATCCCAACGATGAAAACAACAAAAACCCCAATTCCGCTGAACAAAATGGCATCGTCAACATCTCTCAAGGCTGAAATTGCTGGATATGATTTACGCATCAGTTATGGTGCAGTAAATGCTGTATAAGTCTCATTTCGACGTACAGTACGAGTCCCCGATAATGGAATTGAGTACCTTTTACTTCCTGATCTTGGGAAGATACCTTTGTACTCTATCAAGAAGTATGCTTCAAAACTGTCGAGTGATATAGTTGCAAAAGGGGGTGCATTCATTCCAATTCGTCGTTTTTATTCCTTCCACATAGCCCAGTTAACTCTTTGTCCCAATGATTTACTCAGGAAGCGAAGCATTCTGGCTTAATTTTCACTCACATAGTGCACATCCCTTTGCTATCAAGGTGAGATTTGGGAACGAATATTGGATTCCACTGTGGCGAAGAGATATGACGGTTTAGATGGATTCCGGTTTTCGAGAGTACTGAGAATAGGAGTAAAGCGGAAATTGAACATGGAGCCATGGAGTTGAATGAGGTGGATAGAAAAAGTGATTTTAATCCTCGGGGTTACTTAGAGCTGCTGTGAAAGCTAGGAATGAACTAGGCTCGGGAGTTTTTTGGGTGAAAATTGTGGTTTGAGGACTTGGAAACGAAGATAATGACATGACGCTCAGCATTAGAGGATGGAATCATTCTTCATGCTAGAAATATGACTTGAGATTTTCCAACACCGATATTGATTAGATCTTGTAAATAACTATGATTCATTAGATGTGTCAAAAATACGGGCTAGCGCTTAGCTAGGGCATACAATCTTTCACATACCCCTGGCTCTTCAAAAGTCACTACCTACATACAACCATAAGAGCTGAGATGTGAAGAGAAATAACGAAAACAAACAACCTCCAGACATCCTCGAACTCGTATGTTTATCCTACAATACCCGCTATCTTTCAGGTTTTTACTCCCTATTTGTTTCATCGACACAATACTTTACCCTATCGAGAGTCAGGCTGACAGTAATCCGCAGGCGAACTTGGAAGCCTCGCTTAAGACGATCTAGGGGGTGCGTCGTCTGACTGGAAGGATCCTAGGACAATAGAGTCGCGGATTTGTAAAGATTTGCTTCAAGCCATGTTGCGATGTGATTCCAGAAATGTCCTTCTTTGATGTTTGTGGCTGTGTGAAATATTCTTGATAAATCTTGGAATGTTTTGGTATTTGGGCAGAATCTTTTGGGGGAAAGGGCAGAGTTACTTAATAAATGACAGCTCCGCGGAAGTGAATGAATTGTTTCTTCCTTACCATCATCGCATCTCATATTTACCTTGAAACTCGACGCTGCGAAAACTTTCACCACTCACCATTCACCATGGATTCTTCAACTCTTAAGGTTAGTTTTCAAGATGCTATCGAGCACGCCCCAGGCGGTTTCAACCAAATAAAAATTGAAAATGGTCGCGGAGGCTCCATGGGGATATCTTTTCATCGAACTATTCGTGTTCCGGACGATGGCAATAACTATCAGCTTCCACCGGATCTTGGAAAATTCCCAATCTATGACATTGACGAGTTCGCAGGGAAGTTGCCAATTGAGCTTGTTAGGAAAGGAGGCATTTTTATTCCTATCTGGCGTGAGTTCAATAATTCTTCTCAACTCATTTTATAAACTACTATTTTCACAGAAAAGTTGAGTTTCTAACATAGGGAACAGAAAGAGAGGCACTCTGGATTCGATTCTTTTCTCCTGGCAGATTTGATCCATTTGCAGTTAAAGTCTACGCTGGCGGAATCAATGTTATCTCAGGAGAAAACAAGTACGAGGCCGCAAGATCCAAAAAAGCTGCCACCGGAACGGGGTCGTATCAAGACTATCTTAGGGTTCCAGGACAAAAATGGCTCGATGGAATTGTAAAGTCCGACGGATCGGTCAAGCAATTTGTAGCGATTCCTACTGGCTCCGGATATTCGGTTGAAGCACAGATCACAGACCATGACAAGATTGCTGGCCTCCAATTCGAGATTATTCCTCTCCGCTCAGAGCCTGAATTTACTGGCCAAGTATTCGTCAAAACGTTGACGGGAAAAATAATATGTATACCTGTGGAATCTCGTTTGACTATTGCAATGCTCAAGGATCGTGTCTCTAGAAAGGGAAGCATACCAGCGGATCAACAACGATTGATATTTGGTGGAAAGCAACTTGCAGACCACTGTTAGTTTAATTCGATTACTAATCACCAAACATGGTCGGGCTGACATATGATCCGTAGATACTTTATGGGACTACAATATAAAAGATGTCGGTCTCATAACAGGCTCGTGAGACTCTCTTGCTGATAAAATCTATAGGGAGCGACAATTCATTTGGTACTCAAGCTCCGCGGAGGCGGCCATCTACCGTCAAAGGTTGTAAAACAGATGGAGGAAACGGAAGAAAGTTTGAAAGAACAAATAGACGAATTGGCATTAGCACCTGGAGGTTCCATTCATCAAGCAGTCCACAAAGACAATTTCAACAAAAATAGGTATGACGAAAAGTATGCAGTTATGTTTAACGTGCAGCTTCTAGGTCCAAAAACGTTCCAGCTAGTCACCGGCATTCCACCTCCACAAACTTCCATTTCCGCCGAAACATACGCAGAGCATGGATACCCGTTCTTCGAAATTTACAACGAACCAAGAACACTTACGGGAACATTTGGACAATTGTTAAAGAGCGTAGGAGATAATGACAAGGAAAAGAATGTGAACTTGGAGGTCCATGAGCGGGAGCATGGTTTACATTTCAGGACTGTGAAATTGAATAAGGTGGATGAGATTAGCGACTTTCATTCCAAGGTACCTTTTATGTAAGAGGAAGTTTGGCGGTGACATATAGGTGGTGGGATACATGAGGGAGGGCGAGGTTGATCTATTAGCGCGATGTCCTGATGAGTAGCTAGTTTGCGATTTTTGAGACTTGCGAGAATTGCAAAATGAAAATGGGACGAGTTCATGAACGCACCTGAGCGAGATTTAAATGAATGTTGCGCATTCAATGATTTATTTCAACTAGAAACGTTCCCGGTGTTACTCTACTTCTGCTCAAAAGTGTTTTCCGATCTGTCCATGGCATAATTCACTTAGAACCACAACCACAACCACGCCTCGAGTTAATCATCCACTCGCCGGCCCCAATATGAAAACCGTTATTTTAATCCGTCCAAGCCAGCTAGAACGCCACCTAGCGTGTAAAAGTATCATCGATGTGTGTTATTCCCAGAAGAGTTGAATCGTGCCATCCATCCGAGGGCTCACAACAATTGCAAGAGCATTGAAAAAGGCACAAAGCCAAAATAATAGATTGAGTCAGGAAAGCTCCAAAAAGTACAGTTTCTAAAACATATCGAATAATGTAACCTATCCCACTAAATACAGAAATACAGAAATAACAGACAAATAAATTCACGCGCAAAACCCTACCTCGCTCATTGAACCTGTATAAATTTTTTTGGCAGTAGTAGGGACTAGCTATCTGATATTCTTAGACATCAGTCTCAGAAATATATCTATGGTGGTTTAAATATAATTGGAATTTCATTTGCTGTATTATTGATAATTCCACGATGTGAAATTTAAGATAAAGTCGAATAATAGCTCGCTTAATTTTAACGATTTAGGGGGCCGACAAACTCAAAATGAATATTCGATATTTTTACCATTGTACTAGAGGTACTGAGTGAGAAATAAATTTAGATTCTTCTAATATACTTGAAAAGACCTATTTTTAAAGATGTTTAATATACTTCATACTTTGGAATTGATAAACTCTAAATTAAAAATATTTTGTTTCAAATTCTAAAAGTTTTTTTGATAATAAAAATTATTTTATTTTTTATATTTATTTATAAATTATTTTTCATAGAGGTATGGAAAGAATATTTTAGAATTTACTTTTTTTAATAAAATTTTGATTGAATCAATACACTTAAGCAAAAATCTTCTAACTATTAAATAATCATTCAAAAACTATATCAGGAAAGATTGTAGAGAGGATGACTGGTTTATTGCTTCGCTAAATACTTTTGTTGTGAAACTATTCATTAACGTAGCGAAGCAAATCTTAAGCTGAGATTAACAACTCGACAGTCGTGGAAAATCAAGGTTAAGGGGAGTCGAACTTTTCCTGCAGGCGTCAGCTTATGTCATTTTAACTGCCCTCTTGAATCTTTCACCATGAAACAAAACCAAACCATAAACATCAACCATTTTCTCTTGCTTTAAATGCTTAGTACCAGTTAAATATAGGGTAATATAGAAATGCGTCCTCGGATGTGCTGTCAAAGCCCTCTCGTCATGTTCAAATCTCTTTTATTTGTAAAGTTTATTCATTATCACATTACCGCCCCAACCGCCTCGCAGAAACTCAAAGGTTTGTTGCATATCTACTACGGGATATATTAGCATGCGTGTTGTGTGGTGTGTAAAGTGTTGCAACCAGTGCTGGTCAAGTAACGATAATACTCCTATCATTGAGGTGGGTAATCAACTTTCCACAACAAATGATCAAACTCATTTTTTTCAAAGAATAAACTAACTAGTCTGAGTTTTCAGAAGTCTTTGACATGGTTGAAAAGGAACAAATTGTTTCATCCTTGCATGAGGCACATTTCTATTGACTTCGAGCCGCGAGATGTGTTCAGTGAACCCTTTCTGGAAGACTTTGTTGCTTCGTGCAGTAACATGTCGGTCAATCTTCCCAGTCTTGAGTCTGTTATTATTTGGTTAAAAATTACTGAGGATGACTCCCATGAGATTCTCATGAGTGCGGGCGTTCAGAGCATTACCACTCAAAAAATTTGAGATTTGCTCATTATTGACAAATTTTGATGAACCGAAAAAGGCTTGGGAAGAGAGCTTGTATGACGCCATAAACACTAGGGGATTTTATTGTTTCGAGGGCTTCGAGGAGTTTCGTGGCCTACGAACCCTTCTGATCAACGACCCAAACAAAGAGAGAGACCTGATAACTCATATATTGACACCAGGCTCCAAGCTGTGGGGCTTTACGGATAACATTGATGATGATGCTTACATCTCATTACAAAATATGGAAAGTTGGAACGAAGCCCAGGAGAAATTCACCGGTCGCACCCCTCGACGCTTCAAAAAGAGCAAGGCTAATGGCAAGTTTCTGAGACTGCAACAATACCAATTGCCTCGTCCGAATCCTCCTAATCAACAAGCACCTCCCCTAAAGGTTCTGCGGGAATGCCCAAAAAAGTAGTTTCGTAATCTGCTTCCAGGAAATGGATGGCCAAGATCAATCTCGTATCAAACGAAGCTTTAGTTCTAGCATAAGATTAATTACACGCGGTGATTTTCAAAAATATTTGGCATTTTTTGGTGATCTTTACAATCTCGTGAGTCATGAAAACATTGACATAGCTTAGTCGTCGGGACATGAATGAAACTATCCAACAGCAGATTTTTAGCCCATGCCCCCAACTACTTTCGACGTATTTGGTATCGTCATAGTTGAAGGTTTTACAGCGCCTACAGAAATTACATTACTCAGTCGTATCGGCCGTAGGCCCTTAGTCTACTTTTGCAGACACCAAGTCCTAGACTACTTGAAAACAACGATTATTTTGAACGAGGGTAGTTTTAGTCATAAATTCTCGTCTATTTTATGATCATACTATACCATTTTAATCGAGACTATTGTCACCGCATCTCTTGGCTCCAAGCCTAGACCATACCATTAATATAGTCAGATTAAACTAAGGTTATAAAGCTAAAAAGCTTAAATCTAGTCTCACTAATTACATTCATATAAATGTCACCTTCTCCTATGACTTCCATTCCTCCATTTTTCATTACCTCGCTCTCAAAGTCTTCATTCAGCCAATTAAAAAATACCCAAATTAACTACAACAATTCTCAAAAAATCATCAGAATGGACCACCAAACCTACAAAGTTTGCCTTCCCTGCGATAACACCTTTCGTGTCGAGTTGCCCCAATTTGGCAACATCCTTTTATTCGTCTTCGAGCTCATGTGTCTGTATAGCATATACAAATCCATTAAATTCATTAAGAATGTATTCGATTCCCTCGACACATACGCGAGGACGTCTGATGAGGAGTGGAGGAGGATTAAAGAGCTCGGCGAGCGGAATCGACATCCTGAATTTCAATGCATGGAGAAGGATGATCTTTCGGTCGTTGATAATTGGGAGGTGGTGGAGGTGGTGGACGGTATTAAGAAACCGGAATTAGTACACAGCGAAGAATAAGATCGACTGTCACATATTCTTTGCGGTAGATGGATAAGTCGGAGTGTGGTATCGTGGGCGGATAGGATGGTCGTGGATATTTTAATACCTTCTTCGGTTTATATGTTCCGGGCCATTGCGCGGTTTCGATATTCCGAAATGAACTTAGCCCATTCCTAAATATATTACGTCGGGAAATGACTAGTTGATGCCGAAATAGGAAGTGGTGAGGGTATTCACAAATGAGCTAGCATATTTCGGAATCAACGTAGTGCATTTCAGAATGAGGATATTACGCAATGGCCTGGAACATTTTGGGGTTAGCGAAATCGCTAATGACGTCATGAAATCCAATTTACAATTGCGGAATTGCACTTCGGATCTCAGGAGTATAATATGAACGGAGTTGTGTCATCTTATTAGATTATCATACGGACAAATAGAATGACCAATTGTCACTGAAGTACAGATAATCATATATTCATGTAAAAAATTTGAAATATTCACCCTTGACATTTTTGAATTAAGACTTTGACTTTTCCTCTAAAGTTCTGACTGATATGGATCTCAGTATTAATAAATAAAAAGGAAACTCTGAGCAATCCAAATATTCATAGACAAGCCCTAGTTCTAAGGCCTAGCGGCCACACAAATCTCACTTTCCAAAAATTCGAAAAATTCATCTCCAAAGGGGCCTTTCATTTCTATCTCATTCCAACACTCCTTTCTCTTTACTATATGTTAAGCTCCTCGAATAGTAATTTGGTCCTACGCCATATATAATATCGAAGAGATCAATAAGAAGTGAAGGATAGAGTTCTTAACCTTAAGAACAGGATAAATTCGAAAGTGAGGTTGATGGAAAATACATTCTGCTACGTGACCCAATACTAACCCTGAAGATTCTTGATAAAGGGCGCTGGAGATTCGTAGAGGATACCGTTGAATGATACTAGTTGTAGGTATAAAGAGGTTTATCTTATTATTAGAGCTACGATTCCTGATTATATAAACCCACAATCATCGTCGTACTTTCCATATTGAACCTTAACACGATCCCCCTCCCCGCGAACAAGATCGACCAAAAAACCAGCAAATATGAAGCTATTTCCATCCCTTTCTAGCCTGTAAACCCAAAACTATCTCGACCTCGAATTCTGAAACTAACACCCCTCCAAATCATATAAAAGCCAATGTATTATAGCCTCGCCAGGCCTTCTATTTGTCGGAGATCCATCGACTTATCGGAAACGTACCTTAATCAAGAAGTTGAAGGTACAAAAGCATATATACCGGAACGAGTCATCGTCCACAGAATTTATTCGTAATTGAGCGCCTGTGGGGACGGCAGACCTGAGGAATAAGGAATATCGAATCGTAAAGGTGAAAATGAAGCTTGAGGTACGTCGTTGATCGAGAGTATATCTTCAGTTGTGATACTGGCAGGCCGAATATGAGTACTGTAACGTGAAACTCGAATATTTTGAAGCCAGGAACCTTTCAAGAACCTATTCCCTGTGTGGTTCACTATCTTAAGATATCGTTTCTCGATCAGACATTTTTCCTTTCTCCAGCCCCTGCTTCTTTCTCATATCCTCCATGTATTTACCATTTTGCAATGTCCACAACGCATTCTTCAACCGGTAGCGTTTATTTTTTTTCACTAAGAGTCGCCTCTCAAGATTGGCTTTTGTTACAGATAGATGAGCCGCATAAGCGTCGGCCATCTCGAGCTCTTTTCTGCGTAAGTAGAATAATAAGAGCACGAAGAGAAGAAGAGCTATGTAATAATATTTGTAAACGAAGATATCGAGCCAGAATCGCCAGGTTACCACAATATCTGGATCATTTTCTAGCTGGAAAAGGGAAGAGATCTCCTTTATGGGCGTGCTTGTTGCTTGCATTTCGATATTTTATTTGAGTGGTAGTCGGATGATGACAGGAATTGTATGGTAATGGATTCTCTTGTCAAATATTCTGGTGGTGAAACCGCGATTGGATTTGATTCTTTGAAAGTATGGCTCGTAAGTCGCTCTGGTCTTCTGAAGCTGGCAGTGGTTTCTTTGAAGAATGGTTATCGATGAAGTTTGATTTGGATTGTAGTATATGATTGAGGTTTTACGAAGCATGGGGATGACAGATATAAGATACAATAAAGTGAAGTCGCACTTGTGGGTGGCGGTAACGCCACTGGGCGATCGATGATGTGATCGATGAAAGGGTTCTAGTTGTAGGTGTGAAGAGGGTTGTCTTACTATGATTCCTGATTATATAGACTCACAATCATCATCGTACTTGCCATATTGAGCCTAACATCGATAATAGCTTTCAAATTATCTGTACATTGAAAAAATTTGAGGATTAGCCTAGGAGCTAAGCTTACTAGAAGTTTAGTTAGACACTGGCACCGCTTAAGTTATAATGTTAATTTTTGACTTTCCTTGTTTAATTTAGAGCTGACTATACTTTAGACGCCAGAACATCCGTGATTAACGAGACCGGCAATTGGATGAAAATTGGGCCACTAAGTCTAAGCGAGAATAGATGAGGGGAAAACTAGTCTGATATAGTAACAGTAGTTGTAAAGACGTATAGAAAAAATCTAATTAAAATAATAAGAATTTAAAATTAATTTAATAATGTATATTCCAAAAAAAATAAATTATTTTTTATTCAAAATTGAATTTCAATAGTTATTTGAAAAAAAAACAATAATAAAAATTAATTTGGATATAAATCAGCTTATTTATTATTATTAAATATAAACTCTATTCAAATAAATTATAATCTGATGAAATCATTATAAATTAATTTTGAATCAATAATATTTGAATTATTTTACAAAAGCATTTAAAAATTCTAAAGATTAGATTTTGAACATATGTTATTAAATCGGGTGTAGTAATTGATTATAGTAGTATTCTAAATAAATTATTGTTTATTTCAATAATATAATTAAACTATTGAAAACCCGTCCATACAGAAGATTGAAGCATGACGATGACAACATCTGGAAATCTAAAAGCTCGAACTAATACAAGAATAAATACCGCTTATGTGAAGTCAGAATACTTATTTGGCTTAAAAATCGTTCGGGGGAACTTTTGGAGATGAAACTTACTCGAGCTCCCCAGCCTAATCTCCGCCCGAGTCAGTACTTCGCGAGCATCCTGGATGTAATTCACACTCTAAAGATATGCAACAGACGTGATATAGGGAATAAGAGAAGGCTGATTGGTCAGTTCAAATTAGTTGTTTGAGTCGTCATGGTGAGGTAGACTCGGGATACTTGGTCTACAAAATCAAAGTTTCAACAACAGATCTCGGCCTCTGAAATGATAGAAAGCTTTACCAGTATCCCACGGAATGAGTTTTTTAAAACAAGTTACTGACGGTAAAAGGCCGTCATTTTTTAGCAATCCTGAGATGATGCTGTACTAATGTGTCATTGGTTTTCTGAACTGGGCCAGCGTTTAGTACACTTTGCATTCATAAATTCTATCGAATATCTCAAAAGCCTCTTAGAAGTATGATCATTGATAAAAGTGGCAATAGAAGACATAAGAACAGCTGATTATCATATATTTGAAGCTGAGGGAAGCAGAATACACACTATCGTCTTGGAGATAGACACTTGTTCGTAGGCATCCAGGATGTTATTTTCAGACCAGAGGTGTGCAACAAAAACTTTCGGAGCTTTCCATTGGTCTTTAGATGAACGGTCATTCATTTTAGTCCACGGCATGTGCTTCTGGGCAAAGTCACCTACTGCAAGACACTTTACTCTATACATTAACCAGCAAGCATCAAGCATGTTATATTCGACCTAGAGGCGTGCAACAGGAGTCTTTAGAGAACTCCTACTGGCCATTTGAATGTATTACCAGTTAATGGTGTAAGGCTAACTTTGGAAAATGGAGCTCCGATCTCTGATTTGAGATTGGAGAGCCTAGATTAGTGTGTTCAGTAGTCTCCTAGTTTTTGTTTTCGGACAGTGAGTTAGATGATTAATTTTTGATTTCATTAATGTTGGTATCACTTTGGGTGATACTATTCACACACTACTATTATGGGTTTGTTTGTTATTCATTCTTGTTAATTACACTGTGAGAAGAGGGTTTTACTTATATTAAAGGTAAACACTAGAGTTCAACTGTAGTACGGCTTCATGTGAGACTAGTTACATGACCGTACTTACAATTGATTACTTGAATTATTACAATGAATGTCATATAAAAAGTTTCATTCAATTAATTTAAATTTATATATCTGAATTTTTTAATTATATCAAGTATATTATATAATTTACGTAAAACTTTTTTCAATAATATTTCTTGTAATTGAATTATATGATTAAAGCAGAAAATATTGAAATTTAAATCAACTAAACTATATAATAATTAATCCAATTTTTGAATAATGATAAATAAATAATTATATTTCTTTTAAATTCCTAATATATCTTGCAGTAGGGATGATATACTGGTCTGGATAGTATGCGCGTAAATTCATATGATATACACGCTTACAAGGATTCAGGAAGTTCTTCCACGACAACAGTTATGCAACAAAGTTTGTGAAAGAGGTCCCCTACTCGCCATCTAAGGAAAGTCATTGCAACCCGAACATGGTCCGATGAATTTTCAGTATCACTAAAGGCATTTGATTCTTGCTAATTTGTGAATATTGCAAAGTGGCAACATCACTGATGACTCAGGTTTGTCTGAATTAGGAAGTCCTAAAACTTACTGTTGAAAGTGTAGTTCAAAACAGTATGAACGAAATAAATGACGCAAAGTTTAGCATTCCCATTTCATCACGACAAAAGTATAAGTTTGGCCGCGCCAGTAGCTCGGAATTATTTTCAATATCGTACATAATAAACACGTCTACACACGACAATTATCTCCCAACGACTTTCCGGGGATTCAACCGAAGGCTATCAAGTCACGCCTGACAATCCTTCCTTCCGGAGCTTCAATTTCAAGCTAATACAGCTGCGCTAAACGTGTTTTTGACACTCGCGCAAAGAGATTTGATATCGGTTAGTGGTCTTCCCTAGCTATGATATGCCTGCTTTTTACTCACAGATAAGCACCGGTGGTTCTGGAAGAACGGTTTAACTCTCTTAAAATCGCTACATACCCAAAAACTTTAATTGCTTTAGATTTTTGCTTGAATAAAGCCAAGTAGCCATCCAACAGCCGATGATGGGCCAGTGGAGATTGAAAAAATTGGCTGCTTTCTATACTAATATGAAGCTCGGAAATTATTACAAAGTATTTGAGCTGTCGTATTGACAATTTTAGGTTTTCCCGGTTCGAGGTTTTTCTCTTGATTTGTTGATGGATGTCAAGATGGGGTATTTGAACAAAGAACAGGAGTGTCGTTTTGTGCATTTGAGGATCAATACACTGACTTATTTTGATCCCAAGGAAGGAAGGAAGGAAGCAAAGACTATTGGCAATTATTTACAAAATTGGAGTCAATGTAAATTTTAAGACTTGCTTAGCGGTTCCGTCATTTTGCACCTGAAAATACAGCTGGTTCACACTATTTCCACCCGTAAACCCCAGTTGAAGGAAGCTTGAGGTTCTGATACCTTGAGGAAACCCGTTGGGGCATTCGCTGTACATTGAATGCGTATGAATGGGTTCTTTTTTGGTCCAGCGTAATTCCGAGCTTCCGAATACCTACATGATAGTTATATCTATGGAATCCTTGAACAACGACTCCAAGTGCCGACGTAAAATCTGGCAACTCATCAACCATCTACAATATAACTTCATCTTTACCGCTTAATGTTTAGCTTTCTTCCTCTTCTTCTTTAACCCAATGTTCATTCCACGCTGAAAATTAACAGGCGTTGCTGTACCCGGGGATTTCTTCTAAGGGGGTCGATATGAAAGAACCTAGCAAAACTTCTCTGCTCACTCCGTGATCCAAGTTTCCCCTCAATGGATCCCAGGCGGAGAAGTCATTCGCATTATGCAGACCGAAAGACAAGCTGAAGCTGAATATTATTATAACGTTGGCAATGTTTTATTTAGTAGACCTGATGAGTTCATACTTCTTAAAAAAATGGAGCATTGCGTTTTCAGCAAATCAACATCACAAGCCAACTTTAGGTGGCTCTCAAGGTTTTAATGTTAAGTTACTCCCCAATCCACTGTTTAGATCTTGGTTTTTACATCCACGTTTCAACTTAAACACACATTCGACGAAACAACCTTCATTCTTCACTGTGCGCTAAGATCTAGGCTCAAGAACATCTGCTCTGAATACTCAGAGAAGATATGGAATCAGGATAGCATACGATGCAATTGGTTGCATTACCAACATTATTGCCATTACCCGAACTGCGGTCTGCAGTCTGACTAAACGAATTAAGATTTTTACCTTGGAAAGCTATTCAAACATTTCAATAACTTCGCAGCTCTAAATCAAATCTATAATCAGAAGCATTCTTATATCCGGCAAGGTTTCAATCTTCGGAATAATTCGATATCTAAAATCCACTTCAATTTTCAAAATATCTTTCCGTGTTCTACATAAAAATAATATTCGAGCACACTTCTATACTCAAAAATGTTTCCAGCCTTAAAAATCCTTCATTTCTGGACTGTAGTTCGGATCATCGAGCACACTGTTTAAACTAATCCACGAATAACTCATATATCAACAAACATTGATCTTGGGAAAACCGCTTCAGTCCAACTCACCGTTCTCCATGATGAGCCGTCATCACCAGCCCGCTATCACTAGCTATTCCTAAAGCCAATATTCGGACTCAAATGTGTAATTTCGACTCATTAACAAACTACTCCCGTTCTCGGAACGTTGCGGTAAATATATTACACTATGTCTTCATTTGTGGTGCAGTGAGCAGGATCCCGTGAAGGGATCTTTTCATATATTTCAACTTTCACCGTGAATCCCATGTATCCCGCAAATTGGGCTAATGATCATCGCTAATACATATATTTTCCAGCGATGTATGACGTCACATGTTCTTCAATGTCCCAATCTTGGCAATCAAATCACCAGGATACAGACACTGAACGAATGTGTTCTGGTACACGATTGTTCTACTCATCGCGTGCTGCTCAGCTACAGACCTGGGAATCTACAATAAGAAACTAACAAAAAGCAACATCCATTAATCACATCTGATACCCGTCTAACTAGGAATTAGACCAATATCTGCAGAATGAAGAGATCTTTCGGATTGATGGTGTTAACTGTCAGACCCAAGTGTCTTATAGTTTGAGGTACCAACCAACCTAGATGCTTGATTAATCTGGCAATCTGTGAACCATTTACAATAGTAATTATTTTTCGGCGATTTGGGTTTAAAATCAATGAAACAAAAACCATCCTATAATCATGATACTTGCCACATGATCAAATTTTCTAAAGTTATTAAGAATTCTAATTTCGAGGGAAAAGTTCGAGGTAGTATAGAGCGAGGACCAAAGTTTGAAGGGGCGTCGGGGACTTATATGGGCTTTTGGAATATGGTGAGACACGTTAGTTTTATTCTGCAGATGACCATGGCCCGCAATGGTAATTCAGCTTGTACGAGAAGAGGTGCTGATTTGGAGGTTAGGAGAATATGATGGATTTATCGATTCCAGAAGAGGCTGTTCATCACGCTCCTAAGATGGACTATTTGTTGAATCTTATTCTTGAGGATGAGGAAGAGAGAGAGAAAGATCGAAGTAGGAGAAGAGTAGGCAGGAGGACGATGATAGGAAAGAAGAGATGGGAAAGAGGTGATGGGAAAGAGGTGATGGGAAAAAAGTTTACTCGCAGATGCATCACCCAGGACGGGAATGAGCAAGGGAAATTCATATCGACAAGAAAAATCGACCATGCCACTATCCTCCTCTCGGAGATTGGCTATACAAGGACTATAGAAATTAGAAAGAAAGTCTATGAAGATCATCCTAGTTCCAATCACATAGCACTTGACGAATATCGAAAAAAATCCTCGTCATTGAATATGGATCATAACCTACGAACAAATTGACTAGCTGGGGAATTTTAGAGCCAAAAGGTAATAATATCATTCAATGCCTCCGAGTGAGCCTCAACCCAATATTCCGGAATAGAGCTGTGCTTCTGAGATATTCATAGGCACGCAACCCAAAATTCCGAGTATTTTCATGCTCTCTAACTCCAACAACAAAAACCAAAGAGATGAACTCAAAAGCCAAAAGTAAATAATATCAATCCCCCCTCTACATTCCAGAATTACAATCACTAAACCAGTCCCATAGATACAATAATGGAAGGATCACCCACTCGAAATTTACATACTTCGCCTTCCTGACAAGTTTCAAACTCGAAAAAAAGACCCGATCTAATCAGCTCCCGAGCCCAATTTCTTCTCCAATGTTGAGCGAAGTACCAAGAATACAAACTCGCTTGCGAGTCCGTACTTATTGATAATATCAATGCGAAGATCTAAGAAATGAGCGAGATTTCTCTATGCTAAGATTCTATGATTTTTGTTAAGCAAACTTGAATATAACCGTAGGTTGATGACTGCGAAGTCTAGGATGAGCAATGTCATTGATGAGATCAAGGCGAAGATCCAAGATATAGGTGGGAGAGAGAGAATGGAATATTATTACTATCATAATCAGTACAAGTACAACTTTAAAAATCCAAAACTTAAACCCGCTCATCTTTCCTTTTCCACATTAACTCCCCTCCCAGAAAAGAAATCAATTATCTTTCCCCCTTCCCCTAGAACATCTTACAGCGTACTGTAATAGCATTATCTAACAAAAACTTTCTTTCCACTTCACAGAAATAAAAAAGTCAGAAAAGAAATCGTTATTGTTTTAAAAAGATTATAAAACTATAAAGATTATATTATAGATTTTTGAGGTCTTTTATTTATTTATAAAATTTTTATAAAAAAGATATAAATCTCTTTTATAAAATTATAAACTATAACTTAAGGAAATTTATATTAATTATCATCTCAACAATTCAAAAATAATGATATTTCAAAGATCGATCTTAAAAAAAAATTAAAATAAAACAAAATTTATATGAAAAAGAAATCAGATCTTTAAATGTTTTTTTTTTTAGATGTGTAGAGTGTCACGAATCTTGTATAAAGGACGATCACGTGATTCCAATTGATCGACAATTCCTATCGGTGAGCTGATAGTCTGTGTACATCTTTCCAAATTCACCCTTTTTAGTATGGCATTATGGTCACCTTAAGGAAGAAAGCGCACAACCATGCAGCCATTGTATAGGTATTTTGTATATATATATGGATGCTCCCTACGAGCCATAGTTCTTCAGTTGTAGATTCTAAGGAATATAATTGACCCTGTTTATTCAGCTCTTATGAGGCTCTTGTACGTCACATAGAGGATTATTATTTAAAAAGTTAAATAATATATAACAAAGAAACCAAAAAAATATATTTATATTTTTATATCTATTTTTATATCCATTTTTTAACAATAAAAAAAAATAAGACTAAAAAGTAAAAAAAAAATAACTAATAAATAGAAAATAAAAATATATTGTAATATAGGAATCTCAAAATCACACTTATATCCCTAACACCATTCTACAAATACAAGATAGCACACCCAAACCTAACCCGCCCAACCTCCCTAACCCCAACAACCCGATTGTATTACTCCCATCTTTAAGTTCATTACCATTATATCATAGCACATCTTTTCCATATTCCCATATTCCCATAATCCCATAATCCCATATTCTCATTCTCTCCATTTCCATCACACCCACTTACTAGCCTCTTACACCACAATCTAAGGCGTACTAACATAGCTCATCTGTCTCTGCAACTCCTCCCCCATAACCTCTCTCTCCACCCCCGTCTTCATCCTCGCACTCTCCTCATCCTCACCCCCAAAAGCAAATCTACTCCCCCTCCTAATCCTCGCACCCCAAGTCCAAAACACAAAAGGAATAGCACAGCACGCGAGAGCAATAAAACCCAAAACCGAACTCGCCCACTGATATCCCAATCTCGCATACATTTGTTCAGTAAAAAGCACGACCGCAGCACCCCAGAACGATCTAAGGAAAGTTTTAGCCGCAAGTGCTGATGCTGCTTGATGTTGGTATGAATCGACGAGGTAATTATTTGCCGCGTTGTAGAGGAAGATAAATCCGAAGCCTATTGGAAATCCACCGATTGCGGGACCGATCCAGTGGAGATGCGGGTAGGAGGTCCAGGCGAAGATGAAGAGACCGATGGGAATGAACCAGCAGGAACACATCATGGGGATGAGACGGACTTCTGCGGGGGGATTACCGTTGTATTTGTGTACTTGGCTCATGTAGTGGCGGTTTACGATTGGTGCGCAGAGAGCGGATGCGATGACGCCGAGAGCGAGGGGGATGAACATGAGACCTGTTGTTCCGGCGGAGTAACCCTTTCCTTCTTGATAGATGATGGGGAAGGCGATGAAGAACATGTAGAGGAGACCGTAGAGGACGCTCATGTAAAGGGAAATAAGGAAGACGATGAGTTCGCCGAAAAGGAGTTGCAGAGGACGGATGAGGAAGACTCGAAGGCGTTCGACAAATGGTCGTAGGTCGAGATCTTGTTCTGTGACGTGTTCTGGGCTGCCTGTTTCTTCACGCATTTTCTTAGCGCGACGAGCGAGAATTGTAGGCGCGTATGTTTCTGGGACGGTGAAGGTTATGAGGATCCAGACGATGAAAGCCAAGATGATTTGAATGTAATACAACCAGCGCCATCCAGCTGCATCGGAGAGGAAACCACCGATTAGAGGACCGATAGCGGGTCCAATGAAGGGGGCAGCGGAGAAGGCGGCCATTGGGACACCACGTTCTTCGTTACGCCAAAGATCGGCGAGGGTACCACCCACGAGGGTCATTGGAGCCGAAAACCAGATACCATCCAGAGCACGACAGATAATGAGTGTTTCGATGTTTTGAGCGAGGGCGCATGGAATGATGAAGATTACAGCTAAAAATAAAGTAGTTCCATAGATCAAGCGGCGTCCAAGAACTTCAGAAAGGGGAGCGAACATCATTGGACCTTTTTTTTTGTTAGCTTATGTTTACCATCTCAAGATAGATATCCATGAATGTTAATAAACATACCAATACCAAAGCCTACTACAAAAACCGTAATAGTAAGAAGTGCAACCTCCTCCGAAACATTAAATTGCTTCTCTACTCCAATAAGATCCGCGGTAATAATCGACGAAGCAAGTGCAACCACGAAACAAGTCAGCGCAACAACCATGGTACAATACCATTTAAAAGCCTTTGACCAATTTTTCGGGTTCTCTGGATCGTTAGGGTAAAAGGTGACGAGTTTGTAATCTATTTTTCCATCTCCTTTTCCTGCTGGGATTTCTCCGGCAGGTTTCTCTTCAGTGTATTCCGCGAGGTTGGCATTAGGACTCAGGGTTCGATAAGGAAGATTAATGTCGAGTTCTGGATCTCGAGTTTCTTTTGTTGAGAGACGTGTTAAAGTGTTATGGAGGGTGTTACTTCCACGGCGAGAATGTGTTGATTTGTTGGTAGGGATGCGGGTGACGGGTGTTTGAGTATCTTTTGTGTTGATGTTGAGGATAGATTCATATAAGATATCCTTTGGATTCGAGTGATTACTCTCTGTGTCTGACATTTCGATGGAGGTGAGTATTGACCATGCAATAGAATGTGATATATAGATGACTTGCACAAGAAGAGGTAGAGCGAAGTAGAAACCACAAAGCAATATGGAAAGATATGAAACAAAATACAAGAAACAAAGCGAAATACATCAAAAAGGTACCTGACCCTTTTATACATTTCCTTACAATATCCATTCCTTCCCTCTAATCTGAAGTCTTACTCAAGACCCGACAACCAAGTCTCCACTATCCAAATCTCAACTCGTTTTTTTCTCGCCCAGACCACTAACCACAGTTATAAATCCACTTCCAGCTCATCAACCTTGTCTTTCATCCCGAATATAGATGTAAAAACGTTTCAAAAATCCCTATCATTGAAATCAAAGCGGTATCAAAAACCTTATTCTTACCGCTCTCACATCCGCTCACCCGCTCGTTGGCATTCAAATATAAGCCTAATTCTACCGTGATGTGATTGATGTGATACCCTCACGTCTTAACCCCTTCGCTTGATGTGATTTTGGAGTTATCTGCGTGGGGAGAATTAATCGAAGGGACAGTACCATCCTTCCATCTCATACTATCTCATCCGAGATACCATTCCCTTGGAATGAAAATGAAATCCCCAAGATACGGTATCAAATCAGCCTTCTCTCCTCTCTCCTAACATCCATAAATCGCACGCTCTCAACATCATACCACTCCCATACCATCCCATTCATCACCCATCCATGGCGCGAGATTCCAGACCCTCTACACGCCACCCTCAGCAAACCCAACCCTAAACCAGCCGATCCTTTACAAAACTTTTAACCCAGTGGATCATCTTACCATGCTTTCGGCAGCTTGGCATTCATAAAACTCGGCTTATCTTCATGCAAAATTTTCTCTCGTTGTTATTGTTGTTGTTGGCTTGTAAGATGAAGTCGCAAAAAGGTTGTTCATGGCCGAGGTTATGGTGATGGCTCGAGTGTGAAATTTGCCGATGTCGGTTACAGGGATGGACGGTTTGGAAAAGGGTGGATTGTTCGTAGGGCTGAATTAAGTGTGAGGTGGGTGGTTGTGTGTGGTTTGCATTAAGATGGGTAAGGTCTAGGAAGAAAAGTAAACTAAACTCAATCAAGAGCATATTAAGTAGGTAAAGGACCAAAAGCGTGGTTTCTGGAAAGCTTCGCTGATCTTTAATATACTGGAATTGTGGTTTGAATTTGGAGCACCTGCTAGCTATCTGGTTTATACCCCGTCACCCAAAGTCGACAGATATATATATTCTAGCTCATCTCATTCTTCCGAGGCTTGTGCCCCCTAATTGTTGGCAAAGCTAGTCATGTCTTTCCAAGGAGCCCTTTCCAAAAATGTGAGCGTTTTCGCCGCATTCAAATCTCTTCTATAAGTTTACATTTTCCTTTGACAACCTATCCACAAAACTTGTAAAGCAGTAAACCTGTCTTAAAGCCCGCATTTTCAACATTATTTACATGAACTTTTATGCCCTCCTTTGATACATGCTAATGACAAACCGTCTTACGACATTAGATCCCTCATATCAGTGATGCTACATCTAACCTCCTTATCTTCTCAAAGTATGGCCGTAGCATCCAAAACGGGAATATCCATACTCAAAAACGAATCCCAATCGAATCCCGAAAAATCCATCGAACCAATGTTCGGCATTCCCTGCACCATATTGTTCATATTTCCATTCGCATTTCCCATCCCCATCGGTGATGGAACCATTTGTTTACCAATCATACCCGGGATTGGCAATTGACCAGTCGGAATCGGTTCGATCCTGGTTTTCAGACCATGAGACAGTATATTAATCTCCTCCTGTTTTCTCTTTCGAGACAACTCCACCAATGTCCTAGCTGTTGCTGCTGACTCTGTAAGTGAGCGAGTTGTGAAACAGCGAGATACTGCATCTAAAGTTTCGAGCGCTTCGCCGATATGTGATAGTGAGTCCGGTGTATCCATGGTGAGGAGGACGCAGACAAATTGGAAAGGAATATTGGCGATGTGCCACCACGGTTGACGACGCTCTACCATTCTCATGACGGCTCTTAAACCTTTTGTGCAGATGGATATTACCTGATCAACAGTTTGAGGTGATATACTTGGAGCTAAAAGACGTAGACGACGATATAACCCTAAGCATAGATTCGTCTGTGAGAGCATAGCCCCGTCTGATCGAGCATGAAAAGCATATGTCGCTGCGATTCCTGCTTCAAATTCTATCGCCGTATGGGTGACATCCTGATCGAGACGTTCCGATATTTGAAATAACGTAAGATAATCGATTGTAAGATCTATTTCGCCTTCGGGTGAGGGAAAAGGTGGCGTAGGCAGCTTCACAGTAACTTTTGACCGGCCATAATCATTTGCGACCCATGAATTCATCAAAAGAGCAATCCAAAATAGTCTTTGCATATTCAAAACCCCGCAACCAATTCCGCGTTCGACTTCTGCATCGCTACTACTGTAATCCGAGTCATCTTCCATTCCAACACTTTCAATAATGTGCATTGTCGTACAGCTGGAAAGCCATGCAGCATGCGGACAAGCTGTGCATCTCAGATAGAGCGTTCTTAACACCCATGCCACCACATGATGTCGAGAAGGATAGTTCAACACACTTGTTGTTTCTAAAGCCATCTTTGCCAACTCTACCAGCGTTGCCTCCGCCGGACTTGGACTGCCGCCCGAGAACAAAGATCCCAATGCTGCAACACCACACAATATGGGATCATGTGGATCAGAGCTATTGAAGTTTATCCCCCACCTCTCCACTATCTTTTGATCAAATAAATCTCTTTTGAAGACACCAAAGATTTGATGTGTGGTATCAAAGTAGTGGTTGGAAAGTCTTTGCATCTCAGCTTGATCAATAATCCTGGTGATAGCTGGTTGCGCATATGATTGTTCATCCTTGAGTCCTAAGTTCCAAGCCAGATGAGGTTTACTCAACTTCCCGGCATCCAATTTCAAAGCCAAAGAAGTCGCAAATGCCTTTCCCCAAAGATTTGTATCTTTTGAACCACCAGGTTGTGGTACATGAGAACTTTCACTGTTTGCTCTCTCCCTTTCCTCTCGGTGATGAGCAGTCGTATCAGGTGAGCTCTGACTTGGAGAGACGTCGGTGTCGTGATCCTTCAAAGTATGTCTTCTTCGTTTCCTAGGGCCAAGCTCGTAATGACATTCGTAACCATAACGGATACATGTAGCGCAAGGCTCAGAACCATCACAACGCTTCTTTCTTGATTTACAAGGTTGGCATGCACGTTTGACCCGTTGCCGGCCAGGTCGGATATCAGGTCGGATGCCAGGGCTGTCTTGGTTGGACAGGTTGGGATCGATTTGCTGATCTCCTCCTCTATCCGTCACAAAAGGTTGCGGCTGCACCTGTTGGTTTGATTCGGTCGGTTGTTTAAATAATTGATTATCCATCTTCTTTTCTTCACATCAATATGTGGTGGGAGAGATCAATCAATGATTTTGTCCAAACGTTTTCATGAAGTTTTGCGCCTCCGGAGAAGAATTATGGTTCAGCCGAAGTTTCATGTAATCTTTTGTTGTTAGCCCCTGTTAGGTAAATAGTACAAACCGCTCACCCAAATCTTTTAAATGCAATGCTTATAAAGAAAGTCTTCAGCTGGTTCTGGGAGTAGTGGATTGATGAAGTGCCCACACTCTGAGAATGTTTATTAATTGTATCAATTGATGAATTCGACATCCTCGGCAATTCGCCCCTAAAGTACACTGGTTCTGCTATTGCTGGGATCTTCAGCAACCACCAATGCACATGAGCAAGGCACATCAGATCTCTCGGATATGGCGGATTGATTCGTTCCCTACTCCACTGTAACCTTATCTGTTTTTAGCACAAAACCTTGATAAGAAGAAGAAGATTGGGCGGACTAGGGAAGCTTTCAATCAACGTCGTCTCTTTCTTTAGAGTGCCAATAATACGTACTGATCAAGTTATTGGGGAAGAGCTACTTACGGCTCAACACCTATCAATATCTGCATCGTCTGAAAAAGATACACTACCATAGAGGGATCATGTAGATCCTCTACTTTATGAAATGCACTGAAGTACTGAAAAGTTGCTAAGAAGCTTCAGTCGAATTGACACCAAAGAGGTCATTGAGGGCATCTGCAGAAATTATGCAGAAACAATTGGAACGCACCTGAATAAATCCTGTCTCGAGTCTTCCTAATGGTCAATCGAGGGAACAGCAACCTCAGTGGTAAAATCTTAACTTCATCACAGTTTCGACCACCCAATATTTCGCCGGACACATTCAACAGCGAAATCATATATGGATACAGCTAGAGGTAACTATACCATATCACATCACACCACATCATCTCCAAGCACGCACATCGAATTCCCAAGTGTGAGCCATCCCTAACAAAAGTTAACTTTGTCATATTCCTTAATCAAGCAATTAACCATCAGATTTTAATTCCATTTGATACGACAGCTACTATTACATTCGATGTTACAATATCAACAAACCCGCCAAATTCCCTATCGCCACTTACTTTCCAATCTTCTCTCATCCACCCGGCCAATTTCCTTCCTATTCTTCTGCTCTATCTACCAGCACACGATTACTTCGTACTATACTATCCTTCTTATCCACCGCTGTCTTTAAAATATATAAATAGAGCGTTGCGCGCGACGGCGTTATTGAATGGATACGACGGGGGCGTGAAAGGCGGTGGAGGGGCGGGAGTTTGATGAAATAGGTGGACTGACTGATCATGATACACAAAGTCACAATAACATCAACACGAAACCAAAAGAACGAGGAATAAAGAGATGAATCCATTCAAGGAGAAGGGAAAAGGAAATATAAATATTAGATATGAGATATGAGATATCAACACTAAACATTTCACCCATAGAACTAAAGAGATAAATTGGATATTATATCACGGTACTGCATAGAAGAAAAGTCTTGTTCTAGGATAATTAGAATAGGATTGGATAGGATAGGATAGGATAGGATAGGATAGGATAGGATAGGATAGGATAGGATAGGATAGGATAGGATAGGATAGGATAGGATAGAATAGGATAGAATAGGATTATTATATATGAGTTAAAATTGAAGTTGGAATAGAGATTAGAGATTTTATATATATTTATATTTATATTTATATATACATAACTTTACCTATGAATTTACATTTCAAGAGATCAATAACATTATTGACAAGTTTTTCATTGGGGATATTATCTGATTTGTTGTCACCTAGATGCAAACACAAGTATAATTATACGCGCATACATACACATAAGAATACCATGGAGCGAACGTATAATTAATTTCTCAGACCAGTCATATTACATACTATGCTATGCTATGTATGGTAGGTATCTAAGCAGGAACTGCATCTCCATCCGTGTCTTGCATCTCATACCGCAACGCATGATTTGATGTGATGCATTCAACTCGAAGAAAATCAAGCAAGAAAAGCAAGCAAGAAAATTAGAGAGCACGCATGTGGTCCGTAAAGAAAATTGCAACCTGTCATAAACGACGCTTTGCTCACTATAAAGATCAAACGCACCTTTGGTCTAGACTTCCTTACTTTGGTGGACTGAAGCCCTGATTTACGCTCTTTGGTTTCCTCATGCTCTGTTTATTTCAATTAGGCAAAAGATCCTGTAAGAGTGTTTTGACTTTTGCTGCAGGAATCGTCTCAGAATTCCTCTGTTTTGTGTAGTCCACTTCAAGTTTCGATGAATTATTCAGTTCTCATAGGTAACCCTCGACATTGCCATATGGCTTCCAAGTTATTCTGGTTCATTTCTGTTGCCTTCGTTCATCCCGGGAGATCGATATCCGGAAACCTTCCATCACAATGATTCTTCATTTCCTAAGATCAACGCTCGATCCACGCTCGCCCCGTATTGTATCCAGATAATCTCCTCTTGAAGAGTCCATACTTGGTCTTACAGAAGCACTAGAGCTCCTTCTTCTTCTCGCTCGGGATTCATTTGGATCCATGGGATTAAGACCTGTTGTGCGAGCGAAGAGGTTTAGAATATCTGATAGTGTGATAACGCCTGTCAAACGACCTGAGATACGCGCACCGGGTAAAGCTGCGGCGGATACAGCAGGAAATGATGGTGAAGGTGGTACAGAACCACTGCTGCTTGGTTGTTGGACGACGGAAGCGTATCCAAGGGAAGGTGTTGCTGGTGCTGATGGAGATGGAGATGCAGACTCGACAACCCACATACGATGGGATCTGGTGGCGACGAGTTTTGCTACTGTATGAGCGAGGGTTGAATATGGATTGACGTGAAAGACCGGGAAGGAATCTTTTCCATCACCAATTCCTCGTTCACTCAGTATTACAGAGATGAAGTGTATGCAGGAGGATTGAAGGAGAGGTAGACTACTTGTGTGTGTAAGGAGTTTAGTATCAGCTGTTGAAATATTGCCAACAACATTTGCAGCGTTGTCAACTACTGCAATACTTGTTAATCCTTCGTTACTCATGAGCTGAAGAGCTTCCGTGAGAGGTTTGTCGCCACTATTCCCTTGTTAGCATAAGTCATTTGGTGAGGACACCGAAAACCCACTTGATTGCAATAGCTTGCTGTGCTCCAATATTCAAATCTCGTAGTATACTTGGATATAACTGATCAATAGCTGGAAAACTGCTACCATTATCCCACAAGAATTTGACCAGTTTCAACTGACTCAAAATTCCCACGACTGTTGTAGTTCCCGGTTTGCAAACAAGAATGCGATGAACACCACTACCAAATATTTCCACGGCCTTAGAAAGGTCTTCTGACTCTGAAAGTGTTGTAAGAGGTTCCTTCTTCGCAAGTGTGATTACATCTCGAAGTGGGATAGGTACGTGCTCCCGAGCTTTGCTTGCTAATTGAGAATATGTTTCTTTTTGCTCTTCATCGGGATTTGCTAGTCCGAGGACAACCAGTAGATATGCATTAAGGTCATTGTAATCGAAGCTGTCGCAAGCAGCCACATCATATGCAGTTTCGCGGATGAGGATAACATTTGGTGGACCGGATTCTATGAGCGCCTATAAAAAAGATTAGAGCTCGATTTATAAAATGTGAAGATATACATGCGAACCTTTGTCGCATGTTCGACATCTGTGTCGAGTTCACACCAATGAATATCAGTTTCCTGCACAAGTTCTCCAACATGTATTTGTCTCCAATCCCTTCCTGCAAATCTTGGATCTCCAGTTTTGGGAACTGGAGGATGGTTGAGGAGCTCCTGAACAGCAGATTGTGTGAATGATGGATGTCTTTGAGCTCTTGGTGAGTGTCGCAGATTTTCCGCAAAGCTAGAACGATGATTGATAGTCGCAGGATTGTTATTGCTGGGAGAAGAGGTACTTTGCCTCGACGGGGAATCAAAAACTGTACGATCTGCCATGGCAGAGACGAAGGAAATGTATTGTATCGCTGTGCTATGTATTGAACTTTGTATTCCTTATGATTTCAATTTTACGGGTTTGATTATGTTGTTGTAGGGTAGATGGAATTTGATGATCATGAAGAGCATGGATTGAGGGGTAATAGCGGCACGCTAAAATTGTCCCTCACGGCTTAAAAGTTTGGGGTAAATTTGGTAGTGCATGCATGACTTTCGATGAATATGATTTTTATTTTGTTATAAGTGATATTTTATGGGATATTATTTAATAATATTTTATGGGATATTATTTAGGGACATTTTGACTGCAGGTGTATATAGGTAGGCAAGTGCCTAGGTAAGTAGGCATGATTAAAGGATAGGATCTTATAAAGAAGCTGTCAGGGAGGAAACTAAAAGGCATTTGTGATGAATGACCATGTTATGTCATATAGGCGTGTCCATCAGATCCTCATCAGCAAGGGATTCTCAAAGGAGGGGCAAGTTGGAAGATCACGCATATATATATATATATATCATATCTCATTCCAAGCAAAGTAATTGATGTCGCTTCTGATTTACGCCGAAATCATCAAAGAAATAAATCCACGATAAGAATAATATCGAAAGAATTTCAAAGGGAGAACCCACATTAAATGGCTGGGTGAGAATTACTGCCATGTGATATATTAAATATAATATATAACTCATAGTATAACAGACCCGACCATCATTTTATATACATATATCTGATTGAGAGAAGGGATTGAGAGAAGGAGTTCATATCTGGCACGGACATGATTTATCCGTTTGATGTTTAACAGATGTCTACGAAGTATTAAGATCTTACTTACGGAGCTAAATAGCAAGCCTACCTACTCCGTACATACCTAATAAACCTTTAAAATGAGAACCCGAATTTTAGCGCGACACAGACATCATTCACTTTAACCTGCTAGGTATGGAACCAGGCATTTCCCATTTAGTTCTCAAAAAAAAATTGGAGGGAAATCTAAAATCTGAACCCCCACTACAACACAACTTCGTCGAGCTTCGGCATTTTAAATAAAGAAAACTTCCATTCCTTCCCTTTTAATCGGTCCCCTTTCGAATTTACGATTTCTTACAATAATATCATCTACCTTCGAGCTTGTAAGAATTAAGGCGCATCGAATGCGCCTCGCGCCCAGCTTCGTCACAACTTCCTAATATCCAACGCTCCGAATCCTCGTATTCATCGAAGCCCTTCGAGTCTTCCACCTACATTCCACCACCATGTCTGTTCTCCCAGCAGATGCACATGCAGAGCTTGCACAGCTATTGTCTGCTTTGCAATCTACAGACAACAATGTTCGTTCACAAGCTGAGGAGCACTTGGGCAACAACTGGGTAGCCACCAAACCTGAAATGTTGTTGATGGGCTTGGTTGAGCAAATACACGGTTCCAATGATATATCTGTAAGATATACCACTACTTCTTAGGATTCCAGGTACAGGATTATGTCACTAATTTCAGGTTCTTTCTAGACCCGGTCATTTGCTGCCGTTATATTCCGTCGTATAGCTTCCAAGTCGCGCAAGGCAGATGATAACAACTCAATCGAATTATTCCTGACTATCCCGAAGCAAGAAGCATATGCTATTCGACAAAAGCTCATAGATGCATTAGGCCTCGAAAAGTCGAGTCCGGTGAGAAACAAAATTGGAGACGCGGTTGCCGAAATAGCTAGAGAATATTCCGATAATGGTATGATCTTTGGGCGCATGATACAAGTTCTAAATGCCTCTCTAACATTCCACAGGTGAACAATGGCCAGAGATATTGGGCGTTCTCTCTACTCTAAGCTCTTCACAGGAACCCGGACAGAGAGAGATCGCATACAGAATATTTTCTACAACCCCTGGCATAATTGAAAAGCAACATGAAGATACAGTACTATCAGCTTTCAAAAATGGCTTTCAAGATGGGGAAACAGAAGTAGGTTCTCTTAATTGTTGGATACTAGGGCAACGACTTACCATATAACAAGGTCCGCTTGGCAGCCATGGAAGCATTCACATCCTTTTTCTCTAGTCTCACTAAAAAGTCGCAACAAAAATATTATGGCCTTATCCCAGAAGTTCTGTCGATCCTACCACCCTTGAAGGAAGCCTTGGACTCGGACAGCCTCAGCACAGCACTTATTCAACTCATGAATCTTGCAGAAGTCGCGCCAAAGATGTTCAAACCATTATTTCACAATCTAGTCACATTCTGCATTCAAACGATCCAGGACAAGGAGTTGAGCGATATAGTTCGCCAAAATGCCCTCGAACTCATGGCAACCTTCGCGGATTATGCTCCAGCTATGGTGAAAAAGGATTCAAGCTTTGTAACAGACATGATCACTCAATGTTTGAGTCTCATGACTGATATTGGTGAGGATGACGAGGACGCTTCGGAGTGGAATGCTTCTGATGATGTATGATTATCCCCACTCACTTGCAAAACGGCGTACTGACTTGAATAGATGGATCCGGAGGAGAGCGATTTGAACCATGTTGCTGGTGAGCAATGCATGGACCGCTTAGCAAACAAGCTCGGTGGGACAGTCATCTTGGCACCTACATTTAATTGGCTTCCAAGAATGATGCTCTCCGAGGCATGGAGAGATAGGCACGCCGCATTAATGGCCATTTCTGCGATTTCAGAAGGCTGCAGGGACTTGATGCTTGGGGAACTGCACAAGGTTCTGGAGCTTGTTGTTCCTGCCCTGAGCGATCCACATCCACGTGTGCGTTGGGCTGGTTGCAATGCTCTGGGCCAAATGAGTACCGATTTTGCCGGGACTATGCAGGAGAAGTTTCACGAAACTGTAGTACGCAGCATCATCCCAGTCCTCAAGAGCCCGGAGCCTCGTGTCCAAGCTCACGCGGCTGCTGCTCTTGTCAACTTTTGTGAAGAAGCAGAAAAGAAAATCCTTGAGCCATATCTTGATGAATTATTGACTAACTTGTTCGCTCTCCTTCAAAGCCCAAAGAGATATGTTCAAGAACAAGCTCTCTCTACTATCGCCACTATCGCCGACTCTGCAGAGGCTGCCTTTTCCAAATACTACGACACCTTAATGCCCATACTTTTTAATGTGTTAAAGGCGGATTCGACTAAGGAGCTTCGCTTGTTACGGGCAAAGGCAATGGAATGTGCTACTCTTATTGCATTGGCGGTCGGACGAGAGAGACTGGGCAATGACGCAACAGAGTTGGTCAAGTTATTGGCCACAGTTCAACGAGGTATTGTGGATGCAGATGATCCACAAGCTCAATATCTTATGCACTGCTGGGGACGTATGTGTAGGGTTATGGGTATAGAGTTTCTTGGATATCTGGAATATGTCATGCCTCCTCTGTTAGAGTTGGCCAGTGCTAAAGCAGATATTCAACTTCTTGATGATGAAGAAGAGGTTGAGGCCGTTCAGGCACAAGAGGGCTGGGAGCTTGTTCCACTCAAGGGTAAAGTTATTGGCATCAAAACTAGCACTCTTGATGACAAGCATATGGCAATTGAACTTTTGGTGGTCTACGCTCAGGTTTTGGAAGCTCATTTCGCCCCTTACGTAGAGGGTGTCATGGGGCAAATTGCTTTACCAGGTCTCGCATTCTTCTTCCATGATCCCGTTCGTGTTGTATCAGCGAAGTGTGTGCCCCAACTACTCAATTCTTACAAGAAGGCTTACGGTACCGAGTCTGCCGAGCTGAGAATTCTTTGGGCTGCTACAATTCCCAAGATTTTGGAGGTTCTGAGTGCCGAACCAGCTATTGATACACTCGCCGAGATGTATCAATGTTTCTACGAATCGGTGGAGGTGATGGGTAAGGATTGCCTTCACCCGTCGCATATGGAGCTCTTCATGGATTCTGCTATTTCTGCTTTGGATGATTACAAAGAACGTGTCAAGGCTAGAATAGAGGAACGGGCTGATGCCAATCGCGAAGAAGGTGATGAAGACTCGGAGGAAACGCTCTACGCAATTGAGGACGATCAGACTCTCCTTTCCGACATGAACAAAGCATTCCATTGCATTTTCAAGAACCATGGTGTCGATTTCCTGCCCTCGTGGGAGAAACTCCTTACAACTTATTCGGCTTTCCTTTCAAGCGACGATCCCACACAAAGACAATGGGGTTTGTGTATCATTGACGACGTTCTCGAGTTCTGCGGTGATATGAGTTACAAATATATGGAACCTCTCATCAGGAACCCGTTGATTGCTGGATGTCAAGATCCTGCACCTGCCAATCGTCAAGCCGCTACCTATGGAATTGGTGTCGCAGCCCACAGGGGTGGTGCACAATGGACTCAATTTGTCGGCGAAGCAATTGGGATGTTATTCGCGGCTACTCAAATTCCTAACGCCAGAGGCGATGATGACGTTTACGCTACAGAAAATGCTTGTGCTGCCATTGCTAAGATATTGCATTTCAACGCATCTGGTGTTGCAAATCAACAAGAAGTCGTCACAGTATGGATTGATACTCTACCCATTGTAAATGATGAAGAGGCAGCTCCATACGCTTATCTTTTCCTTGCGCAGCTCATCGAACAGTAAGTCTATCTATAGAACTTGAAATTGAAATGGTCTATCACTAACATCACTTTAGACAAAACCCAGCAGTTACTTCTCAGCCCGCCAAGGTATTTGTTTTCGTTGCTCAAGCTCTCGAGGCCGAAACACTACAGGGTCAAACAGCCAACAGAGTGGTTGAAGCTACCAAGAATCTCCTTGCGGCAGCAAACTTAAATCCCACACATCTTCTGGCGCAACTTTCCCCTGAAACTCAAGCAACGGTTCAAGCATACTTTGGTTGATCTTCTCCTCGGCTTGAGGTTGATGTTCGACTTATATGGGTGGTTGAAGATATGAAATAAAGTTTTGATGATAGAATGATACCACATGAGCACGTATATTTTCGGGGTTATCTTTGGGATGGTTGGGCTAGCGGGTGGTTCGGATTTGGCTAGTCATCAGCATCACTCGAAGAGTTTCATGAGTGGATGACATAGTAGTAACACAGGGAGCGACTGAAGCTAGCTCTTATTTTTCTGAGGAGGGAAGTAACAAAGGAAATGTCCAAACCATTCCGTGTTTAAATGGAAAGTAAAGTCTGGATGCAGATGGACAATGAGAGAGCTGAGAGAAGAAAGGATTTCTGATATGAGTGTGTTGATCCAAAAAGAGGATTAACGACGAATTATAAAGATAGTTTTCGAGGAACAAAAACTTATCAATACTTTATTAATGAACTCGTGATATATACCTAGTAGTGAAAAAAGGAACCGGGTCCCTACATACAGATGTGAACAATAGTGTGAGGCTGAAAAGCGGGTGGCTTGATTAGTTGGCTGGAACTTGGCTTGGCTGGTCGGCATGGCTGCATGCATTGCATACGGAGTTTGGTGACGCAATCCCGTGATTTAATTTGATGTGATGTGATGTGATGTGTGAGTGTGAGTGTGAGTGTGAGTGTGAGTGTGAGTGTGAGTGAGATTTCGTGATTTAAGGTAGATAATTAGATAGGTAAATCGGGGGAATAAAGATATTTAGATTATATTGGGGGGAAAAGATGTGGTTTGTATGTGCGACTATGTCGGAGTGACATGCTTATGTGCATATTAGGTACTTTGTGTGTATTGGTGGTACGTATTGTGGATGGGGATGTGGGGGAGTAACTGGTTACGGTATTAGAGATGGGAGATGGAGGTGTTAGGGGGTGGAAGTAGAGGTTAGAAAGAGGCAGAGGTAAAAGGTCTTTGTTTGGGACCACGTCAAGAAATTTTCGAGTCTCTTGGCAGTCTCGGAGGGGATTGTTGGGTTATGGTATGTGGTATGTGGTATGTGGTATGTGGTATGTGGTATATAGATTGTTTGAGGAGGTGTACTCTTTTATCAATTATAGGTATAGATATGGTTATTTAGCATGCTTTTGTATAGATATAGAAATAATGATATATTTACTTGTTTTATATAAATATGGAAGGAGTATTAAGCCTTGTCAAGCATCATTGTTAGGGAAAAGCAATGGTGGTTTAGATATTGGAGATTCTTGATGCGGAATACGGAAATATCTTCGGGAATTAAGTGCATCATCTGGTTAGATCTTGAGATTGGGATTATGTTTGTAGCGGTTTTGGTTTTGGCTTTGTGAGTGAGTGAGTGAGTGAGTGAGTGAGTGAGTGATGAATGAAATGAAATGAATGTACGCTTCGAGATAATTATATATTAACGATACTATTTCTAATATACTTACTCAATTAGGAATATGTGGTTTACGAAATAACCTTTTGTTAATATAATTTTGAAGATCATTTAAGTGTAATGAGTGGATACCAGTGCAATAATGTCCTGGTTAGGTAATCAATATTTTCAAGTTTCCCATTTCTCTGAGCTCTACTTTCTACTTGCATTACCACACAATTTTATATCAATACATTATTGATTTCACATTATTGATCGCTTTGACTTTCCACTGTCAAACAAACTTTACTTCTCTCACACACAACTTCGATAAGGATATTTTCTAATATTATACACTCTCAGTACATATCCAAGAAAAAGATAATTCTACTTGTAAAATTCAATCATCAACCCACAATTCTCGAGTTCAATATCCATAAATTCCCAAAGTACCGGTAACTTTCAATCCCGATCCACTCATCAACCCATTCTTTGCCTTGCCGTAAGGTCCCCCGCAGATTTTCGGAACGAAAGACAATTTCAATTGCACAAAGTACACAAGCTTCACGAAATACGATCAAGAATCTTCCGACGGAGAGACTGTCTTCGGAGAAGGTCTGGTGGATTTTGCGACTTGACGTTGCGACTTGATACATACTCTGCGACTATCCTACGCGACTATCCACTGCGACCTAGAAAAGGTTATGGCAAGCGACAAGGCGCATACTTGATTGTCAAGAAAATAGGCATACGATAAGTATATACGAGCTTTGAGTTTGCTCTTTAACAAGTCTTTGAGGAGTAGAGGGTTTGTGAGCTTGATTGAGTGAGGAGGAGATTTTACGAGGAGTCAACGGAGTGTTCAATACTCACAGAGAGTCCGATTTGCCTTCGAAATTCGAGTCTTATTCGCTTCACTCAACACAACCACGATAGTAAAAGTGCAGATGTCGCCATTATGAGCAATTTTTTTAATCCGCAGATGACCCAGGAGGACCTGCAGCGGCAGGTCGCTCAGAGGAGGGCGCATTCTAGGTCCTTGAGCATGACACAACCTCTTCAGCAACATCAGCAGCATCAACAGCAACATCATCAACAGCAGCAGCAGCAATCATCCGCCCAGATCAATGCCAATTCTATGAGCATGAATGACATGATGAGCGGTGGCGATAGCTTGGACGATATCATCATGCAGAATAATAACGAGTTACAACGGCGGCAGAGTTACTCACAGACCTTTGCGCCAGATCATGATCGCAGATCTTCCATGTTGGAATATGGTAATATGGATTCAAGTATGGACGGTTTTCAGTTCGGTACCCCGACATCAGGTCCCGAAAATCCAATGTTACGACGACAGTCGACGGGTGAATTGGATTTGAGTATGGTTTACCAGGGTATGGGAGCTGGAATGAACATGGCAATGCCACAATCACAGTATACGAACTCTGTGCAACCAAATATGATGGCCATGGATACAAATATGGGTTATCCGCCTTTCACTGGAGATATGATGCCTGGAATGATGAGTTACGCTTCCATAGGGATGGAGGGTATGTCTCAAGATTCGCCCATGGGCATGTACTCGAATCACAACTATTCCCCTACGGTATACGGAAACGATCCAATGGATTCTGTAACATCGGAGATGTTTATCAGGGGTCCAGATAATATGAGAATAAGAAACTTGGATGATGATAACAACGAGGCCATGGCATCGTCATCCGGTATCATGGTCCAATCACCAAACAATATTGGTATGCCTCAAAATGTTGATTACAACTCTCCGGCTACTTCAAATGCACCTCAAAATATCTTGTCTCGAACGTCAAGTACAGCTCTGATTCCTACGACCTTTTCATCTTTACCAACCTCCACAGACATCGTCCCTGCCTCCTCACCCAGGCAAGATGCTACGGGAATATATTCCAGCACTGGGTTCGATATGCTTGGAGCACTAATGAGAGTGGTATCGAGACCAAATAAAGTCATTAATATAGGTGCCGTCGATTTATCATGTGCATTTGTTGTCTGCGATTTAAGAGAACCGGATTGTCCCATAATATATGTCTCGGACGTTTTTGAGAATCTTACCGGATATTCAAGACATGAAGTACTGGGCAGAAATTGTCGATTCCTTCAATCACCAGAAGGAAAAATCCAAGCTGGTGAACGTAGGTTGGACACGGAAAATGATAAGGTCTATGAACTTAAGAAAGCCCTAGATACGAGAACGGAAACTCAACAGGCCATTATTAACTATCGAAAAGGAGGTCAACCATTTATGAATCTCTTAACGATGATTCCGATTCCTGCAAGTGATGACGATCCTACACTTTCTTTGGTTGTTGGATTTCAGGTTGATGTAGTCGCAAACCCAAATAGTGTCAATGAAAAAACTACCGCTGGGAACTACACAATGAATTACAAACAAGGCACATTACCAAGATATCAGTGGCATCCACCTCAGCCACATGCTCGTCTACCAGATGCCGGTCAAACGATTAGTCGTGATGATGTTAGCTCAGTATTAGCCTCATATGACAATGGTAGCGATCCAGAACTTACCAAGAGGATGTGGGAGAAGGTACTTTTGGAGAATAGTGATGATGTTATTCATGTCCTTTCTTTGAAAGGCCTATTCATGTACCTTTCACCATCATGTCGCCAGGTCTTGGAATACGATTCGTCTGAGTTAATAGGGACTGCACTCTCCTCAATTTGTCATCCTAGTGATATAGTACCTGTCACTCGAGAATTGAAAGAAACATCACAAGGGAGTCCTGTCAATGTGGTGTTCCGCGTTCGTCGAAAGAATAGTGGCTATACATGGTTTGAAAGTCATGGTTCTCTATGTGTAGAGCAAGGCAAAGGTCGAAAATGCATCATCATGGTTGGTAGAGAAAGACCGGTATATGCATTGGCTAGAAACGACTTAAATCGAAACGAAGGTCTTGGTGAGAATCAGTTATATTCTAAGTTGTCGACATCAGGCATGTTTCTATACGTCGCGTCGAACGTTAGATCTCTCTTAGATCGAACCCCGGATGATCTTGTCGGTACAAGTATTCAAGCATTGATGCGTACTGATTCTAAGATTGCATTCGGTCGATCACTAGAGAAAGCAAGAACGGGAAAGATAGTCAAATATCGGCATGAGATTTTCAATAAACGTGGTGTTGTTCTACAAGCTGAAACAACATTATACCCTGGGGATGCATCAGAAGGGCATAAACCTACATTCCTCATCGCCCAGACTCGGTTGGTTAAAAGTACCCCTCGAAATGCTGCTTCAACTCCTGGAACTAATGGCAGTACTCTCACTAGTGCGAACACAATGGTCATGAGTCCCGTGAATAAAACAGATATTCAAACTCCCGAAGGAACGTCAAGCAATAGCTTGACTCGTTCGCAACCTAGTCCATTTAACGAAGCTATGACACCAGGTGCTAGTAATACAATTGCACCTGTTACGCAACCAGGTGGATGTGGACTTCCAATTGGATCTCAAGATGAAGCATTAGCATCTGAGGATAATATATTTGAGGAACTAAAGACAACACGTTGTACAAGTTGGCAGTATGAACTTCGACAGATGGAGAAGAATAATCGAACACTTGGGGAAGAATTAGCCATGTTAATAAATGCAAGGAAGAAACGAAAGCGAAGAAAGTTACCTGGTAACGTTCAGCGAGATTGTGCTAATTGCCATACCAAAAGCACACCGGAATGGAGAAGGGGACCGAGCGGAAATCGAGATTTGTGTAATAGTTGTGGATTGAGATATGCGAAATCGGTAAGTCGCGATGGTTCTGAAACCGCACTTACGGCTGGTCAAGTTATTGATCATTCATCATCCTCTACATCTTGAAGTTGAGTTTGTTGAAAATCCCCGCTTCAATTCACGATTGTTCTATAGTTCTCATCGGAAAAAGATATTCGAAAGTTCTCAGTGGATAATTTCAGAAATCAATGGCGGGTCAAGGTGCCTTTTCGCTTATCCGCTCTTCGCCATGAGAAATACATTTAAGCACATGGCTGCTTTTCGCCCTTACTCACTCTACAATTGTTCTTTAGTTTGTATTCTTATCAATTTAATCATACGGCACACGGCACTAATTTCATATCTTTTAAACGTTCAGCAAGGTCGTATTTCTTCGCGCACTTCTAAACGTAGTAGAGATGATGCGTCGAGCAAAACCTCCAATTCTCCGATTCATTCGAGTCCATTACAGAATGAATTATCGCAAAAAACACAACCTTTGAATCCGAATCTGAATATCAATCCTGGAAATATGAAGGACGAGATGAATGATTCAAGGCCTCGAAAAGTATTGAAAAAATCGCATTCGGCTGATAGTGCGGAAAGTGTAGGGAGTATAGGTACTGGAAGTCAAGGAAGTGCAGGTGGTGGTGGTGGTGGTGGAAAGGAGATTATCGGACATGGAAATATAGGTGTGGGAGGAATTATTAATGGAGGAGTAATGGGAAGTGGTACGGCCGTTCCGGCATCTTTAGGTGGAAGAACAACGATGGAGAGTCAACCAGTTCATGCAAGAAGTTTGGGATTCAATGAGGGAGGTGTTAGTGGGATTACAAATATTGAGGAGGGTAGGGAAGGATCACGGACGAGTTCGACGAGTTCAATAAATTCCATGGTTAAAGGAGCTCTTCGAAATGAGCAAAACTCTGTTGAGAGAGGAGAAAGGGAGATAATGAATGAACAGATTGAACGATACGGTGATGATCTTTCTTTTTAGGATGGATAATCATTAGGTTTATTTTCTGCATAGCAAGTTTTGCTAGCGGGTTTTAGGTTGGCTGGATTGGGTTGTGTTGATTGACTTGACTTGGGGGTTTCATTGTGGTGCGGGCGTATATTGGTTGATAGGTTATGGGGTTGAGGATCTGGTGGCGTGGTGTTATGGGAAATATTTTGAACTGGGATGGGTAGGATGGCTGGAAACGATTGGAGTGGTTTTAGATTCTTTATACTATTGGCTTTTACGAGCATTTTCTGTTCTTTCTTGTGGGAGACAGATTTGAGGGAAGAGAGGAAAATAGGATGAAAAATTGGGATAGTGATAGGGATGAGAGGTGGGGTTTTTGATGGTGATGGTGATGACTATGATAGTGGCGGTTATAGTGGTTATAGTGGTGATGATGATTTGATGATGAGAAATAAGAAGTAGAATGATAATTAAGAATTCAAAAACTTGAGAAGTTGATGTCGAAACTTAAAGTAAGAGTTTGAAGTAAAAACCATCAGCGGGTGCACGAACTCGTAAGACTTGCTGCAAAAATTATATTTTATCAGGGCTGGGCATCTGTATTCTATCTGGGGTATTTGATCTTTACAAGATGATTACTCTACCTATAAAGGTTTTACAAAATGATTATCCGGAAATATTGATAGGTGTGTGTTACAAGGTAACAGTCAACCTGTCCACATGAGCTTAGGCCTCATCAAAAAGCAAAGCAATTTGTATACAAATTTGTATGGTAATCGTTTTATATGGTCTCCCTATCTTTAACGAGCTCGGATATATGATCTGATCGTAGTTATGTGATGGATTATAGGATCTAGGGATCTAGAGAATCGAATTCTAGATTCATTAGATCTAAATGATCTAATTGATACGAAGGTTTATATAGTTAGGAAAGGATTTCTTTGGTAGAATTTTGTATTCAAAATCAATCATTTAGTATACTCTATTATTAGTTACGAATTGCAATTATTGATATTATTTAAAACCTCTGTTTGACGTTTAGTTATAAACCCTTCGAGGATCCAGGCCACTTCCACATGATCTAGATCGTATCCCTTGTAATAATGTAAGGGTATTAAAAAGTAAATATTATATAATTATTTCATAACTATTATTTAAAGTTGAGATTATTCTTAGTTATATAAATGATTTATATGAATATTTTTAAATTATAAAGAATAATAATTTTTATATCATTTACTTATTTATTTATTTATTTATTTATTTATTTATTTTTTTATTTATTTATTTATTTATTTATTTATATCACTCACTTTAAGAATTTATTTTAAATATATAATTTTATTTTTTAAAAAAAAAAGATTTTAATTTACTTTATTTATTTATTTATTTATTTATTTATTTATTTATTTATTTATTTATAATAATTAATTATAAAATTATTTTAAAAGAGTATAAATGTTTTTTTATAAAAACTATCTTGTATATCAATATTTGTTATAAATAATTAAATAAATACTTATATATTTATTGAATTTTAATAAATAAAAATATTTTTATTAATTTGTTTTTTATATTTCTTTTAAATATAAATATAATTTATAAAAAAATTTAAAATATTATTATTATACTTTTTAAATTCTATTCAAAATTCATTCTATTTTAGTATTATTATTATTTAACTCTTTAGATTTTATTTTTTATAATCAATTTTTTAAAAAATATTGTCACGGACGCTACTAGGTTGTTGTCGTCATGAAAGTCTAATACATCTTATAGGTTATAATTCAGTTTATATAATCTCGGCGCCTTGCTGGTGAAACGCTGAGCTAATAGTTTAGGGGAACATTATATATATTTTTTATTGATGTTTATATATCGGATTGTATTCGATCTGAAATTATCTTTACTTTTGTTTATAAAAAAAATGATTTATTTAATTTAGAAAGAATAATAAAAAGCTTTAAAGTTGTTTTAAGACTAGTTGATTCTTTACTATATATAACTCTAATAGATATTATATTATATTTCAATTAAATATAAAACGAAAAATAAAATAATTAAAATTAATTCTTTTTTAGAATTTTTAGAATTTTTAAGATTTTTTTTTAACTTTTAATAATAAATTCTATATAAAAATCTAGATTTTAAAGAATATAATTATAAATATTTTATATATTCAATAATATTAATTAATTAAAAATATTTAAAAAAATTTATATTAATAAAGTACTAAATTAAATTTATAGTTTTTAGAATTAAAAAAATATCAAATAATATTAATTTGTAACAATATTTTATATTATTTATATTTAATAATGTTAATTAATTAAAAATATTTTAAAAAAATTTATATTAATAAAGTATTAAATTAAATTTATAATTTTTAAAATTAAAAAAAATTATCAAATAATATTAATTTATAACAATATTTTATATTATTTATATTCAATCTGAAATAAATATATTTTTTTAATATTATATATTAAAGTTTTATTTTCTTATATCTTTTATTATCACTTATCAATAGTTAGAATTATAATTAGAATATTAGATAGAGATGGATATAGATATAATTCTATGATCGAGATCATTAGATGAGATGTAGAGTGGGGTGGAGTATTAAATAATAGATTTCATTATAGTATAATGTAATACAATAGAACACAACATACCCTTCTCACTTGTCTTTGATTTAAGAATTGGTATTAAAAATAATAAAATGAGATATTACTTTCACATCTTGTGATCATTCCATATCTATATCTATATTCATTATTCTTTCATGCTCCCATCCATCATTCATCCTCCATCCACTCAAACACTACCTTAACCACCCCTCTTCTCTCTCTCAACCTCTTTACATCCCTCTCCCTTAAACCCTCCACAATCTTTCCAATTTTGTTTTTAATTTTATCCCAACAAAATTAATCTTCCCAATTTTCTCCTTTCTAATCCTCTTCACAATCCTCATATTCCTCTTTTTCCATTTTCCTCAACCACCAATTCCTATTCTCTATAATCTTTTCCACCGAATTATCATTGTCATTTTCATTTCCATCTTCATTTCCATTTTGATTTTGACTTCCCGCTTGTGAATTCTCAAATAGCATTTTCAAGACCTTTTTCGCCGTTTTCCCTGTAATTTTATCTTGGTTGAGATAATGTATTAGATTTCCCAATTGAGAAGGTGGAATGAGACAGGCTCCTTGATTTGAGAATTTTAAAGGATTTTCTTCTTCGGTGTAATCTGATATCAGTGCACCTAATTCATGTAAAACCCAATTGTTTGCCCATTTTCCCAATTTCGTTTGAGGTTCATTGGGATTCAATGATTTCAAAACATCCACTACATTACGAAAATATTCGACCCGTCCTCCATCATTCAAAGACACTAAATCAATAGCATCTTTAATCGTGATACCGTATTCCGATTCTAGGATTCCCAATTCTTCATCAGGTAAGACGCCGAGTGTAGCACCAAGATGTTGTGTAAGTTTTTCATCGATAATAACAGGGGCTAGATCTGGATCTGGCATGTATCTATAATCCACTTCACCTTCTTTTCCACGAAGTCTTCGTGTCTCCGAACTTCCAATTGCGTATCCTCTAGTTTCCCCTTCAATAACTCCACCTGCTTCAAGAATGGAAATCTGTCTATCCCTTTCTGCTATAATAGCATCCTCAATAGATTTGAAACTACTCAAATTTTTGATCTCGGTTCTCTGCCCAAGTCCTTGAACGCCTGCATATTCATTATTTCCTTCTTCTGTTCTTCTTCTCACAGATACATTAACATCTGCTCTTAATCCACCAGATTGCATACCCAAAACACAAGCATCAACCGAGTTCAACAACATTTGTACCTTTCTGACAAATGCCGCCGCAGTACTGGGATGATGAATCTGAGGTAAAGAAATAATTTCAATCAAAGGTAATCCTACACGGTTGAAATCCAACAAATGTCTATCCCCCGGTTGAGAAATGGTTTTGGCGGTATCTTGTTCCATTTGTACTTGTTTAATGCCTATCCGTATTTCTTTCCCATCTTCCTCTGCAATTCCATCATGTTCATATAATGTAATATATCCATCTTTCGCAAAAGGTTCGTAGTATTGCGTAATTTGATACCCGGCAGGTTGATCCCAATGAAAATAATGTTTGCGATCAAAGCGACTCTTTGGTTGAATCTTACAATTCAAAGCCAATGCTCCTCGAATAGCAGGGATAAGAGTTTCTTTTTGAAATATGGGCATAGAGCCCGGAAGAGCTAAATCGAAATATGCGACATGTGTATTGGGCGTATCGTTTATCGTTGAGGCAGCGTAGGAGAAAAGTTTTCGTTCGGTATTTAATTGTGCATGTATTTCAATTCCCACTGTCAACTCCCATTCCTCGAGACTTTGTAACTTTTCTATATTTCGCCCTGTTCCTTCATCTTTCAATTGTTTGCGCGCTGCTTTGAATGAATTTTGGATGCTGTGATTCGAGGAGGAGGAGGAGGAGGAGGAGGAGGAGGAGGAGGAGGAAGAGGAGGAGGAGGAGGAGGAAGAGGAAGAAGATGCCGATTCTGTGTCTGTATGTAATTCTTGTATTGCCCGAGATCTTGAGGCGTAGATGGATGTTAATTTGTTACCACCACCAATTACTCTATGACGAAGACAACCTGTTGAATTGATTTGGCGCCCAAGTAAATATCTTCGCAGAACGAGAGGAGAAAATCGAGTCATCGGGCTAATGGAGCCTCCGAATGAGGTGAGATGATTCCAATTGGTCTTTTAAGGAAAGAATTGTTTATTGTAAGATATGAAATTTTAATGAGGGGTCGGTGATCAGAGGGTCAGGCCGTCCACCGTCTCATGCATGTAATAAGACATTTTGATTTAATCGAACACCATCCGATTCGAGGGGAAAGATAGGATGGATCACTTGGTGGCGATGACTCTATCTTGTTTGTGATGCATGCATGCATGCATGAAATGGAGTTGAATTCAAATGATAGCGTCGGGACATGTTATGATTTCCCGTCAGGCGTAAGATGTAAGATATTGATGATTGATGATTGATGATTGATGATTGATGATTGATGATTGATGAATGATGATCGGTATGGTAGTAGTAGTATGTGTTGAAGAAGTATTGGTTTTACAGAGTTAGAAGATGGAAATGGGGAATGAACAATCTGAAAATAAATATTAATTATTTTAATATCAAATAAAAATAAAGCACGTCTCATCGAATATTCCATCTTGTGTAATGGAAAGTAATTCTCTTCTTGAAGATATTGAAGATATTGAAGATCATCCATCATCCATCATCCATCATCCATCATCATTTCATCTTCATCATATTCGCCGATGATTCTATACTTTCATCAGATTGAGGAAACTTGAGGCTGAAGCAATTCCCCCTTTTATTATTTGTGAATTGAAAATTGGTACCTACATTAAAGTAAAAATCATGAGTCTCAATATCTATCCTTTACTCATGTTGGTACCCAATTCATTGCAGCTGCATGAATTCCCTGTAGCTATCCCATCATCCTGCATCACACACATATTTGGGAGTAAAGGGTGATCCCGCACTCGTTGATTCGACCAATCTACGCGATGACTTGATGTTTTGGGTTTTCCTCATCTTTTGCTTTGGAGTAGACAATCATTCGATAAATAAGTCTTAAGAATAAGAAATAGTATTGAGTAGATGACGCTCCGCTGGCCCCCGGGGCCACTGCCGTGGAGGCAGACTTGGCTATAGCTAGAGATCTAAAGGGACCATAGAACGAACTACCTATCCAGCCATCTAGTCGATGTAATAGTCTCACAAACACTCATACAACCAACCTCTCAAACCCAAATGTTGTGATCCTCACATCACATTACATCCTTTGAAAATGAAGCCCTGGCATAGAATAATAGAATAACGTGGGCTTTCCTCAATTCCAAATACAGAAACATGTTCAGCCCGTCAAGAAGCGTGACCACACTGAATATGAATAGAATCAACCGAGACCCTTACACAAGTAAAGTCATACAACAATATCAATACATAACCCAACTTCCTCTTACATTCTCATGCAAAATCATCATATTTACCCAACTCACACCATTCACGAGAACGAGAACGTCTTAAGTGATCATAAAGTGTTCATTCCCCTTGATCAATTCTTGCGTATCCATCCCTGGTATCCTTGATAAGATCTTACATTCTCAGACCTTTTTATCCTTCACTGGCCCTCTTCTGTATTTTATATCTGCTTATTACTAGGTAATTACGAAGATTCATTCTTTTCTTAAATGTTCATGGTTTCATCCTTGGGAATGATTTGAAACACTTTCTCCTCTCATCCCTCATTCACATCATACGGCTGAACACTTCTCACTCAAGACATACACGCGCACTACCTTATCCAAGCCTCCCTCACTCATTGATCATTCATAACCCCAATTTATTCGGAGCGCGCGCCAGTTGTCTACCATCTGCTTTTATAAGCTGAAGTCGGGAAGTGATTGACATACAATCACATTATCATCATTAATTATATTATTCCTGTGGGATTTTATACTTCTCTCTTCTATCTCTTCCCTCGGTTCTCTCCTCTTCTCTCCTCTGATCTATTCTCTTCACTCTTCCCTTCCCCTTTACCTCTTCTTCATTATCATGTGTACTATTATTAAATATTTTAATCCATTTGTATCAATTCATTCAATTATTTTATCTTCATCGGGCATTGATGCACCACCATAGCTACCTAAATAATCAAGGTAAGCCCTGCCAAATTTGGAACATTCCCCTCATGATAAAATTATTGATTTTGGCTTCTTTTCTCGTATCGTGGAGTAATAACACGAAACTGATATGAATGAATTTATAGATTCTCACTTAAATATGGCTACAAGATACAAAGTACCAACCGTTGAATCAATAATCGAAGATTCCGAAAATGAATCAAGGACCGATGTAAGGGGTACCGAACAAGAATGCAAGTCTGGCATAACTCAACGTCAACATCGCTCTATCCATACCTCTACCATGTCTTCTTCACCTCCAAAAGCAAATACTAGTAGGGAAAGAGATAGATCGAAAAAGATGCATAAATCTACTCCAAGTGGTGGCAGACATTCTGCAACAAAGGCGAAACCTAAGAATACAAATGTGAAGCGCGCAAGTGGATCATCTTCAAAAGGAAGTGAGATGGAGGGGCAGCGCCTTCGTCAAAGGCCTGTACAACTGAGCCGAGATACGAGCTCATCATCGTCATCATCGTCGAGTTCTTCGGATGAAGAAGAAAATATTCCTAATCACAAATCAATTCTTGCTGCTTCAAGGGCAAAATTAACATCACCATCCATGATATCGAATGTAACTTCTTTAACCGCAACAACAAATAATTCTAGTAGCTCAAGTGGAAGTAATTCGACGGTGACTCAAGCTTCTATCACGAAACGATCAACCTCAGGAAAGGAGGCCGAAGCTAAAGTAGAGTCTTTATCACCAGCTGTACCATCACCTCCAAATGTATTTGCATATTTGCAAGAGGACTCTGATGAAGAAGAGGGAGAACAGGAGGGAAAAAAAGAGGAGGAGAAGGATCATTCATCTAAATGTTTATTCAATAATGGAAATAAAGACTTCACCCCTGTATCACGTCCACATACTCCTGAGGAACATCCAAGTGGTCCTTCATCCGTATCGAGTAGTCTTCACAGCGGTGATTTCTCTGCTCCAGAAGCAGATATCGACACAGATAGGAGTACATCCCCAGAAAGAAGTGTTAATGGTCAGGAAAATCTACGAGTTACAACAAATTCCAAAGATGCATCAATTAAATTAGCATCTCAAATGGCAGCCGCCAATCAACGACAAAATTATTACGGAGCAGCTCCATCATTTGGACCACCAAAATCTCATCATCGCACAGACAGTAATCCAGTCTCTCCTTCTGAACTCGAAACACCCCGCAATCAACATCCACCTAAACATGTCCCTTCTCAAATTGATCCTACTATTACAGGTTATGAACTTCTCGCTTCTCGTCTATCATCATCTTCTCATTCGGGCTCTGATACAGTAGTCGAAGATCGCATTAAACCAATGTATCGAAAATTCGAAGCTTTAAATCATCGTCTTCTCCTTCATCTTCAAGATGAAATAAGCGAATTGGAAGAACAATTACAAAGATTAGATAAAGCCGATACAGAATCCAGAAGGTTACGACATACTGGTAATGGTAATTTTGGAATAGATGTAATTCCTGCATCGAGAAGAGCTAGTGAACAAATGGGTGGTGATTTGCAATGGCACAAAATGGATATTTTAGGAAGGATTGGTTATAAATTAGCTCAATACAGTCAGCAATTCCTTATATCCCTACCTTTCCACATACCCCGCATATTCCCCATACTAACCCTTCTAGATCAAACTCTAACCTCTTTTCACTCTCTTCAATCACTTCCTCCCGCCTCTCAACCAGATATTACACACTATCGTGAATATCTTCAAACTGCTCGTCCCATAACCGAAGTAGAAACAAGATTTCTAGATCCAAAAGTTGAAGATGATTTAATTTCCGTTGCGTCAGGTTCTTCAGGTTCAAGAAGTCAAGGTCGTCATCAAAATGGTGATCAACTCACCATTCGTCAAAGACGTTCAATACCATCATCTTCAATATCAGATAGTAGTGATGATGATCATCCAATCGAAAGAACACCTACAAGTACACCTATCGATTCACCTCTTCATCCACCACTTCGCTTAACAGATGATCATCTCGCTATAAATATGAATGGGAATCCTAATTCTCATCCAGAAGATTTCCCTACTTTGGCTTTTGCAATCGCACTCAGTATTCTAGTCCCAATCTTAACATTTGCTACAATTCCAACATTTCTAGGTAGAATGACGGTTGTTTGTTTGGTTGGGACGGGTATTGTGGGTGCATTGATTCAAAGTGGGTTTATGGAAATAGGTGATGTTATTGGTAGTATTAGGGGTTCGAGAGGTTCGAGAGGTTCTCAAAGAAGAGAGGGATTGGTTTGTGTGGGGGTTTATTTGGGGTGTATGGCTGTGCTTGCTGGGGTTGTTGGGTAGGTTTTGTTCTTGTGTTATGTTTTGGAAGTGGGAGGAGGAGGGAGAATGTATGTTATGACGATGTTTTCTTTCTTTCCTTTGTTTTGACTTGGCTATTCGAGGGAATCGAAAATTTTGTAACGTGGTAAATTGTATGTTTGAGTATCGAAAGAGGAAGTAAGAGCCAGCTGTGCTCTGAGAAATGAAGTTTCACATGGATTTTATTTTTTTTTCTTTCCGGTTCTGTACTTCTTGTAGTTCTTCTTGTATTGATCTTCATTCTGGATAGAGCGTGGACTTGGACTTGGACTTGGGCTTGTACGAAATAAATTCAATTAACTTGGACTGCACAGGAAAGGAAAGGAAAGGAATAGATGGATAGAGCAACATCGGTTTTCATCTTAATTACCATCGATCATCTTGTATACTTTTACTTTTATCTAGGCTGCGCAACGGGGCACCGCAGAACGGATTATTACCCTCGAAGGATAACCCGCAGATAATCCATCTACAGTGCAGGTAATTAAAGAATATAAATAAATAACCCACGAATTATTTACAGATTATTCATAAATATTTATCAATTTGCAAATTATCTATTTATTTTACAAATAAATAAATACTTATAAATAATTTATAGATAAATCCGTAAATTATTTATAAAATATATATTCACTTAAATTTTAAAACTATTCTTATATTTTTTTATACTAGCTTTTATACTAATTTTTATAAATTAGTCGATTATTTATAAATAATCTACCAGGGGCCTGCGCCCCACGGACCCCTGGCTTTTCGAGATGGTTTAATGAAAATTTAAAGTTTAAAAAATTTATAATAAATTTAAATATTAAATATATATAGGGTGCAGGCACAATATCAGCTTGTTTTTGATAATTGAAAATTTAACATTTTTATTTAAAAATAGTAATTATAATATTTAATTTTATTTATAATAATAATATTTTTTATATTATTTTTTATTATTTTGAATTGAATAAGTTGAATGATTTGAATGATTTCAATAAAGTTGAAAAAAAGTTCCAAGTCAAATTTGTCTGAAATTGTAAGGCTTATGCCAAGCTTTTTTTATTTATTATTGACCGGGGTATTTTAGACCAATTAGATTGTCAGGATCACGACTCACTTAAACGAGTTTCTCATTTTCCATAACCTACACCGGGTAAATTGCGGTACGCTATACATACAGCAAGGTTTTGGTATCGGCAAGCCGACAATTATACCAAAAATAAGTCTTATCACTTTTAATTTTCTTGAGAATCTTATCTTGTCGCCCTCCTTTTAGGAAAGATATGGCATTCAAAAGTACAAAAATATGAAAGATAAAAAAAGAAAAACATACAACAGTAGGGATTCGCTGGTGGTCACCCACCCAACTACTAATCTACCGATCTGAGGCTTGTGTATGGCAGAGCGGACGGGATGCCCAATTCTCCTCAGTCTATGGTCGTATGTGGTAATAATCATTCTAAAATGATATAGATTACACACTAGGTAATCTTTATACTTCCGTCCTTTAGACCAGATCCAACAACCCTTCAACCCCTCCCCTACAAGATACCTACCTACCTACCTACTCTTCCACCTAACCCTCCCCACCCACTCCACAAAGCGCGCCACATCCTCCCTCTCCCCAAGCAACTCCACCGTATAAAACTCCCGAGCCAATTCCTCATGCCCCGCAACCCGATGTACAAAACTATGACACGCACGACATAACCATGCTACATTATTTAATTCTTCCTGTGTATGCCAGCCCCGTTTTAATACTTTAGTATGCACGAATTTCGGGATTAGGTGGTGGTATGTTAGGGGGATCCAATCGCGATTGCAGAGTTCGCATGCGTTGGTTGAGTGTTTGAGGGTATGGGGTGGAGCGGGAGGGGAAGGGGTGAGAAGTTGTGTGGTGTAGATGTTGAGGACTGGGTGGAGGAATTCGGAGATGGGGCTACATGGGGGGAGGAGGGAGTAGGTGTGGAGGGAGTCGGGGATGCTGGGGGGAAGAGCTTGAGTTATTTTGTTTGAGGTTTCAAGATCGAGGGGATTGAGGTTGGGGTAGATTTTTTGGAGAGTTGGATTGGTGGTGTAGGTTTTGTGGGATAATGTTCTGAGTTCGCATGGGAGATGGGTAAAGATTTCGAGGGCGATGTACTAGTCTCGTGTAAGTTTTCGTCTTATTCATCTTCCCGTTGGTAATATAAATATATTTAGAAAAATAACGAGGGTTTTAACCTACTTCAATAAAATCGGCAAGCTCAGCTGCATCATTTATCCTCGCTTCATCTGTATCTACATCTTTCGATATAGGTTTAATAGCTCCCTTTCTTCCAGCCTTTGATTTCCCTCTCGTTTTCCGTTTGGAGGTATTAGCGGTTGAGACAGATGTACAGCTTTCAATTAGAGGAGTCGATAAACAATCTAGAAAAATGCGAAAATTGGCTTCTTCTTCGTTGGTGAGCATGAGGTGAAATGAGCGATTGGCTAAAGAGAGATGTAGATGGAGATGAGGGGTAATTATTCGCTAATTTTGGTTATTTTTTATTTGAGATTTGGATTATATGTATTTATTATACTATAAGATTTAATAATGAATTATAGAGATAGGATAGTGTAAGGTTATAAGAAGTCACGGACGCCACTATCGTCGAAGAGTTCATGACGGTGAGATGCAGAGGTGGGGTCGCCAAGTGAGATCTTAGAGTACCTACCGAGTATTTCTAGCTGCAGGTTACTCGAGTAGTTTAGAGCATTAACCTTACGCCTTACGTCTCAATCAATAAGAGTAAATAAATCTTAAGCTTGTGCCTGATAATCCTAAGCCATCTCCGTACTGATGGAAACTTTACCCGCATTTGGATTCAAATTCAATATAAGACTCCATGCATACTAGGTATCACTGCTCTCACAACAACTTATATGTTTACTCTACATCAATTCCATAAAGATTTTAACACTCCATAGTATTCTTTAAAAATTTCAATACATTAATTAATCACAAGTATATCAAATCATGCCTGATAAGAAGACAATCATTGCATTTGATCTGTATGGTACTCTCCTTTCCTCCTCGAGTATCGCTAAAGAATTAGCTCTGCATTTCGGCGACGAGAAAGCTCAGTCTATTGCTGTGTTATGGAGAAGATATGTATATTAGAGACCTTTTTACATACAAATACTTTATGTTGTATTCTAAGAAATTCTTCCTTCTTCCCTAGCAATTAGAATACACATTCCGAATGAACAGTACGTGTAAGTTCCACTCTAAATCCTCCCTTTACAAACTTCCCAAATGCCATCAAACCCATCCCTTAAAAGTTCCAAACAGTATCATACTTACCAAACCCAAGCAATATACAAGCCCTTCTCAGAAATAACACACACATCTCTCCACCACGCATTAACCGAACACAAACTCTCTCTTCCAGAACCAGACATCAGCCATATAATGAAAGCCTACAATTCACTCACCATGTTCCCAGACGTAACATCTGGACTTGAAAATTTAGCGAAAGATACACAGATTATCGCATATGTATTTTCAAACGGTACGCATGAAATGCTATCTGAATCTGTCAATAAATCGCCCGAGCTTTCAGGATACGCGCAGCTTTTTAAGGAGCTCATTACGGTGGATGAGGTAGAATGCTATAAACCCCATCCGAGAGTTTATGAACATCTTGTTAGGAAGGTGAGAGGTGATGTTTGTAGAGATGATTGCGGGGAGTAATCATTAGTAATGGGAATGGAAAGAACAAGAAGTACTAGGTAGTAATGATATAAAACGAAGGTCAAGACGGACTGGTGTGAAGAGAGGAGGAAAGGCAAAAGGTAGCATAGCTAATGAACCATTTGTACTGTACAGTAGATACAACATAGTAACATCAATCTCCTCAAAATCTATCTCATTTATCTTCGAACATTTCAAACGTAGGACTTTCAGGATGAAGATCTATTTTTATTCCAAATTAAAATCCCATTTTCCATCCTGCGAGGTAAAATATCTTGGCACAGCCACATGAGACTTATGTCATGTGGCGGTGTAGATTTAGTCCGCTTACCTAGGAATCTAGGATGTGTTTTACTCCACCATCTGCCCCGCACTCCTATCCAGCTATTGAACAGCCCTACGTGTAAGGCTGGCTTTGAAAGTTTTTGGATGCAGATACATGTGCCTAGATATTGATGATCTTGATGTGTTGTCTTTTGTCTTGCCAGATACTAACCTTGCTAGTCTCTTCTCTCAATATAACTTTAGAGAAATATTAACCTTAAGGTCAGTGAAGCTACGAAAACTCGAGAAAAGAAACAATGGCGGAAATAGAAACGGAAATCGATATCCCAGAATATTTAAGGTTACTCAAGGATCCGGAGACGAGAATCCTGGATGCGAATAATGCTGGTATGATTCCATCATTCACACTATTTCACTTCTATTTCTGAGCATAGATTCGAGAGCACTTGCCTACTTCAGCTGGCTTTTTAATCGTCCCCTCCTTGAATATGCACAATTAAACTACTAAACTACTAACTAATACCCCATATCCTAGTCGTAACAACCCTTCACATAACCAAGTTCCATATCATCATCGCGCTTGATTCGGGTATCTTACATATTCTCAAGCATGAAAATGGTAGGGATATCGGAGGGGAAATCGTAGTAAAGGCATGTGAGATGGGAATTTGGTGTGTGGATTCTTGGGAGGGAGAGGAGAATGAGGAGTGGATTGTTGTGGGTGGAACGGGGAATGAGGATAATTTGAAGGTGTGTATGTGGGATGGGAATGGGAGACTGTGAGTATTTCTTTTTCTCTATTTTGGTATGCGGAGTGTGGAAGCTGAACCCGCGGTGGGGGAAAGGGATTTCGAGGATTTTCTTTATTGGTTTTCTCAATGTGGGAATGGTGCGAGGTTAATTTGGACACTGAGGGGGTAATAATGTGTTTGACCTCTGGTTTTCGGTACCCCCGGATTCTTGTCGCAGAATACAGAATGCTATGGCTGATTCACCTGTAAACAAGTGTTCGGATCACAGTTATGAGTCTTCAATGCCGCCCACTGTATTTTCTGACTCTACGAACATCAATACTGGTTGTTGTATTGATCGTGGGTGTTTGGTGTTGGTGCGGGAGGCACAGATTTCACAAACATTTCGTGGTATTACTTGTTTAAAGCATCTTTTGTTCAGATGAAGGGCTAGTAACTTCGAAAAGGTTTCAAACCTTCTCCAGAAATCAAAACGTTCCTATAAAGGATTTTCTTACTACAATGGTTTCGAATCAAGTCTAGATCATTCAGATCAAACAGAATCCAACAACATTCTGATGGAATACGAAACTTAAAATACTTCTTATTGGTGTTTATGCCCATCACAATTTTGACTGTGGTCCATTAAAGCTTTTCTGTGGTTTAGTAGCGAGCTTTTAGAGGACTCCACCCTCAAAGGATCAGGATGTGGCTGCAATGCAGATTAAGATAGGATGAGCATAAACAGAAGCCATCTTAACTTCTCTGTCACCTTCATATTTGTTAACCTCCAATTAAGCATTTAAGGCAGCCTTCATCCTTTCCCTGAAAGAAACAACCGGCTGTGGGTCTCGACGATGAAATTTTCGCAAACTTCTCTTTATATTGCCTTGTTCGGACCTTGTCTTACCTGGAAGGATTCCAGTGGATCCATTGGAAATCAACACCTCACATTTTACTATGATACAAGTCTCATTTCCTAGTCCATAGTGAAAAAATAATATGAAAATATCATTGCAGAGCATAAAGAGACTCTGTAACAAACTCATAGTTATGTTCATATCTCCCGGGCTTTTTTACTGTTTCGTGTAACATGGTACACGGAGGATTATTTAGCTTAGTAGACTGCTGCGAGGAAGGATTTTAACTGGCGAGGCTCATTGCTACTTCTCAATCTCGTAAAATTAGATGTTCTCGAAGGATGAATCGAGGCTGACGATAGCTTTTTCTTTCTATCGCGTAGAGTCGAAAAATTAAAACTTCAAGGTCATAAATCAACAGTGAGAGTTGTCAAAGCTCCATCAGCTACTACGGTCATATCCGCATCCCGCGATGCAACGATTAGGATTTGGAATATCCAAAATGGAATATGTGAGGCTGTCCTGGAAGGTCATACCAAGACAATCAGATGTCTGGATGTGCATGAGAAAATTGCTGTATCAGGCAGTTATGATAGTGAAGCCAGGGTATGGGATTTGAAAAAGAGGGTGTGCTTGCATGTGATGAAAGGTCATGAGAGTAAGATCTACGCGATTGCGACTAATGGAGTGAAAGTTTTCACGGGAGGTATGGATAAATCGGTGAGAGTATGGGATGTGATTACTGGGTATGTCGTCTACCTTCGCGTGCATTACCTCGTTAGGCAGTTCTGACCATTGTTTTGTCAGAGAATGTCAAGCTATCCTTGAAGGCTTTACATCCCTTGTAGGATTGTTGGAATTACTTCCGTCAAGTCTTTTGACGGCAGATGCAAGCGGGGTCATTCGTCTATTCGCCAATCAGGACTGCAAAGAGATATGGAAGGTCGAGGCACATCAAAATGCGGTCATATCTATGCATTGTCATGGTTCTAAGTTTGCTACTGGAGGCTCGGATGGTAAAGTTAGAGTATGGGATTTGGATAATGGAAAGCTATTGCAGGAGTTAATAACCAGTAATGCGGTATGGTACGTAAAATGGATTGGAAATAGTCTTGTAACACTATTTTCAAACGATATCGACAATACAATGGAGGTCATTATGAAGGTCAGTGTAACGGAGACGAGGGGGCTTTAAATGAAGACATCGACTGACTTTCAACTTGCACAGATTTGGACTGTGCCTTCGTAATTCTGTCGAGTAAGATTTTGTTCATTGCATGTCGGCGGTATTCAAGCTGCAGATATCCCAGAATAGCGTCAAAACGAGGCATACCGGAAATCTTCGAGAATTTGAATGTAGCCAGAAAAACCCATGAACCAGGGAAAATTTTGATTGTTGGTTCCCCACAATAGGCAACCGTAAAACCGTACTGTTGTGGGTATTGATGCTCGGATATCCCCCCAGAAGAGTTGACTTGTACTGTTAATATTCTAGTTACATTCCTCCTACTGATTCAAATCGTAAATTTTCATCCGCAATATGCTCCATCGCTAAATTTTGACACCCTTTGAGCTACGGTTGTGGTTTGACGAGTTTCTAGAAGGGGATGAAGGGGTTTTGACCAACGCTTACTTCAATGAGTCTCTAGCAGGTCTTATTATAACATGTCAAGAAAACAACTCCACTGACCCATCTACATTGAGGTGAAGACTTTTCTTAGGACTTAGTATTGCCTCATTATTCGGAGTAAAGAGTACTTGCATATAGACCCGATTGACTAGAGCGACGCGCCCAATCGTCCGAGCTTGAATTCGTGGCGAATGATCTACGTCATGTTATAACTTGACATTTCGGATCCACCCCTTCCAAGGGGATTTCTGGAAGATGGGGGGATCATCAATTACTAAATTTTGCCTTTTAGTTTAACCTTACGACAACTTCAAGACTCGTAGTTTTCCGAATTTTGCACGGGATTCATGATCAACTCTCTAACTATCTCACTACTAAACTCAGTGTCAAACAAATTTTGTATCCAAATGAATGATTGATTGGCTAGATGATTACGGTCAATCCATCAATGTCATGGATCTTATTGTAAGACAGTCAAATGGAACAATTCCTAAGCTAGCATTCTCACACATATCCGAAATCATCATCAAAAAATAAGACGGAGTAAATTTCCATCATTGAAACTAACCGAAAATGAAGATTCCATGGATCAACGCTAAGCACCTTATCTATCTATGTTGGTAATCTCCACCTCATGCATGATAATTCAGTACATTATTTGGAAAGAAGTTGGGCATGTCAATGATTTATTTGTTTTCATTCCAACATCCGGCATTAGGCATCCTAAGCCTCCCTACCCCTGAAGCTTGCATCCTTCGTTACATACCGACTAAGCCTGCGATGGCACAGCGGACTAGAAGCCCTTGAAGCCTCCTATCCAACTCGGGCGGTGTAAGACCAGTTTGTCGGAGGGGGTAAAATTACTTATTTACTTTTGGTTTCACGTCATATTGGCTTGTTACCTCAAGATCAGGTTGCAACACAAGCGGCTTTTCTTAAGGTCATAAAAGTCCTCTTTTTCCTTTCAATCTCTTTCCTCCATAAGTGGCTCTAACGATCCAAACAAAAAGTGATTATTCGACTGAGTTTCGATAAGTTACCGAAAAAAAAACTTGGAGAGGATAAAAATGTCTACTTCTAGGGGTACTCCACATCAAAAATCATCGTGTTGGCCTTCCGCACCAGGAGTTTACGTCAACGTTGAATTCAAAGTTTCGATGTCTGAAAATGATAGAGGACATGGTGCATCATTGAGATACACATCTAGAAATATGAAGGAAAGGGAGAGAGCGAGAGCAAATACTCATTTGGGTGGCAGACCGATACCATCGATATTAACTCCTGGTTACCCCCAACCTAATCATCCGTCTCGCCAGCAGCAAAGACCACAGCAGCAGCAAGAGAGAGATCGAGGCTTGAGTATTGGATTGGAAACACCAGAGAGGGGTAGATCTGCACCACCGACTATGAACGATAGAAGACAACCAGTTAGTCCAGTTAGTCCAGTCAGCCCTATGAGTGCCATCGACAGTCCAATCCAACAACGAATAGTCAATCTTCCCCGACAAAACATTATGGATCGGCTAGATCAACCTTTACCCTCAACACCAGGAAGATTTCGTCTCGGCGAAGATGACTTACCATGGTCAACACCACCTTCGTACTGGAACGCTAAGCCCGACACATCAGAAAGTGTCGGTCCTATACGATTAAGTATCGAACCCTACCACCCACCTCAAGCACCTCAAGTACCACCAAATACAACCCCTACCAAACGGAACGAAGATCCCCAAAGAGTTCGAGAATTATCCGAACTTCAACAGGCTATGATGACGGTAGATAGTATCAGTAATGATGTATGGGATTCTTGGATGTGGGAAAGTGTAGGAGAAATGCCTCGAGGACCAAGAAGTATTGGATGGGCAGTGAGTTCAAACGATGCACCGGATTCGCCGAGCTCGCCGACTCCGGAAACACCTCCTCCGCCGCCATATGTGGTTAGCCAGTGGGAACATGCTTGTGGGAGGAGAATTGCAAATGGGAGACCGAGGAGTACGGGCTGAGGATCGGGATTGGGAAATGTGTAGGAATCTGTCGAAACATAGTCGACTGAAGGGTCTCAGACATATACCAGCGAGCTTCATCATTTCTTCACGAATTTATAATATACTAGAGGGAAATGCATCTACGACAAACAGTCTCTACGTCTGTATAGCAATCATCAATGGGTTGATGAATAAGTCACGAATGAGTCACATACAACAACTACTCACCAGAATCCCATCTCAATGTATATCGAATGACAACGAAGGTCACGCTCTCTCGCATTCTTTTACACACAATCCTGACACGAAGAATACCACAAGCAGTAGTTCGACACCTCTCACCACCACTTTTACAAAAAGTGACCCATGGTCATGGTCATGGTCATAATTACGCGATACCCAACATAACCTACCAATCTATTCCGCTCCACTCGACTCTTCCACACCTTTTCACTCAATAAGTAATTTTACTTTGTACCGAAAACCCGGTGGAGTAGAGCAGAGCAGAGCATATCTAATTGGGATTTAAAATTCCTTCTACAAGGAACAGAATACGAATAGTGGAGATGCGAACCAATCCAGGGTGGGAAAAAATATAGGTATAGGTACAGGTACAGGTACAGGGTAGAAGCGGAGACTTCTTTTTGAAGTAGTACGGTTTCGTGAGAAGGTTTGACGTCAAAAGTTGGAAGTTTAGGATGAAGCTTTGATCATGGGGGGGATCTTGCATGAGGTGGAATGCAGATAGAACGCAGCTAGAATCAGATAAACCAATTCTTCAAAAAGAGGAACTGAAAATTCAAAACATGATTATTACTGGGTAGATTGTAAGAATGAATGAGATATAAGAGAGATTATAAAAACAAACTAGTTTGTAAATATAAATCAGTATTTGCTATTATAACTGATGGTGAAAATTGTGTCTTTGTTTTCTTTTCTTTTCTTTTTTGTTCTTGATTTATAGTTTATAATAATCTCATCTTAAGGTTTTAAAATGCTTAAGTACTAATCTAGTATATTTTATCTCGTCTGACTGATCGGGGAGAATGAGATATCTATATAAGAAACGTATTATATCTCGGTATATAAAATAGACTAGCTGGGAAATTTCTTATTTGGTTCTTTGTTGAATAGTTTTTATATGTATATATTGTAAAAGTGGTAGGTCGAGATACGTGCATCCCGATAGCATATTGTAAAGAGGGAATTGGAAGAGGAAGCTGAATTAGATTATATTGTAATATATTATTTATAGAGAAAACGAGGTTTACAATGGTTTTGAGGTTGATGTTATATAATGTGAGAAAGTTGGAATTATAGGCCAAATACATAAAGGTTTTAACTAATCAATCATATAACCTTCTATAATTAGATATAAAAGAAGAGCCTTTTGCCTCTTCTTTTCACAATAATCAACCTTCTATATATATACATTTGAATCTATATAACATCAACCCCAAAACCATTATGAACCCCGTTTTACCTATAAATAACGTATTACAATGTAATCTAATTCAGCTTTCTCTTCCAATTCTCTCCTCACAACGTGCTATCGGGACGCACGTATCTCGACCTACCACTTTTACAATAAGTTCATATGTAAAAGATTGATTGTTTTCAAAAGAAAAGACAAAAACTCTTTTTTTATATCTAATTACAAGAGGTTATATGATTGATTAATTAAAAACCTTTATGTATTTGGCTTATAAGTCCAACTTTCTTACAATATATATATGTATTCTGGGTTCTTTCTATTCGATTCCTATTCTGAATGCTGGAATAAATTTGAGGAGTTTTAATTTAATTAGATGTCGATGTTTTATAATAGATAAATGATTAGGTGTTATTAATGCTGTTCTGAGATGTAATATTTAAATTAAATGAATAGCCGGAGAAAAGAACTATAAATGAATTGGAGGATGGTATATGTAAGTATAATTAATTTAAGATCTTGGCTTTTAATTATTATACTTTCTGTAGTTCGTGGAGATTTGACTTTTAGCGCTAGAGAAACTATAGTCTAAGATTACGTTTAGAGACTAAGACTTGTAGACAGTATCGACACTTTTGACCAAATATATAAGTGTATATAAGCGAGGGTAGTTGATGGTTTGGCTTTTGCACCCTTTCGCTTACACTGCTTCCCATGGGTCGATTTCAGCAATCGATTCTTTCTTTTGGGAGTATTATTGAGTGAGGCTGATATCTTTGATGGTAATATTTTACTTTTTAATAAGAAATCGAGAAGTTTTTTGAATCTGAAAATTAAAGTTACGGTGGGAGGACGAGGGGATATTCTAGTTCTCGTGCTGAGTTTCAAGGAGAAAAAGAGTAGATAGAGGGATAAGGATTCCAAGTCATAATTTCCCCCGTCCAGTCCAAAGGCTACGCTACTCGCTAACAAGTCTTTGGTATTCGTTGCATGAGGGGAAGAATAATGATGGGTGTGGGAATGACTTTATAGGGAGGAGAAATTCCTACAATGAATAATGGTAAATCGCTTGAGATATGTGCGCGGTATGTATATGTGAATCTAAAGATGTTTAGTATAAGCATCAAATAGCTTGATTAGATACTAGTTGGATAGAGAAGTCAGGTGATAGGTTCTTAAAAATATCATTTATCAAGTTCTTGAATATAATACAGACTTATATACAGTAGTATTGATTTTCCTCTTCTCTTTTATCTATCTTATAGAAACAGATCGACTCATTGGAATTTATTATTGAGAATAGAAATTTTTTTTTTTTTTAAACTAGAAATAAAAAAGAATAATTAAAATTGAGATTAAAAATATTAAAAATATTAAAAATATTAAAAATATTAAAAATATTAAAAATATTAAAAATATTAATTTTCATTTTTATAAGTTCTAAAATATTTTTTTTCAAAGTTCTAAATTTTTTTTTTTCAATTATTAAAACCAGAAGAAAAAGAAGAAAGAGAAAAGAAGTGTTGAGGAGAGGAAATCAATGACCAGTGCTTATATAAGATAGTTGCTACTCATCATCACGGTTGTTTCACGTCTTGTTTTTATTACCACGGAGTGACCTAGGCACGTGATAGTGACTTGAGTTTGCAAGACCAGTTGTGCTTTTCCTCTTATTATGTTGCTTTCCTCGGCACGCCAGTATTAGGCGATTTTTCTATTTGCATCTACATCTTCTTTTTCGATTTCATATAAATACTTTCTCCTGGATTGCCACATGTGGTTTTGTTACGATTTATGGACGGAAATTGACTGTAGGGGTGTCCTACTTAGGACCTACCTTTGCACAGCTTTTATAAATTGAATGAATGCAAATTGGTTTGATCATGAATCGCACGAAAAATAGGTCATGGCGAACAATTCTTAGTCGCGATCTCAAGATCCAGTCTTGCATCACGTCTATAGAAGTTTTGCACAAGGCACATGCCATTTTTGTTGCTCTCCAGCTCTTGGGAAGAGGATGCGTTTGGAGGCCAGCCATTATTGGCGATGTGGCTCAGTGATTTGGGGTGATTGGGGGTGTGGTGCGGGTGGGGCTGCAACGCACCACTTTCCCGCTCAGCAGTCTCGACGATTGTTTAGTATGGCATTCATGTTCGCAAACAATAACGTTCTCATCTCCAAATCCTTATGATACACTGACATCGATTTGCCCCATCCGACTGAGCACAAAAAGAAATTATGTCCGGAGCAGCGGAAGGGTTGGCCGGCCTTGCTTTGAGTGCAATCAGTGTTGCCGCCTTGTTCACGACATGCATCGAGTGTTTTGATATTGTTATTGCTGGGAAGAATTTCAGTGAGGATTTCGAGCAACTTTGTGCACTGGTATATTATTCGTGCGCAGCCATCAAATATCTTTACTAAATTTTGTAGTTTTCCCTGGAACGTGCTCGATTTGGCCTCTGGGGTGAGTCCGTTGGATTGATCCCAGAGCCAAACAATGGGCGCTGCCTACAGTACGACATGAACATCGATAGACAAGACATTCGACCGGGAGTAGAAAGGGTCCTCGATAACATCAAATTTCTGCTCGAGGAGGGTGCTCAAATCAATAAGAAGTATGGCGAGACGCCAGTGGCTCAGCACTCAACGTCATTAGGTATGCAAATCTTCAAGACTTCATTCGAACGATTCAAACTTTGAATAAGAAAACATCAGACAGATACATCTGCCTGGAAGGTAACCTCATGGGCGGTACACGATGCGAAGAAGTTTGAAGATTTGATTGAACGGCTAAGAAGATATGTTGATGGCCTTGAGAGCATCACTAAATCTTTAGGATTATTGGAAAATCAGCATTCTCGGTTATTAGAAGAAATTGGCAGTATATCGGACGTGGAAAGCTTGAGATTGCTTCGGGATGCCTCTTCAATCCATGGGAATTCCACTGCGGGGGATGTTTCAGAGACCGCGAGCAAACGCATGGTTGTGATTGTTGAGTCATTAAATTCAGAGGGTAGTACAATCAACACCATAATAGTCTTCCCTGACAACGAACCAGGCTTTTCCCTTCAAGACGGCATGTACTAGACAGTCTACGGGACTCTTCAGCCACCCCAACTCAATGCCACAACCACCGGGTGCTTGGCCACGGTCGTTGTCATCACACAACACAGAAATGGACAAGGAAACCCAACAAAATCGGAGTAGCGCTTGTCAAGAATGTCTTGAAGAGCACTATAAATGTGGCACGATTAATAAGACGGGTCCTTGCTTAAGATGCATACAGACTGGCAGAGAATGCAGCTTTTCAAAAGGTCCAGGCAAAGACCCAGCTACTTCTTTTATGTCAACCTCTGAAGTTGTTGATGCTATGTATGATGCTAATACCGACGCGTCATCACCACAACAATTATCTCAGAACCGGCGCCTTATGCAAGGGCTTATCGAGATGGCTGGACCTCATCAAGCTCTGAGTTTTTCTAGTGGCGATGCACACTATGGCGATCGCCTCACTGCTGTCAAAAGCGAAGATGCAGAATTCTGGGTACAAAGTTCTGGAAAACTAGTTCTAGCTGCGCAAGCTGGTCCTGCGGTCTGGAAGCGCATTTTCCTTGACCTTCGTGACATTCGGCAAGCTAATGTACCATTTATCAGTGCTACTACCATAAAAAATCCCCTCGATACTATACTGGCAAGCATTGAGGGACCACCCGAGACGCCATATGAAGGCGGCATATTCTGGATTACGTTCAAGATAAAAGGTCATTATCCCGATCAGTTGCCTCTCATGAGATTCAACACAAAAGTTTACCATCCAAACATATCCCCACAAGGATACGTTTGCATAGATAGTCAACCTCAGAATTACCCGAGACGCTTGAGAAGTTTGGATAAGTGGCCTTCCGGAAGCGATAGGAAACTCGATTGGTCAATTGGAGCGTTGCTTACCGCACTATGTGGTCTATTATCATCTCCCGATGTGGATGGCCCGTTAGTGCCGGAGATTGCACACACTTATCTCAAAAATTATGATGAATATTGTTCCAATGCCCGACTATATACTAAGAAGTACGCGTCCGGTGAGAGACCGGATGAAACAAATCTTGTGTTTTTTGATATCTCTTCTCAAGAAATTTATACTTCTTCCAAAGACGATGATACTTCTTCTAAAGGAGTTGATTCCTCAGACTCCTTAAATAGCCATCAAAGCAAAAGTGACTCTAGTAGTGATTCGGGAAGCTTCAGGGAGTTCTATGACGAAGTTTGGGTATGATTCCGAATTCGATGATTCTAGTTCACATGCCAAAAATCATTCTCAGCTCGAATCAATCATTCACAAATTTATCAGAGATCACTGGTCTCACTGCCTATACACTGGCAAATCCAATCCAAATATGTCGAAGAATTGTGAGGCCCGCGCCTCAAAGAACGGTCCGCCCTTGGAGTTCGCTTGTTGGAAATTTCTTACATGTCTCTCTTCGCAATCGCGTCTCCAGGTTTTGAGGTGTTCTCACATCTTATAGCACCAGATATTCTAGGACTGATTACGAAGACATTGTCATATTCTTATATTAGGATTCATTCTGGAGAAATCTCATCCAATGAACTTGGAGGGTCGCGGTTAGTTTTATGGAGAGTAAAATGCCAGGCTCAAACATGATGGAAATCATTCGTGACTGGGCAGTACGAGAAGCAATTAGTGAACCTACTTTCGCTCCTTTTAATATTAGCGAGACCGTGTTTCGAGAGCTTCACCCATTCAAATGATTTACAAGTAAGGAGAGGTATGGCTAAGCGGCCTAATCGAGATTATTAGTGCTAAATTTGGAAATATAAAGAGCTCATATCAGTGACACATTTCATAGAGCTCTTAACTTTCTTCCTACCCTGTCATAAGGATGAAATAATATTTATGAACCGAGGAAATAACACCGGAGGGTATATCACATCAGATCTGGTTTTGGAAATAGATATAAAAAGATTGTCAGAAGTCATATTAAGAGCTCAATTATCGATAGTATTATTTAAGTGAATGATTAAGTCTAGTATTTTACTTTCAGATCATTCTTTTTTTTGGATTATTTTTTACATCAAAAATCATAATTTTCACTTATTAATAAATTTACAATTAATTAATAGAATTTGATGAAATTCAGATTATAAATTCATTATATAATTATTAATAAATTCTGAAGATTTCAGATTTTTTGTGATTTTATTAATTGAGAAATTAAAAGTTGAAATTACAATTTTAAATTTGTATAGAATTTACATACAAATTTAAAAAATATAATAATCTTGAATAACTTTAAGATAGAAATAATGAAAAATAAATTATGGATTTTTTTTGAATTTTCATTATCAGCTTGTTAATATCAAAATCTTGTTATATATATATTATATTGTAATTTACTCGATATAAGTTATAGAAAATAAGAAACTTGTTTGAGTGAATCACGATCCTGACAATCTGATTGGTTTAAAATACCCTAGTAAATACCCAGGTAAATAATCTAACAAAAAGCTTAGTATAAACTCTTACAACTTCAAGCAAATCTGATTTAAAACTTTTTTTAATTCTATTGAAATTATTCAATTGAAATCATTTAACTCATTCAATTTAACTCTATTCATTCAATTCAAAATAATAATATAATAATTATTTTTAAATAAAAAATTTTAATTTTTAATTATCAAAAACAGATCGAAATTCTGCTTACACTCTAATATATATTTAATATTTAAATTTATTATAAAAATTTTAAACTTTAAATTTTCATTAAACTTTCTCGAAAAGCCAGGGTCCGGGGCGCAAGGCCCTGGTAGTTGTTTCAATATAAAAGATATAAGAAGCCAGGCTATTGATAATGGAAAAACAATTGGTAGTGGGGCAAGAGAGGACGAGGAGGTATAATATATTGATGTAACTAATAACTATTTATATTTGGATCAGAATAGTGTTTTCCGAGAACACTATCGAAGCCGGTTCTTTCAATTTAGCTGAGGTTAAAACGAAGGTTTGATTTAAGATGAGGTAAAGGAATCTGTGCGGTTGGGTATATGAATTCTTCCTGTAGGCATCATGTAAAGTTTGAACTTTGAACTGGCATACAATGCGGAAGTCTGAAGTACTATCGCGCTTCCTGGTCCGGCAAGCACAAACCTGGTGGACAATGAGAACAATGAGGATGTAATATCTTTTGTGGTTGAAGTTCGTAGGGTTTCGCGCTCGAGTAATCACTGGTCGATAAAGATAAGTTTGATGTTATTGTAAAGGTAAAATAAGCGCTAAGCCCAGTGCACGATGACGCCAGTGAAGAAGCCGATATTTTCGGTTATGCTCTATGTCGTTTGTATTATCGGTGATTGCCTCTGAAGTAAATGGGTTAGTCCTTGTGAATGAGAAAGTTAACGGTCCGAGGGTTTCGAATAGATTGATTTCGGAGCTTGGCTCATAAATCCACGGCAGTTTTCCTACTACCAAGAGATCACCGTTTGTAAAACCCTCATATAGCGGACTGCCAATAGTTTCGTATGTATAATGCAAGAAAAGTATTGGATGATCTGATATGCCAATATCTACGATACTTGCGATTGTAGATCGAATCTTTCATGCAGCCTATAGTAGAGTAGTGTTTGGCCGGATCTTCGCGAACTGTTAGTACGTGCTATCTACTTTATCTATAGAATTCTTCTTTTTAGCATTATTCTATTGATGAAAAGATATTGTAAAACACCCATGGCTGAAAATGTGAATATATAAACATATGCAGTGGCAAGATCATGCAATGCGGTAAGTTGACACTTCGTTTTTCTGATCGCGAGGCAATGGAATACCTTCAAAATAATATCAGTAGAGTAGGGTAGTGTAAGTCTCAACAACAAGTCGGAGTTCTTTCCGAAACTTCCTCATCCTTCTTCCAATCCTTCAACTCCTGCGGTGTTTACTGAAGTAGGTACTCCGTCCTTGAGGTCCAAGACCCCAGTGGCAATGCAGACGCAAAAATAATGATTCGTAAATATGAAGAGCAACTGGATAGCATTTCTCTACTCGAGTAATGCACTCGCCCATTGGTCAGTTCGCGGCAAAGGAAGTCAAGATCGAATGATTTACGGTATGACGGTATCCAATTGGATGACTTTGCCATCGCCGTGCAGACCCTCAGTCTTCCAGCGCTAATAGTGATGTATATCTTTATGCAGGAAAATAGGGGTGCGCATAATAAAGGGCGCACGCACGGGTATCTGCCCTGCAAAGACCAAAGGCAAACGCGGGAGATCTGGATATCAAAAAGGTAAGACTTAAATGGTTCGAAGCTTGGATCTCTATGAGATGTTGGATCCTGGAACTTTGAATGTTGTTGGACTTTCCAGGGTTGAACGGGCCGGCTTGACACCGGTATGAGAGGAAGAAACATTAAGTTACCTACCTGCCTCCGTCCGTACTCTCACTCTGTAACTCCAGCTCGATTGGAATTGGGAAGCTTCGTCCAACGGATCTCAATCCACTTTCGTGTCCTTAAAAGCAGCTTATCAAACGCAATTATCAGCATGTAAACCGTGTCGAAGTGTGTAATTAATGTCATACTTCATCTTCACGGTACACCACTCTTTTCTGCGTGAAATATCCATCGTACGAACTGGTGACCCTGTGCTGTGTGTCTGTATACACGTAAGATTATGTTTGACGGTTAACCGCAGAGATGTTCCTAAGGTTAGGGATCCTTCTTGACAGATTTAGAAGAGTGAAAAAGGGATATGGTTGCACGTTCTTTCGTACACCCCTCCTTCTCCTCCCCTGAAACTTCAATGGCTGTTACAGATCACGAATCACGAATCACGGTGACATTCATGATTCGATTCGACCCTTCCTTCTCTGTCCAATGTCAATCCCTGGTTAGATCCTTTCCTATGCATTGCCGGCCCCCAGTTCCCCCATCATGCAGTTTGGTCACTGGTGGTACGAACTGTGACTCCTTTTTTAACCTTCTTTTCAAGGTTCGGAATGGACTCATTCAATCTAATTAAAAAATACTGGGGATGGTTCATGGGTGTTCATGTCTCTTTCATGGGTTCCCCAGGAGATGCAGCTGCCATGTTTTTGGGGGAGGATGAAGTTGGTAATTTACAAGCATGGCCTTTTTATTAGATATGGCGACATGCATTTGGAATAAGATCTATCGAAAGGACCTAGGTAACGAACGAAGCATAGAAACCTGGATCATGCCATGGATATAGATAGCTCTTCAGCTACGTTTCTGGTTTTTGGTCATCGAGACGGGGAGACTGGGCATTCTGGTGAAGGTATTTATTCATTTCCTCTGGCTGTGGAGAAGGATATCATAGATGGATATCATAGATGGATATCATAGATTTCACAGGTAGATAGATAGACGGAGTAGTACTGTAGGAGATGGGACAGCACGGGCTAAACACGACATATTTTTGATACTGCTTCGTTCTTTTGGTCTGTTCTTTTCGTCTATGGGGCCGGTCATGAATGAGCGATATGAATGAATGATATGATGAATCAAAGCGGAAATGAATTGTAAATTTTACCTATCTACGAAATACCCTTCATGACCATCAAATCTCTCCTTGATCTTGAATATGAATGAGTGCATTTGGTTCCTGGCGACAAATTAATTAATCAATCGATCGACCACTCCATCAACCATTCATTCATTCAATCACAATCAACCAATCAACCAATCAACCAACCAATCAATCAATCAATCAATCAACCAGTCAATCCATATTCAAAATCGAGTATAGACATCTTAATGTACCGTACTATACCTACGGAAGGACACATAATTACATCGTGCTCGACCATCCTGTACCCCTTCATCCATTCCGGGGAAAGCTCTTTTGGGGATACCAATCTTCCCTTTATCCGTCACGACCCTTGAAGAAACGATTTCCAGAAGCCCTTTTGGGCGTTTAGAAACTCCAATCCCAGTGGTCGCCATTCTATCGGTGTCAGAAACCCTAGAAATATTGGAATATTTTCTCCATAGGGGTTAATGATTAAAGGCACTAGGCATCAATTATCTTACTAGGTACGAGGAACCAAGTAGATTCGAGGACCAAAGACCGAACAAAGTATATGCCCCATATCGAAAATCACTACTGCACGACCATATTACTCAATACCTACCATACCCAAACTATCAACAATTGATCGTCTCTGCTTCTGCTTCTCCGCTGTTACGAACGGATCCCACTATTCTACATCACAAGCAACAATTGATTCTAATTCAATTCACTTCACTTACCCGACGACGAACAAACAAGCAAGCAAGCAAGCAAACAAACAAACAAACGGGAACGAAAGGCAATTGGTACCTCACCTCACCTACCACCTACCAACTTCAACCACCAGCATATGCCAATCTTCAAAGTCAGTCCCGACCAATTCACTCCCGGAAAAATAAATTACTCTGTAGCACGCAAGCAAACGTCCCCCCAATATTTTGGCTTGTTTCGAAAACAGATTCTGTCGCGTCAACCTCTTCTGACATCTATCGCATCAGAAAACCACCCTAGTACCCGGTCACAAAATATATTACCCGCAGACAAATTATCGCGAGCGGCTGGTCGACGGGGAGAAAGAATACGGGACAATCGGTTGAATGATTCGCATTGGCAAAGAATTGGCGCGCAATTGACATCGAACCTTACGTAGGTATTGATCGAGGCTAGAGTCGCAGTGAGGGTAGATCTCAAAACAGGAAACAACTTCAGTACCATCATATTATCCTTTCCAAACCAATTCTACAATACTTCATGACGACTCAGCTGCAATTGTGGCTGCCATGCATACCATCGAGAAGATGCCGAACGCACCGACGAAGCGACTCGGCGTTGACCTGAATGTCGATACTGGCTATAAAGGAAAAAGAAGAGAAAGTATATCCCCGCCCCAGACACCGGAGGCGCAGACCACCACTAAAGATAATATTACTTCGTCAAATCGGGCGCTTAATGGACGGAATGGAACAGGGCATACATTTTTAGATGACATTACACCAGCGGATCCTTCAAACAGAGAAAATGATCCTGAGAATGTACGAAGTAACCGGGATTCCCACGACCTCTCACTTTCTCCCCGACAAGTTACCCGCGATTCCTTGGTAGATCATATGCTACTTTCCCTAGATCAATTCTCCTTTGGTCAAGAAGATTTTAGTTTGCGCAATCCTACGCTTGCTGAAGATCGGTTATATTCCTCCTTCGGTGATGACGAACCACACCAATCACCTCAAAATTTCGCAGCTAGGGGTGGCAGAGGACACGCTTATTCCTTTAGTTCTGACTACGATCCGGCGGATGACTCGAGTCGATATTCAGACAGAATCTCTCGCAGTCGAAGAAGTAACAGCAGTTCCAACTTCCAAACCGGCTTGACTAGAATTAATAGTATACGCAACGATATTGGTGGATCAATCAGAGGACCTCCGATACCACAGCGCGGAGCGAGAAAGAATACCGAAAGTAGTGTGGGAAGTAAAGGGAGCAGTGCGAATAGTTTCGACCTTGGTTACGCACAAATTACAAGCAGCCAGAGGTGGGCCCATGGTTTGGCGGGGAGGTCTTCAAGCTTTGATTACGGCTGTGATCTCCAAGCAACTTCTCAATCCATCCTGGGAAGACATATGAATAATATACACGTACCTTCTGCATCTCCATACGACTACGACGCGGCTCCAACACCAACAGTGCCTGGCGGTCCACGACGTCCTCGACCTACATCCCCAATTCTGGTTTCACGACCCGATCTTGCCATGATCGATCCTCCAATGGAAAATTTGGAGAGGAAAAGAAGTGCAAAATCTTCAAAGAGCGCACACAAACCGAGGGGTTTCACCAATCCTGCCAGGTATGAATATGGCCTTGATGATCGCAGTAAAGAATTGCCACCCATGCCGGCTTTCATAAAAGAACAATCTCCTTCACCTGGTGGGGCATATTCAAAAGCCAAAGATGCTCCTCAGCACGCGCAACCTTCCGGTCAAGCGCCCAAGGAAAAACCTGGTTTTTTTAGAAGGGTTTTCGGTTCTTCCTGGAACAACAGTGGGAACAACAGTGTTGTGGTACCCGACCCACCGCCTTCGCACGGTTCCACTACGTCCACTGAAACGACGGAACGTCCAGGTAGCAGAACTCATGCTGCTAACACAATGAAATTTAACAACGTATTACCACCTCGAGAAAATCCACAAGCTCCGAAAGAACACCCGCATGTACTTACCAAAAAGCCATCATCGTTCTTCCGCCGGCGTAAGAAGTCTGTGTCTGACCCCGAACCTGTTCCCCTGCCAGCAATGCCGTTGCCATCCATGATGCTCGAGCCACACAAATTGCGACCAGACATTCCAGATTTGCAGCCTGAGGCTAGTCCTGTAAGTAGTCTTCGCCAGGTTATGAACCCATATCTACACAGCCCAGGGAGACCTCCATTTGAGGCTCATCTACCAACCGCTAGCCTTGATCGGCAAATTAATGATATTTCCGATGATTTTGAACGCAAAAGCCATGTAATGGGCTTTTCTCCGAGTTACGACCCAGACCCAAATGCTACAATCCGACAAATACCTCCTTCGAAACCGGCATCATCGCATGCTGGGGATAGCCGCCAATCATCTTATTCATCCATTAAACAACCGCGTAGATCCGCGAGTACCAATTTGGCTATGCCTGGTGGATTTGACGGGCAAGCCAAGGAAGACCGTGAAACATCCTTCCATGGTACTAATGAGAGTGATCGTGACGCGAAGTTTAATTTGACGACCACGAAAGATGTACCTGGTAGTACATTGTTACCCAGTCCGACCTCTCCTGGTCTATCTTCTTCAGTGGCGAGGGATATGGCTACTGTTGCGGAGTATGAAAGAATACACTCAAGACGCTCACCGACGACCTCCAAAAACTCACCAGAATCAGAGGCCAGCCCAGTGGAGCCTCTTTTAGAGTCCCCTCTAAGTACCGTGAATTCCAAGGACAGTCAGGCACTATCGATTGGTCCTGCCAAAGAAGAAGAGTGGGTAGTGCTTGCTCCTTCTAAGTCGGACTTGCCAGAGAAAGATCGTGTTTGGTTGGAACCTGGATCATCGGAAGAGGATCTCCCAGCGACAAATACCTTGAAACCTAAACTCGCGAACTCGATTGCGGCTTCCGGATCTACCGATACCATATATAAATCGGCCGTTAGTCTACCACTTTTACAAGTCGAGGGACAAGAAGAAGGCCCGCCTGCTAGCCCTCCACCAATGTCTTACAAGGAAAACATTGCGCCATTTGACTTCCCAGAATTTGAAGGAGTTGATGATACAGAACCCACAGAAGAAGACCTGATTAGAGCACAGAAGTTATACGACGGCAATGAAGATTTCATTCCAAAGGAAAAGGCGACGGCATGGATGGGAGACGAGGGAGCTGTTCGAGCAAGGACTCTGAAGGCGTATATGAGTCTTTACGACTTCACGAACCGTAACATACTCGCTTCGATGCGTGTAGTTTGCGGTAGACTGGTGCTTAAAGGTGAAAGCCAACAGGTTGACAGAATATTAGATGCTTTTTCTAAGAGATGGTGTCAAAGTAATCCCAATCATGGATTTAAAACTACAGGTAAGTTGATGCGCAATGCCCATTTTATATCAATCTAATGCGTTTAGATGTCGTGCACACAATTTGCTACTCGGTTCTTCTGCTCAACACAGATTTGCATATCGCCGATATTGAGCAAAAGATGACTCGTAGTCAGTTCATTAAGAATACAATGCCCACGATACGACGAAGTGTCGCAGATTCAGTGCATGAATTTGAGCCCATCAGACCCACGGTACTCCCTGGAAAAAGCTCCGCTTTCGATGATCCCAATGTTAACGACGATCATGCCGACGCTGTATCAATTGAAGTTTTTGAAAAACCTTCTTGGAGGTCTTCATTCAAGCCTGCCCCGCGTCAAGATCCTGACAACCCAAATGCTCCCACGCCTCTAGATTATGATACCCCTATGGATGACTGTGGACCCTTAGTTAAGGCACCTTTTCGCGGAACTTTACGTACCTGGGAAGTGCAGGTTGAGATTGTTCTCAAGGACTTTTATAACTCTATTCGCAATGATCGTCTTCCGCTATTTGGTGCCGGCGATAGGTCACAAATTCAGGCTTCATCTAATACTCTTTCAGTGTTCGCCAATGGCGTGTTACGCCGTAGTCCCAGTGTTTTGAGCAAAGCTCCCTCAGAGTCGCCCAGTTATCTTCGCGGGAGAACCGCAGAAACTGTACGCACAAATGGAAAGTGGAGCAACAAAACTCGATCGAGACCTCGTCTATATCCCAATTCAGCCTTGGGCTCTAGTCGAACTAGTTTGGATGATCAATCATCTATGTGGAGTCCCTCCGTATCGTCTAGTACTTGGAGCAAGTATTCTCTTGGCAAACACACCTCGATGTCTGTAGACTCTCTTGGTTCTGTCTTCCAAGGTGATTACCAACAATCTATTGGATTTGCCAATGCTCTTAGTCAAGCAATTATCCGCGAAGAAACAGTCCATAATCCAGGCAGCAGAGGCAGTGACCATGAAGAACTTCGTGTTGCTCCTCTGCTCGATGATGAATCTTTAGAACTTGCTGGTGCGCCATGGGCAAAAGAAGGTATGGTAACGCACAAGCATCATCTGGAAGCTCTTGACAAAAAAGCAAAGGATCGCAACTGGAGTGAAGTATTTGCTGTCATCGAAAAGGGTTACATGAGCTTGTTCTCATTCTCTACGAAAAGCGTGCGAAAGCCTAAAGTTAAACCAAATGGTGGAGTTGTTGGTGGTGGGAATTGGCAGGAGAACGCAGAAAACCTTGGCTCATTTCTGCTTCGACAAACTATTGCTAGTGCGCTGCCTTCACCGGGCTATTCCAAGGCTCGTCCTCATGTTTGGGCGCTTTCCTTACCTACTGGAGCGGTACATCTCTTTCAAGTAGGCACAGCAGATATTGTTAAAGAATTCGTCACAACAGCCAATTACTGGAGTGCTCGTTTATCAAACCATCCTCTCGTTGGTGGTATCAGTAATATCGAGTACGGCTGGTCTGATGACATCGTAAATAACCCTCTGGTCACCGCGATCAATGAACAAAACACTAGGCCATCAACCTCTGGTGCTAGACCTAGCATGCAAAGTTCTTTACGATCAAGCTTGGATCACGGTTACGTGGGTGGTATCAGGTCGAGGTTACCGGGCGATAGAATCGCCATAAATGACTGGAGTCCTCCAATACAGAGTATGAGGGCTAGTAACTTAATGGAGCCGGATCAGCTAAGAACATTGACTGCTTATGTGCAGAGTGTTGAGGAAGAATTGCAGAGACATAATATGTTGAGGAATCCTATGCTTTTGGCTGTAAGTTTGTGCATGCCTCCGTCCTTGAAGTCTGACTAACTTAAAAAAAAAGTACACACCACGTCACCCCAACGCTCAAAAAGCAATGGCAAATTGGGAAAAGAAATCCTCGTACTTGCTTCGCGAAATTGTGAAGTTTACAACATATATTGATAGTCTGCATACAGCTGAGGTAGGCAGACAAAGAATATATGCTGAAAGAGCTGCGCATCAAGCCGTCGCTGAGAGGAAAGATGAGGATGAAGAAGCAGAGGGCAACACTACAATCACCAAATGAAACTTACAAAATCATTTGTACGAAGAAAGATGAAGATACATTATGACGATTATGTATATACGACACGGATGACTCTGCGTTAATAGAAACCTCGATATTGTGTTTTTCTTGACGGAATAAAAAATGGGATGATTTGAATGGAAAGGGGAATGGCAAAGGAAAGGAATGGCGTTTTACATTTTTGCTTAAGGGGAACCTAGAACGCTTTAATATTCCGGCACGATGAGTGACGGGCTTCTTATTACTATTTCGTCAATTTAGCTTGCGTGGACTTTTGGCTTGATTTGGCTTTCTTGCTCTTCGGATTAGAAATGCGGGAGCGCGTTCTTTATTTTTGTAATTCGAATTATTTCGTCTCTGGTTTGCAAGTTTTGTTGGTTGGTTGGCTGTTTTTTGGTTGATTGAGTCTATACCCCGTTCGCTGCTGTTGTCGTTGCTTGCTTGCTTGCTTGGATTTTGTTTTTGGGAACGAGGAAAGAGGGAAGAGAAATGAGAAGCAAGAGAAAATGGGGATGAGAAGAAATTCTATGGCTCGGTGAGGAAGACAGTGTGCTTTATCATATAGCGCTTATGAAGAGGTGGAGGGAGATGGGACAGGGGGAAAAGGGAGGAAATTGGGAGGGGTAGTGGATTGGTTGAAAGAGCTTAAGGCAGCTGGGTTTTACTTTGCTTGGCTTTGCTTTGCTTTCCTCTACGGAAAAAGAGAAGAGCGGATAATGGATTGATTGGATTGGGGAATACGAGATACGAGATACAAGGTGAGAACAGAAGAGAGAGAGGGAGAAACATCGCTGTATATATATATTTATATACTTGTATTAATATTTTTATTTATTTATTTTTATTTCTAAAACTAAAGTGATATAAGAGATATAAAAAATATATAAATAAGTAAGTTTATAAATAAATAAAAATAAAAATTATTATAAAATTACTAAAGGCCTGCGCCCCCCGGACCCCTGGCTTTTCAAGAAAGTCTAATGAAAATTTAAGTTTTAAAAAGTTTATAATAGATTTAAATATTAAATATATATTAAAGTATAAATAAAATATCGGTTTGTTTTGATAATTAAAAATTAAAAACTTGATTTAAAAATAATATTTATAATAATAATTTATATTATTTATAATAGTATCTAATATCATTATATAATTATTATAAATATTATAATTATTTTGAGTTGAATGAGATGAATTGAGTGAGATAAATTGAATGAATAAAGTTGAATGATTTTAATTGAGTTGAATATTTTAATTGAGTTGATTGATTTCAATTGAGTTAAATGATTTCAATTGAGTTGAAAAAAGCTTTTTGTTAGATTTTCTATAGGGGTATTTTAAACCAATCAGATTATCAAGATTGTAATTCACTTAAGCGAATTTCTCATTTTCTATAATCTATACTGAGTAAATTATAATATATTATATATATAATAAGGTTTTAATATTGGTAAGTTGATAATTAATAAATAAAAATTATAATTTTTAATAAAAAAAACAATCTAAGAGAGAGATGATATAAAAGTAGACACAGTAATATTTTATAAAACGTTTACTCTATTATACGAAAATCAAATAAAATATTCACCCAGAGAATAATGCCCCTGATGACCCCGGGTATACCCCACCCTTCGCCCAGCCCCGCGCTAATCCGCATACGACTCCCTATATGGTCGTTATGGTCGTTATGGTCGTTATGGCCGATTCGTTTATTTCGATCTCTGTTTGCCAGCATCGCATAAAACGCCTCTTCAGAAACAGCATGATTGATCTGGATAGAACTCCCAGAAGCTTCGTTGTTACGAATCTCCAGATGAGAAACCTCCTCCCTCCATCCCTTTTCGCCAATTGGCCCATTGATCTGAAGGGCTTGTTCCCTTGTCACATTATTTAGGGTAATCCGACGAGACAACCACCCTGCATCTTTTGAATTTCCTCCTAAATCATCACCACTTGTCGTTATTCGTGAAAGATCTTCACCTTTAATGTGCACGAATCCATCATCTTTTGTCTGTTAGCAGATTTTGGGAAATGGGGGACTAGCATACTCTGAGGGTGTTGGTTCTTGACCAATTCAGCAATCCTAAGACCTCCTTCATCTCCAAATATATTACGAAGCAGCTGGTCAACTCGATTGAGAATATCTGTATTTATAGCAAGATCATCACCAACGCCGTGCGTCACGCCTACGTTGGCAACATGTAGGCTGAGACCTAAATTTGACTTTGCACGATCCAGCCGCTCCATGAGTTTGGCCAGCCTCTCTTGATCTTTCGATCCCTTCGCGATTTGGTGAGCAAAACGGCGCGCTTGACTTTTCTCCCCTGGCATTGTCGATTCGAGATGCTCAACGAGTTTTTCGGTTATTTTGCGAATGTTTTCGATTTCCGAGAGAACAGCCGCAGTTCGTAAATTAGATTCGTTCTTGACGAGCTCTATGATGGTAAGGATGCCTTGGATTTCGATAACACGCGATTCGAAAACTTCCTCGAAAGCTTTCATGTCGCCATAAGCCTTATGAAGTCGTTCGATGATGCTTATAGCCGATTCTAATAAGCCTGATGCAGCAGAGACGGCTCCGAGAACGTCGAGTCCTGACTTAGCTCAATGTTAATACATTATTCGTGGCTTGATGCTGGAGAAAGATTACCATTTCGTCTTAAGTATGAATTCTTTGCCAGAAGCTCAGTCCAAAAAATTAAGTCGATGATAAGGGTCAACTTCTACTGTGAGGGGGTAACAGAGTCTACACTATTAATGCACAGCTAAACAGCTCAGGGCGGTTGCATTCAAGTGGATCCGTATTCATTGGACATCATCAGTTTATACCTGCAGTTACAGATAAGCAATGACAAGTACCCACCGATTGGCCTCAGCCGCTTTCCATAAGCGCCTGCGACGTGTTGAGTGGAAACCTCCACTTTTACTCGATTAGTTTAGTTCTTGCCCAAACCACCGGTTCACTCATCATTTTTATGTTTTCTCAAAAGTGATACGAGATACAACCTGCTTGGGTCCTTTACTTGTTTCGGCCGTTAGAAATTTTTACAGACAGTTCAAAAACTTGTTTAATGATATAAATCTTATTTCTAAGTTGGAATATAGATGGCTTCAACTATTTCGTCGTACGTTGCAAGTGGAAACAATTTGGTAGGAAACGGGAATATACAAATCAATGGCCCAATAATGGGGAATGTGAATTTTCCATCTACCCACTGCAAGTATCCTAACAGATCTTGCGGAGATCAAGTCTCAACCTCTTTTCAGAGGCTGATTTTCAGAATTTGGCAGTAGCAGGAGAACAAAAGAAAAGACAAGACGAATGTTTCAGTGCACTCTTCCTGACGCACCCCGGGACCGACAAAGAAGGAATTTGTAGTCGTAATGGTAATCCAGTGAAGAGTACATGCTAATCGACGGTCACACGGGTTCGGTGATGTCCATTTGTTTCTGTTCAGATGGTACAAATTAGCTTCATGCTCAATCGATGAAACAACTCGGCTTTGGAATCTCAACATTGCGATAAGTAGATCATCACCAAGGATTAGAAAGAATCGAAACCTGTCCTCTCGGTAGAGAATTCTACAAGTGCTTTATTCGCCGAAGGGCAGCTTGATAGCTACAGCCGCTAAAGATCATCTATCTTCATTCTGGGAGATAAAAATCTGGAATTCGAAAACTGGTAAATTGAACCACATGCTCAAGAGAAGTACAGAACCATCTGCAGTACCACTTATGTTTTCGCCCAATAGTGAAATAATTGCTGTAAAGTAACTTCTGAACCGTCACACTCTCAAATACGGCATCGGGCAAGCATTTACAAATGCTACGAGTTAATAGAGGTGAAATACAAGCCGTGGCATTTTCGCCAGATAGCACGATCATAATTCTATGCATGAACGATGAAGTCCAACTCTGGAATACGCAAACGGGTCAATTTTTGCGAAGGCTTGAGGTAGGTGGAAGAGGTCGCGTATTTCTGGCTTTGTCATCAGATAAAAAAGCGCTAGCTCTGAGAACTGAAGCCGGGGTCTCCACAGACACCGAAATCTGGAACCTTGCAACGGGCGAGGTTAAGGAAATGAATAGTGTTCCAGAATCTGCAGATGACGATAGCCTGGTGTTCCCCTCGCTTAAGTTTTTGTTAAACGGCGAGCTTTTGAGTATGAAACATCTTTACGGCAGCAGGAACTACTTTTGGGATATGGCAACCGGGAAGTCAGTGGTTGTACAAGATGATACTGAATTCAAGGCACCAACTCTTTAACGATCAACAACTGGATAACCGAAAGAACGAGTGATGTGAGGCTGCGTAATGTTCTTCGGCTCCCTACGGAATATCAAACCCGGCATGTAAAGAGCTATGATGGACTAATACCAATCGGTTTAGATTCAGGAAGGATCTTTTGCTTAAAGATCGGACATGATGAAGACGGTGGGTTTATAAAAGATGTGGGGACATGGGGAGGTGAATCTAATATTGATGAGGAATCTGAGGAGGAAAAATCAGAAGAGGAAAGCCTAGCAGAGCCAGAGAAGGAAAGTGAGTGGGTGAGCGATAGTTCTGATGAAGAGGAGGAGGATACGAGATCTCCTGGGAGAATGGAATCGGAAAGGAAGCCCGCGAGTCTGAAAGAGGCAGGGAAGAAATTTTCGGGAGGGGGACAAGAAGATCCTAAAGAACAATGGGAAGATACGGAGTCCGATGAATAGTCGCAGAAGGAGGTGCTTCTGGAATCTAAGGATAGCACAAGCGAGCACAGTCTAAAAATTTCTAGCTCATTTAGTCGGTGGAGGAAGAATTTAAAGAATCGGATAAGAGATAAGAGAACTTACATACGGAAAAAGTGCAGAATTTAAAGAAGGATGCGGTGCAACGGGCGGAGATGAAATCGAGGATGAAAAGAGTTAATACTATGAAGAAACGAATCATCGTTAACATCATTGTTCGTATGACGAACCGCGCCAGCAATAACTATTCACTGTCAACACCTTTCTGCTCTTTCTGTACTTCAATTTGTTTGAGCTGATCTTGAGACGGGTAGTCATCCGTTACTTGAGATGATGAAACGTCAGAGATAGGTTGCCAATCTGGGATTTGTGGGCTCACAGTATTACGTCTAGCGGTATATCTAAGCTCTTTAGACGAAGTTGTTTTTGACATTTTTAAGTTTTATTAAGACCCATAAATATATCTGGGGAAATACCACCGAAGAAACTTTCTTTATAGAAAGACTGTGTCCAAAGATATTAGGATACCGACACATGGGAGAACATATCGGGTGTTTAATACAGAAAAATAAAAAGGGTTTGTGAAAGGGTTTGTGAAAGGGTTTGTAAAAGGGCGATTTGTAATTGGCCACTGCTAAAACTTTGCAAGGCTAGTTGTCAATCTCTAAGAATGACCCATCGCCCTTGGGTATTTTTGCCCGTGTATACTTCTCTCATCCGCATTTGCTTCCCGTCTCTTCCGAGTTTATTTCTTCCCCCGCCCACGCACCACCCGAGGTCATAAAGAAGTACGCATACCTCCCTTTCCAATTTTACCAACCCTCTTGGCCCAAACTAGCCATCATTTTCTACTTCCTTTTATTATCCCCATAATAAGACTGACCCTATTCCCACCACCCTCTCCCTCATTCGATTCTTAAGGTGCTGCGACCCTCCTCTCGCTAATTAGTCATACTAAAATCAAGCGGCTCAGTACACTCAATAATTCTTTTCGCCTCAATTCCAGCCCTATAATCACTGCCCCAGCATTAATATTCCTTATTAAAAACAACCTCACACGATATGATGTTTCCTGTTCAAAATCTCAATATCTGGCATGCGCGTATTAGCTATATGACAATGCGCAGCGCTAGCTCCATCCCAAGTAGGACCCACGCCCGTGCCACCACGCCGTTTCGCGAAGTAAAATCGTATCTGTCTCTGGCTTTAACATTTTGACCTCCAAAAGATACGAGGCTGTTCACGCAGCCTATATCCGCACCCACTTTCTTCGTGTCCGATCACCCATTTACAATATTTATAGCTATGCCTCTTTCCAAACAAGTCTACATCAGTCAACCTCCTCTAATAAAAAGAGCTTCGGATAGTTCGACTGAATGATCATTCCATCATATGAGATACGTATTGGCGGACAGGAAAAGACTTGGTCTCTTTAGACAATTCACGCGGGGCTGGCCATAATTGTTGAATTACAAGAAAACTACTCATGATAAGGTCTACACCGAACTCATTAAGTTCTGTAGTCTGAAATTATCTCTTTTTGTTATCTTCAAAGCAAAATTTAGAACTTGTGCAGCTGGAAATGGATGAGAAGGAATACCTCCAGCTCCGAGACGAACCTCAACCTTGGAGGCAAGTTTGATAATCGTATATGCGAATTACTTCCTAGTCACAAGCATTAAGGACCAGTAGCATTCTGGCAGTTGAACACGTCAATTCGCATCCCATTCTGTCTGTTTTCTGAGAAGGAATGTAAAATGAGCTAACCTAGAAGTGGGAAAGCACCAAAGATAACGGGAAAACAAATGCTTCTCTTTCCTCTGCTAACATGGCAGATGATAGACTCGCATGTGGTTGGTAGCATCATCTACTTAAAAATCATATCGATCATATATACCACAATTTGGAATGAGGGTGGGGTAAGTAGGGTAGGTAGGGTGGGTAGGGTAGGTAGGGTGGGTAGGGTAGGTAGGGTGGGTAGGGTAGGTGGGGTAGGGGTGGGTAGGGTGGGTAGGGTGGGTAGGGTGGTGGGGTGGGTGGGGTAGGTAGGGTAGGTAGGGTAGGTAGGGTAGGTAGGGAAGGCCTATACAGACGACTACTAGTATGCACCAAGTATCCATAAATTAATGACATTCTCGAGACACAATATCAACCTACAAACGACGCCAACCATGCCCTTATTTGTTTACTTTTCTCAATTTTCTCTCCCTCAACACCGCTGGAACCATTCTCCGCCCAACCCATATGCCCTTACATGCCACTCCCCCTTCCACTCCAAACTCTCGAACTTTCCTCAACCAACCACTCTTTCCGCTGCATCCATATGATACGGGTGACATCCAACAATCATCTCATATCGATGTCATATTATCATTCTACCTGCCGCCTTCCTATTCTCCCAGCGCACTCGCGAGTTCACTGTTATATTCCACCCAATCGGAAATCTGCTTAATCCAATCAAGGGCCCTTTCAATCCCGACAGACTTGGAAACCAACATTCCATTTGGATGCGATACCATAGGACACCCCAATTCTCAGTACATTGAGCAATTTCATCTTGTAGATGATCTTTCTAGATTCCCAAATCCTGACACGTCTCTTCAAGTTTCTCCAATATCTCAAGTGAGATTTCATAAGATTCATTCAAATTTTTCCTGCCTCTTCTCTCAAGTGCCGATGCGCTTTTTCGGCTGTATGTCCTAGCTGCGGAATCTGGCTGATGGTACTCATTGTGGTGTCTTGATGGGCTCGATATAGTGATTGCATGTCTTCTATTTGGGTTTTTGCGAATGATTCTTTCTTGGCGGTGATGGCTAGTCGTCTCCACCACCATTCCTTCGGGTCTGGTGGACTTTGAATAGTTTTTTCGAGACTTCTAGCAATCTTCTTGATCTCGGCCGTCTTCCGTTCCGTGTCGATACTTAATGTCGTTCTGGCTTTCTTTATCGCATCGGAAAAGTCGTCATATTTATCGCTGGCAAGAGCTTCAGACTGGAGAAGTTGTTCTAGAGCTGGGTATACGGTATGGGAAAACAAACGACGGATGTCTGAAAGTTGGGCTTCGATATTTCCCCGTTGTAATGTGATTAGCTTCTGCTCATCTACATACATTAACTTGCGAACGAGTGGGCCTGCTTTGTTTTCTTGACATGCTCGGTAGTTGCCAGCTTCGGCGAAGCGTGGTGATCCGCTGGGCTGATATGAAACATTTTCGTAAGATGATGTAATTGAAATTTCCGTTGCCAGTGCACCGATAATCAAAACGAGGATGCAAGCGAGCCATTTTATGCATATCGTCGTCTTACGGCCAGACACCTTCGGTTCTGTTTCTCTGCTCGGCACAGCGGCATCTGCTGAAGCATCCGAGGTTTTTGGCATTGCGAGTGAGAAATTGTCAGCGATATTAGAGAGGAAAATATGACTTGGGATTAGGTATGAAATAATTTGATGTTTTGTATTGTTATTGTTGTTAATTCTGGCGGATGGTGATGCACTGATGGCGCGTAAGTAGGTAGGTTGAAAAGGGAAGAGAATTAAAGGGGACTTGGAAAGCTCAGGATGTTGAATGATTGTTGGGTGACTGATGTGAAGGAACTTTCTAACAAGAATATCTCAATTTCCATCTAAAGTCCCAGCTAAGACAGCTTTCAAGGCTTATGTTTCAAGCAATGCTACTGTTTCTTGGGCATTCTCTTCTTTTATTAGTCGGTTCTAGGTGGTTTGAAGAGTAGTTCTATTATTTTATGATAATATTCTTTCCGCTACTCCACTTGCATTTAGTCAGCTCAGTAGTTGGATGGATTTTACAGAATTTTCGGTGTTTGTTCCATACATTGCTTCCTCGTCTCGTCACCTGCTTGCTACGGAGATATTGTCAGTCTGAAGATCTGCACGGGTTTTCTCCAGAATTGGGGCTGTGCTGCAGACGAGAAAGTTGTTTGGGTTTCCAGGTGGAGGATCCTTACGTCTCTCTTCTTGAATTAGTTGGCATCCTCTCATTAAATGAAACATTGTTCCAAGAACAACAGCTCCTTATGGCCTACACGCCTTTTTGAGGCGTTAATATCTCCTCATTAATACGGCTATCAGAAGTCTCAGTGTAGATTTATTGGAAGTCTCCATGGGCTACCAACTTATCGGTTTTGCTTGACCAATAAACCATCTAACATTTTTCCATTCTGCCAACTCCCATCCTCGTAATCAAAGTAGCTATTTCTCATACAAGTGCATGAGAAAGGATGGATATCATAGCACAAATTCGTTATTTTTCGTGTATTCGCAATTAAAGTTGGCCAACAAAGAGTCTATCTCTTGTGCAGATGAAATATCACATTTAAAATAAATTATAGCTATATTATCACTGTTCTACCATCCATCATCTTCCAATACTTAAAAGTCTTTGGCTCAAGAATCTTCATATTCCATTAAGTTTTGTTGTTAGTTTGGGGGTGGTGCTGTGTGCCGTGTCTCTATCGTATCGTGCGTCTATCCGTGTCTCTGAGAGGATTCTAATGATTTCTTTGATCTCGTGTTTCAAATTGTTTAAGGTTATCAAAGTTCCATTACCATTTTTGCTTGGTTCTGCAATCGCACGAGAAATCTAGTTGGATGTTCGAATGATTTAGAAAGCTCACGACTGAGCAGTCATTGGATAAACAATATCTCAAACGAATTCTGTTCTTCTTTCATGTCTTGAACCCGACTCAACTTTGCGACCTGACAACATTGAAAATTAAATTCTACTTCAGAGTTGAGGATAATTTGAAAATTTCCTTCATCGAAGCCAGGCTAGAAATGCGTGACGGCTAAGAAATGTCATCGAGAATTATGTATTGCCTCTGCCATTCTTAATTAGTTTGTACAGCTATAATTGGAATTTAGACGAAGAAGAAACACAATATAGAATGTGTGGCTAGTTCCCTGTCTATCCTTCACCTCTGCATCCCCTTGTGAGTTCCTTGTTTTTTCTACTCCTTTGTGTTTGTAAACTTGTCCCGTCTTATCGTTCAAAGAGATCTAAATTTGGAAACTTCTACACTTCGCATCTCTTTGTTAGAATATGATAGATAGATCGGTCCAGCCCAATAATGCGAACTTCATCTTCTCCATGAACTCATCCTCAATCTGATCGAAATCCCATCTATCTTAACCAGAAATCATGTCTGGTGTCAGTTGTTTTCCAAAGCATGTCTCCATCTTTTACAACCTTGATATATCACCATACCGGCCTTTAGAAGAGCAACTGCGAAGACTAAAAGCTTTCAAGATAATGACTCATCCAGACAAACAAAACCACAATAATACCGAAGCAGTAACGAATGCGACTTACGTGTTCCAAATTTTAGCACCATATAAAAATATTCTCCGCTCGGAATTTAGCTTGAGATATTACATCAAGGAAAGCGAGAAACAAATACAAAAATGGGACGAAGCACGCGAGAGAAGAATGCAACAACGTTATGGTGGGATGAAACCGTGGTTTTTCTCCTACAACCCTGACCCCAAGTCGTTTCTAAATTGGGCAGAGCTGGTTGATTCCATTCATGCCTTCGGTGTGATTTTCCCCTTTCCACCAGATATGGTTGATTCTTTTTGGAGCTCGGAAGTTTTTCGTGTTGGGGAACCGGGAAAACATACACAGGTGCATATGTATGATGAAGGTTGTAGAGAGTTCACATTAGATGTGGATTCTAAAAGATGGAATATGCCGACGTGGACATCGAGGGGCTCGGAAATTGAATACACTAAATATGATAACATAGTGAAAGGGAAGGGTGAAGATCTTGTAATGAAATATATTTGGGTGGTTCTACTTATTGGTTGGTCTATAGGACTATTGACAATATGGTTGCTTTTCAAATTCTTCCGGTACTTGTTCTCCCGGTACGTGTTCTCCCGGTACGTGGTTGTTGGCGAAAGCAGAGCCAGTAAGTCTATTGGCAATGGTGAAGCCCTGAAGAGGAGGACGAGCAGAGCTTCTAATATCACTTTACCTTTGGAGAACGAAACTGGAAACACTGTCCCGAATCAACCATCACAAACTAAAAGCACCATCTCGAACCAACCATCACAAACTGAAAGCATTGCCTCGGATCAACAAATTGGAAACACTATCTCGAACCAACCATCACAAACTGAAAGCATTACCTCGAATCAATCATCACAAACTAAAAACACTGCCTCGAATCAACCATCACAAACTGAAAACACTACCTCGAATCAACCATCACAAAAAAGTCTCGAGAGTCCGGAATGCACAGCTTTTGAAGCATAACACGCCTTGGTGTTAGTAGGGGGATTCTACGGCGGACAGCACGTTCAAAGCGGAAGGAATACATCGAGTAGAGAGCATCATTGGATAGAGAACAAGAAAATGCAAGAAGGGAAGATTGTAGCGAGTTAGATTGGCTAGGTTGGCTAAAATTCGGTTTCCGTATTGGTTTATGAGGCTTGTAGTGTGGTTATGCAGGTGCTGGAAATTTTTGATGGGCAGGATTTTTGGAGAGAGCGGGCGGAGCTGATTGACAGGGAAGGTGTAAGGTGGAGAAGTTGGAGGTGTTGACTGATGAACGAGGGACAGGAACATAGGTTTAGGTGCAAGACACCAATTATGGAGTTCGAAAACTATCACACTGAGTAAGCGTACCAATTGCAAGAGGACACCTATCAGAGTTAGCAAGATTTCTTGATTTTGGTGTGCTCCGTCAAGGAAGTGCCGACATACATACAGGGTGGAAACAATAGGATATCTTCGATTTTCATTGATGGAGTTTAATGCGACTCTATCTTAGACATGTCTAACACCATCTCTTCTGTGGCTCGGTCAGATGAGCATTTTAGAACATTCAAGAGTCGTTCTAATTCATAGTGCTTATTCTTACTCGGTCTTGCTGTTCAAATATGTCCTCCTAGCTATAGATTTTAGGCACTGCTATATACCCGCAATGCTTGTTACACGTCTTGGCTGTTTATATAAAAGAATTTCTTTCCCGTCTCGAATCCCCAACTCCAAAAGCTTTCTTCATTACTTCATTTTACTTTAATCTACTTTACATTGCACGTATTTTCCATACTGCGATTGATGAATGAATGAATATCTATCGGTGACTACCAAGATGTGCAAGACAAAGACAACTATTAGAATAAATCAATGCATGCATTATCTACGAAGAGTTATGGGAAAAACCTTTCCCGCAAGCAGTTCATTCAGTTGACCTTCCCATACTTGTCTTCTCAGTACTTCATTATTCCGCTGGATTTTGCCATGGAAACCTGGGAAGACTTGGTGGACTGCGCATGCATTAGCCGTTGTTAAAGGCCAATGATGTCTTTGTCCACCAAATTTTATGCTGGTTTGACTTTCCAAAAGTTGACTTGACGCTGCGGATCCGAGTATCCATCGCGGCATGTTGTCGGATTGGCTGTGGTCGACTTGAAATTTACGACGACCCATTTAATAGTCCAAGGAGACGAGAAAGAATATAGCAGGTAAAGCTAGCCGAAAATTAGGGAGGGAGGTAGTTCTTTTTCCATGGATTTTTTTTGGGAGATTTGCGTGTGCATTACCGCATTGTTAACTGCATTTGTTAAAGCTCTGGGTTGGGAAAATAGGTTGAGTATAACAAGGGGTGGTTGCGGCGCTGGCGAGACCCCTCCTGTGATATGGATTCATTGGAAGTTAGTAGATTAGCGTAGAAGCCCTTCAAAATTCCAGCATTCTTTAGAAGCTTTAAGTTATTTTAGCTTTGTTTTTACTCGGTTGTTGAGAGGGGGAGAAGTCTGATAACTGGTGGAACGACGGAAGCTAGCGCTTCGCTTGCTGGTGCAGCTCCCTCTTGCATCGTATAAATTTACCGCATTTCATGACTTTCTTTCCTCGGTCTTTGCCAAAGCTACGGGAGGACGGCTCGAAAAGTAATGCGATTATAGGGCCTTACAGGGTGCTAGCACTATAATACGTTGTAATTCGACCTTTCACATCGAACCTTGAAAATTAATCGTTAATTAGGTTCTAGAGAACCATTCCAACCCTATAGTTTTATCCGATTCGGATTAGGATTAAAAATAATTTATCATACGCTAATCCTTATAGATTCGCTAAATGTTAAATAGCGTTAGTTAGGTAGTCCAAGTGTAAAACTACAGGCCTTTTATAGTGCCAACAGCCTGTAAAGCCCTATAGTCGCATTACTTTTCGAGCCGTCCTCCGTACGCCATTGCTAGCACCGAAACCCGTGCATGACCAAGCCGACCACCTCTTTAGACATAATCCAAATAGCTCAACCAATTGCGGACATCGCGAAGTCTTTATCTAGATCCAATTTGAAGGAGACGCTGGAAGGGATGGAATTGGGGATTGTGGGGACAAGATCGATGTTGAAACTTGGTGGAGAGGAGGGGAGGAGATTTTCAAGGCGATCGCAAACAAAACTGAGCAGCAAACAGTGCAGATACTGCCGTCTAGACTCTATATGACTTCTTCAGATCAAAACTACTCTGCTGCCTTCAAGGTCAGTTGTTAGCTGTTTGCATGCGGAGTTTGATTGTCCCTGCGTCTGGTTGTACTGCGTAGCTTAGTTGGGAGAGATTTGGTGCTTTTGTTGATTTAATAAAGGTTTTAATAAGATATAGGTGGATAATTGTTTGCCTCTGCAGTGTTTTATGTCTACTACGAAACTTGAGAAGCCAAGATCTACGAGGTTCGGAAATTCGAAGGTTGACATTGAAAAAGCCGGATAAGTCATGAACCAAGAACGGAAAACGTGCCCACTTCTATCAAGTTTTATCTCTATACTTTCTTATATACATGTACAAAAAGGTATCAGTCATCTTATATCATATCCTATCATATCATATCAAAAGTACTATAATCTATTTTATTCAAACAAAAACGAAAAAGAAAAAAGAAGAAAATAACAACATATGTATATGACCAACAGACTTTTATCCAACAGTCCAATTCTCCACCCTTGTGTGTTTACCCATCCATTCCTACCCCCGTCCCCACACCCATCCCCATCCCAGTCCCCCAATGGTATAATATGGTATATGACATCCAACTCCAGAAACAAAAAATCAAACAAACAATCAACGGAACAACATCATAAATCAAGCAAGGGTATCTAGTTCCTCCCTATTACCATGCATCTCCTGTTCCTCTGTCTCATCAGCTTCCTCTTCCTCTTCCAAAAATCCCAATCCACTATCATATCTTCTCTTCTTTTTCTTTCCACTAGCAGCCACACCACCACTTGATTTTCTTCTTGCCAATCCTGTATCCAAATATTTACCTTTCCTTACGACTGGAGCTTTAACTTTTAAATCCCTTGAAAGTTCCCCAGCCTCCGTCTCACTAGATTCATCACAATCGCTCTCTACATATCCTCTTCCGATATCCATTATACCAGCGAGTTGTCTCCTCATTCCCTCAACCACCTTCTTTCCCCTTTTCTTTTCCCTATTGACTTCTCCCTTCAATTTCTCTGCGCAATTCTCGAGATCTTCGTTTTCAGTTTTCAAATCAGAGTTTTCTTGTCTCAAATTCTCAACGGCCTTTTGCGTGTTCTTCAAAATAAATGTCGTTCTTTCAAGCTCTTCTTGAAGTTCTTCTATCCGCTCATCACGTTCCGTTAATTGTTCGCTCATTCGACGATCAGAGAGAAGTATTTGTCCCTCTTTCTCGTTGAGGAGATTTTGAAGTGCGGTAGAAGCACTCAAAGCAGCTGTTAGTCTCGTTGAAAGCTCACCAACTATCATATTCTTCCCTTCAAGTTCCACAGCAAATGCATTCGCTCTGAAAATTTCACGTTGAAGTTGATCGTCCAGATTGTGTATCCCACGTTTCAAACCATCCTCGACAGCTTGATGTTCTTTTTCGATCCTCTCAACTAGGTTTTCCAATCCAGAGACCTCGCTTCGGTATCCATTTAGTGCATTTTGGAGACGTGAATTTGAAATTTCATTTTCAGTTACTTCCTTGGTCATCCGAGACACAGCAGTTGAAACAGCGGACAATTCTTTCTGTACATCATGCAAAGCATCAATACGAGCGGTTAGTTGTTGGCGAAGAATGACTTCTTGCTCATGATATTGGTCGATGGTTTCATCTTGTTTCCTTGCTTTTTCGGCCAGATTCTTGAGTCGGTCAAGTAGCATACTGAGAAGCTTGTCATTTTCGAATCCTTCAATTACTTCTCCAGGGGTGAGATACTCAAGCTCTAGTCTTGCTTTGCGGAATTGCTCGACAATGATTTTGATGGTCGTCTCAGGATCGGCGGAGAACCCCAGCGAAGTTACCTCAGTTGAAAGAGCATTAAAGGATGCTTCATTTTCAAGAACCTGAGCCTGGGCAATAGTAAGAGTCGTGAGAACGGAGTCAAGTGCCGAGTCGAGCGTTGAGTTATCATGAGATTGGTCCGATGAAATGTACGATGATAACTTTTGGAAAAGGCGGTATTCATGATCTTTATTCAGTGCCAAGGCGGAACTGACACTCTTAATCTCAGATTGTAAGTCAAAAAGTTGTGCTTCAAGCTTTGCGTTAAGAGGATCTAGAAAGTTTGCTTGTGTCGAGTTCGATGAGAAGGAAGGCTTTTGGGAAGATGTATCAGCTATTGTGGCAGGTGGCGACGGGAATGAAATGTTGTGTTGAGTGGACGTGTTCAAGAGATCACCGGGCTTGGAGAAGGAGCCGTTAAAATTCATCATCTTATGGTCGTCATATGAAGAGTCGATTACCATGCCAGTATCATCATCATGTCTGTTCAAGGTATGGTGATCCCCATCCACACTCATATTGTGATCGTCGTCATCGAAATCAAATGGATCTCGGGTTCCCGTTTGCCAGTCATGGTGAGCATCCGAACGTTCTTCTTTCTGTGATAATTCTTCCTTAAGCTCTTGAATCTCTTTTTCCATTTCTTGGAATTTCTCCACCATAGTAGCGTTTGGAAGAATAGACGTGCCAGCCTCGAATCCTAACTGGCTTGCGACGTCATGCTCATCCTGTATGCACTGTAATTCATAGTCCTTTTCCTCTAATTCCTTCCTAAGTCGAAAGATTTCCGATTTTCTTGCTTTCGCCTCGTGTTTTTTCTCCCATTCGACCTTATTGGTTTCCTCACTCAGTCCATTTCTCCTCATACGTCTCGTAACTCGGCCATCCAAAACTTGTCGTAGTGGGGCAAACTGTAATTCTCCGCAGAATGGCTCGTTGTCCTGCCGACGATCAAGAAGTCGTTTTACTGGTGCCGAATGTCGACGATTTGATTTCGCAGAAGAAAGAGAAGTCTTTCGAAAGAATGGTGTCAAGCCAGAAGATGATTGAAGAAGATTTGGTCCTGGGTCAGAAAACCTTACCCTCTTCTTGGATCTTTTTGATCTGGGTGTTGCGGGAGGAGGTATTGACACTTCTATGGAAGGCAGTGCAGAAGCTTGGGAGTTTGATCGTGATAGTATTTCTCCTCCATTACAACTTCTCCTCTTTCTCCGAAGAGCAATAGGTTGATCATTCTCGATGGCCACTACCCTGTCGTTCTCCGCCATACCTTCGATAAACCTATGTTTATTTACCTTGATCAACAACCAAATTTCCTATTTCCGTGGGCACAAAGTGAATGGTGCACAGTGTATTGCGTGTGGAATTGCAAGAAAGTGCTCACTCAGTGCTTCATAGAATCATAAACAAAAATACAAAGCAAGAATCGAGCGGCCAGATAGGTTGAGATTGTGTTGAATGGAAAAAGGTTGATGAATGGATGGATATCCTCCATTCATATATAACCCTAAGTCTTATCGAAATCAACATAAATTTAATTGTTTACATCCTACCGTATTGGCCTTAGCGTAGTTGTTTCTTTTTTTTAGTACCCCACCGTATCAAAAGTTTGGTTGGATGACAGAGCGACAAGTTGACGAACACGAAAAAAGAGCGTGATGAGATACAGCATGGTAACATGGTGTGTTGACTCATGAGTGGAGAGTCAAACGGCTTTTAAGGTAGCCGTCAACCCAATGAACCCAGTGAATCTTCAAAACTCCCTGTTCGCACGTCAGTACAGGGCTGCAGCTGGATCCACGATATTAGTTCAGACGGGCTGTCGGTGTCAAGAGCATGGGGTAAAAGCTTCCATGACTCCACTGAAAACTTCGAATGACAATTTCTAACTACTAGATAATCCTTGTAGAGGATTTTGAGGGTGTTTATATGTTGATGATATTGACGATATTGACATCTTGGGGAATATGAGAGAAGATTGTGAAAGGGATCCAACCCCAACACATTTTCTGCTTCTTACCCCCTTGAATAAGCTTCGCTAAATTGATTCTCTAGTGAAATCCCGAACCTTTATTTCTGGATTAGGTTATAACAACAATTTATTGGTGGATGTCCCTTCCAATAAACCAAGTGGTTTAGGCGTACCTACATTGGCGTTGGGTATTTCCCTGCAGATATGACGCATGTCTAAGTTATGAATTTTCCATTGAAGCACCCTCTCCACAGCCCAGAGGAATCTTCGCCTCATACCAAGGCTCTCCCTCATAGGGCTACAATCATCTGCTCACCCTCGTCCACATTCCCGGATCCACTACTCCGTACTTATGTGCATCAGTACCCATAACAAAAGATCTATTTTTCTATTGAATCTTTCTAGAAGCAAGTTCACGATCCATGACTTTATTTGCATTTGCTTAAGACGCTTGGGTCTAGATGGTCTATTGTGAAGAAGCGGGTATTTTGAGGAATATTTCATAGCTAGTCTATAATCAGATGGTCCTTTGTAAGACTTAGTTACATGTAAGATCTTCAAAAAAAGATTCTCTCCGCCCCCTTATGATCATTTTATCGTTATTTTTTTCTATACACCATTTACGTACGAGTAAGTCACAATATCCTTTCTTTATTTCATCAGTCTATGATATAAACCTTTCAATTCTCTTTCCATATCTTGACCCCTCTAATTTCACAATACAGTATTTACAATCCAAGTGCGCCAATATCGCGCGATCATTGATCATCATTGGCGACTCGCTTGATTGGCGGTGATCTCTCCCGCGTTCTGCACTTCTGCTTTCATCCATGTTGCTGAAGAAGTAACTGTCCAGGATTCGAAGTTCTCATTTCCAGTTTTGTTTAATGTGAAGCCCACAAATGACGAGCTAAATGATCATGATATATCATCGTTGCTGCTCTAATGTAAAGTTATCCAATACTGCAACTACCTATATTCCACAAAGGAGAAAACCTCCTGTGTTAAGAAAAGCCTGTAGGAAAATCAGGAAAAAGCCAAACATTAACCGCGAAACCGGGAAATGACAAAATAACAAAATGAAGAAAATCCTCCTCCAAACCATCAAACCCAACGTGCAAACTGTCTCACAAAACCATACGCCTCTAGCTTATAACGATTCGTCTGATCGCGATACGGGAATCGACGACACAAAAACCATTTCGTAATCCAACTTGGGAGTCCGCCATTGGCTCCTTCAAGTTCCAATAATACGCTGTTCGTTCCAAACCGCTTTTTGCAATGGTTTTCGTAGCTTGATCCTTGGATGTTTCTAGAAAGTCGTTCCAATCGTACGGCGCTAGTTGTGTATGTGATTTTTCAGATGACGTCTCCCCATAAAAGGAGAAGCGCGTACACTCGAGTATATCTAATTTGTTCGTCGTTTCGGATAAGCTGCATTGGCAGCTTTCTGCAACTTTTCTCCGAAGTCCTGTAGTGTGGTATGGTAGCGTAAGTGACTCAGATCGTGAGGCGGAGATGAAGTGGCACATTTTTCATATGAGCGAGTGGTAGATGGCACACCATCTCCATCATTCACTTCCGTGTCGTCTATTTTCCCATTCGTTATTCGTTGTGGAAGATAACTGATGAGATGAGTTATGTTCAGCAAAGAGAGAGAGAATGGAGATTTGTGCGAAGCCTCATCTTATGGAGCACGTAAATCAGGAGGTAGGATCGGACCGTATTTGAATGTCGTGTATGCGTGTAACAGTAATCATGTCGCACAGAATACCTACCTGCGCATTCATGATCCCCATGGACACCAAAGGAGATTTAATGAAAAGAAAACCAGGAGAATACACTTGTATAGTATCAAGATTGACTGAAGGGGCCATATTTGCGCAATATAATGCTGAGCCGACGAAGGTAAGCATAGTGAAAAAATTCTTGATTGACATTGATAAAGTAGGTATGTGTACTCGTGCACGAGTATTCATAGCCTAACCCCCACTTTCCCCATACAGATTCACTCCACCTAAGATCCTACTTCGAAATCAGGCTGAAGACAATTTACCCCTCCTTCCTCATATGACCTCACTACGTTCCTTTTCGTAGGAAAATCTTCATTTCTACGACTTTGAGATTTCTTAATTCCCTACAACCATCTATCTACTCTTTCACTCCTCTACTTTCTAACTATCAAAATAAACCTCAAAATGCCTCTTGAAGCAGATTTCGAATTCCTCCCCTTGGGAGCCATCATCCAAACTTTCCTAGTCCCCACTAAAGACAAGCCATTGAATATCGTTCAATCATTTCCTACAGCGGAGCTATACCAAAAATACAACCAACCATTTTTCGGTGAAACGATCGGAAGAGTAGCAAATCGTATTTCGAATGCGAAAATCAATTCTTTGAATGGAAAGTCCTATGCTCTTGCGCAGAATAATGGTGTGAACGCATTACATGGAGGAATAAATGGATGGGGTAAACGCGTTTGGCATGGTCCGAAATTGGTTGGTACGAGACAGATTCCTGGCGTTGAGGGATTGGAGGGAGGAGAAAGTGTGCAGTTTACATTGAAGGATAAGGATGGAGAAGAGGGATATCCAGGAACTTTGGATGTTAGTGTCATTTATACGACCGGAAAACAAAAGGTTGATGGCAAGGAAGTCAGAGTCTTGGCTATGGAATATGAGGTTAAATTGGTGGATGATGGAAAGGGAGTGGAGGAGACGGTTGTTAATGTTACCAACCATTCGTAAGTAATATTTATTTTAAGGAAACTAGTGTTACAATTATTGGGAAAAGAACTAATTTAATATCATGACAGGTATTTCAATCTAAGTGGCAAATCGACAATCGAAGGTACACAAGTCACATTATGTACAAACGAATACTTACCAGTTGACGATGGAGGAATTCCTACTTCGGGACCAAAACCATATGAGAGCATAACACCTAACAAAGAATTCACATTGGGACCCGAGGAACCAAACGTTGACGATTGTTTCATCGTAGACACAAAATCCGAGTCAATCCCCCTCGACACACGGTCTTCCCCTCTTACCACATTAGTAAAAGCTTCTCATCCAGAAACAGGTATTCATCTAGAAGTTTTGAGCACGGAACCCGCATTCCAATTTTATACCGGAAAATATATCGATGTACCGGCAGTTGAGGGACTCGAGGCAAGAGGAGCAAGAAGTGGTTTCTGTGTTGAGCCAAGTCGATATGTTAATGCGATCAATGAGGAGAAATGGAGAGGACAAGTCTTGCTCAAAAAGGGAGAAGTATATGGAAGCAGAGTCGTTTATAGGGCTTGGTCTGAATAAAGAACTCGACTTTGGATCAATGGGAGGATTTTTGAAGCAACATTCTATGTGCAAAAGTTATTATTTTGCCTGATTTGAGGTTTTATCAGTACAATACTATAGCAATATTTGTATTTGATATTTAGTTAGTTCAGGGGAATGCATGACATGTGAAGAATCCGGTAAAACATGGAGAGCGAGTAACTAACTCTATTATCTATCTTCGAGTTTCTTGTTTGTGTTTCAGAGCTCACAATCAAAAGGCCGAGAGCGGTCACGTGTATCTATGCAGTGAGATATACCTCGGCATCCGGAGTCGGCGGTAAATGCAACCGATCAGCTCTTCACATGCTAAATACGATGCACCAACCAATCATATGCAAAGAAATTGTAAGATTGGGTGCACATAAGGTGTTTCCACAAGGCAGGTGATACAACCTAGACATAAAAGATGGAGAAAATCCGGGGTGGGCACAATTTAAAGTCATATTAGATTAGTTGGTAGCGGAAAACGGGGTGCAGCTGAATCAAGAAACGCATGCGATGTTTGCTTGGAGTGAGTGACATGTGAAAGAGGAAACGAAAGCGAATAGACTCCGAACAATCAATAAAACATCTCATTCTCCAAACTTCACTTACCTCCTTATTCACTTATTCTCTTGTTCTTCCTACACTACATAGAATAAATAAACACCATTGTATACACATAATCATACACCACGAATCAACTCATTAAGAAATATGTCAAAAACCTTCAGTCAAGGCGATGTTGCATCGCACAATAAGCCTGATGATCTCTACATCATCGTAGATGAAGATGTTTACGATCTCACCAAATTCCAAGACGACCATCCAGGTGGTAAAAAGATCCTCACAAGAGTTGCTGGAAAAGATGCTTCAAAGCAATTCTGGAAATATCATAATGAAGGCATTCTTAAGAAATACAAGGCAAAGCTACAAGTGGGATCATTAGACACAAAGAAAGCCGCGGCACCACCAACGCCACCCGCCACTCCTCCACCAGCAAAAGAAGCTGTTAAACCACAGGCTGAAAGCGGTGCGGTTGTGCCGGCTCCAGCGAATGATGCAAAACAGGTCGTAGAGGAATCGGAACCCTTGGATCCGTATGGTGATTTGATTCCTTTTGGGGATCCATCATGGTATCAGGGTGTAGGTTTTCCCTCTTTTATGAATCTGCGAATAATACTAATCGGATAATAGTACCACTCACCATATTTCAATGAGACGCACGCTGCTCTTCGTGAAGAAATCCGCGAATGGGTATCTGCCGAAATCGAACCAAATGTTGGGGAATGGGATGAAGCTCGAAAGGTTCCTGATGAAATCTATAAACAAATGGGTACTCGAGGATATCTAGCAGGGTTGATGGGTATGCATTATCCAACTCAGTATACTCAGAATAGAATTAAGAGTGTGCCACCTGAGAAATGGGATTTGTTCCATGAGATGCTTCTTACCGATGAATTGTCGCGTGCGGCAAGTGGTGGGTTTGTTTGGAATGTTATTGGTGGATTTGGAATTGGTTGTCCGCCTTTGGTTAAATTTGGAAAGAAACCTTTGGTGGAGAGAATTCTGCCAGGCATTTTGAATGGTGACAAGAGGATTTGTTTGGCTATCACTGAGCCAGATGCTGGTTCTGATGTTGCCAATTTGACCTGTGAGGCAAAATTGACGGAAGATGGAAAGCATTATATTGTTAATGGTGAGAAGAAATGGATCACCAATGGCGTTTGGTGTGATTATTTCACTACTGCCGTTAGAACTGGAAAGGAAGGTATGAATGGTGTCAGTGTTCTTCTTATCGAGAGATCTGCTGGTGGTGTTAGCACCAGAAAGATGGACTGTCAAGGTGTTTGGTCTAGTGGTACTACATATATTACATTTGAGGATGTGAAGGTTCCAGTTGAGAATCTTATTGGAAAAGAGAACCAGGGATTTAAAGGTACATTTCATCATCATCCTATCTTCAGCATCTACTAACATTATTATAGTCATCATGACAAACTTCAACCACGAAAGAATCGGGATAATTATTCAATGTCTCCGCTTCTCCCGTGTCTGCTACGAAGAGAGCGTAAAATACGCCCACAAACGTCGCACCTTTGGCAAGAAACTCATTGATCACCCGGTAATCCGTCTTAAGCTCGCTCATATGGCTCGTCAAATCGAAGCTTCCTACTCTTGGCTTGAATCCCTCATTTACCAATGTTCGAAGATGGGAGAGACAGAAGCTATGTTAAGACTAGGTGGACCAATTGCAAGTCTCAAGGCTCAAGCTACCGTCACCTTTGAATTCTGTGCAAGAGAAGCCAGTCAAATCTTCGGAGGTCTGAGTTATAGTCGTGGTGGTCAGGGTGGAAAGGTCGAAAGACTTTATAGAGATGTGAGGGCCTATGCTATTCCAGGTGGAAGTGAGGAGATCATGCTCGATTTGAGTATCAGACAGAGTTTGAGGGTGGGAAAAGCATTGGGTATGAAGCTGTAAAGGGAATATGATTTGAGCTGGCAAAAGATTGTAATTTCGTCGTGGTATCGGTAGAAGGAAGATAAAATGAAGTCTTTTGTATATTATTGGCTTTGCATCAAGATTGGTGCTTTGCGTTTGATACTGGGATCGGTGCTTGGGATTGGGGGATTGGGAGTTCTGAGGAGAATAATATAATACTATTTTATATTATTTAGATTATATTCATCAATTTTATTTTGCTATTTCGGAGCTTTTGTCGTGTCTAGAGGTATACCAAGTATCTTGGGATATAAAGTAAGATTAGAGTAATGGAAGGTAAGAAGATAACTTGGGAGTTTCACGAAAATTGGAGAGATTGGGGACGAACGGGCGGGTGAGATTTGGTTTGCTTCTTTTTCTTTTTGCCATTCATCTGTGGCGGAGGGGACTTGAGTGAGTTTTTGTTGGTGGTGGGCGGGGAGGGGGTGGGGGTTTGGAGGTTGATGAGAGAGAGAGAGAGAGAGAGACGTGGGATATGTAAGATTACACGTGATGTTATCTAGGAAGGAGTTTTTTCGGATATGAAATTTTCTGAATGTTTTTTGAGTTGGCTGGGAGTTGTTCATTTATTTATTCTTATATTATGATTTGGATCTGGATTGGCTATAGAATCGTCAATAGGATAGGAAGTGGTATTTTGCAATTTCTGGTGTGTTGTGTGTTTATGATGATTATTTGCTGTTCACGTGTCTCAATCAATATGTCTGGAGATCGAATCAAAGGACTAGTCGTCCTAGGTATTTTTCACATAGCAATATTTTTATTTTTGTTTTGATTTGTCGGATCTACATGAAATATATGAGGTACATCAACCCTCTGCTATTCCACTGATTGAGTTGATGTAGATCTTAGTCGGATGCTTACCAAATATTCCAAGCCTTTCCTCTCTCAACAACAAATTTAGTGAAGGATAGGGAGCTGGAGTATGAGCGAGTAAATGACTTGATTTCATTTCGAGGCAAAGCCTAGGGGAAGTACATAGTCCTATGGTTGTCCATTCAATATATACGTTGATGAGTTTCCCTTCATTCTTCACATAGTTCAGACCGCGTTTCGCTTCCTCCATCCCTTTCGTCGCTTGAAGGAAACTAGAGAAACGGAACATTCTCCGTTCACCTATGCAAATCTTGATATCTGTAGGAATGTCTTTTCATTCCGATGGTAGTATACAATCTCCAATGAGTCGGAGGCAAACAAAACAGTGGCTATGGTAAGATTAACACTTGACAAAAGTCTAGAAGTCTCCTGAGCAAACATGAAGAACATAAGAATGTATTCTAACCCTGCCTTCCCAAACCTCATTCTTTCAATTATCTTATATTGCATTTTATTCAGTCAATCGTTTCTCCTCATTTCATATATTTCCTCTCCTTCGTTCCTTCATCTTTTTGAAGATATTCCACAATGGCAACCTCATCACTCATTCTGAGATGCCTTACCATCTTCACTTTCATAACTAGCATTACTGCACTCTCGAAATATCAGCTTGAAGAAAGATATAGTGGGAATAATTTCTTCGATGCGTTTAATTTCTTTACGGCCCCGGATCCTACACATGGCTTCGTTACGTATGTCAGTGAGAGTGCTGCTTCACAACAGGGGTTGATATCAGTGAGAAGTGATGGGGTTTATATGGGAGTTGATTCTAAGACGGTGTTGAATCCTGGTGGAGCGGGAAGAAATAGTGTTAGGATTGAGAGTAAAAGGAGTTGGACTCATGGACTTTTTGTGGCGGATTTGGGTCATATGCCTGGTGGTGCTTGTGGATCATGGCCAGCTAGTAAGTTGATGATTTGAAGGACTGAGATTGAATGATGGACTAATATTTGCTTATAGTGTGGACTGTGGGTGATAATTGGCCTTATAACGGTATGTTATGTACGGTCCATGGAAGCATCAATTTTTAACACGAATTGCAGGAGAAATCGATATTATCGAGGGCGTGAATGGTCAAGACCACAATCTCATGTCTTTACATAGGTTAGTCCTACAACTTACAATCGTACCTCAAGAAAGCCTGCTAATTGATAAACAAATACAGCGGACCAACATGCTCAGTAGCCGGTTCAGGACAAACTGGCACCCTTCAGAGCGCCAACTGCAACAACTTTGCCAATCCCGTAGGTGTCGGTTGTGGTATCAGTGATCCCCGAACCAACAGCTACGGTACAGGATTCAACCTCAATGGCGGTGGTATCTACGCCATGGAATGGACCTCATCCTACATCCGCGTATACTTTTTCCCAGCTGGAACAGCACCCGCAGATATCAACGGACCTAACCCTGATCCGAGTAAATGGGGACCACCAGTGTCTAATTTTCAAGGTGATTGTGATATCGATAGCCATTTCAGGGAAAATAGATTGATTTTCGATACGACTTTTTGTGGTGATTGGGCGAGTGCTGTTTGGTCGAGTGATGCTACTTGTGGGTCGAAGGCACCGACTTGTGTGGATTATGTTGCGGGTAATCCAGCGGCTTTTGGTGATCAGTGAGTTTCATCTTTTAGATTTCTTTTCTTTGGATCGGAAAGTGAAGATGAGAGTGCTAATACTATGAAATTAGATACTGGTTAGTTAAATCAATCAGCGTATATCAAGTTGGTAATATCGCTACTCCCGAACCATCAACTACACCAATCCCAGAACCAGCACCAGCACCACCCTCCAGCGCTCCAGCAGTTCCAGAGCCTTCCCCAGTGGGCCCACAATCACAAAATCCTCCTGCACCAGTCGTCACACCCTCAACTCCGATCAATGCACCCATCGCTCAACCTCCATCCGAATCCGACGGTAATCCCGCAACCCAATCACCATCTCAGCCTAACGGCAACCCCATCGCAGAAACCAACCCAATTTTCAGCCAAATCTCCGATTTCACCGGAAACATGGAAGACCTCGGAGAAGAAGGTAAACTCCCCACCCCTCAACCCCATCCCTCACCCACCTCACCTACCTCAATTATAGCACCATAGATAAATATCCACTAACACCCACCGTCACCTACACAGAAACCAACGCACTCAACAACATTCTCCCCACCCCGCGCTCCCTAGCGTTTTTCCCGCAGGTGATCTCCTCGGCGTCGGATCTGGCGGAATCCCAACTCTCGATCTCGATATTAATGCGGAGAATTATTTGAATGCTGCGAAAGAGGAACTTAATGGGCAGCTTCAGGGGTTGATTAAACAGGCTGTTGAGTGGAGTGGTGATGATGATGATGAGGATGTGAAGAAGCCAGCGGATAAAAATACGAATACGGATTCTAAGGGTTCGAATCGTATTGTTGCGACACCGTTTTATCCTGATGAGGCGGGGGATGAAAATGGGAATGGGAATGCAACGGCGGGGTCGGTGGCGAGTCCGACGCCGGTTTTGAGTTTAGGTGGTGCTGGTGGTGGTGCTGGGAATCAGGGGATTGTGGCGTTTGAGGGGGGTGCGAAAGAGGTGGTTTGTGCCGGGTTGTTGGTTTGGAGTGTGGTTTTGTTTGTGGGTGGGTTAGTTATGATTTAGTTTTTGGAGGCAGGAGGTTAGGATCGCGGATTGAATGATGGGTTGATGGTTTGAATGAAGATGTTATGTTGTGGGATATTTATGATGGTTCGGTTATGCTTATGCTTATGAGGAGGTTTGGATTGATTACCGTCATGGTCATGTTCATGTTCATGTTCGTGTTATATAGTAAGATTAGATTTCTATCTTATAGAATTTGTTGGTTTTGGTTTGTTTTATTTGATGATAGTGCCTCTTCGAGGTTTATTTCGCTTTCGTCAAACACGCATTAAAATACATCAAATACAACGATCTATGGGAGTCAATCCACTGGTCTTACATATCTCTCAAACTTCTACTTTACTCCAACTCTACAATGTACAATGAAAATCCTCAATTCATTTGAAAAGTCCTAAATTTTCTATAGATATTAGTCTTCTATATTTTAAAGAGGTTTCGTCTTGATTTCTAAATATGATTTTAAATCTATTCAATTGATTTAACTTTGGTTTTATACTGGATTATTATTAACAACTAATTATCTTCTTTGTATACTTTTAATTTATTAGTTCTGTCTCGTTATAATACCTCCTTCCCTAAAACACATTCTGATATTATATAACATCTACTTCTTGCTTGCGTTTTTGGAAATGTACAAGACTTTATATAAATAAAAAGTGATTTTTTCATATCTTCTCAATCAACCCCCTTAACCTATCTTATCATCAGTATATATTTATAATCTATTAGGATTCAAAACCTATATATATATAACTATTCAATATTGTATTAATCTATAACTTTTGTACACCTCTCTAACACAAGAAAGAATCAAAAAAGAACAAAAACCCAAAATATCACCAACACAGTAATTTCTTCCTCTTTCCTCCTCCCCTTCCCCCTCTTCAACCCCAACCCCCCAAAACCAGGCCGCTTTCATATAATACCAAACCACTCATCAAATCCTAGAATCCAAAACCATCTCGCCTAACCCAAACCCCCCACCCCCCATTCATCAACTAAAACCAAAAGCGAAGTAAAAATTCCAACTTTCAAAATCTTCAAAATCAGTCTCTATTTTCATCACAACACTCACTTCTTTTCTGTTCTCTAAGAAAAGGATTCACAGGACTCTTTTTTTAAATATAAGAGTTCTGGACTTTCCTCACCGTACACTGTAATGTTTTGTAATAAAGTCTCTGTAAAAATCATATATTCCTATATAAAATTAAATATCAAATAACTTTTAGAATATTAAATAAAATCAATTGAAAATTTAAAATATAATAATTAATTATAAGATTATTTGAAAAAAAATAATTTATAATTTATTTTCAATCTTATATGATTTTTGGATAAAAATTATTAAAAATAAATCAAATAATTTTTAATAAATTTCAATTGATCAATTTCAATTTTCTTCAAAAAGAATTATTTCTTTCGTTTTATATAAAGATTTAATAGGGATTTGAAAAAGTGAATAAATCAAGGTTTTAGATGAAAAGCGTTACATTGTGCGATAAGGAAAGTCCAGAACTTTTACAACAAAAGCTTTAGAGTACGAGGTAGGTAAGCTTAGTTCTTTCTAATCATGAATTTTTGAGGTTTAAGGGTTGTGGTTGACTTGGAGGGAAGGAAAGAGGGATGAGGTTTTCCGGGTCCGAGGTTTAACTAACCTAGCTTGAGTGAGAGTTGGGAATTTTATGGTTTGTTGTCTATGGATATGGTATGATAACAAATGTAAATTTATAAGGATATTTCATAATTGTTTTCAAATCGATCTTTTTCTAACAGACCTTTTAGGGTTTTATCTTTTCTCGCTTAAGGTTACTCCCTCCTATCTTACTGGAAACTCTCTCTTTCGTGAGTAAGAGACATTCTGAAAGAAAGAAGATCCTGTAGAATAAATAAAGCAATGGTAGGCCACTTCCTCCGCATCCGCATTTTGCTGTAGTGGACGAAGAGGGTATTTAGAGGATTAAAGCCCTGATAAATACGCTCGTAGGTATTTGAAGTCGAACCTATTCAGTTTGCTAAATAACCTCTTTTTTACGCTAATTCTAAGTAGGGAGTAACCCACTTCCATCCAAAAGTCTCATGTCCCCTTAGTTGACTCGACTCCAAGTGGAAAGCATAGGAAGAACGGGATATTCAGTTCACTGGTCTCAATACTCCTATTCTTACGCATCTCAAAATTTCACATACAATTTTCGCAAAATACCCATCATCTATCTATTCACCCACTTCCTGTCACTTCCTCTCCCACGGTAACTCCATCTCCGGCGTATAAACCTCTCCGTCGCTCGGTTTAGGTTTCCACATCCATCACGTAGTCTTCCCTTTAATCTCATTCGCCATCTTGAGCCATAAGAATCCTGGCTTTCCGCCTCTGCAAGCCGTATCAATTGTTATTATCTCAATAGTACGGAAGCCAAATTTTTCATAAAGAGGTAATCCCCCAGCGGTAGCTTCTACTAGTGCTTCTACATTCATTTCCGTGGTTTTCCTCATTCCATATTCCATGAGCAAAGATCCGGAACCGCGACACCGGTGGTCGGGATGGGTAAACATCATGGAGAGTTCTTGTGATGTTAGTGAGGGTTGAGAGAAAAGTCCCGGTTGACGTGACTTGGTGAGGATATATATATATTTGAAATGGGATAGGTGTGCTTATGAGTATGAGGTCTTGTCATTCTCTCCGCTCTAAATCCAAAGACTTGAGAAAAAACAATCTTCATAAAGTCTCGGGCTTCACCTTCAGGCCACCAAGAACCGAGGCTATTATCGCCCTCTTCTTTTTTCTCACCATTTTCTATCTCATCATTCTTATTCTTCTGTTTCTCGTCATCTTTCTTCTCCTCAAACGGATTAACTTCGTGAAACAGCCATTCCGCGCCGGCCAAAACCTTTCCAGGTTCTTCTCCATGTTCATATTCATCAACAATATAAACCCAAACACTATACTTATCCGCCTTATGAGTTTTCCATAAGCATTCCTTCATCTCCTGAACAGCAGCTGCTACTCCTTCCGCTGTAGGTTCTTTAATCCGCACAATGATGTTCATGAATGGGTTAAATGGATCAATGTTGGATTCCCAGAGGCAATCTACTACAAGGGAGAATTCCTCGAAAGTTGCCACGGTTTTGAGGATGGGGGACATGATGGTAAGTTCGGTAGAATTCAGCAATGGAGGGTTAATTACCAATGAAATAATATAAGGACTGTGAGCTACAATCCGTTCTGACTGAGATAATGACAGGCTATCAATCTGTTATAGTCACAATATTTGGGAAAGCGGCGCATTAGATAAGGACCCCTGGGTATATATGCACTTGCGCGTACATACTATTGAATTGACCATCAAATAGATTCAGGTTGTCACTGTGGAAAGTACCTAGTATACCGATGTTGTTAGTGACTGTTTATGCATGACAGGGATGGTTTGGTTAATAGCCAACATAAATTGTGAGGCTATTCTTCGCCAGGATAAGCTTTTGTTGTCTTTCTTTTCATAACACCCATCCGAATGCATTGAAGCTTGTTGAAGCTTATTGGCATGGGCAAATGAGGGATCATAGATATTAATATGCTAAGATCTTTCTTACATGATAAAAGAAGCAAAGCAATGCCACTAATATGCACTTAAAAACTCAATTATATATCAATCCGTTAAGACAATAATCTAATTCAAAAGAGGAATAGCATTGCTATTGAGCACTGTGCGAAGAAATCCTACAACAAGGGATTGCACAGTGATCTCGTTAGAATCAAACAATCATTGAAAGAGAATGATGCTTCTAAAGCCCCGGCATTGATTTTCAATCCCCACCTGTACCTTACTTGTCAAGTACAAGCCGTCGGCTGAGGGAATCTGCTCTTCGTGGGCTTCATCACCGAGCTCAATTTAGTTGCTTCATTTCACTGAACCTTAGTTGGGAAAACTTTGCTGCAATACCAATACCCTTAGAGCTCTTCCGGCTTCTGGTTGATTCAAGTCACCTAGCTCAACATCTGTAGTTGGAGTTGAGGGTTCGCCAATCCCACCTCATCTTTCGAAAAAACAGTATCATTTCTTTTCTCACATAACGTCTTGCTATTGTTTTTTCCGTGTTGTCTATATATTCTGCCAAAGAGGAGAAATGATCGGATGCTTGCGGGAATTGATTTCGGTGTACGTTCTCCACTGAATAGCGGGCGCAACGTCGGTAGGCAAGCTACGGTGATGAAAAGAGGATGCTATATTTTATACGATAGTGTCGACGTCATGAATGATACATCTGCTTTGGTGATATTAGTTTATGTTGCCATGATGGATTTTGGTGCGGAGCTTAGGGCGAACAGAGCTTCGTGAGTAGCTATATAGGCTATATCTCTAAATGGAATAGATAGAAGTATGTACCATATATGTCCGACGCAGCTGGTATATGACATGTCAGTAAGAATCAATCTCGCATTTTTGAAAGGGCATTTAACAACAATCTCAGCCAAAATGTGCAATGTTTGGAATAGACATGGCGTGAACAACTTTGAAGAAGAGATACAAATAAGCATACCGTTGAGAATCTTGAGATATTGACATCATTGTGTGTATCTTGCGAGTCTACCTGTGTAGAAGAATATCATGGGCTAGTAATCGGGAAGGTGGTTGTAAGTCTTATTTGTTCGTGAATTTGGATATTAATGGGTTTCTGGTTGGATATATTTTAATTTCTGATATGACTGCATGTATTAGTATATCATAAACACTAGGTAGTCATTACTTGTAATTGATAATTATGGCACTCATTCACATTTATTTTAGTTGAAAATATGTGTGAAATTCATCAGATTATTGCAAGTTCCTATGCCCTCGTTAGCTGGACTCATCGAAACCTATCATCCTTTCCGAATGCTGTCAACCGTAAAAACTCCCGCTTGAACCTATCCAAACTTACCTCCCCTTCAAAACACCACCCAACAAATCATTCATCTCCAAAACACCCTGTTCGCGTCTCTCATCATCAGCCACACCCACAAGCCCCAATTCACTCCGCGTAGTCGAAACAAAAAACTTCCTCGCCGTCTGCAAATCCGCCCCCGTTACATCCCTACTCTGTACCTTCCCCTCACAATCCGACCACAAAGCCCCCATCATAATAAACGGTCCCCTCCAATCTCGCGAGCATCCCGTAAATATCTCTATACTCAAACTCTTACTACACGTACCTAGTATTTCGCCTTCTTTCACTCCGTGTATCACGCTCAGAGTCCAGTCTTCCGGATCGCTAATTCCCGGCACTAATGCCCATTTCTCAACGTTATTCTGCATCGTAGCAGTAGTGCTATTGGCTCCGAGAGCTAGTATGGAAGTTGGAAGCGGAACATCGTACGCATGGCAATCGTGACATGCTTGGCAGACGATACATTCATTGCACGAGGGTACACACGATGCGGGGACAACAGTCGGACACGGAATCCAACATATGGCAAAACTAGTTCGTTCGGGCGGAAAGTAAAATGCGAGTTTGAAGGTTGGTAATGGTCGCGGCATTCTTTTGTTAATGGTGCTTATGCATGTTATTTGGTGCGTGCCTCTACAATCTGTCGAGCAGTAATATGCGTGTATGGTGCATGTACAGATGTATCCTTGACGTTTTCCTGTGGAGCAAATGCTGCATGGTATTGGCGGAAGGTTCCTTTGCGACTCTGTGAGGTCTGGTATTGTGAAGGTCAGCGTGTGCTGATCTATAATTGGTGGCCAGATATCCATCTTGATGAATATTTTTTTTCACTACTGTTGTGAGAATTGGTGAGTGAGGTAATGATTCTTCGTTCTCAATTCCTCTCGAATTCGATTGAAAGTCAATGATGGTGGTGGTGTCTGAAAAGAGAAAGAAAATTTCGGCTTCGAATATGTTTGTGGAAGAAAGAGAAGTAATGGAGTCGCAGGAAGCTATGTTGTATTTAAATAGCTTTGATCTGTACTTTTCTGGTGCCGTTCTTAAAATCTAATACGTTGTGTGATAATCGAGTGATTAAATACCGTAGAGAAATTTGGGACGACAGTATGCAAAGTCAGATATTTTGAGGAGTTCTGTGCGAGGAGTTCTGTGCTGAGAGTGAAACCTGAGTGAAAGATGCTCTTGCGAATAAGGCAGAAACCGGAACTTATGTAGCAAAGTTGAGGTTGTTGCTTTGTCCAGATCATATTAAATGATGTGACTGGCTGGTCAACCATGATCAACTGCATCCAAAGTAAGAAGCTCAATAGATCTGTAACTTCCCCGCAACTATTCACTCTCACTATACACTCTTATCTTCATACCATTTGTTTATATGGCAACACTCAAATGTGACTCCCAATTTCCAATCATTACAATTCGCGAACCTAGTTTCCATTTTGAATTTTGACAGTCCTTTACCACTTCACTCAAAGTCTTGCATCGAACCCAAGTATCATAGTTCTAGTATCTCAACTTGCATAATGCTTATCACGGTCATGAAATCTGAATGCCAGATCTGTAGCGCGGCTTTCCCTACAGATATTGAGGACTTAGTATTCCGCTCCATTCCATTCAAATAGTACCGCAAGTATAGCTTTAGTGATTGTACTGCAAATTTCCTCGTCCTCTCGTCTATTTCACCGAGATGATGCGATGTACTGTGCCATCACATAGCCCTGCGTGTGCAATAGCCTTATCTTCGTGTTTGGGATGACTGCATAAGTTAGATTCATATCGAGGTAATCCAAACAATATGACATTGTTGAATTCGAAGCACTTGAAGAATGACCAACCTCGAGAAGATGTTCATTCAGGTCTTGGTAGCCAGATTGCTAGTTCACAAACAGGCTCGTTATAAGAATAAGCTAGCCAATGGAGCGACTGACGTAGCAGCACGACTGGTTTCGATGATGAAGTTTAGCGAATTGAAGTACGGATCCGGAGGTAGACAACGACTACTCTGGCACCCGGTTCTGTGTCTGACTTTTTGACTGGTTCGTTCCTCTTATCATGGAGATAAACTTGGACAAGGTGTTCAACGCTCAAAATCTCGACCGTATGCTTGGTTTGAGATAGAATGGATTTCCAATGTGATGAACTATGTTCGCTTGATTCTTGATGGAGGTTGATCATAATAATCAATGATATTATGATATTGCTTGTTGTTTTGGTTGTGTGTATATAATAGTAGTAGACGCCGTCGATTTAATTAAGAATAATTGAACATATAACTAATAAGATAATATTGAAATCAGAGTTATAATTGAGTATAGTAGCTGATTTCTTTTCTTGATTATTGAAAACTAGTTGTCCTGTATCTAGACTTTCTGGTTCTTTCTCCCTTTGAAAGTCTGGTTCCAGATTTTCCTGGGCATCTTCGCAAAGAAGTACCATCTACAAGAATCATCGAGTTCCGAAACTCTTGTTTCATAGCAGAATCCATAGTAGACGATTCGTAGCTAACCAATGCAACCTTCAGAACAGCTCTCATATTTAGTTCGACGAAACCAGTGAACAACGATTAAAATGATGCCGGCCAACTAGAACCCTCTGTTATAACCGGACAAGATGCGTTCAAAAGCTCAAGATCAACAATGATATAAAGCAGAGGAATCCCTTGGAGGATGGATGCAAGCGCATTGAACCAATCAGACTCTGTCTGCGCTCCCCAACAAGACTTCAGCTATGGAGTAATGCCGCGTCAGTATGAATAGTCTTATTTAGCTGTAAAGCCTGAGATACCAAGTATTTCAGTAGGTTAACCGTTGATGTAATGTTGCCCAATGTCTCGTGACTCTCAATGGCTTTCAGAGCCCACATAACAGGTGTTTTCTTTTTGTCGGAGTAGCAAAACAGAATCGCTGCAGAAATCTTTAATCTCAAATCGAAGCCTGCGTATTCCCTATAGTATAATGAGCTCCGACCGTCCAATGGTGTTCCAAGAATTAAACTTTTCACTGCTCAAGAACGAAGGTTCCTTATTTTTCTCTATTTCGCGGCGACGATTTCCCACGAAGAGCGCTTTTTAAGGCTTTTTATTGAGCCAAGAAGATCACTGCGGGAAATGAAACTCATAATCTGTCCAATCTGAATTTCGGCAAGTCCTGGCGCAGTTCGATACGAGCTGATGCGCTTATTGCTGATCGTTGATAATGGTTCTCTGAACTCTTCGACTAACTTGGTCAAGTGATCGACTTTTTTTTTGGCTGCTCATCGAAGGACTTCTCCTGCTTGGCATGCATGCCACGCTACTAGGCGTGACCGCTTGCCGACGCAAGATCAGTCAAATTGCTGGATAGCGAACGTATCTCCTCGATTAAGTCGTCAAAGCGAAGTTCCACCGGCCTTGTGATAGCATGGACGAGATGTAATAACTTAGACTCCTGGTCCCAACGAAGTGACCGGATCAGGAATCTTAGAATATATGCGTACATTCTGGAAATGAGATGCCTGACTCGAGAATTTGGACATAATTGGAAAATAAGTTATGCCCTAGGTAGTACATCTGCAACCTGGCAAATCGCATTTGATAGTCGAGATATCAGTTTCTGTTGATTTATGACTCCCTGTTGAAAATCAGTAACAACAAAGAGAATTCTTCTTTACAATGGGAGGAATGCGATTCTCCTTAATTCAAGAGTGACATACACTTGTAAGCATAGGTGTCTATCTTCCTTGGCTAAAGCTACATCAATTATCCTTCCTAGCCAAATCAGACATTAGGACGTCTACTTTCACCTTTAGAGTAAACATTTTTCTTATGCATTTGAATGGATATAGTCGAAAAGGATGTATACTGACCACGACAGGAACCTCAACACCCCACACCAAAGATACATATTCGGGATGCTGCTGCATTAAAACATCCATGATGTTTCCATAATGGAGTAATCTTTCTGAAAGACGAGACAGACATTGGCGGGTAAAAGAATCTCCTTTACGGAGCTCGTACTGCTTTTGTTCATGCTCGATTACTGCAAGAATTTATTCCAGGTTTCCAAACCTCGAATCTTCGATCCATCGAAGTTTAGCCCCATCTTTGGATAATTCCGACCTGAAAATAGTAAGAGCTTTATCAAAGGCCTGTTTTGCAGGATCCACTCTACAGCGCGATTCTTTGAGTTAGCATGCATACTACAGTTGTGCCTTAATAAATGAAGTTTTATAATCACATCTGATTGCCCCCGTTTGCTGTGTACCAAATCGAGTACATCTGAGTATCTGCTATATACTTCTGTTAGAAGTTTCCTAGACTTTGTATCGGTACAATCTTCTGCACTCCAAAAGGTATTATCAGTCACTATTTATGTAGCTGCTATCCAATCTTGAAGTAAGCTACGGAGCTTGTAAGACTTATGAATAATGGTTGTAAATCAATCGGGGAGAATTTCAAATATATTGAGAAGCCAGATCTTCTTATTGGGCTATTGCTTCTTCCACATTTTTCTGCTGCTTTTGTGGCTGTTTTTGCTGCGCCTTGCATATGCATTGTGTGAGGTTGGAGTAGCACATGGTGTGTAGGTTAGATCGAAAACTTCTGTGCAACCTTGACAGGAGTTTCTCTCGAGTTGTGAACCCCTTGCTCTAACCTTCTATTCCTTCAAGCATATTTCTGTGGTATTGTACTTTTTTGAATTCTATGACTTGAGCTCCCAGTTGTCCCTTTAACACATCGAATTGTATACACTATTGATAACATAATTTTGATGCTACCTCAGATCCCTCGAGTATCAGCTAACCCACCAGCCGTTATTCGCAAGGCTAGGAAGAGTCGAACTACCCGCTTCTTAGGGCTCGCTCGAACTTGTGGAATTATCGAAGACGATAATGTGGAGAACGAAGAGAGTAACTACAAGGAAAGCGATAAGAAAATATACATTGTGAAGCATAAAGAGAGATACACGTACGGCGAGGATAACCAGAATAGAACAAGCTCTGAACCTCAGAAGGGAAAGAAATTCTACCTGGTAGCACATCTCAAAGATAGCGTACAATCGAGCGAACCTGGTCCGACTGCCACTGAGCGGCCGCGCAACCTTCACATACCGATAACTATATCTGACGACCGGAGTGAAGACAGTGACATAAAAAATCGTTTTCTGTTTGCCTTACAAAGTCGTCCCCAAAGCTCAAGTGGAGTGACACAGTTCGCAATCCCTACAAAGCGACCCTTTTCACCACCTGTAGCTGATTCTACCTCTGCTACCGCATAGCAGCGTATACAGGAGGAGCTGCTTGCGCTGGAGGAATTTCAGACTATTAAGGTTGGGCCGCCAAATTCACAGGAGCTACTTTATGTTATTCCAGATACAGATATCAATTGGCTGACAAATTCAGAGGACCTAATTGGTGATCTTAAAGATACAGATTTCGAGCTATTTCCACAGGAGCAGAAATTTCCAGTGAATCAGAAACATTCAGATGTGCTCGAGTATATCGAAAAGAAAAATCGGCGGCTCACACGAGGAACCGCGATGGAGAGTCATCAGAAAAACATCGGAATCCCTCAACACAATGCTTCGTCGATCATATACCCACAGACCAGGCAGCCTAGCAACGATGGACGTAAGCAGTTCCACTACTTTCGCGGTGGAGTTAACACCGCAGAACAATTGAAGTCGTCCGGATACGCACAAGGTTTAGCACCTCAGCCAACTGGCCAGGTACAAGAGGAACAGAACTTCAACACCAATCAGGCATATAACAATCCAACACATATCCATCCGCAACCTTTGGATATCTCGGCTGGGTATAGTTCTGAGTTGAATGAGCTTCTCGAGTATATAAAAGCCCTCCAGATGAGAGCAGATGCCTTGAAACTGGCGCAAAGAGAATAAGAGCCATCCCAGTACAAGATTCTGTACCGCTTGGGCCAAGAAATCAATTTGGACGTGTACTTAGACGCCCCGCAATGGGCTTTTGGACAGAATAGGTCGAAGATACTAAAGAGTAGTCTTCTGGTATCAAACGTTTTGGCTTATTTGGAAAAGCATCCAGCCATCGCATTCATTGTCTATCGCACGTACGATGTCAACCCCACTCGACGGCGAAGGGACGGACTACGGTGATACTTCTGGTGTCTTTCCACCCGTTGAACATCCAACAGAGTCTATTTCAATAATATCCGACAATCTGAAATTGACCCTAACAGAATTTTCGATGCTAGCATCTGTGTCCACTGAGCTAGCTGATTCGATTAGCCGAGGCGAAGAGGTCCGCGCACCATATCTCTTCATATACCACTCTCGATCTCTTATTAATCAGTACCTAGAAGTATTCTCGGAGGAGGTTAATCGATAATAAATAATAATTATAATAATAATATTATTTATATTAGTAGTGGAATACTTAGTTGTATTTAAGCTTAATAGGGTAAAGTCGAATATAATCATAAATTGAAGTCAGAATAGTAGAGTACAGATTTTATTGCTTTTTCTGTCTTATTTTTTCTAAGAATTCTTTGAAGAAAACCTTTGTATTTATAGTATTTAATATGATTCTAGTATATTCTGTGATTAATAATAAGATCAATTTGAATCGAATCTTATAGAATCATTTTATATAATAAAAGGAAATAATAACCAATAATATTCAATCTGGTGAATAAGAAATTCTATATGCTTTCATTTCATTCTATTCCCTTATAAATCAATCTGATATGAATTATAATCGAAATTTCATATGATAATGAAATTTAATAATATATATGAATATTATTAATATATCATGTGATCATTTGATTCTTGGTTCGGCTAATATTATTAAGTGATTTATTTAATAACTTATTAAAAAATCTCACAAGTATTACCAGAACAACGCCAAAAGAAGCTAAGCTGTCTACTAGAATACATACACTTTATGTACCAAGACGAATATGGACGAGGTTGACTCATTGTTGCAGCGGAGAAAAACACGCTTGCAATATATTAAATATCTTTTTAAACCTGGTGAGCTTGTTGTTGAATGGAAAGACGGAGATATCAGAGGATTCCGTACCAACTTTGAGTTCACTGGCCCTGTTGTGCAAAAGAACGGGGAAAAGAGAAAAAAACCAGCATTAAATTATGCAGAGGCGCTAAGGGCAATCCTAGAGGATGCTGAGCAACATTCAACAGAGGTCAAGGACGGTGTCCACATGTGGAAAACCTTGGGTTGCTCGTGGAAATTTGACAGAACATTCTCGCGGGTTTACTCGACTCTTGAATTAGCTCTCAGGATTCAAGAAAAGCAAGAATACCTTGATGTGGATATAAGTGACCTCGATATTTTCCCTCTGGCCTTTGCAGATGAAAGCCTGAAACAGCGACTTGAGAAACGCGGCAAAATGTTCTGGAAATGCAGGTTTCAACATTTTGTATCGTGTAATGATGACAACAGCCAAGACCTGGATAGTTCAGCCGATGAACGTTTCATGATCGATCTGATGACATACCGAGAGCTCCACGAGCAGCAATCTGAAGGGCAAAAATCTCATGTGCCAGAAGTCTTTAAGGATGATTTGGGTCCGGATACAATGAAACATGAAGATCCTCCTGATGAAAAGTTTATTTACTTGCTTTTGTCGTCTATTAAAGGCTTCAACTTACAGCGAAAACGCTGGGCTGATCTACAGGTCGATAAAATGAATGACGTCGTCTGGAACAAAAAAGCATTCAAAAGCCTTGTCCTCGAACACAAGACTAAGGACCTTATCCAGGCTTTGATAAGCAAGCAGCTAGACTCAGAAAAGTCTACAGACTTGATTCACGGGAAAGGTAACGGTCTGATCCTGCTACTTCACGCCGGACTTGGGACCGGCAAGACTCTCACAGCAGAGAGTGTAGCAGAGATTCCGGAGAAGCCCTTATATCGAGTTACTTGCGGAGATATTGGGACTGAGCCAGAACAAGTGGAAACGTACCTCGAATCAGTACTACATCTTGGCAAGATCTGGAAGTGTGTTGTGTCTTGCTAGACGAAGCTGATGTCTTCCTAGAGCAGCGAAGCTTGGATGATTTGCGGCGAAATGCATTTGTATCAATTTTCCTGAGAGTTCTAGAGTATTATGATGGCATCCTTATACTTACTAGTAATCGTGTTGGAAAGTTTGACGAGGCTTTCAAGTCTCGTATCCAGCTTGCGCTTCACTATCCGAAACTTGATGAAAGGAAGCGTGCAAAGGTTTGGGATAACTTTATCGAACGGCTTGAATGTTTTAAAGAAGAAAATATTGACTTTATCGACTTGAGAGATAACGTTTGGAAACTTGCTAAAAATAAGATGAACGGGAGAGAGATTCGAAATGCTATTACACTTGCTCGACAATATACACAGTGGATGGAAAAATCCTTAAATTTTGTCGAATTACAAGATATTATAAAAATATCTGGGCAATTTGATATATACTTATCTCAGCTGAATTGCGATATAACGCAAGAGCAGCTCGCTGAAGATGATGGGTTGAGATTAGCAGAAGCTGATAAATAGAAACTTATTTGATGAAATATTAAGTTTAACGAATAAAATAAAATAGTAGTGAACTCATAATTTCTAGTGGAACTACTTTCTGTACTTCTGTATTGCAATGGTTACTCATATTGGTGAAAGCTGGAGTGAGGTTGACATCAGATATCTTACTTTCGAGAACAGCATCTGAGACACAACCTATACAGCTTTTAGTTCAAATTGGAACAGTCAGCCCAAGATACGTAATGTTGATAGCATTTGCAGTGCCACTTCGAAAAATTAGTTGGTGAGCTTATGCTCAAAGCCAGAGTCTATTCCTAGACGATCAATATAAAAATATGTAAGTTGAGTAGGTCATTGGTTCTGTCTTAGGTAGCGGAGCAAGCCGAGCTTCCAAAGATCTGTACTTTGAGCCACTCGGACTTCCAGTGGACCTTCATAGCCTTCCTATTCTGACTGTATAAATCCGTGCTAAAAAAGGGCTCGACGGATTCATAGCCATGCACAAGGATCGTTAACGTGAATCGCGCGATCAAGGATATGGGATATCGGGTATGTATGCTTAAGTTCTTGTCAACCCCTTTATGACATTGTAAATGAAGTTCCATGGCTAGAAGATCTTCGCCTTTAGGCTTCGTATCCAGAGGCAAATGGATGCTTTGTACCTTCTTATTGTTTCTCAGGATTTACCATATTAAGCATCCATGTAGAGCTGCTGTGAGCTTCCCAGTCTCCACAGTATAGCCGCCGTCCACCCTTTTTCACAGACAGGTATCGTCTACCTCTCATACCCGTTGTCAGGATCGCCTCGATAATCCATTCTGTTGTCGGGATTATCATCGTTGTATTCAGAAACATCATCGTCGAAAGCAATCTGGCCGCCAAAGTCATTATGCATGAACTTCGCAGGCCGCTTCCTGCTCGCAGTTTCTCCGCCGAAAAGATCTTTACTAGCTTTACCCATCGACGAGTGAACAAACTCTACAGGGTTATCTCCCGTGTAGGTTGAAACAGCATTATTGTAGCTACATCATGTTGATCATCTTCAGTGGGAAACACGTATTCATCGCGAGTTCAATGTTGAGCGAGCAGTAGGAAAAGATAATCGGGTCCAGCTACGGGCTTGAGTTTCGACATAGTATCCAGCCCAAACTTAACCTTCCTTGAGAGTGCCGTTGATGTACTTCCAACCGATTAGCATAATACCTTAACAAGTTCGTTAGAGTCATTTGCGTTCAAATAGATGCCATTAACGAGGCAATAACGCAACTTGGAATCCCTCCAGTATTGATCAACAGACATTCTTTTCGTCCTTTTCCTCTCTCTTGCTAAATATTTTTTTTTTATCGATGTTGGTGATGTGAAGAGGGACGCGCTCGGGATGTGATTCTAAATGCGGGTGCTAGCGGAGTCATGTGCAGGGTCGATGAACGGTTTGATGCTTGAACAATGACTAAGACATAACAGTATTAATTACATTCCGTCTACGAATCGTTCAATCAATTTCGATATAAAAATTTTGACTTCCACTTTTGTGAGTTCTTCTTCATACTTTTAGTGAGCAATTTTGGTAATTGAGTCGTAGCGGTCGTGGAGGTCGTGGAGGTGCAGTGTCTAATCGTTGGGTTCGTCGTCCTGGAAAAGACGAATTGAAGACATGTAGCTATTCTGACTATCTTGACCAGTCACAATTACCCCTGAACCCGTTTAATTCTCGTAACACCGAGTAGCATTCAAAATGCCTGCCATGCTCGACGACCCTAGTGCTCCCACAATCTATCGAACTTCAGGTTCCGCACCCTTCCCAGATCCTCACGATGCGAACCCCGCTTTACCCCTCGATGTCTATCCTCGACAGGTCACTTTACGTGACCGAGTGACAATTGCTACAATCGTACCTTTTGCGTCTCAAAGTCAGGTTCCTCCCTCGCTTCTGGCATATCTAAGCGACCAATTCAAGAAAGAGGTCGAATTGGGCGACACATATCCTATGATTGAGACTATGCCACAAGAGAAGTTTGCATCTTATTGGTTTCAGAATTTCGGCGCAATAATGGTCCTCGGTAGTCTCGAATCTGCAGATGAAGTAGTCGAAGGCAAGAACTGGGCTGTAGAATGCTTAGGGAGTTATTATATCAAGCCTAACTACCCAGGACGTAGCTCTCATGTCTGCAATGCTGGATTTCTTGTCACAGACGCTGCACGAAACAGAGGTGTCGGACGTTTACTAGGAGAAAGCTATCTTGACTGGGCTCCACGACTCGGATACACCTATTCGGTTTTCAATCTTGTATATGAGACGAATGTAGCTTCTTGTCGCATTTGGGATGCGTTAGGCTTCAAACGTATTGGGCGTGTCAAGGGTGCAGGAAATCTCAAAAGTTATCCGGGGCAATTCATCGATGCTATCATATATGGGCGGGATTTAGGGCCAGATGGCTCCGACTTCGTGAGTGAAGAACGCTTCGATAAAATCAAATTCTACTTGAAACATAAAGAATATCCATCGGGTGCTGATCGCGCGGAAAAAAGCAGACTTCGTAGCGCGGCCACACATTACAAACTACTACCGGGCGAAGATAAGCTCATGCTGAAAGGGAAGGAAGTCATTAGTGATCCGCAAAAACAATATGAGATTGCGAGGGGTATACATGTACTACAGCATGGAGGAATCAACAAAACCACAGCTATTATTGCCGAAAAATATCATTGGGTTAGAATCAAGGAGACAGTTAGTCTTGTAATTAAGAACTGTGGAGAGTGCAAGGAGTTGGGAAAAGCACCAATTGTCAAACCAGATTTCCAAGTCCAGTTACCTCGTCAGCCTACCCCTAAAAGTCAAAATGTGACCAATGCAGGTATACTATCTCTACCAGAGCAACAACAACAACATTTTCATAAACATCAGCAACCACAGCCTACTCATTTACAGCATGATTTCCAACAAATCCAACACCACCATCATGACCACACCAGTACATCCGTGTCGCCACAAGTTCTAAACCGCAGACTACCATCCCCCTCTCCTCATTCTCACACAAGCCCCACCATCCACCACAAACAACACCAACCACCCATTTCCCAAATGCAACTCCATCATGCAGAAACCCGCACACAATCCCAGGCTCACTCCCAATCTCATATTCCCTCGCATAGACATCCCTCAACCGATTACCTACAAATAGACCCGCAAATCATGGATTACACACATACATCTCATTCTCCCCATCCACATTTTGAAGCGCATCATGCACATGAAACTGATTCCTTCCAAGCGATGTTGGGAGATAGAGACGATGCGGATGTAGATGCGGACGCGCATGTAGAAGATGTGGAAAATGGGGTAGATGGCGACATAAATGATATGCTCATCGACCACGACGAAGTAGAAATCGAAAGACAAGTCGGGGATATAGGAACATCAGAGCATCATCATCATATCGGGGGCGAAATAAATCATAACAGCTCGATGAGTGAAGTGATGGGAGATGGAGATGGAAATGGGAATGGAAAACTTAAATCTCATCACGATGGCGATGAGAACCAGGAGCATGAGGATGAGAAACATGTAATGGCTACGGCGAGGGCAGCACAGGATATGATTTCAAGGGGTATAATGGGTGGGAATACGCGATGAATGCGTGCGGTTTGCGGTATTTTATGGCATCATGGATATAATATTTAATTAATATGGAAAGATTATGAGAAATAGTCATTAGTTGATGATACTGGCTGGCGGACGACTCTAAGATCCATGTCATCTATCTACCTGCCTATCTATCTGTCACCGGCTTCTGGCTAGCAGCTGGTATGGCGACGACCAATAGCTAGTACGACACGGTACGCGAAAAGTAAGGAAGGGTTAGGACACCATGTATGGAAACAACAGAGGCATTACATTACGTACAAGGTTCTCTCATGGAGCCATCCTATTACTCCTATTATTAGTTTAGGAGACGGCAGTATTGTTACTATTCACCTAACATCACACTATGTACGGCCCACGGGCGCCAGGGGTTTCTCCAGGAACCACATATTTGCATTATTAAAAGATAGCATCTTGGAAAGAAGAAACCACCAGCCAACGACGAGAAGAAAAATTGGCTGTAAAGAATAACAAACAGAATTAGGCATAAGCGAGGGGTGGACTTTTTGAATTCTGAGGCGCTAGGATGTACTTAATCATACATCCAGCACTCCGATATCATATCATAGAAGAATCATCTACATATCAGATTTTGTACTCGTCCATCATGCATGCCCCTTGATTCCCCTGCATCATTCATGAATCATGATCCCTCCTTGCCATTTATCATTTATCGTCTCGGCATACCTCTTCCTCTACCCCTCAATGCTCTTTGCGCTGCTCCCGGAGGTAAACCTCTTTGTGGAGCTTGTGGCTGCGCGCTCTCTTCATTCCTAATGGTCTCGTCCACGCTCAAAATCAAACAACTAGCTTCGGTTGCTGCTTGTATGGCATTAACCTTTACCAATGCAGGTTCCCAAACGAATGCTTCCATATTATCTGTGATACCTTCCCCTACGAAATCAACACCAGCCCATACATTTCCTTTTCTATGTTCCACGCGGAGCTTGTTGAGGATATCTGTAGCATCGAAACCTGCGTTATCGCAAAGTTGACGTGGAATAACCTCGAGGGCCTTTGCGAAAGATTTAATGATTGCTTGTTGTTTGTTTCGGATGTTGTTATCGGCGTAATGGTGGAGATAGGCTGATACCTCCATTTCGCAAGCCCCACCTCCGGCAACAATTGTGTTGTTCTTAATAGCGCGCTTGACGATCATGATGGCATCGTGGAGGGAACGTTCAACTTCGGCGATAAATTGCTCGGCACCTCCACGGAGAACCAACGTGCAAGTCTTTGCTTCGGGACAGTCTTCGAAAAAGTTGAAACGTTCACCACCAATTTGACGCTCTTCGAATGAACCGCAGGTTCCGAGGTGCTCGGATTGGATATCAGAACAAGTAGATTGAATAGATCCTCCTGTGGCTTGGATGATGCGTTCAAGATCGTCAGATGCTACACGGCCGGCACAGAAAATATTTCTATCTGCAAAATATTGTGTAGCAAGATCACCAATTGGTAGCTTGGAAAGGACAATCTTTGCGCCAGTTTTGTATAGAGCTTCCATCTTGTTGTAAATAATTTGCCATTCAGCATCGACAATAGCTTGGTATTCTGAGACCTGCTCAACACGGACTTCTGCGTTATCTTTCTCGGACTTGAGCTCCAATTCGACATTTAAGCACACGATTTTAGGGTTCTTGAATGATTTTGGCTGTTGTTCAAATCCGGCATATGAGAAGGTCTTTTTGAACGCAACACCGTTAACAAACAGTGAGTCGGTAAGGGAGCCACCTGGGATTTTCTTCATGCCAATGAGTTTCTCGTTCAAATCCTCCTGATCTAGTGTCATGACTGCATCAACAACCACTATGTATTGTTAGCTCTGCCTTTCTACTACAAGACTTTAGGGGCCATACTCTTTGTGAAAAATCCGGTGTTTCTCTTGATTAGCTTACTGCTCATAGCAGTTCCAGCCAACTTTATCAGAGTTTCCCTCTGGTTACCCTCACTTGTATTAACAGCAATTTCCTTAATTTTGTTGACGGCCATCGCAGAAGCTCTTCTCAGTCCCTTAATAATTGTCTGCGAGCTGACACCTTGCTCGACATGATCCTTGATCTCCTTCAAAATTTCACCTGCCAAAACAACAACAGATGTTGTTCCATCTCCAACTTCGGCATCTTGTGATCGAGAGATATCGGTAAGGATTCGTGCAGCGGGGTGAACAACGTCAAGTAGCTACGCAAAGTCAGATTTTCAAAGACACAGTATACATGGATTTCTGGTGGGCAGAAACTCACCTTCATAACAGTAGCACCATCATTAGTGATAGTTTGTCGTCCATTTTCATCAACAAGTAATAAATCCCCGCCATATGGCCCCAAAGTACTCCGTATTGTGTTTTGGACAGCTAAACAAGCATTTATGTTGCTAATAATCTGTCCCTTTCCCTGCGATGAATCCGTACCTGCATTACACACTTATGTCAGTATCATCTGTGGTAAAGGCAATATCTGAAGTACCTACCCTCCTTCAGCACAATGATCGTTGGAGTCTGGCCACCGAACGACATTTTCGCAATAGATTCTCTTTGTGGTATGAATTAGAAAGATGCCGTCGTCACCTAGTAATCGCACTTCCAGGTATGTAAGAGAGTTGTTGCTAGGGTATGAAGAGAACTCTCAAAGCTTTGCTGCCGCTACCTGATAATTGTAGTTATTAATTTTTCGCGTCGCGATTTTGCTATCATGTCATTTGTAGACGACCGCAATTTATTACACGTGAGATGAGTTTTGCCAAATTCTATCCAAGCTTTCAGCCACCCCCACTAGACATGGTTGAGCCGCCTTCTGAGTATATTTCTGCAAGAGTTTACCTCCCGGTGAGCTTATTCAGGAAAAGCAGAGAACTTTGTATCGCGTCGACGACTCATTCGAACGACTATTGCTGTCAACGCATGACGCTTTACGAGTTCAACACCGATACGATTAGCATTGAATGAATATATAATAGCCGTCAATGCTGTCACAGACCTTCCATCCAATTCCAAATTCCATCACCAGTACATTCCCCTTGTCCTCGTGCGCAAATTTACATTCAAATAGGTATCTAGCTATATCTTCTGATCAGAGATAACTCCCATGATAATATCTCCAAGAGAAAGATCACAGCATGAAGGTCGCTTGTGATTCTACCCCTATCCCAATCAGTCCTCGCCACTCAAGTGAAGCGTAGCAATGCATGTCATGTCCCTCATTACTATCCATCATTACACATATCTTCTTTAATAAACAAACAGTGGTGCAAGTTTAATCATTATCATCAACAATTTTCCATAATTGCATTAATACTATCGTTTCATCCACTACCACAACAAATGGAAGCACGCAACTCCGCTTCCCCTCATCCTTCGCTTCAAAATCCCCAAGTCATTAGTTCAGCAAGCTATAAGTACAGGCCCTCAATAACATTTGTCGCCTGACTTCTAGAAGGAACTAAAATCGAATTTGTGAAAGGTATGACAGAACATCAGCACGAACTTCTTGATTTCTTTTCTATCTCCTCAAGAGGTGAAAGTACTCCAAGTTGATTTGCATTCGTTTTCCGTCCTGTCTTATGAGTAATGCTTGGTAAGATTACAGCTCATACAATACCGCAAGATTTGAAAGTTCGACCCGTAACTCCAGTAGAGTAAGGAGCATGAGATTCTTGGAACAAAATTTGGAAAATATCAATTTGGTATCGATTGATGCAACAGCTGAGCAATTTATTTTCAATCACCAGTCAAGTTTCTGAGCAATTTGGTTGCTGCCAAATCATCATCATCTGGTACGCGCGCAGCTAAATAATCACATGTAGCTTTCCACAATCTTCTTCCAGAATCACCTCATTCTACCTCCCTCATCCTTTAACCACCTTCTCTCTTTTCACCATGCTATTTTCTTGATAGACTCTCTACAATGCATTCCCCTTCAAATCCTTCTCATTCAAAAGTCCGTTGAAAGATTTCCTGATACATCCACCAGCAATAGCACTCTCATGAATCAAGCCAAAATCCCCACCGTGTTGAAAAAACAGATATACTTAAGGATCAGGGAGAGGAAAGGATCGAGAAATTCGTAGATTGTGGTTAATTTTGCGGTGATAAGTTTGCAAGTAGCTATACTGTGTTTTTGTTAGTTATTCTCTATGGGGGATGGGAAGGGAGGGAAAACGAAGGAAGGCAGAGGAAGAAGAGTTGAGATGGAGGGTAGGATTTATACATAATCCAAAAGACTAATAATAAGATCTAGAGGAACCTGAACTATGGGGAGAATAATAATCTCGATATCACCCAGGATAGGAATGATATCGGTGATTTCAGTAATAGCACTTGACTACAGCAGGTAAAGTCCTTCCCGAAACACGATTAACGGCATTGATAAGCACGCTAATAATATGCTTCAAATTATTGGCCACCTCAGCAGAAGTTACTGACCAGTAGCGGTAGTATCAACTGAGGCATTAATAGCGGAGATGAATGAGATGCCAGACGACAGTAGTTCTGTCAGTATAAACCGCAGCCACAACAGCGATGATTTGGATGACGTCGCCCATGGCGTCAAAGTTGGAAAGTATGTCATTTACAGGAGAAGTGACAGAAGCACCACCATTGATACCGGTAAGACTTTTGGCTTGTCACTTAGGATCATAGGGTTTAAGGTTGGAGCCTCTTTCCGATGACGATGGAGAGAAACAGGATGAGATGCTATGCATGACTTTGGCTTGGGAAGCTGGAAAGTGGCTTAGATGGGAGTTTGGGAAAAGTAATTGGGGTAGCTGAAAAAGAGATTCCTGAAAGGAAAAAAGCTGGAAACGTAGGGAAGTGCTGATATATCTCTTGGATTCATAGCGGTTGAAGCAGTTGATGATCCTGAAGGGTGGAAGCTAAGGGAACAGGGACTTCTTCTGAATTCCAGCCTTGCGGAGAGGCGAAGGAGGTTGCGCTCAGGCCGAGACGGCCATGAGTTATGCTTTGTAGTATATTTTAAAGGTTACCCGAGGAGTTGAAGATTGAAGAATCGGGGAATCAACAAATAAATAGGGGAAGACAATTTAGGGATATACTTCGTGAAGGGCAGGGGTATCAATGAAAGTGTGAATCTTGGATCTTTGAGTAAGAGTAAAAATGAGTTGGTGAAAAAAATGATGGGATATACATGTGACACTCTCCGTAAATTTTACATTAACGTTCGCGACATGACTTCAGCCCCAGGAGGGATTCTTCAAACGGAAGAAGGTATAAATATAAAATCTCTAGAAAATATCGATGGTAGCATAGTGGAGATTTAACACAAAACACATGAGACTTCCTCCCATCTAAGCAACAACGTTATCCACCCCTCAGACTCATTCATCGTATAAAACCCCTATCTCTTTCGAGCATATACACATGGTGCCAGCACCTCTGAAAAAATCACATGTATACTTGCGAATCCACTCCAGATTCTAATATACCGGGCACCACGAGTAACATAGTTCTTGAAACTCATGCACTCCCCACAGAAGCCTAAGACTAGGTATCGAAAAGAAAAGGCAAGAAATTAAAATATCAGAAGCGGAAACGAGCCAAGATGAAAAGACATACGCAGCACAACTCCATGTTCGCGAATGCGATCATCCCAATATCTTACACTCTATGCAACGATTCTGCCATGGTTATGAGTGTGATATATGAGAGTCATCAAACACAGTATTTATTCCCAAAAAAAAACTCCCCAATTAGAAATTTTAATTCTCCAATATCCGAGATCGAAAAGGTTGATATAAAATATGACGATTAGAACCATGATATAGGATAAAGGTAATTATTCAACGGCGAGCGAACGACCAAATTCACCGATAGGCATGTATCAATCAGTCATTACAACTCTCTTTCTGAAGGTTGTGGATCATCAACCCTTTGGATAATGATCTACTGTCTAAATAATCTCACTTCTTTCGCCTCAATCGCTGATAACATACATAATACTTAAACTTCAGTTTCCGGGGAGTTCCCCATGAATGTTACTCGATTAATATCGATATTCGAGCAGATATTTTCAGAAATAAATAGTGTCGAGCATGAGCAAAGAGATAGATAATCGGACAACTCCGCACAATAGAAAGGAAAGTTCGGTACGCTAATTGAAGAAAATTAGCGTTAAGTATCTATCTATATCCTCAAAAGCTATTGAATAACCACACCGCACCACACCACACCACACCACACCACCTCAATTATTGGAGAAAAGAAAATTATAATAAGTATCTGCAAAAAATATAAGTAAGGTTAAGATCTTAGTTACGATAAATCAATAAGATTTATAGTACACGATAAATTAACACGGCAAATAATCGCAAGATCCTAGGATTAAAGTATCAGCGATCAAGAACGATAAATAACGACGAGTCGGAACGACCCCATAGTTAATAAACTCAAAATAGAAACGGGAAGGAAGAGACGAATCGATAAGCAACAGAAGAAAAATGTACTAGTAAGCATGTATAAGGCGCTTGGTCAATTTAAATGCTAGCGCTCCGTTATGATTGTTCGGGACAAGGGCCCCTGAATATAACCCCTGTTGGTAGCGAATCTTAAAAAAAATCCTATGCATCTCTGTTATGTGACCACTCAAGTAAAGTCTATGGAATGATGGAATGCTTGAGATTCAGGTGTGTAAATAATTATTTAGATAACCATCTCAATAACTATCTAGCAACCCATCGAAGAAAAGTCTAAACACTCCGTAGAAAATCTTCATAGCCTGCACAATCTAGATAAAAAGAAGACCACCCCATGAAAAGAACAAAAAATCCAAAACAAAACAAAACAAAACAACACCACCTACACCTATATCTAGACCACCACTCCAGTAAATAACTGCAACCTAAATCAAAGCCCAAGACAATATAAAGCAACCATCCGACTACCAACAGACTACCAAGCAACCACCCAACCATCAAACAACCACCTATCTATCTATAACTTGTTCCCGCAATATCCTGTTCAATAATAACCGCAGCGGCCTTCTCACTAACCATATAAATAGGCACCGCAATATAGAAACCTGGAATCTTAGGAAAAACACTCGCATCCACAACTCTCAAACCCGTCGTTCCCCTAACCCTAAAACTACTATCCAAAACCGCCATTTCGTCACCATCAGCACCAATAGGGTTAGTGCAAGAGATATGATGACCCCAAGCTTCATCTTGGATAAATTGCTTAAGTTCTGCTTCTGTAGAAACATCTGCTCCAGGCCACGTTTCGTTGAATGAACCGTCGAGAGGAACGACACTGTTCATTACTTTACGGGAGAACGACATGCCTTCGTACATTGCTTGGAGATCTTTTTCCCAGGCATCATCGACAGTGGTACCTTCGTCGAAGGAGTGCATTTGGATGAGAGGAGTATCGAGAGGGTCGGATGAGCGGAGGGTAACTGTACCGGCGGTGTTGCGAGCGTGGGCTTTAAGTGTAATCCAACTCCAGTGTAGAGCATCGCCGAGAGCTGGACCGGAATAGCCTGGATAATAGCCGTGGAAATTAGCTGGGGCGCCGGAGATGAGAAGATCGGGGTCTTGTTCTGCTGTGCTAGATCGTAAGATGACGGCGAGTGGGAGACCGGGTGTGGCGTAAAGTCCTGCATCTTCGGTATCATTTTGCCATTGAGTTAGACATGGATCATCGGAAGTTGTGAGGAAAGTACAGCCTTTAGCGATTGAGAAGTTGACGTCGGATTCTGAAATGACAGTGGTTTCGTAACGATCTTGCATGTTTGTGCCGACACCTGGAAGATCAACCACAACTGGGATATTGAATGATTCGAGTTCAGCTTTTGGTCCAACTCCACTGAGCTTGAGAAGTTGAGGACTGTTGTAAGTACCGCCTGAAATGATGACTTCCTTTCTCGCATTAACACTGCCAGGGATACCGCCAGTGGCATTTTTTCCAGCCCTTGGGTCGGCTCTGTACAAACTCTTACCCTCCAAGAAGTCAACTCCGAGCGCTCGAGGTGTGGTGTCGTTTGAGAATCGGATCTTGGTAACAAATGTATTGAGCTTGAGGGTCAAGCCATACTTCTTAGATCCGTCTGTATTGACCGCATTCAATGTTTCGAGAATGAAATTTCTAGCACCATTTCTGGTTCTTCCATCAACAGCAATTGGAATCTGATATAACCCAGTAGTATTGTCGCGTGTAGGTAACGGATTGTTGGGGTCAAGGTTGACGATCTGGTTGAAGCCTTCAGCAGTCGAAAGAATTGAGTCAGAAGCATTTACTGCCAAAGCCTCAGCAGCAGAAATAACAATCGAGTTAATCTTTTGGTCTTGAACAATCATAGTCTGGTTTGTCGCACTTGTGTGGAACCATCCATCAAAGCCGTGCCCAGGAGTATCCTCCGGAAGATAATCGCAATGCTCCATCTTTTCAAAATATGTTCGCATATTGTCAGGGGCCCAAGAATCATCACCAGTGAGGTCTGCAATATATTGCCAATCGCTCTCGTGTGGGTAGATTGTGATCATAGCATTGTGGTTTGAGCAACCACCAAGGGTTCCAGCACGAGGATACCAGATACCAAGTGGCTCTGCATCCGCTGGAGGATCTAATCCGACGTAGTAGTCACCATCAGTAGTTTGGTAGGTCATTTTCGTGTCCTTCTTTTGACGTTCAAGGTCAGAATAGTGATGTACGAAGAAGTTCCATCGCTGCGCTTCTATTTCTGTCGATGCAAATTGGAAGAGAGGTAATTCAGCAGTCAGATCCTCCCCTTGGTCATCTCCAGCATCGATCAATAAAACTTCGTATCCAGCAAGAGCCAGACGAGATGCGAGAGGTCCGCCACCTGGACCACTGCCAACAACAATGTAGTCAACCTCGCTCGGCGTATCTCGTGCAACTTTAGCGCGAGCATCGTTTCGAGACCAGTAGCGGGCCTGTCTTGGTGTTCTAGAAAATGTCAGTACTTGTTCTCGTCAATTAGATTGTTTTTGAAGCACTGACAATGCCAATACTGATGACGAACCCAGAGCCAGGAGGCCCAGGGAACGGATGGAAACCATAATTGAGGTTTCAAGCGAATAGAGAACTTATTGAGAGAAACAAGTAATTTTGAATAGAGTATAGGACTCTGGTGTAGCGTAAGCAAGTTATCAAGACAGCCCCGAATGCGATCTGTTGATCCCTTGGGAGAAGTAGTGAGAAGCTGGTGAAGGATACATTGAGAAAAGGGAAATGGGCGTGGTATTTATCGTCGTCGTCGACAGAAAGGATCTCAACCTCCGTCAGAATGATCTTGATACTTCATCCAATTCAGAGCACTCCTGGACTCCGATTTGCAATCCTCCATTGTCTTTCCAAATGTTCTCCTCACGATGTTCATGACCTGAGGGCAAACCCCGCTCGAGGAAACATTGTTGCGGAACCCCGAGTTCAAGTTTGGAAAGTAGTATTGAATGAAAAAGTAACAGACAATGGTAAACCCGACCAAAATTCGGCGTTTTTACCTTGTATGAAATTTCACTAGGAGGAGAAACATCGGGTTTCCTAAAAGATTGAAGATATAAAATACGAAATATTTCGCTAATGTAGTCTTCTCAAAAGGGTCTCACGCCCCACAAGATGATTATGTGGATGACTGGGTATAACGCCAGTGCAGGGGAACAAACATGTGCGCGTACATGGATATTCTGCAGCCACTTGCCACCGACACTATTATGGCTGTCGCATAACTTACGGCACAGCCGACCCACAAAATCCTTCATCATATGCTCAAATTCTTGCTGATATGCCTAGGCTTTTCAGATAAACGGCCCAAAACATGTTCTGACTTTCAGGAAACGTTACCCCGACTTGAAGCGTAAAACTATAGAAATCGAAGACTGCAAGAGCTCAACCCTGTATATCATGTAATCCGTGTATTCAGTCGAGAATACCGTCTAGTTACCAATTATGGGCAGCTAATCCCAGTCAAAAAATCACTAGGGGCAAACGCCTCTACGCAGAAGGATTTCTATTTCATCCAATAGGGTATCTTCCTCTATATTGGCTACACGGATGAGTTCCAAGAATTTGATCCTTTCAATGCTTATAAAGGTTGTCATGGGTTCAACCGCATCAGCGCACTTTTCGAAGTACCAAGAAATAGCCAAGAACAACTGCCGCGCCCATGCAAATTATTCAGTTCATTTAGCCCGCAGAAAGCTTGATTTATTTACGCCGGTAGAGAGTTACATGACAGCTTTCAACGAGATTTCCTGGCCGTCTTCGGCGATAAGAAATTGAAAGATGGTAAACGGTAAACGTTGCCAGATCTGAGGAAGATCCGAACTGGGGGATTCGTCCGCCCTCGATAGCATCTTTATGCATATTCTCTAAAAGAAGACGCCATGTCTTGGGACCCTGGCCTAATTATCGCGCAATTATGCACACGAGCGACAAGGCTCTCAAGATGGGGGTTAAAAAGTCTCTGGAGATACGGAGTATGCAAATGGCCATGAGGAGTGCCGTGAAGGAATAGTTCAAAGGAAAAGATTTCGTTACACAGATGCTGAACGGGATAGAAGACAGTATGACCTACCTATTCGTGATTAGACATTTGCCTTGTGATGTAACTATAAGACGAGCGCGGAGCCGACATGCTCAGCTATCAGAAGCTAATAAAGCTATGTTCGGTTGTTTTGTACCGGTACGGAATGAGGCAGTCAAAGATTGTGCCAGCCACTTGATTCTTTTCCAAGCCTAACAGACCATTTTTGGTGACCCACTTCTAAGGTCTTGCTAACTTATCTCCTAGACACCTTCAATTGTGGTGAACGCTTAATCACTTCTCGACTGGCAGCTCATCCTCAAGCCGGTCTCTCCACTTTTCTCTAAATTCCCGTATTGAAAGCCACTCGATGCTAGAAATTTGAAAATGTTGAGATTCAAAAATTGCATTTGTATTGACAAATGTATCTTCAATAGAATATTCCTACGACGATCGATGATCACGACATCAGTAAAGAAGGTAACAACTATACGTTTACTCAAGTCTGACGCAAAAATAGGGAGGTGAAAGCCTTCGATCAAATGACCTTGTGTACTATTTTGATGTGAAAAGGAAAAAATGAGATTATTGACTCGGCGTTCGTGCCCGTCGTGTATTCCTTTCGGCTTCGAAATCCGAAATACGGGTGGGTCGAGGAGCGGCTCCTCCTTTTGTCCTACGTTTCCTCCAAGTATTACAACGTGGAAATCGTGCGGTAGATCTTGAGTGGAGTACCCGAGAATAGATCGTGGGCATATTTTGAAGCCTTCGCGATGGGCTTGCAATAAGCCTGGAGAAGGAAGCACAAGCCGCATGCTGACAGCTTTGGAATTTTGCACAAGCTAAGACCGCCGAGCGCAAAATGTGATCAAAAGTCTGACTATGAGTCGACACGGCTGCCCTAACAATGTGGCTTGGTTTAACCTTCAGCTTGGCTGGAGACATGGCTATAATTGTAGCTAAGGATTGGCCCCCTTCAGCCTCTGGCCAGAATTCCCAGTACAGTATCGACAAATGCAAACGCAAACGAGAAGAAATAGCCTAAATCACACCAATCAATGTTACCAATATCGAAATTCCGTTCACAAACATTGAAATAGAGTTTGCATGGGTCGTGTATTTAGGGTAAGTGACGGGACATAAGAAACCTGGAAATGCGTCTCCTTTATCGAGCTTATTCTGATGCCTAGCTTTGAAACCCCATTGAACCGCGAATAGCGATCGATGACAGCGCTTCGATTACAAGTTTAATAGAAACTTAGACTATATATATGGACCCGAGTCGCTATAAATCCGCACTGAGGTTGGCGGCGTATACGTGCTGACACTAGGTGTTAGATGGTGGAAATCTCGATTCTTTTCTGAAAATGTTCCTCATTTCAGATTGCTTCTAAAGTCGATGAGCTGAATGCTACTTTGGGATCGCACTGCGAAGTCTAAATCTGCCGCATACGCTTTGTAGGAAGGCACCAAGAGATTGTACAATGGGGTAGCAAAAGTCGTTGTATGAAGTAAGACAGAAATGCCTCTTCAAACGCTGGATACTTCGTTGCTAATAAGAAAAACAGAGGATCATGTATCCCGATATTGATGTGCACAGTCAACTTTCTCTTCTTTTGCCAATGTCTAGTTTGAGAAACCAACACTCTTCAAGGCTCCATTCAAGAGACTAAAGATAGCTAAGCACGAGTAGCTAGCATTTCACCAAGCTCTGAGCTTGAAACTACATTGCACTCGCCCGAAAATTCCTTGGGTGCTAGAAGCAGCAGAAAAGCTTGAAGCGGCTTGCAGGTATTTATTACAAAGAGAACCGCATTGCAAGATGACGCCATAGGTACCATCCGGCAGCGATTTGTTCTCATCCAATCTCAAGCAAAATGAAGAGGATTTCGATGTATAGTGATTCAGCGGAACCCTGGGCAACCTCATAAGCTGAAAGTTTGGATCCCGGGCCCAGCTTTGATATTTTGTTCCACGGCCATCGACACCTCCTCAGATGAAGCATATAAGAGCATCGTTATATCATAGAAACATGGACATAAAACTTTGATGATACAAAAGTTGTTGTAGATATTTTCAATAATGTAGTAAATGTTTTCACGTTGTCATCGTTTTGAGGGAAAAAAAGGTTGGTGCAACGTTTTAACTTTGTCAGAATATTAGTAAGCCGTCTCGCTCTCCCCTTACCGCGTATATATTTCTACACTCCGGTATAAATTTACACCCATTGTTGCATGAAAATGAAATGCCCGACTACACCAAAACTTGACCAAATAAGAATTATCTTCATCATGCCATATTCATTCTATGCTATCTCCAAACGTCTTACCACATCACAAGAGGAAAGTCAAAATACAGCGCGGTTTGATTCTCACTCCATTTTCCGCTCTCGGTCGGGGTAATTGAAGCCCGACCACACGGTTGGTTTATAATCATGTTCCGGTCATGGGAAATATCAACCACGTATAAAAACTTCGAGTAATCTTGAAGAGGGAGATTCAATCCAACCAAGAAAACAACCACTCATATCGAAAATCAAAAAGCATTATTCTATCATGATACTTGCCGAGAGTACTACATTACCATGCGGTTTGACCCTGCCAAACCGTCTTTGCAAGGTATGAAATCTTCATACATTTTACAATTTTTCTTCCTCATGCTAACACAAATCTCCAGGGTGCAATGGCTGAAAGCATGTCCACCACTCACATCCCTGACGAGTCGTTTTTGAAGGCGTATGGCGCCTGGGCTGATGGTGGTTGGGGAATGATTATAACAGGTTCGTATACCATACCATATTTCCTCATAAACCCTCGAAGCATAAGCAAAATCATTCAATGATGACCAGCTCCAACGTCCCAAGGGGCATACTCGCCCATTAGTTTTCCACATCCTAACACAAAACACAGGAAATGTACAAGTATCCTCCAAATACTTAGGAAGCAACAAGGACGTAGCCCATAACTCCAACCCCACAGAGGCCACCAAGGCCATCTGGGAATCTTGGGCCGCAACCTGTCAACGCTCTGGAACACCCACCATAGTTCAAATATGTCACCCGGGTCGTCAATCGCCTCTTATGGCTGGAGACCGTGGCTTTTTTGACAAAACTGTCGCTCCTTCTGCCGTCCCATTAAAATTGGGAAAAAGTCTCATTGAGCGAGCCGCTTCTAAATTAATGTTCGGTACACCACGTGAACTGACGATTAATGATATTTCTGGACCTGGCGGTATCATTGATGAGTTTGTGGTGGGTGCAAAACAATGTTACGAGGCGGGATTCAAAGGGGTGGAAATTCATGGCGCGTGAGTTCTCCATTCTAGTGTCATGGTTTCAATTATTAATTCTCCTAAAAACATAGCCACGGCTATTTATTAGCACAATTTCTCTCTCCATCCTCCAATGTTCGCACTGACGAGTTTGGAGGCACAGCTAGAAAGAGAGCTGAGATCGTGGTACGCATTATCAATGCAATAAGAAAGCAAACGAGTAAGGAATTCTGTATCGGTATCAAGATGAACAGTGTCGATGCATCTTCCAATGAGTCCTTGACCGATAGCATGGAGCAAATTCGATACGTAGTAGAAGCCGGAATTGATTTTATAGAGATCTCAGGTGGTACCTATGAGAACCCTCGTATGATGGAGGGAGATGCGCCCGCCAAAAAATCCTCAACCTCCTCCCGCGAGAGTTTCTTCCTCGAATTCGCCAAGAGCGTGCGTGAACAATTCCCTTCCGTGGTCCTCATGGTCACCGGTGGTTTCCGCACGAGAATCGGCATGGAAGATGCGTTACAGTCAGGAGCGTGTGATCTTGTCGGCATGGCTAGACCCGCTGCAATAATCCCCAAATTGCCAAAGGAAATTATCCTTAACAAGGATATACCTGATGAGGAAGCACGCGTTACTCTTGCACCACTCGCCATACCATTTTTAATTCGACACTCACCTGTTAAACAAGTCGGCGCTGGTTTCCAAAGCACGTTTTTTGCATCACAGATTCAACGACTGTCAAAGGGTATGACACCTGAAAATATCAGAGTATAGATAGGGGCGGTGGGCATGTATATATAGAATCTCAGCTTTCATTAATTTAATAATCATTTTATTCTCTTACAGCATTGTTTTTGCTATGTAGTAACCCCTATCACTGATCTAAGCACAACTTCCCGCAATGCTACTGGTCGAGTTCTTCGAGTAGGCACTCAATGCACTACCTCCACACATCAAGCCCTTCATAAACGCAGCTGCTACTACATTCGCACCAGCGGGACTAGTATGGGTATGATCATTTGGATAGAATGAATCAACAGTACTAGCTCCAAGGGATTGGAAAATATTGGCAGTATATAGACCATGATCCACGAACGAAGCAAGGGAGCCGAGCGTGGTAGCGACAGATTTTCCGTAGCCGGTGAAACGGGGCGAGGAGTACCCAAAGGTGCCGGTTTCCCAAGGGTTATCGGGTGTGGGGGAGGCGATGATTAGGTGTGCACCCTTTGCTGTGATGAGTTTTCTGTTAAGGGGACAGGTTGTTAATTAGGGTTTCTGATAAGTGGGGGAAGGAATAGTAGGGATTAAGGTGTTACGGACCCTGCTTGTAAGAGGTAGAAAACATATGTATACACGGTTTCCCCTGTAACGGGAGAAATACATGTTTCGGAACCGCCTCCGAAGCAATCGGTACGGAGATTATCAGTCGTGCTTAGAGATCCTCCATCGTTGTGACCGAATTCACTGCGATATTTATCAGTACGTATACATGGGTGGGTGATAAGATGCTGGCTGGACACATACAAAAGAACATAATCCCCGGCAACAACAGAGTCAGCCAATGTGGTAAATCTCCCCTCGTTATAATACGAGCGAGCGGAGCGTCCGGCCTTAGCATCATTCACGACATTGATACCCTTCAAGCTGTACTTGAGATATTCACCGAAGCCTATGCGTAAACCATGTTAGCTGATATTCTCCAGCCGCATATATGATTTTTGGTACGGAGAATATAGTACGAACCCTGAGTGCCAGTTCCACCGCCACCAAGCGCCATAGTAGAATCACCAGCCAGGTACAAGGTCGGGGTCGCGCATACCTGGGCTGCGATCGAGGAAAGAAGAAGTGTGATAGATGTCTTCATGATGATGATGATTATCTTTATGCCAAGAAGTCTCACAGAAATAACAGATGGTGTTTGGGCCAGAATTCTCGATAATCGGGTAGATCTTCTACTCTTTATATATGTTTCCAAGCACGACTTGTGCAGGAGATATGGACCTAGAGAAATAAGCCTTCATCCGCCAACTCGGTGTTTTTCCATCTTCACCCCTCAACACCGTGAAATTGCTCAGCATTGAGTCTAGATGGCAATTAATCTAACGAATTTATTTATTCCCAGTGCTAGAAATCAGCATTTGTCTACATGTAGAAACAATTCCCTTTTCTTGGCTATCCATCTATCTAACTGCCAAGGTGAAACTTCATCTTGCATACTAAGGTTATTCTACACCGATGCGGAGCAAACAAAAAATACCACCAGTCGCAAACTTAGCTCTCGGTAGATCTTCGCTGAGGTTACCTATCTGTGGTGCACCCCGGATTTTAGTGGAACGATTCAGGGACATCTCTGCGCGGGTTTCCCCTCATGCACGGTATTTTGGATGGGAAAATGGGTGTTGCAGCTGTTCGTGGATCCACCAATGATGTCTAACCGTTTTTAATAAGCCGCCGGTTGAATTGGTCTTGGCAAGGGCTTGGTGACGACGAGACTGGGGCATCTTCGGAATTGGGGTTCCAAGTTGCACGAGTGGGGTTCGTTTTGTGACTTCTTTGGCTGATGTTGTGATGGTTCATGAAAGCTAATTTGTGCGCTTGGGGAGAAAAGTATCCGTGACAGATTATGATGGGAAGGAGGGTGTGAATCTGGAGGGTTTCTTTTGGCAATGAACCAGGAATATTCCGCTTGATAGACACATTTATGCCACTTATACTTATTTATTCTTATCATGGTAATTAAAACGTGTCTACCTTGCAGAAGTACTAGCCGAATAAAAGAAGTGTTGCAGAGAACAGGAAAGCGGAGCTAGAGATGATCGTTGCGATATCTGTCGTGTATCGGCTACTGGACTACATTTGTGATCTTGAATGTACAAGTACTACGCTCCAACTCGCATTCCTAATCCCCTCGATTGGTGTCTAGTCTTTCGGATTGGGCAATAAATATCTTTTAATAACAGGTCCTTTCTATGTTCGATCAAAATTCTTAATTCCGACAGAACATCGCTAATGTAACGCGAGAAGCATTATTGGGCGCATAATCGTGCCAACGAATTTTGTGTACTTTTTGGCAGCTATGAAGATGCTATGTTCGTATTGCGTGATGGAGTCTAAGGACACTTTATCTTATGAAAATTGACGTTCTGATCACAGTCCTCAAGACGCATTTGCTTCAAAATAACTAGTTGAGTTTCAGAAGATAATCAACAACGGGCTCGCAGAACTCGCTAGTGATGTGAATGATGGCGCAGGCTTTTAACTTTAGAGAAAATCTGGAAAAGGATCTTAACGAGGTTCTAGCTGAGCTCAACGGTGTTTTCCGTGGTTATTGAAGGTTGGCATCACGGTCAGAAAGAGGAAGTCCTTGTCTTCTGCTGAGTGCTCCAGTACTCGGAATGGATTGATATGAACTCTACTATGCAATTCAGAAAGCCTGAGTACTCCTCCGTTGGTTGCATGGTTTCCTTGGGAGCTTTTGGCTTCTACTTGTTGGATTCGCGGAGATCCATGAGAGAAATTCTTTCACGCATCTAGCGAATTCAGATGATCTCAGTGCTATCTTCACACCGCGTTATGAAGCAAGCAATCAAGGCCGCCGCCTTTCTTGAAATGCTAGAAGTCTTCATGAAGGGTAACTTCATCAAAATCCAACAATCAAAGTGTACATATGCATATGTAATGATCCGAAGTGGGCTTGGAAAGGAAGCTGGCTGTTTTAGCAAGATTACGATCGTCCATTACACTTTTGAATGGCGACGACACTTTTACATTTGCTTTCTAGTATTGATCTCGCGTGTTTCTTAGATATAATCCACAATACCGCCGCCCATTTCCTCGGCAAATGGTGGCATGACAAACAACACTCTAGCTTAACGGTTAGACACGAAAATTGGAGGTTCGAAGTGGTATCTTTTAGGGGAGCATTCGCTCCCTTCGGAGTCAGGGATACCACGAATATGGCCAACAAAGACATAGAGACGCCGGATACTGGGCCCTGAATTTATGCTATCTTTGTTTTATTTCTCCTTTCCAGCTGCTCGGTTTATAGTTTGGAACTACTTTACTGCATTTGACGCCTTGGTGAATGGGGAAAACTGACTTCTAGAATCCAAACCAATTGAACCCGGGAGAGGCAGGAAAACAGATACAATTGGCTTAAGAACTGGCGGTATAGAACTTATTCCACTAATATCTCGCAAATGATTATATTTTTGGGCTGAAAGCCACGACATAGTGAAGTTAATTGCTCTGGCAGATGTATTAGGATAAAACTAGAAACTTTGAGGAATATTCCATACAGTATCGACAGCTTGGCAGCTTCGGAACTCCATATAACTTGAGACTTTCTAGTCAATTCTTGAAAAACGATCAGTTGTGCGGTGGGCTTGATTGTGATGATATGATTGATCTAACAATTCTGTTTGCACACTGTACCGAGTAAAGTAAGTAGAGAATAACGTCGATCATTTAACCAACGGAGTAATATTTAAGGAAAGCTCTCTTTCCGACTCGGCCCATACACTTCAAAGATTCATACTACCTTTCTAGTGGTAGGCTCTAGCTCATTTGACCTTCCAAATCTGGTTCACTCCCCGGATCTTCCACTGGAGCATTAAGTTGATGGATGGATTGGTGGAGAGAAGGGAAAGGTCTGTTGTTTAGCTTTTTTGAAGATTGAAATTATGATTATATGATTTTCCATCCTACCTTGATCTGCAATCTGATTGAAGAGAATGGTGATGGTGGGGGATGGGGTAAGAAGAGAAAGAGATGATTTTTCGCTGGCGCTGGGTAGTGGATGTTGAGTAGGCGGTACGAGAAGATATGAATCCAGAGATGAAGGAAGAACTGGGAGGTTAGTTTGCTTATGGAGTGATGCTAATAAGAGGGTGTTATTCCAGTGTTGGATGAAGTGTAGAGATTTAGTCCACGGTGGACTAGTGTGGTGAAAGAGTGCATTTGAGAGATGTGTAAGTAATCAAATGATCAGTGCTTGACTAGATGTTTAAATAAACTTTCTTCGTTGGATCGTCACCACGGGTATAAATTTGTGATTCAAAATTACTTAATTGAGTTATCAAAGATATATAAAATCAATTAAAATTAACAAATAATCTTAAAATAATGGTTTTGAATTAATATACCTTTAATAATATATAAATAATTATCTAATATAATAATATAAAAGTTTTAAAAAAATATATCATTTATAAAAGTTCTTTAGATTTATAAAAAAAAATTAATTTTTTTTTTAAGAGACTTATAAATTAAAGTTTTGATTTAAGATATCTTTAACTTAATAATATAATCAATAAAGAATAAAAAGAATTATTGATTATATAGTATTATTATTGAAATGATTTACTTTCGATTGATACTATTCATATTTAAAGTAAATCACTTATAATACAGGAATTAATTACTGAAATAACAGGAGTTTTGGAGACTTTATTGATTTTGAGCCTATTCGCTTTTTTTGCCGAGTATGGAGGCGCAAACTTTCGTTGGCTTAGTCATCATGTGCTTACATTTCCAACTTCTGCAAATCTGTCTTTCCTATGCTCAATCCATTAATGATATGATTTTATACATATTTTCCTTTGGAAATATTTCCACCGGGTAATCCTTCCATTGAATATGTATGCGTTACACTTTATCAGAGTTTGCGGATTTCATTCCAGTGTTGGTATCATATTCCGCTTTCTCAACATGTTTGCGGATGGCCGCAAACAAAAATAACACCGATAGCGATGAATACTCCCACTTTACTGTATATTTCCTGAGGAGTTATTGACAAACACTTCTTCGAAGTCGAATTAAGCCTCCAGGTAGGATGGTTTCGTTACGCGCGCACTTCCAGCGTGCGATGGACGACTCCCGTGTTGGTTGATCCCACGATGGTGCTTTCCACATAGCCACCTTGTCCAACTTACTACTGCCCTTCAAGATCCATGTAATATATACGCTCTCCCGGTAATATTTAATTGTCAAATCATTGTGCTTTTTTGATCGGTATATATTCTTAAGAATGAGTATCTTTAACCAATCGACAGAGACTTCCGTCGTGAAGCACGTCCCAGCAACACGGAGTATGCGTCGCATTATTGCATCTCGATATCTTCAGTCTATAGAAAGCTGTCCACATAGCATCTCCCGCAGTACATCTTTGTCAAAATTGACTTATTTCGCGCTATTTAGCAATCTACCATTTGAACTCCGCGCTGAAGTTTGGGCGTTTGCTCTCCTAGAGCCTCATACAATAGAGCTCGAATTCCCACCTCTCATGGATACAATACCGCAGCGGAGTTTTCGGATCAAGACACCGCACCCTCTTCTCTCAGCTTGCAAAGAATCCAGAGCGGAGATGTTAAAGCGGTACCGACTGTCTGAATATTCGAGACACAATTCATTTTCTATTAATTTTGCCTTCAATTCATTGTTCCTCAAGAATCTCGACTTTGGTTTCAGTCGAGGCTGTTGGTCACCAACGACAAATACTCTCAGCAGTGGTGTGCACTTGATGCTTTTACTGGGCATTTTTGACTGCGTAGAAAGTTTAGTGATTTCTCGAGAATCAATTTTAGATGCAGAATGCGAAGCAGAAAACATTATCCGCCATTGGTTTCCAAATCTTTGTTTACTCATCGTTACTGTTGGCTTTCGAAGCGAGGATGAACTCGTGTTGAAACGCTATTCTCAACTTGTACTACATCCAGAAGATGATCGCCACATTTCAGTCCTCAGTTCAACACCACCGATGTGTCAATGGGACGCAATATACGCTTCAGGGATAAAAGTAAATATGCAGCGGCGATTTGCAAGACAAGAAAGAATTCACAGAAATTATATTGCGCCGATTGTGAATGTCGTGAGCGCCAGTCAACGCCAGTGAATGCTATGGTGGAATGTAGGATTGCTTGGTCTGGCTGCTACAATCATTAATAGCACCGTGCTGCGCAAAACCGGTACAAGAGTGATTTCAGCGTCCTTTTCGATGATCAACTCAAGTATTCACGAAAAGAAACAAGATTTCGATGTTCGGCATAGCAAGAATTTATGTCAACTCTGGCGATTTATAAGTTGACACAAGCCCTGGCGGCGCCTGTTTCGTTGTCCAAAGAGCAGTTTGAACTGGATATGTCTCAGAAAAAGAGGATTCATCGACAAGGATCATGTGAGCTACTTTATCTATCCGGGTTATTACCAAACTGTCGGGAATGTCTACAGCTTTTGATAGGAGCATCAAGTAGGAAGAGCGGCTACCCTGCAGAATAGCTTCGGGGATACCTCGACTTGGGCTCGCAAAAGCATGAATCATCGTGTATCCTCACTGAGCCTTCGAACTTCGCATGGGATCAGTTGAGCAAGGTTTGACCGCCTTCTAAGCAATCCACAGGAAATGAACTTCTATACTACGCAAACCATAATACTTCACCGCAAAATTCCATTACCTTTCTTGCACAATGGACATTAATCAAGTACCGTGTTTCGGCTGATAATTCTAGCTTTCCTACCATCTCGTAAAGTCTACCAGGGTTCGATGATTTGCTGCGCCCAACTTTCTGTGGTTCGAGCGTATCATGATTGGTTGACCTAACAAGATCTTGCCGTCGTGAAAACTACCATGGTTCACACTCATGCAGCGCCACTGTACTTGCTCTAAAACACCGGTACATCTTTCTGCTTTTTTGTACTCGGTGTTCTTCGCTTGGTTCAATTAAGGTTATAGCAACTGTTGTTGCACAAGTGTATTGATACTTATGGAACCCCTTCATCCGTGAAGCTAAGCCTTACGTCTACCTTCCAAATTCCTACGTAACACTTCCTGTTGCACTGAAAATAATCTGCACATAACATTTCTAATTTCTCAGACATGGAAAGTTTCGAAAAGCATAGTGCCCAACCGGCAGTCCAACAACGAATACCTCTGCTCTCAGGAATCTATAGTCCACCTCCAACCCATGAACATGGTCCTGACGCTGCAAAACGATATGAACCTCTTGAAAATGGATCAGAATTTATCATAAGCCAGGCAAAAACACCACACCTTCCCACAGACTCAAGTTTCTCAGATCAGCCCCCACGACATCAGCGAGGAAGCAGTACAAACCGCTTTGGCATCCTCAGCAAAGTCTTCGCAACAACCGGCCCTCCTTCTCCAAAATTTGAAACTACTTCTATCACTATCCTCTTATTACCTCAAGCGGGTACACGACCCCTTCTCCTCACTCTTCGTACCATCGATATCCGCCTCGAAGGACATAAAGACAATCACCTGTCGCACATCCCCGATATGCGCTCATTTTGGGGCGATGGCGGTGCCTGGCACACTCGGATACAAAAATATTCTTCCCTAGCCATGGCCAAAGATTCCGCAGATCACGCTTTAACAGGAACATACATGCTGTTATACACGCCGGAAGGAAACGGATTACCTCTGAACGAGAGATGGACTGCAGGAGTTGGTGGTGATGCATGTATAGTGAAGCTGGGAAAGAATATTTGGGGGAAAGGGGGAGCGGCTGCCTATGAGGATATTGACAAGGAGTTTTTGGATAGTGGGTTGTACAAAAAAATGTTGATGGGACTGTTTGATAGTCATTCGAGGAGTTCGAAGTCCTCGAAGGGTTCGAGGTCGGGTGCGGGTAAACAAGAGAAGGAGAGTATTGATAAGGAGACTTCGTGAGGCACAGGTGCTTCTACATATATTTAGCTGTCCTTTGTGGTTTACTCAAAGACGTCATGGCTGGGTGTTCTGCGCTCTTTTTCGGTTCGCGGAGTACAAATTATTGGCGGGATAGGCTTTGAAATGGCGTTTTGAGGTACGTGTGGTACATTGGAATTTTTGATATCGACACAGAGATATAATCACATAAGAATAACGCAATTTCCAAACTAAAACGTGTGAAAATAAACACTCAAAGGTTATGGGGATGCTTGTGTTGCTTTGTCGTGACACGTAGAGTACAAATAACCCCAGACTAAGGACTCGGCATATTCATACACTAATGGGACTAATGGAACTTGAATGCTAGTTTTCGATGAACTCTCTCTTCTCACTACAGATTAATAGCTCCTGATAAGCCGTTAAAAATTAACCATGTCGGTGAAATCTTAGCAAACAACATTTACACATGAAACTTCCAGGACGTAAAATTCCAGACTCGAGTGCCACAACTCAATTATTCACATTCTCCCTAACCAAATCAACAAGCCTATCTGCCAGCAATTGTACATCTCCAGGCCATCTCGCGCTCATATAATTATAATTCTCATCTTCCACCACGAATCTAGTAACTCATTAGCTTGTCTCCATATATATCACAGAATACTAGTAAATAAATAAACCCACGGATTCAACAGCAAATATTGTTTCCACTGCCTCTCAGGATCATCCAACCTCTTCATAATCGATGCCTCCACATTCTCACTTCCCGCTCCATACGTTTTATAATAATCACCCAACACCCACCTCGTACTCCAATATGCCATTCCCTCAAACATGCCCGGTAAGGACGTCGTATCACAATCATGAATAATACTTTTCTTTTCCGCTCCATCGTTTCCCTCCATCATACTCTCACTTAATACCATAACCCCATGACAAACAGCCCCTATGCATTTCTTCCCAGGCTTCTTTACACCCTTCCAATACTAAACAATATGTTTAAGCATAACATCCGAATCAATTAACTGTCTCACGCCTTTCTCATTGTTATTAGGAAGAAACACCAGATGATAAGGCTTGAGGAAAAACGACTCCGAAGACCATGAAAGAGGCGATGTAAATACATCCGTTTGGGACATCTCCTTGTAAAGGGAAGCGGTGGCTTGTGTAGCACCGAGTAATTTCTGTGTTATTCCCTCGAGCATTTTGATATCGCATGCAGGGCGTCCACCAGTTTCGGTCGCGGAATGCACGCTGAAACCTGCGGTTTTGAAGGTGTGATACGGGACTGCGGTTTCTGGATTTGAGGAGATTAGTAAATTGGACTTTTAATTTTACAGCTAGGGAATTTTATAAAATTTTATAGATAATTATGGATGCGCGAGATGGGTTAACTACCTGTAGGATCATGACCGTAATCCGACATGGGAATCAAGACTTTTGGAAGCGACATCGTCAAGGTAGTATTATGATTTATGATGAGAAGAATTATGGAGATTCGAGAATTGATGAAAAGATGATTCTTCTTCTTCTTATACTCCGCACGACCAACGATTTTCGGAATATATCTATCTGATAGATAAAACCAGAATGTTATCACTACACCAACAGTTACACCAACTGTTTAGCTCATAATTTATTATTCAATCTTATCCTCGTAATCGAATTCGGACTTAAGTTAATGGTTAGTGAGCGAATCCAAGATGATAATATCTTCTCACGGAGTACAAATGCAAGAGGGAAAATTGACTAATTGTTCAATCAGAATCAATATATTAATCAGCGATCAAGAAAGGAAAGGTTGAATAGCGAAAATTATTCATATATATTACATATCACATATCAATCTAATCAATCAGCCGTGATGTTACGGACACATGAAGGACTCCGGAGAATAAAAGCCTAACATTATAACATTCATCAATACGTAAGGAATGCTGAGCCGAGGTATCGCGGGGTTGCTTGAAATAGTGCCCTTGGAACTAATTAAATCTAATACTCTACTTTCCAATCACTTTTAATTCCGATCATTCTTTTATAATAAAAATTATAATTTTTATTTATTAATAATTTTATAATCAATCAATAGAAATTAATAAAATTTGAATTATATATTTTTTATATAATTATAAATAAATTTTGAAAATATCAAATTTTTTAAAATTGATTTCATCAAAATTTATAAATTTAAGTTTTTCAATTTTTAATTAATATTATTAATATTATATATAATAAAGAATCAATTAGTTTTAAAACAATTTTAAAGTTTTTTATTATTCTTTCTAAATTAAAAAAATCATTTTTTTTTATAAATAAAAATAAAGATAATATCAAATCGAATATAATCTAATATATAAATATCAATAAGAGATTTATATAATATTTCTCTAGATTAATAATTTGATGTTTTGTTAATAAAATATCAAGATTATATAAACTAGATTATAGTTTGTAAAATATATTAAGTTTTCAAATTACAATTTAGTAATATTTATTGTCGGCTTGTCGACTTTATAATCTTATTGTACGCGAGGTTTATCTGTGTTACGAGGGATGCGATCTAGATCATATGGAAGTGGTCTGGATCCTCGAATGGTTTATAATTAAATGTCAAGCAGAAGTTTTAAAGTAATATCAATAATTGTAATTTGTAATTAATAATAGATTATATTAAATGATTGATTTTGAATATAAAATTTTATAAAAGAAATCCTTTTTTAATTATATAAATTTTTATATTGATTAGATTATAAGGATTTAATGAATTTAAAATATAATTTTTTAAATCTTTTAGATTTTATAATTTATTATATGATTATAATTAGATTATATATCTGAATTTATTGAAAATAAAGAGATTATATAAAATATTTATTATACAAATTTATATATAAATTGTTTTACTTTTTGATAAAATCTAAATTTATATAAATAAATTAATTATTATTTTATAATATTATTATTTTTTAATTTAATATTTGTTTTAAATTTTTATAATAATTTTATTTATTGATTTTATAAATTTTTTATAAAATAGATTTTTTTCTTTTATTATATTATTTATATAATCAAAGAAATATAAAAATAAATCAAATTTATAAAATTAATCGAATTTTAAAAGATATTATATTTTTATATATTTATTATAAAGATAATTTTTATATTTATATTATTTCAAAAAATCTTTTGATATAATAAATATATATATTGAAAAATCAAATATGATTTTATAAATCTTTTATTATAAATATATATAATCTGATTCGAAAATAAAAGTATTTGAATAAAAAGAAAAAGAAAATAATTAATTTGATTATAATTATTGTTTTTTGTTTGATATGATTATACAAATAATACAAATTTCTTCAAATTTATAATAATGAAATAATTTATCGAGATTTGAAAATAATAAATGAATTAAAAAAATTCAAAGAAAAGAAAAATTTAAAGAAAGAAGTTATTAAGAAAAAAAAAAAAGTTTTGTTGTTTAATATTTCTGATTTTAAAAATGATTCTTTTATAATATTTTTTTCTGATTTTTCTTTTTTTGATTCTTTGGATTTTGATGATTCGATTTGGACAATTTTGGATATTGTTAATGGAATGTTTTTAGTTTCTTAAAACAATTAAAGTTTTTCTTTAATTTTTAAGTGTTTTTCAAATATAAAAAATCCAATTATTTAATCAAATATTTTATTTTGTTTTTGATATATTTATAATCTAATATTATTTTGATATTATATATAATATTTGAATTGATTAATTTGATTTTTATTATAAATATATCAAATGTTTTTAATAATATTGATTTGAATAAGAATATATAAAATACTAAATGAATGTTTATAATATATAATAACTTTAATTTATAATTAATTGATTCAATTATTTTATTGATTTTGAATGATTTTAGTTTCTTATGATTTAGTTTATCATTAGATTATTTTGTTTATATATTTCTTCGAAAAAGATAAACTTTATTTCCTTTTTTAAATATAAATTCCAAATTATATAATATATTATAATATATTATTGTTTTTAAAATTATAAATTGTAAATTCAAAGAGAATCATTTCTATAAATTTTTGATTTCTTTAATATTCTTTATAGTTTCATTTATATTTTTATTTTTTAATAATATTATTTGATATATTATTAAATAGAATACAAAATTAATATAAATTAATATGATTTTCGTTGTTTTTGTTTCTAATAAATTATATATAAATTGAATTAAAGATAATAATTTAATCTAGTTGTTTTGTTTGTAATTAATATAATATTATAAATAGGTTTTTATTATATAATTTAATCGTTTTGTTTGTTTATCTATTTGTAAATAGAAAGTTATCGATAACTTTTTTTTTATATCTAATAATACTATTAATATAATTCAAAATTTCGAAATAAATAATTTATCTTAATCTGAAATTATCTCTTTTGATATATTATATATATTGATTATATTCTTTAGAAATTTATATATCAAATTATCAATAGATTATATTTTATAAAATAATATTATATAAATATATTTAATTAATCTATTTATTATTATTAGAATAATATTATATTTCTTTTTTGTGTTACGAGGGATACGATCTAGGTCACGTGGAAGTGGCCTGGATCCTCGAATGATTTATAACTAGGCGTTAAACAAGAGTTTTAAAGTAATATCAATAATTGCAATTTTGTAACTAATAATAGAATATATTAAATGATTGATTTTGAGTATAAAGCTTTTATATATAGGAAACCCCTTTGATTTATATAAATCTTTGTATTTTGTAGATTTGTATAGATTTACGATTTGTATAGATTTATAATTCGTATAGATCTATGATTCGTATAGATCTATAATTCGTATCCTTGTATATATAAGATTTATTATATGATCTTTAAGATCAGATTATATATCTGAGCTTGTTAAGAGTAAAGAGATTATATAAAACGATTATTATATAAATTTGTATACAAATTGCTTTGTTTTTCGATAAGGTTTAAATTTATATAGATAAGTTGATTATTATTTTATAATATTATCCTCTTTTTAATTTAATATTTGTTTTAAACTTTTATAATCGTTTTTTCTATTGTATTATAATTTTTTTGTAAAATAAATCTTTTCTTTTTTTATTATACTATCTACAAGATTAAGAAAATATAAGAAACGAATTGAACTTGTTTTAATAATCGAATTTAAAAGATTCGAGATACCTTTATATATTTATTACGAAAAATATTTGTATTATTGTATTATTTTTAAGGAAATTCTAATTGTTGTAATAAATATATCTATCGAGATCAATGATATAATAAATATTATATAAAAGCAAAAATATTTAGATTATAAATATAAAGAAACTTTATCGAAATTGTTTTACTTTGATAAACAACAATGTTTCCTTTGTAGATAGGTTTCTAAAATGATTTGTTGTAATTTGAAAACGATAAATGAATTGAATAAGGTAAATAAAAAAGAAAGATTGAATAAGAAATATATAAAATAAGAAAAGAAGTAATCGAGTTTTAGTTTATCAATGTTTACCAAAATTAATACAAATTTATTCAATGATTATAATTCTTCTTCTTTTTCAAGTTTTTCAGATCCTTTTTGAGAAAGTTTGAATAATATTGATGAAATGCCTTCAATTTTCTAAAACAATTAAAATCTTTCTTTAACTCTCAAATGTTCTTTGAATATAAAAAATCCAATCATTTAATCAAATATTTGATTTTGCCTTTGATATATTTATAATCTAGTATCGTTTCGATATTATATATGATATTTGAATTGATTAATTCGATTTCTGTTATAGATATATCGGGCGCTTCTAATAATATTGATTCGAATAAGGATATATAGAATACTAAATAAATGTTTATAATATATAATAACTTTAATCTATAATTGATTAATCCAATTATTTTATCGATTTTGAATAATCTTAGTTTTTTGTAATTTAATTTATCATTAGATCGTTTTGTTTATATATTTTTTCGAAGAAAATAAACTTTATTTCCTTTTTTAAATATAGATCCTAGATTATATAATACATTATAATATACTACTGTTTTTAAAGTTATAAATTGTAAATCCAAAAAGAATTGTTTTTATAGATCTTTGATTTCTTTAATATTCTTTATAACTTTATCTATATTTTTATTCTACAATAATATCGTTTGATATACTATTAAATAAAATCCGAAATTAATATAAACTAATATAGTTTTTGTTGTTTCTATTTTTGATGAATTATATACAAATTAAATCAAAAATAATAATTCAATCTAATTATCTTATTTATAATTAATATAATATCATAAATAGACTTTCATTGTTTAATTTAATTACTTTATTTACTTATTTGTTTATAAATAGAAAACTATCAATAATTTCCTTTTTATACTTAATAATACTATTAATATAATCCAAAATTTTGAAGTAAATAACTTATCTCAATCTGAAATTATCTTTTCTAATACATTATATACACTAATTATATTCCTTAGAAACATATATATCAAATTATCAATAGATTATATTTGTAACGATCTGATCGAGGCAGCGGCTGCCTCAGGTTTTCGTATGGTTGGTAGTTGTAGGT